AAGATGTTCTCTATTTGCCTACTATTATCTATGAGTTGTTGAACCAAGTTATGGTTAGAAGGCCATATTTAATTATGGTTTAGTGGCATATTTTAAGACATTTTGAGAAGTATAGTAATTCCCGGCTTAGAGACGGATCCACTTCGATAAAAAACACAATATGTTCCAGGAGGAAGAGAATATTCAGTTAAGTAAAGCTGAAAGCTCACTGAGAGAAAGTCCCAGAATCCGTGCTGACCTTTAAGTGTTCTCAGATAATCGAAAAGCTAACGTTAGCTGACTATCTCAGGACCGCACATATAGCAGGTATATGGACTTTACACTGACAGTTCAAAATGTTTCTAATATTTTGGAATTTTCTCTATGTTTAATTACCAACTAAAAATAAAGGTATGTAGATCTTTCCTAAGAAGTTGCAATAAACAAACACAGATTATCTGGATAATATTGACGTTACCTCTTTTGTGCTAAGGGATCGTATACCATTAGATGGATCCTTGGCTCGAGATATAATCTTTTGTAAAATCTGTTAATCATTGAGTAGAAGAAGACTTATCAATCATGTAGGTAAGAAAATTGACAAAAGTATTTGCCTGAAAAATGACGGCACCATGTCCATACTTTACGGAAGGAGTCCGAGCCCATTTGCTTCTCCAACATCTGAAGGACTGCTCCCTTCAAAAATAAGTCAGTGAAGAGTTATCCTTCATAACATACAAACCCATGCAAGATCATGTAAACTTATCGCAACAAACTCAAACACGCTCACAAAAATTTAGGGCAGGGTATGATAACTAATTAAATATGAAAAGAAAAAGATTGCCTACCGATTTCCATGATCGTATCTTCCCATGCATTCCGATGGAATGAGTTCCAAATAGGTCCTTGCAAGAAGGAGATGAACTCAAGCACATTGCACCACTATCATCAGCTTTACATACAGCACAATTTGCCTGCACTTGCACAAAAAAATAGAGGAGAATCCAGATAAGAGGGTCGTGGTTTTGTTCCGAAGTAGTTAGAGAGGCGCCAGAGAAGAAGAGCTCGAGTAGTAAGCTAACCTTGTATCTCCGGTATCGAGCTTCATTATTTCCCAAGAACTGCTTGATAAACATATCCGTTAAGAAACCAGCAAGGCCATCGAGGAGCCAATCTGTTAATAAAACATGGACAATCATTAATCGCAAGATTACATGTTTTCAAAAGAAGCTGATATAACAAATCGAACGCAAAGAAAAGTGTAAGCATACCATCATTTGGTGACTCAGGAGTAATATAAACTCCAAACCACTGTTTTGCTAAGGCAAAAGCAAGTTTAATACGTGTATCTATTGTCTGCAAAGACAATTGAAGCTCTATCAGATTTATGCACAACGGAACTAATAAGCTGACAAAACAACAAGAAAGAAGAAACAAAACTTCCAGTAAAACAAATATCAGTGAAACCTTTTATACCAAAAGTCATGTCCCAATGAAGGGGTGAAATGCAAACAACAGAATGAATTCAGCTTGCAACATTCATAAGAGATGTTTGAGAAACATATTTGACTTGCTCAAATACGTGATTTGTTTCAAGAATCTCCACCATACAGATTATGCATTATAATATTGATATATACAAACGGCTATAACGTATCATCTAGCCTAAATCTGATTTACGAGGAGAATACCTGATCAATAACCCTCTCATCATATAGCATGTGCGAGCTAAAGACACTCAAGGAAGCTCCCAAAGTCGAAGAGCATACAACGATTTCGGGAGGTAAAAAGACTTGCTTGTAGAATCCAAACGGAAATTTAGCGCCTAAATAATCCTCATAGTAGCTGTAGAAATTGATTTTCCAGTAGAAAGAGAAAAAATAATTAAATTCAGTTTCACTACAAGAACGTGCCAGGGTATAAATTTACTGACCTATAAGCTTCATGGAAAAACTCCATTGTATTACGAACCCTCGAGAGATCATGCGCCAAACACAAGTTTGATATGAGATAGTTGGTCTGATCTGGAAGGACTTCTAATGGTCCCGCAATTAAAGACACCCACCGCGGAGCAATAGGAATAACTAGTTCGTAAACATACGTTTTCCGAGTAGTATCGTCGTTACACATAACCTGAAAAGTGTGAAGATTTAAAGAAAACACCTCCATCACTTTCTTGGAAAAGTACTTATAAGATCAAATGGAGGACATGTAAACAAATTCCACAGACTTCTAGTTTTCCAGATAGTTTTGGCTACAACACAACGGACGGAAAAAATCTTCTGTTTGATCCAGAATCATAGGATAATTATATTGAAAGAGAAAAAACTCTGAACAATATAAACAATTAAAAATCTTCCAGGTTTTGCAATCAAATATAGATAAGCCTTCGGATTACAAGGACACTGGATATAGTTCTTTCCTATAGAAGCTAAACCAAGTTTTTCCATTCAGTAACTAAATTCCCAGAATCTATAATGGAATGTCTTGCACGTAAAATACTGATATGGTAAAAAATAGTAATTCCTCTAGTCCATTCACATATGAAAGATATGCTAGCTTACCTGGTAAAGTAATTTTCCAACACTGACAGCCACAAAGTTGTGTGGAACAGTGAATTCCAAATTGAAACTGCATCCACCACAAAGTTGATAAATGAGGGATAAACAGGTGTAGATACCCACCCTTGATCTCAAGAGACCAGAGATATGACAACAGTGTTACTCCTTTAATAACATATACCTGCAACGATGGTACTCATCGTCTATACAAGGAAACCAACAGCGGGCACGTCTCATCTGGTTATCCGTATGTACAATCTTCTCATTAAAATGAATTCCTGACTCTATTTTCTCTATCCAGTAGTTAATCCGAATCAACTTAACATTCTGCAGCATATGAGAACACATTGATAGTTAAACACAGAACAACTCTCACATGCAAATCATAACAGAGCATATGAGAACCAAGAATAACAAAAAAACCATCGGTAGCTACCATGTTAACTGCTCTCGTTTTTCATTTCAACCATGAATGTAGTAAATTCTTATTAAGCATTGATCTAGTGCATAGCAAAGGTGAATACTAGCCAATAGCCATGTTGCTTTTAGTATACAACAGAGTACTTCAAACCACTAATAAGAATCAGAATAATTACTTGTTTAGCCTCCCCGGACGATTGTGACCCGTTCTCTAAAGTCACGTTATCCAGCTGCTCAGATAAATCTTTAGAGGGCTTGCAACAGTTGATGAGTAAATTTGCTGTGTCTTCTCTCTTAAGAGCCCCAACATATTCCACGGCCGCGGCATCAGCTGCTGAACCAGGGTCCGAGACCGAGTTCCAGTTACTCTCAGTTTCAGAATTCTGATGGTGCGGATAGTACTCAAACACGGTGGCTTCTCCATCTACCAAGACACTCTCGATTCCCAAATTCTCCGCGTGTAGTCCCACAATCCCAATGTCTGGCACGCTTACTTCTAACTCTGTGTAACTACAGAAATCCAACAAATATGAAAAAAAAAAAAAATCAAACACTCTGAAGAAAAGGATGAAAGCTTTATCCAAACAGGGACGATTCAATCGCAGGAATCTTCCAAAGTACGATTAAAAGCTTAACATTGCGATTTTCCTTCAAATTGGTAAAACCCAGAATAACCAAGAGCAGATATTAAGCAAATTTCAACTTCCTGCTAGTAATTAGGGTTTCCTCATACCGAATTACATTATAGCAGCAACGAATCACATTCACTAATTGGCAATAGAGAGCAAGAGAGAGGGAAACGAACCCGTAGATTTGGCGTTTTTTGAAGTCGATAGAGAGACAGAGCTTCTGGTGAAGAACTTTGGCTCCGGTATTCTCCGAAGTCTTCGCGCCAGGAGCTTCCTCGTTCTTCGGCTTCCGAGCTTTGGCCATGTTTCCTTTCTCGCCGGGACGTTTAACCGGAGAGCAAGCTTCTTTTGTTGTCCAAAACAGAAAAGAAAAAAGCAAGCCTTCTCTCTTATACAGCCATCGATTGGGTTTCTTAAAATTACATAAAACGCATCTTTGTTTTAAATTATTATAAATTTGCCTATTAGTTCCATATGTTACAATTTCACCCTTGGATGTTTTATTTCGTGGGCTTGGTTACACCTTTTTCAAATTGGGCCCACTAATTTGAATTTCCTATCCCTTTGACTCTTTGAGACACTGAGATTACTTTGTGAGAAAAAATGTCACCTCCCAATAATTATAGCATGTTTTGAGATTAGTCTCATAGATATCACTTTAAAAATGAAATAGAAAAAAAAAAAAAAAAAAAAAAAAAACAACAGAATAAGGCTCTTGTCTTGCCTCTTACAAATGTCTAACACCCTTAAGTTATTTGGTGGGATGTCAAAACTTAGATGATGTCAACCCATGCCTAAATATCAAACTAATTGTTTTGGTACTTGTGTAACTACTTTATGTCCAAATGCATCGATTGTCGGGTATATAGCTATTCAAATATGTGCGTCAACTGTGAAAAGGAACAAAAGATTCATAGGGCTTGATTAATTATCGCAATATACATTTTTTGGTCACTCTCATGACATGCAGTTGTAGATTTTCGGAGATTAATGCCTGAATCTCCTTTTTTTATACTGAAATAGTTTTACCTGGTAGAGCAATTCTTTGTAATTGAAAGAGAAAGTTTAAACTTAAAAAGTGGTTAAAGAAAAAAAGTTATCTTATTAACCTTAGTTTATCATGTTATGCTTGTTTCAGTGTTTCTTTCTTTGTATAAACTGCATTTGTTATGCTTTTGTAGGAACAAAAGAAAATTCCTATAAAATAATAATATATGATTAGAGGTTTGACTTTATCATGATCGTCAAATTTAATGAGCCCTCTTCTTCCTTGAACGCAAAGGAAGTTTCTTCGTTGGAAAACGCTGTCTCCATTTCACATCTATCTCTTTCTCTCTCTATACGTATATATATCAACACTTAATTTCCTCTCTGACTTCTTCGATGGTCCTATGATCGTTAATTAGTCTTCATGGCAATGAGTAGATCAGTCTCACATGTCTTATTAGGGCTTCTAATATGGATCTCTCTTCTCCTCTTCGTCTCTAAAGGTCTATCTGAAAATCTCAGCTCGAAATCCATCAACCCTTTACCTTCTCCGGTTATAAGCTCGCTGCGGCCGGGAAGAAGAGCTTTGGTGGTTAGAAAGTTTGACTTCACACCGTTCCTCAAAGATCTTCACCCGAAAAATCATGGAGAAGTTTCGCCGCCGGGAGGATCCGAGATCGACCAGAGATATGGCGTTGAGAAACGACTCGTCCCATCTGGTCCAAACCCCTTGCACCACTGATTGTCTTCGATTATCCCTCTAAAATTGCTCTTCTTTTTTTTGTTGGGTCAAGTTTTTAGCAAGAACATATAGTACACAAATTTTAATCCATATTATTTCTTGGGGAGTTGTGTCTTGGATTGTACTAGTATTTATTCTTCTTTTGTCATGTGAATTGTTTTTTTATTTTTTATTCACTCTTGATGTAAATATGATACGTACTCAATGCTTTGTGTTCGAGATTAGGTTGTAATAACAAAACATCATAGACAATTAAAATCAAAACGATCATATGCAAGCATGTTTTTCCATTACTCGTTAGTTAAGGGTAATGGAAAAACTAGCTTCGTAGTAGATTGGTCACGTGAAGCGTTGACTTTAATTGGTTTCCGTTTCCAGATTTTGTGCAAACTTTTGTTTGACTAGTCTAATTGAAGAAGACAACGACGAAATGAGCTTCTGCATGTGCTTCTTCTCATTTGGCGCAAAACACAATTTACACAAATCGACGATTAATTTAATGTTTACTTATATGGCCGGTTCCATAAGAAGAAGACAATCCCGTATAACATTTTCATTTAACTGGTTTACTTCGAACCATCCGGTTTTATCTCCGGTTTTCTGGTTATTTAGTTTATTCTTAACCACTAACATTTGTTGCAACGCCGTCACCGCAAACTCGATTAACTGGTTTTTGGCCGGCGGCTTCTTTCTTATCCACAGAGCATAGAGATAAACCTCTGCGCGAAGTCGCTGCGGAGCCAATTCCCAACCAATTTTGTTAAATTATGCATTTTTCCGGCTGAAGCGCACTGGTAACCAATAGAACTTGTTGGATTTTGTGGATAATTGAAGCTCTTGTTCGATCTGGGTTTGCGTATCGAGCAGCGTTAGTTTGATGGAAATGTGTTGAATTTCGTTCTTCCTCGTTCATCTTCACCGATGAGTTTTCTGGGTTTTCTGTTCTGAATCAAACCCACCATCATATCGTGATTTAGGGATTATACTTGATGAGAATCTACTGAATTTAGTCGTAGACTAAGATGGCGAGAAAAGCTAACAGTAGCCTATTTCTCGAAGAATGGTTAAGGGATGTGAGTGGAAGTAGTTTGGTGAAGCAGAATTCTGCTCCATCCGCGAGGTCAATTATTCAAGCATGGTCTGAGATTCGGGAATCTCTCCAAACCCAGAAGTTCGATACTCGTTACCTTCAAGCTTTGAGAGCTCTTGTTAGCTCCGAGTCCACTATCCATGTCGCTGATCCGCAAGCAAAGCTTCTTACTTCGATACTAGCTTTACGAGAGGTGTCTCTTCCTTCTGAGTCTTACGCACTTGTTCTTAGACTGCTCTATGTGTGGATTAGGAAGTCGTTTCGACCTTCTCAAGCTCTTGTTGGCTCTGCGGTTCAAGCCATTCGTAGCGTTTTGTATGACAGGCGTGATCTCAAACCAGAACCAGGTTTAGTAGCGCAGAGCGTTCTGGTCTCTGGTGCGTTTGCGTTTGTGCCTTCTCTGTCAGGAGAATTGAAGATATTGAGCTTGGAATTGCTATGCAGGCTTTTGGAAGAAGAAGAGTGCTCACTGGTGGGATCTCAAGAAGAGCTTGTTCCTGTAGTGCTTGCAGGAATCGGTTACGCTTTATCTTCTTCGATTGATGCTCATTACTTTAAGCTATTGGATTTCTTGTTTGGTGTATGGATGAAAGACGATGGTCCTCGTGGCAGTGTCACTCATGGTCTGATGATTCTTCATTTGGTTGAGTGGGTTGTGTCAGGTTATATGAGGTCTAATAATGTAAACAAAATGTCTCTCTTTGCGAACGAGGTACTAGAGACTTTAAAGGCAAAGTATGCTGCTTTTGCTGTCTTCATGGCAGCAGCTGGAGTACTAAGAGCTTCCGCGGCAGGTATCAGTAATGGTGCACAGATTGTCTCTAAGCTTAGAAGTGTAGCGGAGAAACGTATGGAATCTGTAGCTCAACTTTTACTCTCTAGTGGTAATGTTACACTTGCAACCATGCAGAGAGAAGTTCCCCTGTTGAAGTGTTTTGCTATAGCGTTGGCTCGATGTGGCTCTGTTTCTCCCTCTGCTCCTCTCCTTTTGTGCCTCGCTTCTGCGTTGTTGACTCAGGTGTTTCCTTTAGGCCAGATATATGAATCATTCTGCAAAGGTTTGACTGGACCAGAACTAATTTGGGTCAGGGAGCATCTTTCTGATGTTATCTTCAAGGAGTCAGGGGCCATAACGGGAGCCTTTTGCAACCAATATGTATCAGCAAGTGAAGAGAACAAATACATTGTGGAGAGAATGATTTGGGGTTTCTGTCAAAATCTCTACTTACAGCACCGTCAAATTGCTCTGATGCTTCGTGGTGTAGACGATACGTTGCTTGGAGACATAGAGAAAATTGCAGAATCGTCTTTCCTTATGGTTGTCGTCTTTGCGCTCGCTGTTACGAAACAATGGCTCAATCCAATAGTGTCTGAAGAAAGAAAGATGGAGACATCAGTCAAGATATTAGTCTCGTTCTCCTGTGTTGAATACTTCAGGCATATTCGTTTACCTGAATACATGGAGACAATCAGAGAGGTGATTTCACGTGTACAGGAGAATGATGCTACTTGTGTTTCGTTTGTCGAGTCCATCCCTGCATATGATAGCTTGACGAGTCCGAAAGGTTTGAGAGAAATCATCAAATGTGTTCTTTTGTCTCTAGGCTGGTACATTCATAAGATTTTGAATCTTGTTTTCTTCTTGTGCAGACTTGTTTATGCAGAGGATAGAATATGAATGGTCAAGAGATGATGTGCAGACATCTCGAATATTGTTTTATCTTCGAGTAATCCCAACTTGCATTGCACGGTTATCTGCTTCTGCCTTTAGGAGAGTCGTTGCATCAACCATGTTTCTGTATCCTTTACTATTTTTTTTTTGTTTAGCCACAAGTATGATCTATCTTATTCCTTAACAATCCATTGGCTAGGTATATTGGACATCCAAACAGAAAAGTGGCACGAGCATCTCATACGTTGTTGGTAGCATTTCTCTCTTCAGCAAAGGAATCAGAGGAGGACGAAAGAAACCAACTCAAAGAACAGCTTGTTTTCTATTACATGCAACGATCTTTGGAGGTACCTAAGAAAAAAAAATGAATAATGGATGTAATGTAATGTAGCTCTTTTCCTGTTTATTCATGTATGGTTTGTTGAAATAAATGCAGCTTTATCCTGAGATCACACCATTTGAAGGTTTAGCTTCTGGCGTTGCAGCCTTGACCCGGCATCTACCTGCAGGAAGTCCTGCTATCTTTTACTCTGTTCATAGCCTTGTTGAGAAGGCTTCTACATTTGACACCGATGCGTTGCAAGGAAGAAAGTCTGATTCCGGTAATGAAATTCTTGAGTTGCTTCTGCGACTTGTCTCTTTGGTTGATATACAAGTAAGTTTCTTCTTCTGTAATCTCTACTAGCAAATGGCTCATATGTTAATGTTCTCTCTGTCTTTGTATGCATAATTTGTTCTTTTTTTCTTGGTGCAGGTGTTGCCATATCTGATGAAGTCATTGGCACAGCTTATTTTGAAGTTGCCGAAAGAAAGGCAGAACATGGTGCTCGGTGAATTGTATAGTCAAGTGGCTGAGTCAGACGATGTGATTCGCAAGCCTTCTTTGGTCTCTTGGCTACAGTCACTGAACTACGTGTGTTCTAACAACCGGACTACGGGCTCAACTTCTGGACTACTAACAGACATTTCAAACCAGTTGGCTGCTCAGCTCTAGGGATCGCCTCATAGTTTGCAAACCTTTGAAATCGAATTAATGTTTGTTATGTACTTTGTTATCATAAATTTATGTTAATAAAAGTATTAGAAATCGGATGTGGATGAAGATAACCGATTCATCCGATTTGTTGATTCCACCACCGCATCATGCAATTCGACGAACCGTTGCTCACTCGATCTCAGATCACTTCCCATCGCGATAGAGAGCTGGTCCTTCATACTCGATCGAGCTCGGAGAGAAGAGAGCTGATTTTTTTTCTTCACGGCAAATTATTTTTTTATTCTGCAATTTCTTTTTAATTCAAACCATCATTATTACTTTTTTTAAATACCGAAAATACTGATTTTTAGCATCATTTACAATTGAGTGACACTAAAAATATTTATTTGTGTCATTTATAGATTAATGATACTAAAAACTAATTATTAGTGTCATTTACAAGTAAATGATGTAACTATTTTTGTAACTATTTCAGATGAAAAAAAAGATGTAACTATTTTTGTTCTAATGTTATTTTGATCAAATGATGCTTTCTAATCTAATTAATTTTTAAGTTAACATCATTTGTTAAAATGATACAAAATAAATGACACTAATAAACAGTTTTCTTGTAGTGAGGAGGCGACTGCAAGAGAGGAGGAGGTGGCTGCAAGAGAGGAGGAGGTGGCTGCAAGAGAGGAGGCGGCGGCCGCAAGAAAGGCTGCCGAAGTCTTGCGGCCGCCGAGGTAAGTCCCAAACTGCACGATTTCTGTTTTGCGAGACCTGAAACAAATTGAGTATTAGGAGCATGTATTTGACAAACGAAAATTGTGAAGAAGAGTAACTTAGATTTTAATTACCTTTATAATATAATAGGGTATTGTTGTTGATCTTGCGCCATTAATAGCTGCCTTGATATTGTGTGTTCACAAGAAGCATCGCCATACTTGTTCCAGCCCTAAGTACTATTTCCATAAGCAACATTTTTACATTTCTTCAAAATCTATGAAGTTCATAAATTAAACTAGGAAATTGAAAACCCACTGAGAATCAGATTTTGGTGATTTTATTCATTCATCTTAACGGGGCAGCATCTTATGGTGGGGTAGCAAAGTAATGCCCTGAAAACGTTCGAAAATGTTGTATCTCAAGATGAAGCTCATGAAGCTCATGAGTATTAACATTATTGGGTTTGGGTTATGAATTGTAATCCACAAAATAAATGGACCGGGTTAAACCCAACCCTTATAAAATTAAATCTGTATGGTAGGGTGTCAAATGAATAACCTGACTTGGCTCAATTCAAACTTATTCAGGTTTGATCATGCTATTTATTTTGAATTAATGTTAATTAGTATGCCATATATTCTGGTCCATTTATTTTGAACTTATGTTAATAATTAGTATGACCCGGCCCATTTAGTTTGACCCAGCCCATTTATCAATGAATACGTTGTTTGTTCCATATTTTGCTAAGTTTGTATGACCTATATCATGAACATATAAAAATAATCAGTTTTGTCCATATGATAATTTGTTCATATGATAAATAATTTGTTCATATGAACTAGGCCTGAAAATTCAAGAGAAACTCAAGGTAGACTATGAACAAGTTGTTGAAGATGTCAAAGAACTTACTTCTTCCACATTAGTTACTAATGCAGACGGCTGTAGGCAAAAATATCAAGACAACCAATGGCCAAAGCAAAAAAATAGAAGGACTGTTATTATAGATACATCTTTAAACAACCTTTCCTTCTCGAAGATTGTAACATGGAGAAATTTATTGTTTTACGTATTTATTGTGTGGATACAATAGCACGAAACAATGGTTGTTCACAAACTTACATAGACACCATGTTGCTCTTAACTTAACTTATGTATGTATGTATAGTAAATTTATCTAAATGACTTTAAACGATTCTAACGACGAAAACACAAAGTCAGTAACTAAATTTGTACAAATCATACTCACAATTGATCGACTCATCCCACCATTGGTGAAGCCTATGAGCTTCAATCCTCTTATTCAACCAATTGCGAGGTTTACAAGCTCTTCTCCTGCCATGCGATTCGCTGATATTAACAGTCATATAAGCCGATGAAAGAAGGTGAAGAGGCTCATCTTTTCCAAAGAATATACTCCTTATTGGGTATTTAGAGGCGATCCTTTCGATTTTGCTCAAAAATTTCATCTTAGCCATGAATTTTTTGTTCTTGAAATAACCAATGTATTCTGCGCAGATTAGATCTCTTGGGTTCACATATAAATTAGGTGTCCATGATGCTATACTCGTGGATGGATCATCTTCCTGAAATTATAAAAAAAAAAAAAAAAAAAAAAAAATTATATCAAGATTCTTGTAAGAAATTCAACTTTTAATCTACTATTTCGAACAAAGCCTAGAGTGGCCAATATAGAAACGCAGTAGATATGATCATATGACTCGACCTGTACGACAAGTTTTCAACTAGTACTGAAACAGCATAGATTAAAATAATATTTGAGTACACCAAAATTTTAAATTTCTTGTAATGAAGATTATTTACCTCAAGATCCTTAAAGATCTTGGCTATGCTGGCTTTGATGACACTCGCAGTGAATCCAATACCACCTTTTATCAATCTGCAATTAGATATCTGCTCCATAGGAAAAGTCATAATGGGTGGGTTGAAAATGTAACTCTCTAGGTTGACTCCAGACATTGCCATGGTCTTTCCGGCCAGCAATGCGAGGCCAGCTCCTAGAGAGTGACCAGCGAGCCAAATAGATGTGTCTTTGTGTTTGGCCACCATGTTCATGATTGCATGGATTGCGTGTGAAAACCTTGTGCCGCGATGGAGCCTGCCGAAGGCGATCCGGAGATCCTGTAACGCATCACAGAACATAGTGTCTGGTTTCAAGTCTGTGCCACGGAACGCGATCACGTAACGCGGAGGTGTTCTCAAACTAGGGATGTTTCGGTGATTGTCGTAGTAGTGGCCGGAGTATTCGAAAATGGCACCATATATGGAGTTATCGCATTCGCTGATCAAAGTTTCATGTAAAGTGAAGTTGAGCATTTCCGGCAACAACTGTGAGGGTTCTTCTGATACCCGATTCTTTTCCATTAAGTACACTCTTTCTACCAAACGTGCTGCAACTGAGGTTCGGTAGCGCGAGTTGTTCCTATATCAAAATATAAGGATGAATTGTAAATTATTACAAATCTTGAATTAAACATTCTGAGGATAAAACTGTGGATATAGATGATCTTTTGTTATGATTATCTTACCCGATCACAAGAGATGAGTAAGATGCAAGGGACGAGTAAATAAAATAAAATAAAATAGTACCAATTTTCTGCAGCCATCGCTTCCTCTCGTGTTTTTTTCTTCTTTTAGTCTTATATGTTACACTGTAGTAATCAAACCTAATTTTGTGTTAAAAAAAAGGTAAGATGATATGAGTGAGAGAAGAAGGAGCTTGTATGAAGAAGATAATTAAGAAAGAGAGAGGTCATTTGTTATTAGTTATTACATGTGAGAGAGGAGAAAAGTTATCATGTCTTCTTATTTCTTACGACTGCTTTAATAATGAGCTCGTCTATTTAAAGTAAGAAATGAGGCGTATATTGATCCGTGCACCTTCCGACGAAATTCTTTGTACGTATTAATATTAAGTTCATCCTTTTTTTTTAACAACCCATACATTACTAACGAAGTAGCGAGTTACATAGCAGATGGTATTGCCAAGAAATTACAGAGAGCTTTCTTGGCAATTGAATCAGCAGCCACATTGGCTAAACGTAAATCAATAAAACTTAAGTTCATCCTTATATTAAGAAATCGATCATGAAAATCAAGAAAGATCCTAAATTTTTTAGATAATTACCAATATCTTATATTAGAAAACTTTGCTTTAGTAAATTAGATTACTTTTATCTCTATGTAGATCTATGCATTTGTAACATTACTCTTATAAAACTATAGTAATAATTTTTCTTAAACGTTTATTTGTATTTTTACTCTCATCAATTTATTATGATGTTTTGACATGCAATTAGAATTTTAGTGAATCATTCAAAAAAAATTCTACGATGTTCTTTTATGTCGTCATATTCCTTTCTTTGACCTTTCTTTCTAGATAAATTAACGTCGGCAGCAATTAAAAAAAAAAAAAAAATCTAAACTAACAAACTAATCATTACAAGTTATAAGCTATAGAGTACACAAAGTGTAACATACAATATTCTCCAAATTTACCTTATCGCTTATCTTGGGAATATACAGTAACTTAATTTGAGCCGATATAGAGAGATTGAAATATGTGGATGATTATGAAATTAGAAATAAAGCACAATGAAGTTTTTGACATCTTGAGAAGTGTATTCAACTGGATATCTGAGATGATTTGAAGTGATTATTTTGAAAATATTAAATTTTCTGTTATTCAAACATAATTTTTGAAAGTGGTTTAAAATAGAGTATTGTTGAACTTGTGATTTCATTTTTTTTTTGAATCCAGTGTTAAAATATTTTAAATAGTGGGTTTTAAGTGATTTCAAGTGATTTTAAGGTAGTTTAATGGATTGTTTTAGTTAAAAAAATATAAGAATCCAAATAACCTGATTTTAAATGGGATTCTAGGTTATGTCATTAAAATCATAGCAATTTTTATTACTCCACCCAAAATCATTTAGAAATGAAATCAGCCCAAATTATTTAAAATCATAAGTTCAATACATCCCTACATTATATCTCTGTTTTATCTTGTAGGAATTTTCTCAGTGTTTTCTTATAAGTTTTCTTTTTAAAAAAAAGAACGTGAGTAGAAACTTTATATGAAAATACGTAGAAAATAAGAACTTTGTTAACGAACAATTAACAAGAGTAGAAAATTTGTTAACAACTAATTCTAAAAAAATACAGAAAATTTAGATAGGAACTTTCTTAACTACTTGTAAGAAAATACAGAGAAAGTTCCTACACGATATTTTGAAGAGTTGTCTAATTTCATACGCCAATCACATGTGAACTTGTAGAAGAATATTGAGATATCAATGAGATCGGTCATATAACAATAATATTTAAAATTATGGATTTTAGCTTGGTTGCAATTATTCCTCAATAAATTTATGCATCTTGTACTTTTATTCTTAGTAATAATTATCCGTAAACACCTCTAATCAATTTATCTTTTAATGTGTACTATACAATCTCGTATTGTCTAGACGAGACGACTCAGAACCAGTTTTCTAATTGGTTCAATCGTTATAACCAGTTTTTTCATGAGTAGATTTAATATGTATGTAATGTATTTCTGTTCTTAATTTTTCTTTTATAAAATTATATAGTTAGTTGACATTCTTTTCTATTAAAACGTATAGACGATTCGTGATTGGTCATAACTTTATATATGAAACACAAACTATTTACATCCTTTTGTTATTGGAAAAAGCACCTAGTGTGTATCAATGGATTACGACAAAAGCAGAAAAGGTTACAGACTTATTATCCATAATCTTCTCGCGACCACCATCGAAATTTGATATGTCTCACTATTATAAAAAGTTCTCCTAATAGACTAATAGTAATACACCAATAAAAATACATACAGTATGTTTGAGTTTATTAATGGTTACTAGTATTATTTATTAAGTAGCTTACGTTGGGGATCATGTATAAGTATAACTAACAAGGCTACTCTCTTTTAAAACCAGAATTTGTAATAATTTCAGGTGATGGTGAATGAACTGAACATGGAATAAAAAAGTGATAACTTCTTACCCTTTTTCATTTATTTTACCTTCGGATTTAACTTTTAAGAATATCGAAATAGATTTACTCAAGTATGTATTAAGTTTCTTATATTCCTTTCACATATCGTTCCACAATTGAACCTAGATAATATCTGATATAGTATTATATTGGGACACTCGAACGATATTTACATTACTATACACCACAAGATAAGACGGACACTCGTACGATATTTACATTATATTGGGACACTCGAACGATATTTACATTACTAGATTTTGTAAAGTTTGTGTGACGTATATCATTAGTATTGTCAATTATGATATTATATCTGAAAGTATTGAGTTTTTTCAATCCGACTCTTATTCTTGGCACATGTTAACACTGTCATCAAGACCGACTCTGTTTATCCAAACTATTATATACATCACTACCATTATTTCACTGTCATAACTATTATATAATCAAAGTTTTCTTCTTGCGATGAGCGCTGATAAAAGGCAAATAAACGATCAAGAAATCAAGAGATTGTGAGTAATTGAGATATTAGAGACACACGAAGTAGATTCGATGAGTTTACCTTCTCAAAAGATTGTGCACGTTTTTTGTGCATGTTTTTTCCAGTCAAGATCAAGATTTTCTTCTTCATCCGATGAATGCTGATTCAATAGAAAACAAAGCATGAAATTGGAGAAAACGTAACCTAATATGAGAGTTAAGGAGAATCAACTGAAATCACGCACATAAACTAGGAGAAAACTTAAGCTAATACGAATGAAATCTTCTTCAATTACCTTCGTCAAAGTTTCCTCATTTACTTGACCATCCTCTGTTATTCGACTTTCTTCGTCCAACGATGAAAGGTCATCCAGTGAGGCTAAACAAGTAAGTGTTGTGATTTTTATAAGTGGTTTGAAGTAGAGATTTGAGTCTTATGATTGTTTGATTATTAAATCATTTATATATTATATTAAAGGAGAAATATTGAAGAACATTTTTATTGATTTATCACTCCCACAATTTTTCTCAACTTTTTTTATTTTTAATTTATTTAATTCTGTTCTATTCATTGCCACACATAATTATTTTCATTGTTATCTATTTTAATTATTCTAATTACTTAACCAAACATATTTATATATTTCTAAACTTACCAAAAATAATTATTTCAAAAATCTAATGTTAAATAGTACAATTAAATTCGTTTTTATTTTTTCATTAAAAATCAATAAACATGTAAAATATTAAATTACATTTTACAGTTTACATATCAAATTAAAGACAATATATTACAAATTCATATGATAATGTATATGATTTATTTGTTATCGAACTAAAAAATAAAACTGTTTATTTGAAATTATTTAATAGGTGAAACACATTTTTATTCAAATTTAAATATACATCAACAAATTTTGGATTTTATATATTAATTTTTGCTATGTTGATTTTTTAACTTAGATTATAAACTATTGTTTAGAATTATATCACAAGTGAACTACATTATTTACACAATAATATCAGAATATACACAAGTAAATTTCAGGTTATTCATTAAATAATAAACTATATTTTTTAACTAAAAATATTTTAATTTAATTTTACTTCCTTATCATTTCATCCCGCTTACAACGCGGGTATTATTCTAGTTCTGCTGTATTATTCTTCCTTATCATGGCTATTGGCTAGTATTCACTTACTCGTCCATCACTTTAATTGCTTTTGTGGAGCAAATATAAGATTTAACCACATTCCTGGCTGAAATGAAAAAACATGGTAGCTGTAGATGGTTTGTGTTATTACTGGTTCTCTGTTATGATTTACAAGTGTGAGCTCTTGTTCTTTGTTTTAACTATCAATGTATGCTCATATGCTGCAGAATGTTAAGTTGATTCGGATTAACTACTGGATAGAGAAAAATAGAGTCAATTTAATGTTCTTTTGAAAACACGTAACTGTGTGGTTAATGATTGTCCGTGTTGTTTTAACAGGCTGTCACTGGCTCCTCCATAGCCTTGCTGGTTTCTTTAACGGATATGTGTATCAAGCAGTTCTTGGGAAATAATGAAGCTCGATACCGGAGATACAAGGTTAGCTTACTACTCGAGCTCTTCTTCCCTGGCGCCTCTCTAACCACTTCTAAACAAAACCACGACCCTCTAATGTGGATTCTCCTCTATTTTTTTATGCAAATTGTGCTGTCTGTAAAGCTGATGATAGTGGGGCAATGTGCTTGAGTTCATCTACTTCTTGCAAGGACCTATTTGGAACTCATTCTATCGGGATGCATGGGAAGATACGATCATGAAAATCAGTAAGCAATCTTTTTCTTTTCATATTTAATTAACTATCATTCCCCGCTCTAAATTTTTTTGTGGGCGTGTATTGGTTATTGTTAAGTTGAATCCATTTCTTCTCTTGGACTTTGAACCTTATGATAGAATGTCTCAGTATGGACGTCTGGATTGAATCTTCTGAGTCGAATTTATCATTTTTGTTGCAGTGGTATTTGCTGCTGTCTCTTTGAATGTATTTTCTAAACTTGCGTCCGTTTGCTATGTCTTAGGCCATTCCACATGCCATTTCAATGGTTAAGGGGTGCTGAAGCGAAAAGCCGTCGAGATGCTGTTGAATATATTCTGAAGGTATACACATCTTTCAGCCTTAATATAAAAACTGTGCTAGTCTTTATTGCGCTGCTGTGATCATAAATAGTTTCATCTTTGAAAGATGAGTTGAGGTTTCTCTACGTTTCTTTTCCATGTTATCATTATTGCTGATCTCGCCATTTTTTCTTCCTTAATGCGTTTATCATGGCAGCAGCCGGAGTACTAATAAATAGCAATTGATAACTTACTGTATCATGTCTCATTGTAGTCTCCACTTTATTTAATATCTCTGCAACTATTTTGAGTTTTTGCAAACTACTCTCTTATTCTTGAGACATGTTACATTGTCAAGACCGACTTTGTGTATCCAAACTATTATTTACATCAACCAAGCCTTGAGTTTGAACTTTGAACAGTGAAGTAGCAAACTGTTACAGCAACTAATTAAGACGACTGTAGGCAAAAATACCGAGACAGCCAATGGCCAAAGCAAGAAGAACAGGTACAGTTGTGGATTCGAGGCTTTGCGTTGTGCTGTTTGTTCTGTTGCTGTCTAGTCTCTCTATCCGAGACCTTTCTCCAACATATTCCCGAAGAAGATTGCTCAGTGTGTCCATTTGATGCATTATCTGGCGTTGCCCACGAGCCACCAGTAAAACCTGTCCAGTTGATAAAAAGCAAATCACTAAGAGAAATGAAAGATTCTCTTATATTCATTGATAGACCCATCCACTGTCTCTACTAAGTCCAGAGCTCTCTCTCTGCTAAGGAGCATAAATGTGATATCTGATTTTGGAGAGTTGTAAACATACCTCTTCCATCAGAGGAGATTCCCTTACGAGCTGAGAAGCGGATGCGGAAAACGACAAGAGGGAGCCGTTACCATTTTCGGTTGGCAAAGCCAAGTTATGTTGACTGCCTGACGCAGCTATCCTGTTGGGAACCTTGGAATTCAACTCTTCAATGCGGGATGTGAATTCATCCATCCTCTCGTTCAGTGTTGATATTTGGTCTGACAGCTGAGTGATAACACCCTGTACAAGAACACCATCATATGTTCAGTGAACACCATAATTGTGAGCCAAAGTCATGACATTGCAACAAGAGAACAGAGAGACCACTTTACTTGATTTGGAAGAGTGGCAGGTGAAGCAGGGGCTCTGGCATCTAACATTCTGTTGTTAACAGCAAGTCTTGTCAAGTTAGGCAAGACTTTGTCTCTTTGGCTTGTGTACGACTTTGATACACCGCTGTTAAAACGTGCATCATCACACAGGTCAGATGATTCCCTGACGTAACATATGTTGTCTTTATTTTTAGTTTCTGTCTAATGTCTCAAACTTTAACCTATCACAAGGAGAAGGACTAGAGGATACCCGTGAAGATATTTCATTCTACTATCAGCAGACGCTCTTGAGAGGGCTTCTTTAGGGCTAGAAACTGTATCGTCATCTAAGCTAAGTTTGTTCTTCAAGTCATCTGGCAAAGCCTGAAACATAACCAAGGAGAGCCTGAACATATCAAATCATGGTCATGTCACGTCATAATCAACCGGATCTGTGTGTGTGATAAAACACAGCTCTTACCATAACATCATTCACAAGCCTCTCCAGCTGTATCTGTTCAATATATGTATGTGGAACATATGAACCTTCCAATCCAAGTTGGTCTGCCACATTTTTTACAAAGGAACGGTCTCTACCTTGTACCTTCATACAGAGTTGGAAAATAAAAGTTGATTATTAGTTTCAAAATTCAACCCCAAAGACAGTGTAAGCTTTAGAGAGAGCAACTGAGCAAGAGAAGCAGATACTACCTGAACATATGTCCGGTTCAGTTGTTCCAACCAATCAGTCTTCACTATAACCTTGTCATCATCAAAGATATGACTTTTTCTTTTCAAGATTGACGCAATGGTATAACCCAACGCCATTAATCCTCCAAGAAGGCGAACACTGACTTCAAAAGTTATTCTCGGTGATATAATGAATGGACGATCTGTAACCCACTCCTGAAAGCAAGAGACAGAACGGTAATCACCCATTCATTAAAATGTATCTGCCACTCAGTTCTTAATCTGATATGGTGTTTATACATAAGGAAAATAGTCTGAACAGTGGCCAAACCTCAAACATGAGATTGTATTTTCCATCTCGGTTCCTCATTCTGAGGTACGATTGGCATGCTTCAGGATCCTCGCCTGGTGGAAGTAGATAGATGTCATAAGTTTCCTCTGTACGTTCCTTGAAATCTTCAGACAGAGCTGCCTTCATTTGTTCTGGTGTTACAGCCTTTGTTGACTACAATAAGATAACAGAGCTCACTCAAACCGGGAAAAATAATTGCTGCTATAACACATTTGAACAATAAGAAATGATGTAACCTTTAAAATGTATGTCGGGTTCTGAAAGCCACTGAAGGGGTTAAACTTGTTTTGGATCTTAATATGAGCGGTCTTCAGATCAGGTTCAATAAACGCTTTGTACATAGGATAAACCTGGTTGGAGAAAAACACATAAACCAAAACTTTACTCAAAAACAAACAGTAGGAGTCATCATTCAATGCTTTATCCATATTTGAAGTAAACTCCAGACAGCAGAGATGAGAGCAAGGAGACAAAGATTGAAAAATAGCAAAAGATTAGCGTGAAAACCGTCTCAGATATTTGATGAATGATTTCTTCAGGTTCCTGGCCAGCACGCTGAATATCCCTCAAAACACGCTTGACAAGATCAAAATGCACTCCACCAGTGACAGAGACACGAAGATCGAGCAAAGGCCGTAGCTTCTCACTCAAAGCGTATATGCCTTCAAGAATAACAATGCGAGAGCTAGGCACCTCAAGCGTTCTATACAAAGCACAAAAGAAACCAATATATAGCTCTTATCAACTGAACATTTCATAGATCTTATAATCACTTTGTGAATCAGCCATCAACAAATCAAATGGTTCCCAGGAATCCAAGTATAATACCGTCTGTCCACAAATTTTCAACCGTAGCATATACATCAACAGGGAAAGTAATTACCTGTAACCAATTCGCGAACTGGACTTGAAGTCATATATTGGAACCTGAACAGATTTTCCATCCTTAAGGCCATGTATATTGTCAAGAAGTGTATCATAGTCTGTCAACCGTGGATCTGCAACCAATATTTCATTATATCAGATTATATACATATGAAAGAAATGATTGAATCAAGGCAATAACAAGAAGGGTGTAACATAGAGGTGCATACCATCAAAGTTTCCATCGATCACACGAGTACCATCATTGTAGTTGTCCATGTTTATGATAGCAATACTAGGCATAAAGTTCATAATTTTCTCCGTGAAGATTGTCTTTCCAGCTCCAGAAGGACCAGCTAATCCAACCAAAATGAGCCCTTCGTTCTTCTGAGCCAGCAACTGGCAAGCACGAATAACAGCGTAGAAACCCTTTTCGAAAGACAACGGATCCTCAATTGGCACTATCTCATATCTTCCAGAGTCCTTTCTTTTAACAAGCTGAACCTGATCCCGCAACAGACCATGCCTCCGGCGAGGTGACAGAGCAACCGAACTATCGAGCACCATTGCAAGTAGCAACGAAGAAGAGAATCTGGATAAGTACAAATTACAATCAAAGACAAGAATTTTCCGGTTTTCAATACGGTACGAGTAAGCTAAAGATCATTTTCATCAACAGGTTCATCATATTCGTTGCAGATGCATACAATACAAGTCTAATCGGATCAAAAGATGAGCAGAAATTTCAATTCAATGTACCGAAATCGATTATGATTCATCAGACGCAGTGGAGAAGATTGACATGCGTATTAAAAAAAACACTAAAAATGGTAGATTTGAGCTTCGAAATTCGAATTTACTGCAACTCGAGCTACGAGAACACTTTGCCCATGCGATCAAGACGAGTAAATCAAACAAAGACTCAACGGATAACATTCCGAATCTGATCGTGAAACAGAAGAATCAAGGAGCAATAGGGACGACAGAGCGAGAATCTCTAACCAACGTTTCAGACTACACCTTACAGGAAGAAGAGTCAAATCGGAGAAAAAACTCGAATCTCCGGAACCTGGAAGCAATCGGAAGTATACAGTTGGAGATATTTTCGTAACAGTCAATGAGAGTAAGAAAGATGATGGATAGAGGAAGACGGAAGTTAGAGTGAGAGATCAAACAGTAAACCACTGGTTATTAAGAAGTTGAATTTACCTGGTTTACCAAACATCGGACCAAGCCGAGCATTACTTGTCAAAATTTTGGTTTATAGCTCTGATTCAAATGAACCGAGCTAAACCGAAAATGGATTAGCGAACCATTGCGAGTTGTTTAGTCCACGTAACGACTTTGACCGTCACACGTCACGCACGGTGAAGCAGCGACGACGTGGAAGAAAGTTCACCTTCTCAATCCTCTTTCTGTCTTTACCATTGTTCCTTTTCTTCCACTGGAAATTTCGCAGGAGATAGAGAGAAATAATGGCGAAGCTACTGCTTCTTCACGCGCCTCATGTAGTACCTAGATTCAGCAGCAGTAGATCACTGATCTCCGCGTCGGCTTTATATAGAAGACCTCTCCTCGTGAATCCCCAATTATCCTATACCGGCCCTCGTCTTCGTTCTAGATTCTCGGCTCGTGCCTTCGACGATTCACCTGCTTCCTCGGCGGAAATGGAGAAAGAGAAGCAGGAACAGCGGCGGGACGGAGTTTCTCGGGAAAGAGACGAAGACTATCCCACCGGAGAAATGGATTATGAGAATAGGAACGCCTGGGAGAGTTTCGTTGTGAAGTTTCGGATGCTATTTGCTTTTCCATGGCAGCGTGTTCGCAAGGGAAGCGTACTGACCTTGACATTGCGCGGCCAGGTTTCGTCTCCTTCTCAATCGTGATTCTAATTGATTGTTCTAGAGAAATTAGTTAGACATGGAATTCGGAAAACAACAATGTATGAAATTCTTTTGAAATTTGTTTTGTCTATGTTCAGATCTCTGATCAGCTAAAGAGCCGTTTCTCTTCAGGGCTTTCCCTTCCTCAACTCTCTGAAAATTTCGTGAAAGCTGCATATGATCCTCGTATTGCTGGAGTCTACCTTCACATTGAGCCTTTGAGTTGTGGGTGGGGAAAGGTTGAAGAAATTCGAAGGCATATACTGGATTTTAAGAAATCAGGTAGCTCCTGAAATCTACATTCTTCATTAACTATCAGTGAGCTAATCAAACACATGTTTATCAGGTAAATTCATTGTTGGGTACATCAACATATGTGGACTAAAGGAGTATTATCTTGGATGTGCATGCAGCGAGCTCTATGCTCCGCCTAGTGCCTATTCCTTTCTGTATGGTTTAACTGTTCAAGCATCTTTTCTTGGAGGTAAGGGACTGTTTCTTCTTTGGCTCATTTTTCTCATTCTCTTTGGTGAAGGTCCTAAAGCTGGATATGATGTAAACGTAGGTGTCTTCGAGAAAGTAGGGATTGAACCTCAAGTTCAAAGAATTGGAAAATACAAAAGTGCAGGAGACCAGCTTGCTCGCAAAAACATATCCGAGGAGAATTATGAGATGCTGAGCGTGCTGCTTGATAACATTTACGCAAATTGGCTGGATGGTGTTTCTGTTTCAACAGGTGCGAGACTTGTTCCAAAATATTTGTTATGGTTTTAACGGTTTAGTTCTCTCCTGAGTGGCTTCTGCTTAGAGCTATGCAGGGAAAAAGCGAGAAGATGTTGAAAGTTTCATCAATCAGGGAGTTTACGAAATTGAAAAGCTTAAGGAAGAGGGTCTGATTAAGGATATTCGGTATGATGATGAGGTAATACCATTTCTACTCTCTTATTGTAGATGTGATTCAATACCTTCTACGTAATCCCAAAAGCAATGATCCTTGTTATTTCGCCCTTTATCATGAACTATTCATTTTGGAGTTTTTGGTATTTGTGATGGATTATTTACAGTAGCTATAAAAGATCCCTTATATACTATAGGACAGAGAGGCTACGAGCTCCATACTGTTTCTGATCTTTATCATTCATTTTGAATGCTCCTACAGGTTATATCGATGCTGAAAGAGAGACTTGGAGTTGAAAAGGACAAAAAGCTTCCTACTGTTGATTACAAGTAACTAACTCTTACTATATGGAATTGTCAAAATGAGGCTTGCTGAATCTAGAGCTATTATCTGTGCATGTACAATTGGCTCAAGCCTTGTGCTATTGGGTAATGTATACATAATGGGTCCTAGTCCCTAGTTGGTTCCTGCATTACTGGGTAATCATGATCTAGTTATGGAGAAATGAATATCCTATGGCAGTACCCATTAGAGATCGTAATTCAACAGTGTAGATAGATCATATAAAAATGTCTTATTTTTTGCTATATGGTTCCCATTATGCTTCTCATGCAGGTATTCTCAATTGAAATACTTTTATGCAGGAAATACTCAGGTGTTAAGAAATGGACTCTTGGTCTTACCGGTGGTCGGGACCAAATAGCTATTATTAGAGCAGGAGGAAGCATTTCTCGGGTTAAGGGTCCGCTAAGCACTCCTGGTTCATCTATTATAGCAGAACAACTAATTGAGAAGATCCGTAGTGTAAGAGGTAGGTCCATTTTTCTGATGTTCTCATCTACAAGTATGTGCTCTTCAACAGCAGCTCATAACTTCTGTTTCTCCCCTTCTTTTCTTTTGAAGAGTCCAAAAAGTATAAGGCGGCCATCATCCGAATTGACAGTCCAGGAGGTGATGCTCTCGCTTCTGATTTGTAAGTAGTGATATCAAGTGTCCAGTAACTTACAAATATGATATCCATCAAACTTTGGAAAATCTTCTAGGCTTTTTAATCATGATACACTACGTATTGGTTGCACAGAATGTGGAGGGAGATCAAACTACTGGCTGAAACAAAACCCGTCATCGCATCAATGTCGGATGTGGCAGCAAGCGGAGGCTACTACATGGCAATGGCTGCAAACACCATTGTTGCTGAAAGTTTGACATTAACTGGCTCAATTGGAGTTGTCACAGGTAATCTTACTTTGTCCACCTGCCCAAAGAGAGAAAGTCGTTTGCTATGCATCTTTGTACAAATACCCCTTTCACCCTCCTCACGCTTGATTGCTTTTTGTTTGTTCTTGTTGTTGCAGCAAGATTTACCTTGGCCAAACTATATGAAAAGATTGGGTTCAACAAGGAAACTATATCTAGAGGAAAATACGCTGAGCTTCTCGGAGCTGAGGAAAGATCTTTTAAGTGAGTGACCTCATCACTCTGTTTATCACAACGATACACCTTGTTATATGCTCTGACCTCAATTATGTTAACAGGCCAGAGGAAGCAGAACTGTTTGAAAAGTCTGCACAGCATGCGTATCAGTCTTTCCGAGATAAAGCAGCCTTATCAAGATCAATGCCTGTAAGATTTCTCTCCTGTATGCTTTATTCCTTTTCAAGAGTAAAGTTATATCTTCCACCATGTTGTGTTCTTAGATCGACAAGATGGAAGAAGTAGCACAAGGCAGAGTCTGGACCGGTAAGGATGCTCATTCTCGTGGTCTAGTCGATGCTCTTGGCGGGCTTTCCCGAGCTATAGCCATCGCTAAGCAGAAAGCTAACATTCCTCTTCACAACAAGGTTCGTCTCATCTTTTGTAACCAATCCTTACCTCTCAAGACAGCACAGAGAAGATGATGACATATTTGTCTACAGGTAACACTTGTCGAGATCTCGAGACCGTCTACGTCACTACCAGATATCTTAAGCGGTATAGGAAGCTCGGTGATTGGAGTGGACAGAACATTGAAAAGACTTCTCGATGAATTAACAGTCACCGAAGGAGTTCAAGCTCGAATGGACGGGATCATGTTTCAGCAGCTTGGCCGTGATTCTTTAGCAAATCCCATCATTGATTTGCTTAAAGATTATCTCAGCTCTCTCCGATGAATTCCCACACTATTTACCGATTCTCATTTGAATCCGTGTAAGTAAAGAAACATCCTTTAATTTAAAGCCATACTTAATAAGACTTTCATATATAGATGAAATGACAATGTGTTTTTGGACATCCACAATTTGATGACAAAAACATGACAATGTGTGATGAAAACTTAAAGCAAAAACTCGATTATATTATAAAGTTGATGAAATGAGAAATCCTAATAACATAAAGAAGGACCAATATATGATCATGAAAGCGTTGAACAACACACTTGATTACATAATCTTGAGATTCTCCACATAGTCCAGGAAGGTGCCAACTTGAGTATACTCAATCTTTTCAAGCCCCTGAATATCGACTCTTTGTAAAGGTTTTCCTCTCGAGATTGTAAAAGTGGACACGGAAAAGCTCTGGTTCGTTGATGTGCGCCGAAAACACGATTTCACCTGTACCAGTCATTCCAACAAACCATTCTTTGCTGTGTGAACAAGAGTTACAATTCCATTTTCTGCTTCCGCTTATTGGAGGCAATGCGTAGGTCTGCTTGGACCACTGATGACTTGCGGCATCTTCTAGAACCCACAACACGAGCTCTCTGTCCCAATATGTTTTTTGACGTACACCTAATTTACCTTTGTAGTTGAACAAAGTGAAACGCCAGTCTTCATAAGAAGTATCTGTTCCTATCATGTCTTTGCTCATGTTGATAAGTCCCAACTTCTCAGACCTAACGTCGAAGCAAACTATCACACAGTATTCTCCCACCTCAGCTCCGAAATACAAAACACCGTTTATGCATATTTCACGATGTATTCTAAAAGTCACTTTAAAGTGGAATTTGCATTCGACCCTTCTCCACAAACGTTTTCCAGGCTCCATTGTCAAAACCTGATGAGTGTTGGCTCTTTTGCAACGTGACGAGGCCATAGACAACACTTTGAATTGTTTGCTGATGGGATCATAGCCCAAAAAGATTGCTCTAGTCTTCTCTTTATAAGCTTGTTTACTCTTTGCTTTCACTCGGGATAAGGTCAGTTTGGGTAAGGCTAGGAACTCTCCTGTGATAGGGTTACAAACCACATGCATCTTTGTTTTATAAGGGCTATGAAGAAAGGCCAATCCACAGGCTGTAGAACAGTCACCAGACCGAAAATATTCGGGGAATGACTTATGGTAACGTGTGGCTACAAGGGTACAGTCCTCGTTTAGATTTTGAGGCTGTGGTGAAGAGTAGAATAAGAACTTGTCATCAATGGTTGCTAAGGTGAAGAAGAGCCTTGGACGAGTGGAAGACTTGGTCAGAAACAGCTCAGTGAAATCAGGACGACGGAGTATGTTTCTCCAGAGTTTCGATACGCAGCTAAACCTAGCTATAGACTTTCCCTCGAGTCTAGAGAATATATTCATAAGTATAATAACTGGGATTGGCTCTGGGTATTTTCTTACCCACTTGGGACGAGTCGAGGTGATTGATAGATGCTCAAACTTTTCCATGGCTGATTGTACAAACACCTAGAATCAGTTGACGAGCTTAAGAGTTAAGACGAACAACAAAAACCCTAGAATTGGGCTTTGTTCCTGATGTAGTAACCCTAGAACTTGAGTTCGTTGAGAACCTGCCGAAAACAAGAGAGAAGAGAAAGCAATAGCGTCTTACAAAGCCAAGAGACTCATTTATAACTAGAGCTAAGCACCGAAACCCTAGTTCCATAGAAAAAAGGAAAAAACATCAATATGAAGAGAACCTTTCTCTATAATATGTTAAATTTATCTTTAATTGAATTTCTTTGGAAAGTTATTTGAAACATACAAATGATAAGGGATAAAGTTACTGGTAACACTAAAGAAGTTTTCATTCAAGGTAGTTACGTACATAGATGAAATGAAACGGATGATAATATTACAAACCAGTTTTCATTCAACTCTAATTAATTTCAAGAAGTGAATGTGAAAGAAGTTTCAAGTCTCACCAATCTACAGTTTCAGATCTCTAACAGATGTATATATACGTTCAAATGCACCTTCTCTTAGAACACCAAAGCAAAGCGAGAATCAAGAAGCAACAATAATGAAGACCTCCATGAGCATCATCATCTTCTTCGTAGCCGTTCTTTCCATTTCTACTCTCTCTTTAGCCAAGAAGAGCCCTGTGGAAGCGTGCATAAGAAGAAACATTGCTGAATCGCTTTCCCCTTCTCCTTCAACCAATCCCATAACATCTGATTCCGAGTTGTCAGACGACGTATGCAGAGACGAGGGACGAATCATCACGTACTTCTTGAAACTGAACGGTACGTTCCCAACTTACTACGTCAAGGCATTGTGCAAAGTTTTTGGAGACGATGAAGAGAGTGTGAAGCAATACGTTACCGATAAATGGTTGAATCATTCGGAGAAGGTCCTCGATAGCTTAACTTGCATTACAAGAAACATCTTGATAATCAAGAGGAGCCCTGTGGAAGCTTGCATAAGAAGCAACGTCGCTCGAGCGCTCTCTCCTTCTCCTTCAAGCAAACCCATCACATCTGTTTTTTTCGACGTAGCAGACGAAGTGTGCAGAGACGAGACACGCATCGTCATGTACTTCTTGAAACTGAACGGAAAGTTCCCAACTTACTACGTTAGGGCATTGTGCCATGTTTTTGGAAAGGACGAGAAGAAAGTGAAGGAATATGTTACTAACAAATGGTTGAATCATTCGAAGAAGGTCCTCGATAGCTTAACTTGCGCTTCTCTATAAAAACAAATCTGTAATTTTTTGAGGTTGTAAAAGAGGAATCAAAAACTTTATATTAAATATTGCAGTTTCTTCATTACATATGTTGCCAACAAAATTGGTCGTGCGTGTTCCCAAGTAAACAATGCTTTTATATTCATTCACTTCACGTCTTCACTGACTAATGCTTTTATATCGTCTAATCTTAACAAGCCTTGTTCTTCAAGGCATTCAGCATTCAACACGATTGGAGTCGTTTAGAGAAAGTCCCAAAGGTGGTGGAATATGCAACACACATTACAGATCCTGTTTGTTTCTTTGTTGTACAAACTTATTGGTCTTCAATTTTTTTGTTGAGGAGTTTGCAGTTGGTTTTTTTAGGGCTCGTGATACTGTCCGTTATTTCGTGTGGATCTACCAAAACTTATATATTTATAGTAACGCCATGTTTTCATTCATGATCATGTTAACGATATTAATCATATTAGCTTACTTGGAGTTGAAGTAAAAAAACAAACACCGCCGTTTGATGGTGTAATAAGAACAGGAAGAAAAAAGCCAACTTGACAAAATCTTTTAAGCCCTAGCTAGGTCGCCTTCCTCCTGTCTCTCATATTTTTGATTCTTTCCTTAAAAAAACAAAAAAAAAAAAGTAAAATTTATCAAAGTTTCCTACTAGGGAGTTAAGAAGATATATAAGTTTGTGGGCGCTTGTGAATTAGGCATTGTGAATTAGCTATGGATCTGTCTTTTCAAGGGAAGAAGAGGTGTTCAAAGGCGATGATAAGAAGAGGAAAAAGAGACGATTGGGTCGCGCCGGAGATTCCTTGGGAGATCGAGATCGAGATATTGATTAGATTGCCTGTTAAATCGCTGATGAGGTTCAAGTGCGTCTCGAAGCTCTGGTTTGATCTTATCCTCTCTCAATATTTTACCAACCGTTATCATCTTCCGGTTGCATGCACACCTCGTCTACACATGAGTTTGGTGTACCACGTCCCCTGTGATGCACTGGAGGTATGCCACAACCCCTACGAGTCTGTACTGCTATCATTATCATTATCATCATCATCGTCTAGTGATAACGCTAAGTCTTTCTACTCTGATTTGATCATGCCAGGGATGGGAGGAAACGACCTGGTGGTTCTTCGCGGCTTGATTTTATACGTTGTTTGCAGAAAGGCGTGTATCTATAATCCCGTCACCAGACAAAGCATTACTTTGCCAGCCGTCAAATCCAAAACCTTTAATCAAGATGAAGTTCGTAAGCATGTCTTCTACGATTTCGGACACGATCCTGTTCTTGATCAATACAAAGTAGTCTGCACTGTTGCGTTATGCTCGAAAATTTTTGTCAAGATAACCTCGGAGCATTGGGTCTTGGTACTCGGATCCGGATGTTCCTGGAAAACAATTGAGTTTGATCAACCTCACATGCCTACAAGAGCAGGACTGTGCATCGATGGAGTTTTATACTATTTGGCTTCCACTTGTAACTCTCGCAGTGTCCTTGTCAGGTTTGATGTTGGATCTGAAGAGTGCATTACGTTCCAAGTGCCTCACTCGCTGGCTTCAATATATTCGCGTACGAGTTTTATAGAGTATGGTGGAAAACCAGCTGTTTTTGATAATACTCATCTTGTACCAGCGGGTTTGGTGGTCATATGGGTCTTGGAAGATGGTGGAAGATGGTCGACTAAATCCTTGTTTTTCCAGTCTTGTCAGATGCATTTAGTTGATAACAACATGCCATTGTATGCACGCGGTACTACTCACAACGGCGAGGTTATCTTGGGACCGGCGCGCTTGGTTTCCCCTTATCACATTCTCTACTACGATGTGCAAAAGAATGATTTAAGAAAGGTTGGAATCCAAGGAATACCGGACCACTGGTTTGTTCGTAAGCCAGACGCCTTCAACTTTTATCTCAGTATTATGGATAAGAGTGAAAGCATCATGCACTTGGAATCTTAGAATGCCATTACTATCACTTGTTTTTTTTTTTTTTCTCCCTTTTAAGATTATCATTATCACTTCTCTTCCATGCAGTCATCTACCTGCCCAAACGAAGAACAACAAGAGAAGAGGATGAAAGATCAAAGGAATTGAAACCAGAGGTACTTAGTTAGTCTTCTTTCTAGTCCCTGCATCATTCTGAATGAAAAGTCCCTCACTTTTCTGCATATCATGACAGGACTCTGATTAATCCTTCTATGTAAGCATATTTTTTCATCCCACTCTGGTAAGCAAAACGATTTCTTTATTTAGTACCTGCTAATCAGTGTTTTCATGTTATTGGAATTGTAAAGATGTCGATGAAACTGAAAAAAGTCAGAACTGAACTTATGATAAAAGTCATCATCTAATCAAACTTCTAATAACGTTTTGTTTAATGTTGTGCAAAACCATACAAAATTTACGGTTTAACATATCCGTAAAAAACAATTACGATAAAATCCAAAACTAAATACATATCCGTAAGTAATAGAATAAGAACATATCCGAGAGTAGACAATATGTACATAAAATTCAATTTAATTTTGCCTTTAGTTTATGCTGTCTTGGACGCCACGTTTTGACCAGAAAGTACCATATTGAGAAGCTGAAACTAACATTAAACAGGTGGCAGACGAAGCATGCAGAGACGAGACACGCATCGTCATGTATTTCTTGAAACTGAACGGAAAGTCAAAATAAACTATTTCCCAAATTACGGTACTACACATAGTCACATACTACAATTTGTCACCAACCATTTTTAAACAGTAATCATCTTTATTAAATTAAAAAGGAGTCACCCTTAACCGGATATATATCTATATATGATCAACGCTTTATTCACAGTTTGAAACAATCACTTTTATATCTAAAATTCAAACTAATGTCGTAATCATTTCAAAGTTTAAGAATTTCGGGGAAAGATTAAAAAAGTGTTCCGATGTAAAAACTAAAAACTGCCTTTAAATTCTTTAACCTCGCTGACTAAAGTATTTCAAAAACTTGTCCTAACAGAATTACCTTTTTTTGGTTTTAAACAAAATTACCTTTTTTGTTTAATCATTCGTGAAAGTCCAGAATCATTCGGGAAAGTTCACCAGAATTATCTTTTTTTTTCATGTGTCAAATTATTCTTTTTATTAACAAATTAGAAAATCTGAATGATATCATAAATAAGAAAATTTCCGTAACATTATGCTTCCTTTAAATTACAGGACATGGGTCCGATAATGATCTATTTAAGACTGATAGAGTTTCTGTCTGGATTCTTGTCTGAGTTAAGAAGGAACAAAAAAAACCTAGCGTGAAATTAAGCGAGAAGGGAAATTTGCTCCCTCGATCAATGAAGACAATCAATAAATCAATGAGAGGAAGATGTGCGATCCGGAGATGAAGGTGTGTGGGTTGTTGTCGTTGCCGGATGATGTGGCTTGGAACTGCCTGGCTCGGGTGTCGAGAAGGGACCTGGCGGCCTTAGCCGTGGCCTCGAAGGCACAGAGGTCTCTCGTACAGTCCTCTGAGCTCTGGTACTTGAGGAGTGAGATGGGGATGATCAAGCCATCTTTCTACGTATGCTTGCACATCTTTCCAGAACCAAAACCACGGTGGTTCATCCAGCACCCGGTGCACCGCCGGCTGAAACCGATCCATCTCGACGGAAACGTGTCTCCGGATTCATCAGCCTCTTACGTGCCGGGGGTTTGGGGGATCTATATCATCGGGGGACTCGTAAACGGCAAACCCACTCGGGACGTGGTGTCTCATTGGGAACGCGATATTCTGTCGCGGTGAACGCGGGAAAATACTGTGGTCTTTGGCAGAGACGTTGGACTGGCACGAAGTCAAGGGTTTGGAATTGGAAGAGCTGCAAGAGTGTCTGCTCGAGTTGGGATATGATATCATCAAACTCTGCACAAACTCTAAGGGTCACCTTGTCATCTACTGGAACGCCCGCCCTCTTGGTCCTGAGAGTTTAGATCTCGGGTCTGCCGAGATTTCCACAACGTACCGGAACGGAAAGGTCTGGGGGGAGATTCTGTGGTATGGTTCTGTCTTCAAACTCGATCCTCCAGCAGACTCACATAGCATTAAGGTCTTATTTGCTGATTATGTCCTTGCCTGAAAATTATATATCACATTGCGGATCTAATTTGCTTTGTAAATACACTCCTACTTTGGTTCCTTAATTCCAGTTTCAATCTTCAAGATCCTAAGAGGTGTGGTATTAGGTATGTGAGCACCGAAAATGAATGTGAGGTTGATAGTTATCATAGGAAGAAAAAAGTAAATTGTAACCAAGAGCAAACTTTGGTATCTTCACACAAAAATAATCAAAAGCCAAGAGTTAAAAGTAAGAACGTCGATATCTATATGACCAAACCATGTTTTAAACAGTAATCATTTTTATTAAATTAAATAGAAGCAACATTAACCGGATATACGGTTTATTCTGTAACAATCACTTTATAATTATATCTAAAATCCAAACTAATGGTATAGTCACTTCAAAGCTTAAGAATTCCGACGAAAGTTCCAAAAAGTGTTCCGATGTAAAGACTGCCTTTGAATTCATTAACCTCGCTGACCAAAGTATTCCCAAACTTGTCAGTCACCAAAATTCTCTTAAGCACCTTACCATCAGAACTAACTTTAACCGCGGAAGGGTATGTTGGTCCGGTGGCTGAATTCACAACCGAAGCAACCCAAAAGTTTCCAGAAGAACCGATCCTCTTGATGTTGTCAGGGTTCGAGATCGAGTTGGTGAAGTCTTCAGAAGAGCCAGCTTTAGGTCCCTTGATCCAATACCTCTTGATGTTACTCTTTGTGAACTGACTAACCAACACGAACGAACCGTCTGAGCTCACGGCACACCCGGCTGAGCCACTTAGACCTTCCATCAATACAGTCACCACCTTTTTTGATGGATCGTATTTGAAGAGTTTTCCACTAGCGTCGTTTGATGCAACTGCTTTCAACACATCCCTGTTTGCATATTTAACCAATACAGTAAAACATATTCAGTAACCTAACCATTTTAATTTAAATGAACTATACAAACACTAAAAATGATTAGAATAAAAATTAGCATTTGTGTCATATAATTTTTAATTAAGTTTTGATATATTTCTAGAGTTGTAGAGATAAAGTATAGCAACAAAAATACGTAGATTTGATTAAAAAGTTTTTTTTTTAATAAGGAAAACTATTTCTTTGACGATGATTTTTGTATAAAACTTTTATATTCATAAAGTATGTGACTATATGATAAGAGAAATATTTTTTTACCCAGGGCTAAATTTGGAACTGAAAGAAGTGAAATAGACGACGCCAGTGGTGGGATCAACGTCGAGACCATCGAGAAACAAGAATGGCTTGCCGTTAACGCTATCGGCGATCTTCTTGGCTAAACCCCCACCGCGAGGGATGACGTGGAGACCCAACGGAGCATCGGCCACGTAGAGCTCTCCTGTTTTGTCATTGAAGGCTATTCCTGCCGGCCGGCCACATTTTCCGATGTGAGTGGTTCCAAGAACTCCGTCGCACCATTTCGACTTCCTAAAATAAATTTTAAACAAAACACAATATCAAAAGTCAAATATCTTGTTCTCCGACCCAAAAAACACGGAACTTAATGAGAAATAAAAAGGTTGGATATGGTTTTGACTTTTGACCAAAGATAAAAACTTAACCCTAGACATAGTTGACTGCAATACGTGTGTTAGTTTGACTTTTTTTAACGTGTTAGGCGTGTTTTGCGTTTTTGGGAAACCGTAACGTGTGCCAATAAATGAGAGATCGATTACTCACAGTCACAGCCAGCCTATCAATAGGTTGGTCAATAATATAGATGAAACTTTTATGTTATTTATTAATTACATTTTTTCCCCCACTAGAGCCATAAGTATATATATTTATGGCTAGTGGAAATATTTGTGTAATCACAAAAGTCTTGATCCATATATCCGTACGTAAACGAGAGTAGTAATTTGGAACAAGAAATTACCAATAACTATGTGATCTGGTATTGCAGAAATAAATAACCATAGAAATTACTAATTATGAACTTGTTTGTAACATCAGTTCTCTGATTAACTAACTATATGCTTCATAAAACCAAAAAAAAAACTATATGCTTCGTATGCAGATTTGAAGGAAACTGGACAATAAAGGGCCTTTTAGTTGATGAATCATCGATGTATATTTATAATTTGAACAAAAAAATGTAAAGTATATAGTGTCTGATATGATATCAGTTTTAGTCCTCCTTCGTTTTTGTGTATGGGAGACGAAAAGATATTGGAGAGCAAGAAACACTTACGAGGATACCGTGATATAGCCATAGTCGGCGAAACCCTTCCCCGGTAAATATTTGAGAATCTTACCGCCGGAGACTCCGGTGTAAAAACCATTTCCGGTGGAGTCAAAGGCGAAAGCTTCAGGGCCTGTCCTCTGTCCCGGCACCGTGAGGTTCTGGAAAGATGATGCATCGTCTGAGAAAACAGCCGAAGAAAAAGAGAGAAGGAGAATAAGAGAAATCATGGAGACAACCGACTTCATATTAATGTTTCTTGGTTGTGTTTTTGTTATCAGATAAGGCTTGTCAGCTGTATATTTATAGCTTTGATTTTTTGTACCTTTTTCAAATTTCCTTCCTTTTATTAAGCTTTCTTCCTTTGTGTATTCAAGTTTTTATAAAGTTTAATATTTTTAATTAGAACACCAAATCAGACTAAAATAGTAACTAATTGAATATAAAGAAAAAATATGCCTAAAATTATTAAGATTGTTTAGAAGCAGATTGGCAAAAGATATGGAGTATCTTAGAAGGAGTTGATTAAATTTTATATTGAAAAAATTGTGATTTACACCAAAAATTTGTAGTATCCTTTTTTTTGCCAATATAGATGCCATTGAAGATAATTAGTTTGAGTTTTTTACAAGCTTGTAAGATTAGTCTGAATTTCTAACATAAATTTGATTTTGGTTAAGAAGAAATATCGTGGTGTTTTGCTTATATTCACTTTGATTTTGCTATTTTAGTATATAGTGTGCATCAGTGCATTCTAAATTCTACATTGTTTATTTTTGGTAATATACACATCTATGATCTTGTATATTTATTTCTGCTAAAATTTATCTCTCTAGTGATAAAATTTCAAGATTTTGTAAAGATGGAAGTTCAAGATTTTAGAGGAATGCAGAATTATGATTTACGATATGAATGTAGCAATCTAACTTTTGGGTTTGGGAAAGAAACAAGAAAGAATATTCTTCCATTGAAAGCTTCTAAATTCTTTATTGCATAGAAAGCTTGATCGATCTTCTTGAATCCTTTGGATCCTTTGATCTAAAATTCTAGATATCTATCAATTACCATTAACAAGTCAGATACACGTATCTCGTATTTATTCATTTTATAATTGTATTCCATTTTTAAAAAAAAAAATTGTATTCCATTTTCCGGATATTTTGGTCCGTGTTTACATCTAATCTTACAAACTTTGTTGAAAACGAAAGTCAAATAATTCAATCCACATTTACTGCTAAAAACAGACTACGCATCAAAACTACAATATCCATTAGTTGACTTTTATTTTGAACAAAATACGTATATATGATTAATATGTGGATTGTAAAAAAAGTAATAGTATATATAGTTCATCTTAACTAGATAACGAATTTGAAGAATACTTAGGTTTCATGATTTTGAAGGTCACGATCGAATGTTGAGTTTGATATTATGACTTTGTTTTATAATAAATGTGAAGAGACATTTCAATGTGACCCCAAAAATTGTTAATCACATAACAAACATAGTCATCATCATACCAAAAACTTAAAGTTTGTAAACTCCGGCAAAAGGTCCAGTAAGAGTTCCGACGTAAAGTTTGCCGTCGAACTCGTTGGCTTCACTGAGCAAAGTGTTCCCAAAATCATTCTTGAGGAAAATGGTCTGAAGCACTTTTCCATTGGAATCAATCTTCACCGCTGAAGGGTCTGTGGGCACAACGACCTTGTTCTTGACCGAAGCGACCCAAAAGTTTCCAGTAGAACCAACCCTCCTGATGTTGTCAGGGTTCGAGATAATGTTTGTGAAGCTCTCATCAATAGTACCAGCTTGTGGTCCTTTAATCCAATATCTCTTGATGTTACTCTTTATAAACTCGCTAACCAGCACGAAGGAACCATCTGAGCTCACGGCGCAACCAGCCGCACCACTTAGACCTTCCATTAGTACAGTCACGGCTTTGGTCGCTGGGTCATATTTGAAAAGCTTCCCGCTCGCGTCTTTTAATCCTACTGCGACAAACACTTCGCTGCATTTGCATTACCAAACAATTATTAGTTATGTACACACATTAATCAACAACATAAATTCTTATACATTATATATGAACCAAATTATTTTTTCAGAATAGCCTATTTTACAAGTGTTTTGTTTTTTTAACAATATCAAACATTATAATCAAGGAAACTGTATGACTAAATAGAAGATGAAAAGTTGTAAGCATAATATGATAGTTTGTGTACTATTAGTACGTACTAATTACATGGTGTTATTTACTAGAGTTTGTAGTTGTGATCGATTATACGTGCGATAGAAAATGTATACAGAAGATCGAGTTTACGTACGCGGGGTTGAATTTTGAGCTGAAAGAAGTGAAGTAGACGACGCCGGTGGTGGGATCAACGTCAAGACCGTCGAGAAACTTGAAGGGCTTTCCGTCGACAGTACTCTCGGCGATCTTTGTGGCCAAACCGCCGGCGGGAGAGATAACGTGAAGACCTAACGGAGCATCGGCGACGTAAAGGTCACCAGTTTTAGGGTTGAAGGCTATTCCGGCAGGTCGGCCACATTTCCCGGCCAAAACGGTTCCAAATATTCCGTTGCACCATGATGAATTCCTACAGTAGTAAAAAACAATTAAACCAAAAAAATATACAAAACGTTAATATAAAAACCAGACAGACCATTTATATACTGTTTTAACTTTTAAGTTTAACACGTCTTAATATTGCTATTAATATTTGATGATAAAAAAAAAAAAAAAAAAAAAAAAAAAAAAAAAAAAAATCAAACAAGAAGCATAATGATGATCTTGGAAAGAGAAACTTACGAGTCTTGGTGATCAAGGCAAAATCGACAAAACCATTCTCGGGAGTATACTTGAGGATTTTACCACCGGAGACTCCGGTGTAGAAACCTTTTCCGGTGGAATCAAAGGCGAAAGATTCAGGGCCTGACCTCTTTCCCGGGACCGGGAGTTTCTGGAAAGAGGTGTCATCGGAGAAAACAGCCGAGGAAAGAGAGAGGAGAAGAAGAGAAATCACGAAGACAGACGACGTCATAGCGTATTCTTAGAGATTGTGTTTGTTTATCAACGATCTATAGAATCTATTGTTAGTACAAGAATTGTTTATGTATGTGTATTTATAGATTTGATGATTTAGAAATAAGAAAATGAAGATTTCTTGTTTTCGGAGTTGACCAACAAAATGGAAAATATTTTATTATTCATATATGGAAAGATATACAATCCCCAAAATGGAGTATTTTTTTCTGGGGATTTGACATATCTTGCAGACAATGAATGAAAAAATAAGATGCTGTACGTAGTTAATAGATGGTAAAATATAATTAACCCCAAATCATATCTCTTTTAGTAGATTCGTTATTGCTCAGGGAAAAGAAAATCAAGAAAAGGATCTCAAATTAACAGCCAAATTTTAAGTTAAGATTTTGAATTAAAAAAAAATGACCAAACAGCTTTGCAAGTTATAATAATAAACTGAAACATTATAACCGATATTTTCACTTTTATATCAACAAAATAATACTTGATTAGAAGAAATTATAGTATTTTTCAGTATAAAAACAAGGGTCAGAGTGTCAGACCAATATACGTTTGTGAACATTCAGTAATAAATATATGTTCTGAGCCACAAAGCCAAACTAAATAAGTAACAACACACTTTTATAAACCAAATTTAAAGCTTAAGAATTCCAGCAAAAGGGCCAGTGAGAGTCCCGATATAAAGACTACCGTCGAACTCGTTAACTTCGCTAAGCAAAGTGTCCCCAAACTGTTCTTTTAGAGGAATTGTCTGAAGCACTTCACCATTAGAGTTGACTTTGACCGCTGATGGGTTCGTAGGCACGATGATCTTGTTAACAACTGAAGCAACCCAAAAGTTTCCAGTAGAACCGATCCTCTTAATATTGTCAGGGTTCGATACCAAGTTTGTGAAGTCTTCGGACGTACCAGCTTTAGGTCCCTTGATCCAATACCTCTTGATGTTACTTTTTGTGAACTGACTAACCAACACGAACGAACCATCTGAGCTCACGGCACACCCGGCTGAGCCACTTAGACCTTCCATCAATACAGTCACGACTTTGGTTGATGGGTCGTACTTGTAGAGTTTTCCTGTCGCGTCCTTTAATCCCAATGCAATCAACACTTGGCTACATACATAACCAATAAACACACATGTTTAATAACAATTACTATTTATTAGATCAATATTTTGGAATGATATTTTTTCTGTCATCATTTATCACAAAACTAGTTCTTGGTTTTTCTTTTAAAATGATATTTAAATTGTGCATATATTTAAAATTCCATTGCCATATTAATTTATTTTAATTGTGTTGTTTCTAAACTAAAATATAAAGGTGTGATATATTTAAAAGAAAAGGAGTTTACATTGGGGAGAAGCGTGAGCTGAAGGAAGTGAAGTAGACGACACCAGTAGTGGGATCAACGTCAAGACCATCCAGAAACTTGAAGGGCTTTCCGTTAACACTGTCGGCGATCTTTACGGCCAAACCACCGGCGGGAGAAACAACGTGAAGACCCAATGGAGCATCGGCGACGTAAAGATCACCTGTTTTCCCATTGAATGCTATCCCTGCCGGTCGACCGCATCTTCCCGCTAGAGCCGTTCCAGTTACTCCTTCGCACCATGAAGAGCTCCTGAATAGTAATAGAACCAATTCAAGACAGTTAAATTTTGTATATATTAAAAAAAAAACATAAATATGTTAGTATCTCTACGTATTGTTTGTGTGTATGCTTGCTTATGTTAGTTTTTGACTTTTTCACGTGGATGTGTGTTTGTGATTTTGCTGAGCTGGGTTTTAGTTACGACTTTGGACTTTACGACACATAGCTAACGTGCGTCGATAATCACGAGAAACTAAAAAAGAGTTCGAGTCACATCCACTCGTCCTAAATAATATTCCTAATCATTCACATTCATATTATTTGACTGGTGGACAAAATATAATATAAATATTCTAGTATCTCATTTTTTGTGATCCACAATTAAGTGCTGGATTATACATGTCAAATTGTTATCATGTAACAGGTTTTTTTCGTTAAACAGATCTTATCTTATATTAACATATAGTGTAGTTACTAATTATTTGACTTTTATTAGTTATTACTAAGAGGATTTAACATAACTTCCTACTCGCTATATAATCCCTAAAAATTCATACTAAATTTATGAAATATCGACTAAACAACGGCTCTGATCACTCCTCATTCCTTGTTATTTCTCCAAAATATTGTAAAAAGAAAGAAAAAGAGGTAGTAACATTTCGTTCTCAATTTTAAAATGATAACAATCGGTTCACCAAGAAACGACTCATTTGTTAATGACACTAGATTCCAATATCAACACGAAGCATTAACCATCAAAGTTATGATTTTGGAGATCCAAAGAAGAAAAAAGAAAACTTACGAGGAATTTGTAATCTGGGCAAAGTCGACATAACCAGTCTGAGGAAGGTACTTGAGGATTTTACCGCCGGAGACTCCGGTATAGAATCCTTTCCCGGTAGAATCAAAGGCAAACGCTTCAGGTCCTGACCTACTTTTCGGCACCGGAAGTTTCGTGAAAGACGCGGCATCAGAGAAAACTGCCGACGAAAGAGAGAGAAGAATAAGAAGAAGAGAAACCATGGAGGAAAACGTCGTCATACCGGTTCTTGAGGTTTTATTATATCGCTTAGTCATTTGTGTATAGGTATGTTTATTTATAGGCTTGAATTTTTCTTCTTTTTCTTTCTTTTATTTTGTTTTGACAAAGACATATATTAATCTTTCTTATTTCGTAGTTTAAGAAGATGGCACACGTAACGCTCGTATGATTATTTTATTGTTGAAGAGACACATTTCTTTCTCTAGGGGGTTTCGACAGATATTTGTAGACGTTGATGTAAAAAGTCAAATAGTTGCAATCCACGTACATTGTTGAAATGTTGAGGTACAACGAGTCAACGCCGCAATGGAAGGAAGCCTAAGAGCAACCTAACTAGTCTTGTTAATTTTATTTTTATATACTTTTGTGTCTGCGATTGAGATTAGAGCAAAGTAGGTGATTAGATTTTTAGATATCATAAAAGATAAAAGCGTAATTCCAAAGGAGTAGATTTTATTACTATTTCCTTGGACATTTTGAAACTTAGATTTCGTGACACTGAATCAATTCAAAACAAATTGTTTAATTTGTTATTAAATATCTTTCTTTCTGTAAAATAAAAATAAAAATATGGTACTGCCCAGGATCGAACTGGAGACCTTTTGCGTGTAAGGCAAACGTGATAACCACTACACTACAGCACCTTCACAACATATGTAATTTGCAGTCTATAAAGGGAAATGCAAAACGTTTATATTTTGCATTTACAATTTACAGCTATTGTTAATCTACGTACTTCATTGTAACTAGTAAACTAAAAATAATTGATTTAGTCTACAAAATTATGGAGTAATAAGTTGATAACAAAGAATGCAAATACAAAAACACAAAAAAGAAAGGATCTCACGAACGCTATCCGATATTGTGACCTTTCAATATTTTAGCAGTAAATGTACCAATTATTGGTTGCGATTATTAATTATGGTTGCTATCAAATCGGAGGGCTCATAAATTGGTGGCTCACCTAAGATCTGGTAGCCACTTTTTTGTACGTTTTCTTAAAATAGTTGGTGCAGCCGACAGAACATGCAACGATTTTGTTTCGCACTTTCAAACCACTTTATCTTAATTGTTTTTTTTTTAATCAATTGTGTTCTTGTATTCACAAACCTTACGAGTGTCCAAGTTTTTTTTAAGGATTGAATCTAACATTTTACGATCGAGTGCCCAAGTTTTTGTGTTTTTTCTCCCAATACACAGTTTTGAATTAATACTAGACTTTCATTTTTTCTTTTTTTTTTTTTGAAAAAGGTCTCAATACTTGTGCTAATTATCGATGTTGGTTTTTGATGGCTGACATGCAAATCAAATTTGAACACGGAACAACTTCAACGTGACTAAAGTCTCAAAATGTTTTCACATTAGGACCAATGGACCATTACGTCTCTATATTCAACTCTGTCGTTTTCCCACTAGGACCATTACGTGTTAATTCAATTTTGTCGTCAATATGGTAAACCAAACTACAAAAGCAAATCGGCGTTAGATGGAGAATAGAATTCGTTCACGGTGCTCCAAATCTATGACACGTCGTCTCGCTTTCCAAATTCCAAATTGTTACAACCGGAGGCCTTCGCCAACACGATTTCATATTCCGAAATTGCATTAAAATTATTTCAAAATGTTATATGGGAAATTGCACTACATATACATCAATAGTTCTGAAATTAAATGGCTGTTTCTGACAACTTTTTAGTCCACTGTTCATATGGCTGAAGACAATAAAACCCCTATTAAAATCACAACAATCTTGCTAACAATTAGTCTTAAATCTCTCTAACAAATATTATATCCCTCTGCTAATAAGTTGTTAGTTACTTTGCTAACAAAAAATAACAAAAAATACGTCATCTCGCTAACAAATACCATATTATTTGCTAACAAACATCACATTATCTTGTTAACATAGATTATGTTACCTTGTTAACAAAAATCATGATAATTGTTTACATTTTGTTGTTAACGAATTTGTTAGCAAGTAATGATTTAAATGTTAACGTATAATGGTTTGAATGTTAGCGTATAATAATTTGAATGTTAACATGATTTCACTAATTTGGTTAATAGATAATGTTAGCAAAAAATGATTAGATGTTAGCACATAATTGTTTAAATGTTATATCATTTGTTTGTATTTGTTATCACGAAATCTTACAATCTATTATATGATATCACTTCTAATGTTTTATCTTATAGGGTAAATATGTATGATTTTACTATATGTATTTGTATTGATCTAATTAACAACTATTATAGTGATATATTTAATTGTCAGATTATCTATGTATATTGCCTAAATTTACCCATGTTATATATAATAATAGTAGTATTTATAGTGTAAATGAATTTGTATACTAAAAACTTGTGTATTTATAAACAGAAAAAAAAAAACAATAACTGTTAGCGTTATCATTTATCTTACCTGAATGAATGACCCTAACTATATGTTCGTTGACAACAATAAAGTCTACCGAACAAGCTATCAAGTTTCAATCATAAAGTCGTTATTAAGTCACATTCAAACAGAAACTATTGTAATCATTAGAATGTACGAACAATCAAATCGTCATGAATAATCCGAGCAAACGCACTAAAGGAAATGGGTAAATTCCGGTTTATCCCGGTTATTCGATTAATCTGAAAATTGCCTGGTCGATCCATGTCCACAACAATATCAGTATCAATCACATTACAACGGGAAAACATGTGGAGAAACTGTTTCTTTTATTTGTCTTTTTGAAAATTTGATACTGTTCAGAGACAGCTACAAAAGCTGGTACTAAGTACTCATTTGGTTTTACCTCATTCTACAAGCAAAAGCCAATGAATCACTTTCTCAAGTTTCTCACGGTGATCTGAAACCTTCACCAGCGTAACGCACATTCCCGCCGAGCTCCTCTTCGATACGGAGAAGCTGCATCGGAAACAAAAACAAAGTCACGGTTTCAGATATTCTTTTACCACTCAGCATGAATCTCAAGATTTGCTCGTTTCAAGGTTCATTTAGTTAAATACCTGGTTGTATTTTGACAATCGTTCACTTCTGCAAGGAGCACCAGTTTTAATCTACATAAACATGGAATGATTAGAGAACAGTAAAGAGTAAAAACTCTATGAAACGAGCAGATTTTAAGAATTATATTACCTGTCCACTTGCCAAACCAACAGCAAGATCTGCGATGAAGTTATCCTCTGTCTCTCCACTCCTGTGACTAACCATCACACCCCACCCCGCAGCTTTTGAGTCAAGCGCTGCTTGAATTGACTCTGTCACTGTCCCAATCTGGTTAACCTGTGAAACCATGAACCACACACAAAATGAAATCCACCTTCTAATAGGGTAAAAGAAAGTAATGATTTACTTTTAAAAATGGTGACCTTTAACAGTAGAGCATTGCAAGACTTTTTCTTAATAGCTTCAGCGATCCTCGTTGGGTTGGTGACCAACAAGTCATCTCCCACAAGTTGGATATCCACAGAGGATTGCAGTGAAGCCCATGCGCTCCAGTCATCCTGGTCAAAAGGATCTTCGATAGAGACGATCGGGAAGTCCTTGATGAACTCTCTGTAGAGCTCAGCAAGACTCTCAGCTGATAGAACATGAGCTCCATCGTTCGGCTGTTTCTTGAAGTTCAAATCGTATCTACCATCTTTCATGAAAAACTCCGATGCAGCAACATCCATTCCAATCTTGATCTGAAAAAACCAAAGTTATTAAATTTGTGTGAGTGGTGTAACATTGACATGCACCTTGCTATAATGTGAAACAAGAACTTGACTATACCTTTCCAGTGTAACCAGCCTTTTCAATTGCATCGATGAGCAGAACTAGTCCCTCTCTGTTATCTTGAACATTTGGAGCAAATCCTCCTTCATCTCCAACATTACAAGCATCTTGACCATACTTAGATTTGATTATCCCCTTCAACGTATGGTAAACTGTAACCAACAGAATACATCAAGCGTATTACTATCAGAAGAACCATGCATCAAGCCATGGTTTCTTAAGAGCAAGCAGGTTAAACACAATAAAGATCACAAACTGACCTTCACTTCCCATCTGAAAGGCCTCTGAGAACGAGGTAGCTCCAACAGGTAGTATCATAAACTCTTGCATAGCCAAACTATTCCCAGCATGACTTCCTCCATTGATCACATTGAAAGCAGGAACTGGCATCACAAGCTCCTTCGTTCCCGATAGCTCCTGGATGTGTTTGTACAAAGGCACTCCTTTAGCTCCAGCTCCTGCCCTGCAAACGCTCAGCGATACTCCTAATATAGCATTAGCTCCAAGCTTCGACTTGTTCAGTGTCCCATCAATTTCCAGCATCAGAGCATCCACATCAGCTTGGTTCCTTCAAAGTTTAAACAAAGTAAATCACAGCTTTCCCAATCGCCAATCACAGTCGAATCAAGCAAACAAGCTCATAAACATTTACTAATATTCCTCAAATCTGGCAAAATTGAATTCAAAATTCACCTAACGATTCGATAATATAAGCATAAGAACAACAAAATCGATGACGTTTCTTGTATGTTTACTCTTACCTAACGTCAACGCCGATGAGTTTCGGAGCGATTAGGTTGTTGATGTTTTTGATAGCCTGTAAGACGCCTTTACCACCGTAGACGCTCTTATCACCATCTCTAAGCTCGAGCGCCTCGTAGATCCCGGTAGACGCACCACTGGGAACGGCGGACCGGTACAGATCATCGGTAATCAAATCAACCTCCACCGTCGGATTCCCTCTACTATCGATAATCTGCCTCGCCTTCACTCCCTTCACTCTACACTCCTTAGCCACCACCGAGCATTGCACACCGCTGCGGCGGAATCTCAGGCACGACGGCGGCGCGGATTCCGAGTATCGCTGCCCGGAAACACCCTGCGGGGAGAGGAAAGATCTCTGAAGAGGTTTCGTAGTCAAAGCCATGAATGATTATACCTAAAAAGCAGCAAAAATCCTCTGGCTCTTTCGCTTATTTGACTAAAAGGAAGACAAAGGAAGAAGGAGAGGAATATTAAAATGGAGTTTTATAATTTGAAAAACGTCCCTCCGAGGTTGGTGCAGGCGATGAAAACGAAGGAGTCAAAAACCCCGAACAAACCCGGTTCAATTTCAATTTACCTCCGGTTTGAGAGAAATTTTGATTTAATTTCGGTTCGAAAACATTGACTAGTACACAGTGCCGTCGTCGCCGCCGCTATCATCATCTCTCTCTTGAGCTCTCTTCGCTTAGGTGTTCATTGCAATGGCGTCTTCGATTCTAAGGAGCCCTAATCTCACTTCACCATCATTCGGTCTACCTTCTATTCCGGCCTTATCCTACTCTCACTCACCATTATCATCTCTTCATTTCCGATCATTCCACCACGAACACCGTTCCGTCTCCGTTAGCGCCGTCGGAAAGCTCCGTCTCTCCTGCTCGCTCTCCGATTCATCACCTTTTCCAACTCATTCCCCTCGCCGTCGTCCCGATTACATCCCCAACCGCATTTCCGACCCAAACTACGTCAGAATCTTCGACACGACTCTCAGAGACGGCGAACAGTCTCCCGGAGCTACGCTGACATCGAAGGAGAAGCTCGACATCGCTCGTCAATTAGCCAAGCTAGGCGTCGACATCATCGAGGCCGGATTCCCCGCTGCTTCGAAAGACGATTTCGAAGCTGTGAAGACCATCGCCGAGACGGTCGGCAACACCGTCGACGGAAACGGCTACGTCCCTGTGATCTGCGGGCTCTCGAGGTGTAACAAGAAGGACATCGAGACGGCTTGGGAGGCTGTCAAGTACGCTAAACGGCCTAGGATCCACACGTTTATCGCTACCAGCGACATTCACTTGAAGTATAAGCTGAAGAAGAGCAAAGAAGAGGTCATCGAGATCGCCAGGAATATGGTTAGATTCGCCAGGAGCTTGGGCTGTGAAGATGTTGAATTTAGTCCTGAAGATGCCGGAAGGTACAGATTCTCTTCTTCTTTTGAAAATGTACTAAAATTTCGATTTGAATCAGATTCTGGGATTTGATTCCTTGTTCATGAACAGTTGCACTTAAACTTTGCTTCAAAGTGCCTTCATGGAATGTTTATTATGTTAATGTGAAATTGTAAATGTCACGTTGGTGTACAGATCCGAGAGAGAGTACTTATACGAGATTCTTGGAGAAGTGATAAAAGCAGGAGCAACAACGCTCAACATACCTGATACTGTTGGTATAACTTTGCCGATTGAGTTTGGTCAGTTGATTGCTGATATCAAAGCGAATACTCCTGGGATCGAAAATGTTATAATCTCTACGCATTGTCAGAATGATCTTGGACTCTCCACTGCTAATACTTTAGCTGTATGTCATTTTTCTTTTTCTTTTTCTGGGTTGGATCAGATTAGCTGTTATATGGTGGGGTCGGTTTTTTGGATTTAGGCTCACTCATTATGAATCATTACTAATCCTTTCTCTTGAATTCAGGGTGCACATTCAGGTGCAAGGCAAGTGGAAGTGACGATTAATGGGATTGGTGAGAGAGCTGGAAACGCTTCATTGGAAGAGGTCAGTTTTGTGTTTGCACTCTCCAGTCAAGAATTGGAGCCTCACAATCACTATTTACTTGAATGTTTTCTTGTTAATGTATAGGTTGTGATGGCTATAAAATGCCGTGGAGATCATGTATTAGGAGGCCTGTTTACTGGAATTGATACTCGGCACATTGTTATGACAAGCAAGATGGTACACATTTTGAACTTCATTTTTCACTTTGTAGAAACGAAAGTTCATATTTTTTTACAAATGAGGAATCTGTAGATTTTTCCTTTGAACGTCTTTCCGCATTTGCTCAGGTTGAAGAGTACACTGGTATGCAAACGCAGCCACATAAGGCTATTGTAGGAGCTAACGCCTTTGCGCATGAAAGTGGTATTCATCAGGTCAGTTCATGAATCATACTTTATACTATTCTTATTGCTTCTGCGACTAAATTTGGTCTCATTTACCTTTAACTTGAGAAATATCTCGCTTCTAGCCTGTAATTTCAATTCTTGAAAAGTATGGCGTACTCTTATAGCCTTTTACTCAACTCATGACTCGCATATCATGCTCTTTCATTTTTTTGCATAGAGCTTAGTAAACTGTTCATGCACTCTGTTTAGGATGGAATGCTGAAACACAAGGGTACATATGAAATTATGTCCCCCGAAGAGATCGGACTTGAGCGATCGAATGAAGCTGGCATTGTTTTGGGAAAGCTTAGGTATGGAAAGTTTTGCTGTTCAGACTTTTATACCATATACGATTGTCTTGTTCAAACCAATGCTTACTTATTGTTTTATCCAGTGGGCGTCATGCACTGAAAGACCGTTTGAAAGAGGTAAATAACAATCTTTACCCATATCCACACTCACTGTGACCATCTTATTAAGCTAATGGGTTCTTAAACTTTTGTTTTTTTTACATTTCCAGCTTGGTTATGAACTGGAAGATGAGCAGCTAAGCAACCTTTTCTGGCGTTTCAAAGCCGTTGCTGAGCAAAAAAAGGTACTAAGAACCTTGCAAGAGCACTGGTTTGAGTCCTGTTCCCTAATTGTCAAACATTTAGCCCCCATATTGTATTGGTTTTTCTCATATAATGCCTTCTCTGTTCCTTTGGTGTTACAGAGAGTCACTGATGCTGACATTATAGCATTAGTATCTGATGAAGTTTTCCAGCCAGAGGCCGTGTGGAAACTCCTGGACGTGCAGGTTGGTTTTGTTCTCTCTCTTCTCTTGTTCAATCTTCAGTCAATTCTTATTTTGATGATGAAAATTGGGAATGTAGATAACTTGTGGAACTCTCGGTCTCTCAACATCAACTGTAAAACTTGCTGATTCCGATGGCAAAGAGCAGATAGCTTGCTCTATTGGAACCGGACCTGTAGATGCAGCTTACAAAGCAGTTGACCTTATCGTCAAGGTACTTCTTCTGCTATGATTGCGTGTTATATACGTAATAATCAATGAGTACTTTATTCTAATGCTTGATCATTGGCTTTTTCGTAATTCAAGGAACCAACGACTCTGCTTGAGTACTCAATGAATGCAGTGACAGAAGGCATTGATGCTATTGCAACCACTCGTGTTCTAATCCGCGGAGACAACAACTACTCTTCAACAAACGCAGTTACTGGTGAATCTGTCGAAAGAACATTTAGGTAAAATTTCACTTTTACCTTCTTCATTATCTAATCTTAGCCTCCATCATTAAGCAACAGAAGTGAACACACAATTGATTATGGTTGAGGTGAATTGTGTTCTTGCAGTGGAACCGGAGCAGGAATGGACATTGTGGTGTCAAGCGTTAAAGCTTATGTTGGAGCTTTGAACAAAATGTTGGGTTTCAAAGAACATTCCTCCTCCTCCGCTCCTTTGGAGACCAACAAAGTCATTGCCTGAAACAACCTGCAAGTCTCAGATCAATCACAGTTTAGGTCTGCACTTTTCAATTAGACATTACACGATCAAAAGATTTATAATTTTATTGGAATGGATTTAAATGTACAAAAAGAGTATGGGTTTTGGTTTTAGTCGCAAAATTAGTATCACCACCTGGATTTGTTCTAAAATCTGTATTTTGGTTAAAACTTAAACTAAAACGAAAACAACTTTTCTATAAATAGTCAAGTCATTTTCCCAACTTACAAGACCGTTTGACAAATTTAACTTCCCAAAGTTGTCCTAAGCTAAACTAAGATTTATCTCTTAACTATTAAACAAACAAATCAAAACTAAAAGGTTTCGCAAAATCCACAAAACCTTCACCAAAATCAAAAACCAACTTTGGTGACAATTCTCTTGAATCTGAGGGGCTTTCACGCCCTCAAGATTCTGAGAAATTCGGAAAAAAATGCCAGAAGTGCAAAGCGGGTTCCTAACAATGACGACAATAATCTTGCTATGCATAGGCCTTACAATGATGGGAACAGGTCTCTACCAAAGAGCAACAGTGTCCACATGCATCCAAGAAACTCAAGGCCAATTCGTCATACTCGGTATGATCCTTCTCGTGATCCCTCAGATCGGTCTATACGGAATCTGTTGCCGCTCCAAACGCCTTTTCACCTTTTTCTACTACGGCATGATTCTGCTCATAATCATTGTCTTCTCCTACTCGGTCAAATGCTTCGTTTACAACAACACTTTTAGCATCGCCAAGAATCCCGCCGAGGACCACCGCTCCGTAAACCAGTTGCTTGGCCGCCTCGTCCCTCGGGAGAAGTTCGTGAAAGTAACCGACTGTATCATCCATAACCATGACTGTAACTTCAATGCCAGCAAGAACAGCAACGTTTGGGTACGTTTCTTGAATCTCTACGAAAGAATATGTTATTGTTCATGTGAAGCTAAGCTTTATACATTGTTTATACAATGCGTATGCAGACATATTGTTGCGCGCAGCCGATAGGGTGTGGAGACATTTCAATGTTCGACAGGCCAGGCGAGTGGGGCTGGAAACAACAGTATGAACAGAACAAAGTTCCGGATAAATGTGCTTATGATTATTGTTTGAGCTGCAGAGGTTGCCAGCTCAGCATTTTGAAAGCCATTGTTCATCAGTGGAAGTATCTCTCAACGTTTGTTTACCCAACTTTAGTCCTTTCCTGCATCTGTATTGCCATTGCTTGGTCTCTCAAGGAGACCATCCATGAAACAGAGGACTATCGAGGTTCTTATAGTTGATTTCCGAATGATTCCATCATTCATTACTTTACATTTCGATAGCCTTTGTAGAGAAAAGTTGTGTTCAATAAAAAGATTTTATACGGATCAATAAGTTTTCATCCAGCAAAACTAAAGTGTGGAGCTTTCTTGGTATATAAGTAACATAAAATCAAGTTCATATTGAAAGTTCATTCAAAAACGAGTTTTGTTTATCCATATATAAAAACTGAAAATTTAGATTGTGAAAGCCAAAAATTTATGTTTTTGGGACAAAGAACAAAACAAGCACTTAAGAGCGTAAACTTCCGGGGAGAGAGGTACACTAGGAAAACTCAAAGAAGGTTATGAAATCTAGAAAACAAGCTCATGTGGCTTCATCCCTTGTTTAAGTGAGAACCTTGCGCCGAGGTAAGTCTTCAACTCTGGAACAGCTTCAATGGCCTTGATCAAAGCTGTGTCAATAGCCTTCTGGTCATCTTTCTTTCCTTGTGGAATCTCCTTCTTCTCCTACACAATCCAAAACACATAAAGGTGTGTCAAGTACAAGTTTTGATTTGGAAAATGTACAAAGGAGAGAACTTTAATCATCTAGGACACAAATGCATCAGAGGTTAAGAGAGATGGAGATTTGATCTCTACCTCTTTGTCAGCCTCAAAGAACTCTCCTTCTCCCTTCTTGTTCTTCTTCTCGGCAACCTTTCCAAAGTACTTGTCATCGAACTTGTCTAGGCTAACTCCAGAGATATCAACCTTAGTGGAAGTGGCGATCACGTAGGCCTGGTTTACACGTCTCAAAGGAACACCATTGATCTTGAAAGGTCCTATATGTCAATGACAAAAAAAAACAAAAAAGAAATATGTAAGGCTATGCCAACAGAGAAAAGGTAGAACATGAGCTTAGCTCAAATGAGAAGATAAAGATAATGAGAGAAGATTAAATAATCAACTCACCAGTAACGAGAAGCAAACCAGATGCAAGTTGCTTAAGGAAGACAACTCTCTTCCCCTTGAACCTACCAGCAAGGATAATCAACACTGTCCCTGGGGTGATGCTGGCTCTGCAATTCACATATACAAGGAGATTGTATTAAGTCAGAAACATAAATAAGAAAAACTAAAAAGATTTGCACCATACTAATGTTCATAGTATAGATATACAAACGAATTCAAACTAGCCTGTTTTGCCATCAGCATGGAACAAGCCTAACCAAATCTATCTAAATCTATCAGCAAGCTATGCAATTTTTTGTACAGAAATGAAGAACATTTCAGCAATTTGACTCAACTTTTACTAACTATGACGTAAACAAATCAAAGCAATAGAACACTGTAATCTTCACACAAAATCCTTCATTTCCACAAATCTCACAAAATTCGTCAATTTTCCAACAGATTCCAAAAAGTCTAATACACAAAAGCAATACTTTTAAGATCCAAACGCATAAGAATCAACTGCATTGAGCTGAATATATCAGTCCAGGACCAGTAGATAGAGGTAATATCAAGTAAGTACCTGAGCTTAGTAGGCTTTGGCTTGCGTCTGTTGGCGAGAGGCTTCTTCACATCTTCCGCTGGATAGAACTTTGGTGGCTTCTCAGCTGGAGCATCAACCTTCGATTTACCGTCGTGGCGAGGGAAAACGCCGCCATTTTTGGCCTTGATAGCCCACAGACCTCTCTTGTGGTACATCTGCGACCTCGAGTATTTACCAACTCCCCTGATCAGATCAGGGTTTCGGCTCACTTTTGGCGTCCTCTGTTTCGCCGGCATCGTTGCTTTCTCTCAGTCGCAAAAACCTCGAAGAGAATCAGGAAAAAAAAATTGCCGGCGGAGAGAGAATAGAAGGGATAGAGAAGAAGGCGAGAGATAACATTTGAAGAAAACCCTAATTGGAATTAAGGGCAATAGTGGGCCTCATGGGCTTTGAATCCCAATCGGGCTTTTAAATCTGGACCAAGACATTATCGATTGATTTAGACATTTTGTAGAGAAAACAAAAAAGACAGTCAAAATCTTATCTTACTAGTGTCGGAAGTTACAGTAACACAGTTAAATACTTGAATCCAAAAATTTCAAAGGCTAATCTCCACAAGATCACAAACACCAAAATCAGAGCAAGACTAAAAGTCAACTTTTCCTTCACCTCTAAGAGAGCAATGGATTTACATATTTATTAAATTAGAGTTTGAGAAGCTTTTCTGATGATGCTGATGAGGATTTCTCACTTTTATTCACCTTTCCATGTCCTTCTTCAACAAACATTGGTCGGCGAAAAAGCTCCTCCAAAAAAGACCAATGTTCATGTGCGCATGCCTATATAGAGAAAGTCTTCTTCATTTGCAAAGAACACCATCGACAAATACTCAATCTTGTTCTCCAAGAACCAAAAACATCATCATAAGATCTAAGTGGCAATGACTAGTACTAGTAGCACCACTTCTTTGTATCCTACACAACAACAGCCGCTACAGCCATTAGGAAGCAATTATCAGATCGAACCAACGGCGTCAAACGCTAATCTAGTCGCAGCACCAAACGCTCCAAACCATTACTCCTCTGGCTCCATCGGACCCTTCTTCGCAGTCATCTCTGTTGTTGTCCTTCTTGCTATTCTCTCTTGCTTCTTGGGACGTCTATGCGCAAGGCGACGTCTGAGAATGGTTTCAGAGGCTGAATCCAATCCGTTGGACATGATAAAAGGTGGCGGGCTTTTAGGGTGGCTAAGACGGAAATGGAGAAGGTGTTTAGCCGGAGACGTCGAAGCCGGAGCTAAAGTTGCTGACTGCGCCGGCAAAGAAACACCTAAAGATGGTGATCAGACTCGTCTAGAAACTCCTCCGGCTTGATCTCTGATTCACTTTGCGTTTGTTGGAGTAATTATTAGAGTGTATAAAACATTTGAACTATGACAGTACACGCAAACTGTAACATGTTGGAAGTGTGAAATTCAATATGCTTCAGAACATAAGTTTCGTCAATCATAATCTCATTCATTTGATCCTGGCCACATCAAAACAAATTTACATATAAAGGGCTTGCGAAATTTTACTTCATTACTACAAATCTCACGTTCAAAAACACGTTCAAAAACAAGACTGATAATATAATCCATATGTAAAGCAGAATGTAAACCCAAAATTTGTCTTTAATCGGTGAACAAGAACCAAAATCAACAGTTTAGAAGGTGAACCTGAAGGAGACAAGACAACTCTAGGAATCACAGAAATAGGTTATAAAATCTAGAAAACAAGCTCATGTGGCTTCATTCCTTGTTTAAGTGAGAACCTTGCGCCGAGGTAAGTCTTCAACTCTGGAACTGCTTCAATGGCCTTGATCAAAGCAGTGTCAATAGCCTTCTGGTCATCTTTCTTCCCTTGTGGAATCTCCTTCTTCTCCTACACAACCCATAAAGGTGTTGTCAAGGATAAGTTTTTATTTGGTCAATGTACAAAGGAGAGAACTTTAATCATCTAGAACACTAATGCATCAGAGGGTAAGAAGAGATGGAGATTTTATATATACCTCTTTGTCAGCCTCAAAGAACTCTCCTTCTCCCTTCTTGTTCTTCTTCTCAGCAACCTTTCCAAAGTACTTATCATCGAACTTGTCAAGGCTAACTCCAGAGATATCGACCTTTGTGGAGGTGCCGATCACGTAGGCCTGGTTAACACGTCTCAATGGAACACCATTGATCTTGAACGGTCCTGAGAAGGCCAACAAGAAAACAGGAAATATGACAAATTTATCCAAACAGAAATATCAAAAAAAGTTGGCAAAAAAGATAATGAGAGCAAAACTCACCAGTCACAAGAAGCAAACCAGATGCAAGTTGCTTAAGAAAGACAACTCTCTTTCCCTTGAACCTACCAGCAAGAATAATCAACACTGTCCCTGGTGTGATGCTGGCTCTGCAATACAATGGACGAAATTTATTCAGAGAAAAAGGAAAACATAACATTTTAAACATAACATTTCCAAACAAGCAAATGCACTAATCTAAGAGCTAAGCGAATCAACCTAACACATAGGTTAAAATTTGATCGATTTAAATATCAGTCAAGGAGTGTATCTGAGTAGGCGAGTTTTATAATGTACCTGAGCTTTGTAGGCTTTGGCTTGCGTCTGTTGGCGAGAGGTTTCTTGACGTCTTCAGCTGGATAGAACTTCGGTGGTTTCTCCGCCGGAGCATCAACCTTGGACTTGGCGTCGTGGCGGGGGAAAACGCCGCCGTTTTTGGCCTTGATAGCCCAAAGACCCCTCTTGTGGTACATCTGCGACCTCGAGTATTTGCCAACTCCCCTGATCAGATCGGGGTTTCGGCTGACCTTTGGGGTTCTCTGTTTCGCCGGCATCGTTGCTTTCTCTCAGTCGCAAACCCTCGAAGAGAATTAGGGAAATTTCGCCGGCGGAGAGAGAGAGAGAGAGAAAAGACGGGATTGAGAAGAGACGATAGATAACATTTGAAGAAAACCCTAATTGAAATTTAGGGCAAGCGTGGGCCTCGTGGGCTTTGGAGTCGTATCGGGCTTTTGATCCGCACCAAGACATTATAGGATTTGTTTAAATTTGTATAGTAAGCACTAAGAGCTCTTTAAACTTATTTGCTAATAAAAATATTAATTTTTTGAGTGTAGAGTTTTAGTCTCCGCAATGGAGAACCTATTACGGGTTCTTTAAAAAAAAAAAAAAAAAATTGTGCCCAACACTAAACATACAATAAGGTGAATTCCACACCATAAACACTCACATTTAATCTGCTTTCATTCCCATTTGTATTGAAACGAAGTGTTTAATCTTTATGGAGGGTAATAATAACAACCTTATGATTCTCCTCCTTACTCGTTTATTCTAAGATCCAAGTTTCCAACATTTAATCTGCTTTCATTCCCATTTGTATTGCTCTCATTCCCATTTGTATCCTGAAGTATATATGCAAAGAACAAAAATTAGTTAGAAGATGACACTAATTAGCATAACAGAGAAATAGCAAACAAGATACCTGAAGAGTAAAGATATACAAGCTAAGCCTCAGATTATAGTTACCATTTAACTGCAGAAGCAAACAGATTGCAAATGTATTTTTTGGCTCAAGAACTTAAAAGATTGTATTTGAATCCACCTGCAAATAAGCAACTTCAACATTAGAGCAAAGCTTTTCGTTTTTCACATATAATAAAAGAAGTTCACATACAAGATTTCAGTAAGGTACACCCAGATGAAAAACAATGCTCAAAAAGCTAAGAACAAGAAAAAAAAAACTGTTTTTTTTACATAAAGATTGCTAAAGAGTTTGATGGAAGAAACCAATCCAACAAGACTCAGTTACAATTCTCTATATTGCATAATCACTATCGAAGCAGAGGCTTCTTCTTAACGAGAATTGCAGTAAAAAATCCACAAAGCACCAAAAAGAGAGAAACTTTTAGCTTTAGAGAGCAAGAGATCTGTGGACTTAATGTCCGTGATGAACTAGAGGATCGAGAGAATCTTAATTGCAGAATAATCAACTACTAGTCAATTAAGAGAGAAAACTCGTGGATTTGGGTCACTGATACAATATGCAAATTGATACAATCTCAATGTCCATTGATACAATCTGCAAATTTATTCACGAGATTAAACAGACATGAGAAATGAAATGAAGAACAGGAAGACGAAGAGGAGGAAGAACAACGTCGAACAGGGGGAAGAGATTTACTGAGAAAATATCGAAGAAGGAGATTCGAGCGAGGGTTTCAGTTCGTCGAGGAAGATGGAGAAACCGAAGAGAAATTTTTTTGAGAATAGAAAAAAAAAATCAATTAACAAAACGCGAACTTTTTTTTCTCCACGGCTTATTCTCCTGCTGACACCTGGCAAGTAGATACGTCTCTACAGTCTCTCCGGGGAGAGACGGATCTGAGCCACAAACTTGCCATGTGGGTATTTAATTTCATTATTTCTTTTTGTTTTGGCTTGAGAGACGCCCATAAGCTCTCCGGTGCACTTGCCCTAAGCAATAAGCATCGATTGATTTTGTAGGAACACATCTTACGAATGTCAAACAGATACGTTAAGTGGCAGTGATTATTACATGCTATAAATTACTTGCATAATAAGATGTGTTAATAAATTACGAAATGTTTGACTAGAGTATTAAATGTTTTGACTAAAATATCAAATGTCTTGACTAAATTTACAGTCTAAAATTATTCTAATGGGAAACTCATTACATGCTACAGATTACTTGCTTAATATGAAATAAATTTCAGAACTATATATAACACATGCAAGCAAAACTACGTTATTTATAACGATCGCAGTGCTATAAAGACAAAAGGTGAACATAAATATAGATGTTAATTTTTTTTATAGGAATGAAAACATATGTCGATGTTATCGATCGCAAACATATGATCACACATGCTCTAAACAATTATTAAGTCATTTAGATCTTAGTTTTAATTTTTTTGTTTTTACAGGAGTAGAGGAATTCCAGAAGATTTTGTCTTTTGCTTGTTTTTGCATCCTCTAAAAACATAATTAATGGCAACCAACAATTTTTCATCACTTTTATTAATTTCATTGATGGCATCTGCTCTCATCTCTTTACCAATAACATCAGGTAAACATTTAAATGTTCAATAGGCAATTTTTTTTTTTAATTATTGTTTTGATATCTAAATTCTTGTCATCCCAAATAGGACAAATTATTCGTCTATGCCCGGAAGATAGAGCACCATGTCAAGTCACTAATAAATGTATCATCACCTGCAAATATTTGGGGTTCAAAACAGGAGGCTGTGAAAGAATGAAGATTGGCAAAACATGTTGTTGTATAGAAGAATTGGAATCTCAGGATGGTTCTTCCTCTTCTAGTCCAACCTTAACTAATTAATCCCTCATTTTATATGTATTCTCAGATATATAAAAAAAAAATAATATATATATATATATATATATTAATATATGACTGATCTTTTATCTTCTTAATCAAACTCGACATTAATGTAACTTGTTCATAAAAATATTCAATAGTTGCTTGCTTAACTTACCACTCTCGTTTAGTTCGTAAGAGTTTTGCAAGTGAAATTCTACTTATGAGCAGTTGCTAAGCGTATTTTCCTAACAACATTTTCCTAACAACATGCAATGACATCAGAATGAATTATGAATTTTAACAATCTATCGTTTCCATTTTAAATAATGCATAGCTTGCTTAAGAACACATGCATATCCATTATCCAATAAACAAGGCAATGAGCTCATAGCGATTGTGACTCTTCTTCCATGAGACCACAATTGGTGACTAAAACTTTTGAATAAGGCCGATTAAACCCTCTCTCCGCCACCACGGCTCTCTTATCTCCGATCACTTTAGCCACCCTGAAACCACCACAACCACAAATCACAACCGTTAAATCTCTCAAAAACGACTCAAATCCAACGGTCAATATTCAATTTTTTCACCTGAAATAAGGAGATCCTGTATTATCCCTCACCGTCTTCACTTGACTCATCTTCTCCACAACTCCCATTCCTTCCAACACTTTCCCGATCACCAGCACCGATTCCTCCAGCTCCGGCGATTCCGCAGCCGCTATAACAAACTCCGTCCCGTTCGGCCCCACAGCCGTTTCCTCTTCCTGCACCTCCAGCTTCCCGTTCTTCGCCACCAGCTTCGTCTTCGGCGGCGGTTTCAACGGATCTCTCACCACGATCCCAACACTCCCCGCCTTGCTTTTATTGCATCTCTCGCCTCTTTTCCCGCTCTCCCATTCTTCGATTAGGTTCTGGAGACTCCCCGCCGCGGCGGTGGCTCGCTCGGCGTCGGCGCCGTACGATCTGATCCCGCCGTGCTGGACGTAGCCTGGCATGATCTTCACGAACTCTTTTCTCCGGTAGCTGATTCCGGCTTTCCCGCTCACGATGCTGATGAATCTGGCGGTCCCCGCCGGCACGTCGTCTCCGTATAAACCGATGATGATCCGCCCGATTGGTTCTCCGTCGATCGATACGTCGAGAAATGCTTTCTTCGTCGGAACCTTAATTACAGGATTGCCACTAAAATTAAATTACGCATTATCGAAGATTGAGGTATCAAATTGAAATCGAGTTACGAGCATTGCTTACTCTATCTCCGCAATTTGTTGAATTATCGATTTCGGGAGAGATTGTATCTGCTTGGGCTTTGGAGAGATCGAACAATGGCGTCAGAGTAGTTTGAGTACCGATGAGTAGAAGCAGCGAGGATTTACTTAGATTCCGGCGCGATAGTTTGCAGCTTCGTTCGAGCGACTGAGAGGCTAATGCGGCGGTTCGCCGGCTGTGCTGCGGTGGCTCTATGGCGTTTGGGGTTGAAAGTTTGGCATTGTGTAGCATCATTGTCTATTTGTCTTCACTTTTCTCTACCTGGTTTGCTCTGTGTGTTAACGATGACTTTGGCGGAGGAAGAAAGATAATTCGGAGATTTTCGTGGATAAGGAAAATCCAAAATGGTCCGTATATATGTGATAGGAAATTAGGAATATCATAATCTCGTGTCACACAACTCATGGTCCTCGCAGTAACCGTTAAAATTTAAAATTACTCATGGTCAGTTGGTCACAACCAGAAAAGAGAACAAATCACAGACTATCAACTACAAAAATGAAACACAAACACATCTTAAATCCAAAAGATTACAGTATAAACCAAAAATTAACCACAACACACATCTTAAATTCTAAATTAGGATTTTTTGAACACATAAGTAGATATTACATTATAATGGATCGCAAAATGAAGATTCGTTAAACTATGCGCATAAAATCGATGCGTCTATGATTGAAATGATTTGTTCTAGGACCAATGATAAGTAACAGGCATTTATTGTTTTATCTTGTTTCTTCATATTGTTGGATAAATAAGCTATAGTATATAGTACTGCTACTTTATAATCTCGCACCCAAAATACCAAAATAATATATTAATTCACTCAACTTGATTTCGTTTGCTTTTAAAGTCACTAGGGCTAAGCCCGTGCAATGCGCGGGTTATAACTATTACAAAGTTTTGTTACTTATATTTTAATTATTATTTGAATTTTGTAAATAATTTGTCTCTTATATTTTTCAGATTTATTAATGCGCGGTCGAAATATAAATGTATATTACTCTTTATTTCATAAATTCAAATTCCGTAAAATGTTTTCCATATGCCATAAATTAACTGTGACTAAATTGTAGCACACTGAAAATGTTATATCCTAATCCTAAATTTTAAAAAGCAAACCCAAAATTCTAAACTTAAACCATAAACCATAAATATAAATTATAAATTTTATTCCAAAATAAAAAATTAAATCAGAATTAACAAAAAATATTGAAAAGCCATTACAAACCCTTATATCTAAACCCTTAAATATAACCCTTACATTAAATCTAACACTTATAAAAATCATACATTTTTGTACGATTACATATTTTTCTAGAATAAATATATATTGTTACTAATATTTTAATTGTTATTTGAAATTTGTAAATATTATGTCTCTTATATTTTTCAGATATGTTAAGCGGGTCAAAATATAAATGTATATTACTCCTTATTTACTCTAAAATCAAATTTCTTAAAATGTTTTCCATGTGCCACAAATTAATTGTGGGTAATTGTAGCACATTGAAAATCTTATACCCTAATCTAAATCCTAAATTAAAAAAAGCAAACCCAAAATTCTAAACTTAAACCATAAACTTTTATTCCAAAATAAAAACATTAAATCAGAATTAGCAAAAAGTTAATTTAAAGGCATTCAAACCCTTATATCTAAACCCTTACATTTAACCTTTACATGAAAAAGAAATCTAACACCTAAAAAAACTACATATTTTTATTTTGTTAACACTTATAACAAATTTCAAATAATATCATATGATAAATCTTAAACTCTAAACCCTAAACATAATTAATGATTATATAGAAAATCTTTAAATAAATTTCTATATTGTTTCTTATTTTGTTTAAAATCAAATATTCAAAAATGGTAGCCTCGTTTTTTTGAGAGACATACGAAATTATACACCACACTAACAAAAAGAGACATACAAAATTAGTTAATACGAAATCAATCAAAATTATGTGCAATTTTGTGACGAATTTTTCTTTAAACCGGAAACCGGCCGGTTTAGAATGAATTTCATCGGGAGAGAATTTTACAACCAAACCGGGTTAAAAAAACATTGGCCAAAAACCCTTCCTCTCTCTCTCTCTCTCACTCACTCACCAAACTTCAATGTCGAAATTGAAAAAACCATGGCGGCTACGACGACTATTGGGTTTGTTTCGCCGACGGGCTTAACCATCCGTCGCGGTGGACATAGGGTTTCGTTCATCCGATGCTCCGCCTCTCCTCTCACTTCATCCACTGGTAAAATTCTCTTCATTTCGTCCCCTGATTTTATCAAAAAACTCTGAATAAAAATGATAAACCTCGAAATTTCACCAAGCATCGATCTCGCATCTCTAAATTCTTCATTTTTTCCCTCTCCGTAGCTCTCGTGGAGAAACCTTGGACATCGTATAATGCTAGGCTTGTGCTAGAAGACGGTTCCATCTGGCCGGCTAAGTCCTTTGGTGCCCTGGACTCGTGTTCGAATTGGTCTTCAACACTTTCTTGACAGGGTGAGACTTTTGTTGTTTGTTTGATCTCAACAATTGTTAAATTCGAGAGCTTGATCTGTGTGTTTATGTTTTGGCAAAAGGTATCAAGAAATTCTCACTGATCCTAAATTGAGAATTAGCCACTTCGAACACCCATCTTGTTGGGTATGCTAATTCCGGTGATGGAGAGAGCGGGTGTAGCAGAAGAGAAACAAAACGGAACAGAGGAGGTGGAGGCGTGTGTCATTTTTTGGTGAGGAAGATGAAAGGTTAAAAATATTTGTGAAAAGTTTTTTTTTATTTTTTAATAATGAGATGCCACGTAGCAATTTTGTATGAAACTTTAAAATGTCAGGTGTCAGCAAACCTGGAGAGAGTTATTCATCTATTATATATAAGATTCTTTAGTGATTTGAAAATATATACGTAAAAGACTATCTCAGAGCGGGCACCTCCAAAAGAGACTCCTTACTATCTTCACTTGATTAAGCAGGAATATGATTTCTTCGCTAATGTGGAAAACGTTTATCAAGTAGAAAAGTATTATTTCTTTTTATTTTCATATCGTGATTATTAATATAATTACATGTTGCCCAGGTCCAGTGTTTTAGTGACCAAGTTGTGGGTTAGTAGTAGTTTCTTCAAGATTGAAACGACTTCGACTATATAAGTAAATTGGGATTACCACTTTCCTCGAATTTTCATAGTTTGTATAACCAGACCGCCAACTACTTGATAAACCGTTTTGTATCTTATTGTAATTTCTATTTTTTGTCGTCTAATGAATATTAATTCGTTTCTTGCTTATTATATATAATGCTTATAATTCTTAGTTTGGTCCGTCTTAAGAAAAGTCCCCGCACTCCATCGTTTACAGTTGAGTTTTATTCTGACAAGAACATGCATGTTAACGTACTCTTTTTTTTGTGTGCTTCAGATTTTCGTTGATTCCATATTAAGAAGTTTTTGTGCATATCTCGAAGTGAGTTTGTGTTATTTTTTTTCCACAACTCGTGCGACGTGACGTGAGTTTATGACTTTGTGGACTGTTTTTATCCACAGGTCAGAAAGACCGATTTACCTGTCTGAAAAATATCTAAAGCCAAAGAGAACATTCAACATATGACAGTACAGTGTACATTAAATGTTCCGAGTTCCGACCCTTTTAGGCTTTCAGCCTTGGAAAAGTAATTGTTGCATAAAATAAATATATCCTTTATCGGAAAAACGTTGTGGAATATTTTGACGTCATATGGAATACTGATATTTATGGACTATTGACGTCATTAAAATCAGAACTATAGTACGTACAGTACTTAAATTTGTATCCAGTGTTTCCTTCAGCATATTGTTGGAAAAAAAAGTTAGGAAACTGAGAGTACGTACAAGAACCTCCATCTCGAAAAAAAATTTCCACTGATCAAAGTATCTGCAGTTAATAAAAAGAAATATTTTAGAGGAAATTTCAAAAAGTTGAAGTCCACGTATGAAACACTATTAAACGACGCCGGCAGATGCACAGGACAGAACCCACGCACGCATATACTATAAAAGAGCTCTCTGCTCCTTCTTCAAAACTCTCACTTGCCAGCCAACTCATAAACAAACAAAACTCTCTCTTCTCTCTATCTTCTTCTTCATCACATAATATACACAATAAAGAGTAGATCAGTTTATGAGTGGTAATAGTATATATGGAAAAGGAGAATTAAAGTATCGAGGAAGAATAGAATGTCCATAAGACGTATCTATCGCTGCCTTAATGTTCTTATCAAAAGATCCAGCCCTTTCTTTATATGATCCATATCACAAAGTCCACAATACAAAATCTCTCCCCTTCTTTCTCTCTTTCTCTATCGAGAGCATCTAATATTACATTGATCAAGAATCAAGAATGGTACGAACACCATGTTGCAGAGCAGAAGGGTTGAAGAAAGGAGCATGGACGCAAGAAGAAGACCAAAAGCTCATTGTCCACGTTCAACTTCACGGTGAAGGAGGATGGCGAACCCTTCCCGATAAAGCTGGTATAACTTTTTGTAAAAAAAATATTATCTCCGCCAATTTGGAATATTCAATCAGTTTTTCTTTGCATTCCACTTTTTATTTGATAATTAATGCTTTCAATAATCATAACACTACAGGACTCAAAAGATGTGGCAAAAGCTGCAGACTTAGATGGGCCAATTACCTTAGACCTGACATTAAGCGTGGAGAGTTTAGCCAAGAGGATGAAGATTCCATTATCAACCTCCATGCCATTCATGGCAACAAGTAAGTTTTAACTCTTTACATTGCCATCGATTTGAGAGAGAGGCAGAAATATCAACTTGACTTAAGGACAATACAAGCTCAATTATTTGCATATACAATTGTTTGTTTATACTTTTCTGTAATATATTTGCATTTGCACAAAAAAATTATATTTTTTAGAATACAATACCTTAAGTTTATTTGATCAAACAAATATCATTTAAAAATTATTAAAGCAAAGATGAAAAGTAAACAACTTTTGGTTTTGTACAAACAGTCAAATTAAAACACAACAATTTAGCTAGGCCCCCTAAAGAATCCTCACAAAACATGTATTTCATCAAAGTGATATTTTTACGCATTTGCTAATAATTAATATTTTGGTTAATCAGATGGTCGGCTATAGCTAATAGGTTACCGGGAAGAACAGACAATGAAATCAAGAACCATTGGAACACACACATCAAGAAACGTTTAGTCAAGAAAGGTATTGATCCGTTGACCCACAAATCTCTTCTTGATGGTGCTGGTAAATCATCGGACTATCCGGAAACAGAGCCAGATAAAAGCAGCGTTGATCATGTGGAAGATGATCATAAGAAGTCAACCATTAAAAAATCTTCAGGATCACCATCAGCTCGGTTCTTGAACAGAGTAGCTAACAGATTTGGTAAGAGAATCAACCACAATGCTCTATCTGATATTATTGGAAGTGGTGGCCCACTTACTAGTCACACTACACCTACACGTGCTTCTGAATGTGAGAAGTCAACCAGCTCTTCCTCCACCCCAACCTCTTCGAATCTCCTCGTTAGCCAAAACATGAATCTTGATGCAAAATCTTTGTCCTCGTACACGTTCTCCGACAACTCCCCCGTTAACGATCCGTTAATGTACGATAATATGTTCGATGATATAGAAGATATCGCGGAATTTGCATCTGGATTTATGAGTGATGTTGTTTCTCATGATGATGAAGATTTCTTGATGTTGGATGAGTCTTGTTTGGAGAACACCTTGTTCATGAGGGAACTTACAATAATTCTTCAAGAGGACAAAATTGAGACGACTTGGTTTAAGGATAGCCAGGTGACGCCGATCAATGAGGTTGATGATGCCTCCTTTGAAGAGTTTGACCACTATTTTGGTTGAGTATTTGCTGTTTACTATTTTTACATGTCGAGAAATTAGCTCCTACAAGATTCTACTTATTTTATGATGATGAAAATTTGGCAATGTAAATCAATTGGACTTTGATTTGCAGTGTGTGTGTGTGTGTGTTTTCTTAGTATGTGTGAGTTTTTGACTTACATATATTTTTAATCTAAATTTAATTCTGTATTAAATATTTAATTAAGGATATTAATAAAAGGTAAATTCTCCTTAAAAAACAAAAATGGTTTCTAAACAAAGTGAATGAGTTTGGATGGTACTTGGAGAATTCACATAGAGATCGTAAATTGGCAATGGACAACGTTTGTTATTCCTCATTCCCTTTATAATTGAGTATCCTCTTTGTCCACATTCGATTGATTTATGTTTGGTTATTATAAAAAAAAAAAATTGGTTAAATGTTACGTTGGTTATTATAATTTATTTACAAAGAACTCATAAAAAAATTAGGATAAGCATATGAGATTTGTGACAAAAAAAAAAAAAAGGCATATGAGATCTTCGTAAACTTGATTACAAAACTTACTCCGTCTAATAAACATATGATGCTTTGCCTAATCTAGAAGTTAGTTTACCTTGTATAGCATACTCAGAAGGTAAAACTGAAATGTAAATATCATAGTTATCCAATCTTGAACAAAAAAGGTCTACTTCCACCATAAAAGAAAAACAAAGTGTATTTAGGTTTGGATCTGAAACACCATTCTTTAATAAAGGAAATGAACCACTAAATTAACAAATGAAAAGAGTCAAAAGACATTTTACAAAGATCCGACTGTCGATTTACCAATTAACATATATTATATGTACCGATATTGTTTTATTTTATATTAAGCATGTGCATAATGTTCCATTCCCGTATTTTTTATGAATCTTGAGTGGACAAGCTCGCTAACCGCCACAGGGAGCAGGTGAGAGTGAGATCTGTGAGAGAAGGTGAGGCACGTGACCACCCATGCTAATTTTAAAGTTCTTTTAACAGACCACTATCCAATATTAATTCGTTATGACAGTTGGCCAGTGGATGTAATGCCTCCAAATCCAATACAGTTTCCGCAAATGGGTTCATTTTCCTGTGGTCATGTCATGTATTTTATGCAATTTTCATTTTTCTTTAGCCATTTTATTAACTTTTGGGATCGGCTAGTCCTATTTTGGTTGTCTTTTTATTTGATAAGAAACTTCCTTTCGATTGGCTGTATTTTATACCTCTTTTATCTTTTCTGGCTAGTAGCTAATTAATAGAATTATTTGTACTTATTCCCATCAGATATGCTTGATTCCGTTTCTCTCTCAGTTCTGTAATCGATTTTGATGGAATACAATACTAAGTGTATACATAATAAAACAAATTAAAAAAGTGAGATCACCAACTTATGTCCTATGGACCTATGCTACTCCGAGCCTTTCTTCAAAAAGTTATTCTACTTGCTGGTTATAGCTTTTTGTCGCACTTGATTACAAACAAAATTGTCTACTCTTAGAAGAGTTGGTAAAGTACCTTGATATTTTCAAACAACTATGTGAGTCCACTTATGATACAGCATGGATTTGTATAGAGACGGTGGCATAATTAACGTTTGATAGTCTTATACTCTTATAGACAAAATATTTTTATGCTGTGGCCTAAATTCTCTTTTTTTATTTTTTTGGTATAAAAGATTTTGTCGTCTGATATGCTACAAGTTTGTTTGGTTTATTGTGTAAGAATAAATCGTTCCATACATGAAATACGAATGCATCTTACGGATATCATGTGATTGTAGTTTTTTTTTTTTAAACATTAATTTGTAGAAATTTTGGCCGTAAAAAAGCGTAATGTAGTTTAAGAAAAGTTAAAACCATATATTATTGGCTTTTTGAGGAGTTTGGGAAAACTTAGATAAACTGGTGAAGCTGAATGTTTGTTGTTTTTACTGTTTTGTCTTGTCGCAGAAGAGAAGAAGACGACCGTTATTGTTAGTTGGATTCGTTACAGCTGCTGGGCTTTGCCATTGAGTTTTGTCACATTGGGCTTTGTCTCACATTGGGCCATCAGTCAAGATGATGTCGTTTTGATGCTCTGACATAATTCTTGTTAAGACCTTGAAAGTTGAAAACCACTAAAGGTTTGATTGGCTACATTAGAGCATGTTTAACGCAGAGCGCTTAGTCCAGCGCTAAGCCAAATTTCGATTTAAATAAATCAAAACTAAATTAAAACTGAGAATTCGACGCTTGTTTAGACGTTACAAGCGTCGCCGCTTGATACCACGTGGCAGCTCACGATTCGTTGGGTGAAAATGAGAAAAAAAAAACTCTTGCTCGCTTCTCTCTCTTCTCTCTCTTTCCCGTCTCCAATGGCGATACAAGATTTTCCCACTCTGAGTTCACTCGATTCTGGATTCGCTAACAATTGGTTTCTCAAATATCCGGCGTCGCAATTTCACGGTGGTGAGTCTCGATTCCTCCCTCTCACCTCTTCTCATACCAGGCGTCTATGTCTTCCATTGGTACACGCCCCTCCCTGAAAAATCTTGTGCTTTCGCTAGATTGAATCGAATCGGAAAAACAAAAATCAATTACATGAATTGAAATCCTTTGCTTATATAGGATGTTGTTGGAATTGTAGCGAAACTATCAGATTGTTGATTGATTATCTCAAGGTTCCTGAACTAAGACATTATGCATGTGTTTTCCCATCATTCTTGTCGTTGTATGGTTTTTTTATCTGTTTAAAGGGTGAAGAACTAAAGAAGATTGTTGAGGATTTGATAAATACATTTATACTTGTTTATTCACTGTTTAGTTACATGTTTATGTAGTGGAGTTACTTCAGATTGTTAATGGTAACGGTGTGGGGATGATTGTGAATTAGGCTGTGAGGCTTATCTGACTTAGACGTTTATGTTTGTTATAATAATGTTAGCATAATACAGAAATAAAACACAAGAGCAATCCGTGAATGATGCAGATATGTGTCACAAAAACTTGTTTATATCAAAGTACTTTTTTGGCAAATTCCAGGACTTTTGATGTTTTGTGTGTGCATTGATATTGTTGCTTCTGTATAGCTAGATAGACCTTCATACGCAGAAATAACAAGCTTCAACCATTTGTCCAAATTGTTTGTTCTGTAGATATTTGTGTTACATTGATCTTCTCCTCATGCCCATGGAAGAGTGATCGCTTACATGTTTCCTGCAGTAAATTGATATTCTTCTTATATTTGCAGGGAAGTAACTTTTGCAGAAAGTTGCAGAGTTGGTACCAAGACATCCGGAGAGAGTGAAGAAGCAGGAATCTCAGAAAGCAAAGAAACAAGAACCTCATGGTTGAGATTCTGCAGAAGCTGTGACATACTACAAATTCGATTGAGAAATTTGGCTTTATATAGGTGAGTTGGATTCTGCAGAAGCTGTGACATACTACAAATTCGATTGTTGAGCTTCATGGTTGCAGGCTCTTGCCAAGACATTAAATGTACCGCAGTTAGTTTACTTGCAAAAACAGTTTACATTTTTTTGTTTCTTAAGCACCCCAATAAGATCTTCCCATTGGAGCAAAAAAAAACAGAGAACTCTTAATAGAATGCTTACAACAATTTTAATGATAAAATACATTTTAAACACCCCATTAGCACCTTGCGTTAAACATGCTCTTAGCCGCTGATTCATTTGTCACCTTCCCACTCCATGATCAAAAACTTAAACAAATCTTCCACTTCACTAGCTAAGTTGCATATTACGCACGTGCTCACACCAAACCAACAACCTACGAATCACATATCAACACGTGGGTGAAAAAGGCTCCACTACAAAACCGAACCCGATACTGTGTGAACACACACTCACCACACAAAATTACGCTCCACCACCATTGCTCTTATCTTCCTCTATCTCCAATGGAATCCCAAACCCTAACCGACACGACTTTACCAAACCAAGACGAGATCAAGACAGAGTCAACAGAGTTCGAGAAGAATCAAAAACGGTACCAAGACGTGATCTCCACGTTTCCTCAAGAGAAAGGCTGGAGACCGAAAGAGCCTCTGATCGAGTACGGTGGTCACTGGTGGCTACAGCCTCTCGTCGAAGGTTGTCTTCACGCGCAAGAACGCTTCCAAGCGCGACCCAACGACTTCTTCGTCTGCAGCTACCCGAAGACAGGTACCACTTGGCTCAAAGCCCTAACTTTCGCAATCGCAAACCGATCACGCTTCGACGATTCATCCAACCCTCTCCTGAAACGTAACCCTCACGAGTTTGTTCCTTACATCGAGATCGATTTCCCTTTCTTCCCTGAAGTCGATGTGCTCAACGACAAAGGAAACACTCTGTTCTCGACCCACATGCCACACGGGTCGTTACCCGATTCGGTTGTGAAGTCGGGTTGTAAGTTGGTTTACATATGGAGAGATCCAAAGGACACTTTCATCTCTCTCTGGACATTCCTCCACAAGGAAAAATCAGAACTTGGACCTCTCAGCAACCTCGAGGAGTCTTTTGACATGTTCTGTCGTGGTTTGTCTGCGTACGGTCCTTATCTTGACCATGTCTTGGCGTATTGGAAAGCTTATCAGGACAATCCAGATCGAGTCTTGTTCCTCAAGTACGAGACGATGAGAGCTGATCCTTTGCCGTATGTGAAACAACTTGCTGAGTTCATGGGGTATGGATTCACTGATGAGGAAGAAGAGAAAGGAGTTGCTGAGAAAGTGGTGGATCTTTGCAGCTTCGAGACGTTGAAGAATCTCGAAGCTAACAAAGGAGAGAAAGAGAGAGAGGATCGTGCTGCTGTTTATGCGAACAGCGCGTATTTCAGGAAAGGGAAAGTTGGAGATTGGGCTAATTATCTGACTCCAGAGATGGCTGCTCGTATTGATGGGTTAGTGGAGGAGAAATTCAAGGATTATGGTTTGCTTGAACATGGTAAAATGACAGATTCTTAATCCTTATGTGCCTTTGTTTACACCTCAAGTTTACTCTACTCCTTGTGCTTGTTTGTTTCTGTAATGTGATAAGCTACACAATGAAAGAATAAATATTGCTTCTTCTTCTTATCCAAATGTATTGTTTCTATAAAAGAAGTTTGCTTTGTAGTGCCATTACTTATATTCGCTGGCCTTATCCCTCATGTATGCAGAGTCAACTTTTGAAAATCTCTTTTCTTTGTGATTATATTAAATTGAATCCGAATAAATTGGAAAAGTGGTGATTCTGGTATTTAGGATCATAAATCAGAGATCTTTCTTTTATTAAACATACTCAAACAGAAAAAAAAAAACAGAGCATTTTCTGTTTTGGGATAAAAGAGGACCGTCCTGTTGTTTATGCGAATAGTAATTTGTATGCAGTGGTAAATTATATACTGGAGTGTAAATATTGTTCCTGCTTTATCCAAATGTATTGTTTTTATAAAAGGAAGTGACTTTGCAAGCTAACCACCATTGTCTAATTTGTGCAGACTATGGTTTCTGTGACTTTTGTTTCAGTCTCTTATTCATACCACAGAGATGAAGTAGCCTTGTTGTGATTGTACGAATACTAATTCAAAGCATTTAGGATCATGAATGAAAGATCTTTATCTTGTTATTAAATAAGATGATACAGACAATAATAATGAGATACATAGTAACATAATCAAACAGAGGAAAAAAACAGAGTATAAACAGAGTATACTCTGTTTCGCGCCAAATATCAAAAACGACGAGAAGAAATAAATCAGTTATCATGTCGAAAGCAATCCAGTATCTTTAAATTTCTCCTCCACTAACCCGTCGATACGAGCAGCCATCTCCGGAGTAAGATAATTAGCCCAATCTCCGACCTTTCCTTTCCTGAAATACGCGCTATTCGCATAAACCGCAGGACGATCCTCTCTCTCTTTATCCCCTTTGTTAGCTTCAAGATTCTTCAACGTCTCAAAGCTACAAAGCTTCACAACTTTCTCAGCAACTCCTTCCTCTTCTTCCTCACCAGTAAACCCATAACCCATAAACTCAGCGAGTCTCTTCACAAACGGCAAAGGATCAGCTCTCATCGTCTCGTACCTCAAAACCAGAATCCGATCCGGATCCTCTTGGTGAGCTTTCCAGTAACCCAACACATGATCCAGATAAGGACCGTACACAGACAAGCCTTTACAGAACATGTCGAATGCTTCCTCGAGAGTCGCGAGTTGTCCCTCTTGAGACTTCTCCTTGTGGAGGAAAGTCCACATGGAGATGAAAGTGTCTTTCGGGTCTCTCCAGATGTACACCATCTTGCAACCCGACTTCACGATGGAGTCGGGTAACGACCCGTTTGGGATGTGGGTTGAGAAGAGCGGGTTTTTGCCGTCTTGGAGGACGTCGACGGTTGGGTAGAAAGCGAAGTCGATCTCGACGTAAGGGACGAACTCGTGTGGGTTTCGTTTGAGGAGTGGGTTTGTGGCGTCGTTGAACCGAGACCGGTTTAGGATTGCAAAGGTTAGGGCTTTGAGCCAGGTGGTGCCGGTTTTCGGGTAGCTGCAGACGAGGAAGTCGGTGGGTCGGGCTTGGAAGTGGTCGTTGGCGTGGAGGAGACCTTCGAGGAGACATTCTTGCCACCAGTGTCCGTTGTATTGGGTTAGAATCTCTTTGGGTCTCCAGCCTTTGCTCTTTGGGAGGGAAGAGATGAGGTCGTGGTACTTCTTTTGGGTTTTCTCGAACTCCGAGAGCTCCACGTCGGATCCGTTCTGGGTCGGGTTCGGTTCCAAGACTTCGGATCCGTTTTGGGTCGGGTCCGGTTTCGCAACTTCGGTAGTTTGCGATTCCATTGGAGATGATGATGGGATCAGAGGATAAATCGGGAAGCTTTTTGTGGAAAAATGAAGAAGATGACTGAGTGATTGTTGAGAGATGATGAGGAAAAGGGTTTTTTATAAGAGAAGGGAAAGATTTAGGTAGGTGATGATGATGGCTCAATAATAATACTTTGTGGTTCGCATCATTTGAATGGAAAAAAAAAGCGATTAACAAACCATATAATAATATTGATTTATGTCAATTAAAAATAAAATAAATTTGATGTGCGTTTGTAAAATTGAATTTTGTTGAATATGAAATTTTTGTTTTGGTATGAATGTTTAAGCTTGAATTAGAAATTTGATATTATTAATTAAGAAATCTTTGGTGTATAGCTTATATGTTAAAATCAGATTTTATATATGTAGGTAAGTTCAAGAGACTCTAAATTCAAAGTAAGGAAGTGTATACTAATGAAGTCAAACATTTTCAGGAACCAAATTGAATATTCTTAATTTTGTTGAGTGAGAGAAGAAGTTGTTGGAACTAAAAAATCACGTTTTAGAAATGGAAGTTTGTAGGTAGAGACTGGTCTTGCCTCTTGCGCCGCTATTGACTTTTCTGTGCAGTGTCGAAGCCTATGGAGGCCCAAAACGTATCATTTGGAAGTTGGACATTTTTTCTTTCTTTTAAGCAAAAGGTTTTACTCTTCTTTGTCATGGAAATCAGAAAAAAAAAACGAGAGAAAAGCTGAAAAGGAAAGAGAAGCATAATACTGGATAGTCTACAAAAGACCCTAATTTAAACCCTAGGGATTGCTTTACAGACAAGGCTGTTCTTCATCTCCAAAGAGAGCTTCAAAGCCTCGCTCAAATCCACTTCACCGCAAGGGACCCACTTGAAACTTCCAAGCAACTGAGCCAGCCATAGCTCAACGGTGGCTAGACCCATAGACTTACCAGGACAGACCCTACGCCCAGCGCCAAAGGGAGCAAGCCTCAGATCAGACCCCATGATGGAGAAATTATCACTTTCTTGCGCACCAAGAAACCTCTCTGGCTTATACATATCAGCCTCTGGCCAGACCTTTTCATCGTGGGTTATAGCCCACATGTTGACCATCGCAGTGGTCCCAGCAGGGATAAAGTGGGTCCCGATCTGAGTGTCGTGAATGGAGAGACGAGCCCATGAGAGGAGAGGACCAGGTGGGTGCATCCTTAGGGTTTCTTTGACGATGGCTCGAAGGTATGGAAGCTTGGAGAGGTATGAGTCTGAGACTCCACGTCCCGAGTCAGCCATGACAGCATCGATCTCGTCTTGTGCCTTGGATTGAATGTCAGGGTGAAGAACCATCCTTACAAGAATCCATTCCAATAGAATCGCAACCGTGTCTGTTCCCCTAAAAATCATTTCCTATATACAAAACAAAAAGCATCTTCAGATTATGTTACTTAATCCACAAACCATATATACACACGTACTTACCCAAAGAACAGCGATCATATCGGACTCGGAAAGTTTGTTGTTGCCTTGCATGCCAAGTAAGACATCGACAAAGTCATCATCATTACTGCTCTCTTCTTCTTGATTATTGCGAAGAGACCTCTTTGATTTGTGGTCGTCGATTATCTTTCCGACGAACACATTCACTTGACCGACCAAGCTACGGCATCTTCTCCTCACGCCTTGTAAATCTAACCACTTCATTCCAGGGAAATGATCGCTCCAGTTGAAGATTCCAAGAAGCTCATAACCTTCCGACACCAAATACTCCAACTCGTTGCTCTCTTTCGAGTTGACAATACTACCATCGTTGAAGTTGTACGTTTTGCCGAATACGCTAGACATCACGTTGTTGAGTGATCCGAATTGCAAGATTCTCTTGATCTTCACCTCTCCGTAACTCTCCATTGCGTTCTTGATCTCTCCTACCATGTTTTGTCCGATTTTTCGACGGGACTCGCCGAAACTGGAGATCCTCTTAGGGCTAAAGAGATGAGTAGAGGATATTCTCCTCAGCTCTCTCCAGTAATCACCAAAGGGAGCAAACCCCATGGCTCTATGGAAAAGCAACTCGTAAGCCGACTCTTTCACAGGCCGGTCTGCGAAAGCAGAGCTGTTTAAGAGCTCTTTGGCAGTCTCCGGTTCGCTGGAGATCACAAACCGGGTCGACCCGACGGAGAACGCCATGAGAGCTTTTGCTTTGCATGAAGTAGCAATATTGGCGAGGATTCTGTGTGTCAAAGCGTTGTTGACGAAGGCCAAGAGGAGGCCAACGATGGGGAGACCAGACGGGCCAGGAATGGCGGGTCCGGTTTTGTGTTCGGGTCGGGTATGGAAACGAGCTTTGTAAAGTGCCCAGGCAAAGCCACCTGGAGTCAACCAGAAAACGAAAAGGGAGATGAAGAGGAAAATGCTGAGACAAAGCTGGAGACTCAGAATTTGAGAAGAAACAGATAGAGAAACGAAGGAAACATACGAATCATCCAAAGCCATTTTCTTAAAGAAGTAATAGGGGTTGTTTTAGCTAGCGAGCCAAAGAAAAGAGAGTAGAAACTGTTTGATGATGATGAAGGGTAGTGACTAGTGAGACTTGAAGACGGAATTTATAGGTCAAAGAAGCATATTCTAGATTTCTAAACTACTACGGACAATATCATTTTACATTGAATATACATAATATTTAGGAGTGATTATGTGATATGATTTTTGTTTTGGTCTATATATGATAAGATTTGATATTGCATTAAGACTTTCTTATATAGTGGAAGAAATTTAACTAGGGTTAGATTAACTAATAGTTAATTAAAATCCTAGCAGGGTAAACTTTTAACTATGGTTAAAATTCTTAATTAGAAAGACGCAACTTGCAGCCCTTAATTTGTTTTCAGTTTCATGGATTGGAGGAGTTGCCCTTTCGTTGCATGGTTTATACTTTATACATGCCATGCAAATTAAGCCATATATGTATCCACATATTATATGTTAAAATTTTAAATAAATATCTTGAGAAATAGATAAACATACAGTTTATTCTTAAGAAAAAAACTTAGATAACTTTTATAGTTTTGCACACACAAAAAAAAAGATAACTTTTATAGTTAATTTTTCTCTACAAATGACTATTCATATGTATTTCTGTTTTTTTTTAACCAATTCCTTCCGGTTAGTCAATAGATCTTACGGACATCGATACGTTCGCAGTCAAGTGGATCTAGCATTGTCGGACCATATATTCTTTAATATTTTCCGAAGAATAATCAGTACAAAAAATCGGTATGATAATGTAAGAACAATATGTAGCCACTTTTATATCTACGTATGTACAATGAAAATATACTGTGTCTCCGAATAACTAGAAAAATGAACAAAAATGCGAGTCCGTTACGGATGAAAAGTTGCAAAAAGTCAAGGAGGAATATATGTAAAAACATAATAAATTAAAACTAAGAAGCTATGTATAGAGATTATTGACAGTCTTAATATACAATACACTATGGTCGGTTAAATTTTATATTAGGATCTGATTTGAATGTGAACGACAGAACGAGTTATACAAAGTTGGCTACCTATTTGAACCTCGAATTTCCTACCGCAAACAGTAATTTTGTTTTGTTTTGTTACAGAAGTAGTTTTTACTAGTTTGATGTACACAGTAACATATGTGATACACTTTTTTCCTTACGCGTTTAGTGAGATTATTATTGTGTTCCGACGTCCGACCATGTCATAAATCTATGAAAAGTGCCATGTCGTAGGTGCTTTAGTTAGTCAACATTTCATTTCTTAGCAAATGAAATACTAATAGTAAAGTGGAATTTGTAATAATTACTGAATTAAAACGCCCATCAATGAAATTAAATAACAATACAAGGACGTAATTTCGACCTAGATATTCCATTGGGAGATGATCTACCCAAAATCGTCAACCAACAAGATGGATTTGCTTCCCTTTGACCCAACATGAAAAGTCACTGTTTCCTCAGTGTCTCTAAAAAAACGCACATGAAGACCGATGCTTGGCCTAGTTTATAGTATTTACGTTGAACCTTTAGAACATGAATCAATGAATATATGAAAATCAGTTCGGATGTTGATGATCTTATTAATGATCGAGCCTGCCAATCAAGTAATACAATGTGGTTTTAACTTTTAATCAGGGTATAGTTTTTGGATCCATATGATCATATGAACAAAACAAATTAAAAATGGCTCAACATAGTGATATACATAACGTTTTTTTATCCTCAGAATTTTCTATAAAGCAACTCACACAGAGGTTAGATTAACAACTTTATGGGTTTTGAAATTTGAAGCCACATTTTCATTTTTATAACGTCTTATAATCCCATAATTTGTTTTTATCCTGTCCAAAATCGAACTATTTCAAATAATGTTTTACAGTTTTCAACATTTAATGGTAATTACTGGTAATTTACCAACTAATGGACCAAAATTTATGTAAGTGTTGTTACTTGTTACAACCAAATTCCGGCCTGGGTTGATATATAATTTAATCGATAGACATACCAATAACGTCTTAAAAACATAGTAATATGGTGTCCATGAATGATGCAGGGTATGGACCAAACATAGCCTCGACCTCGTTACCCACAAAATTGTCTCCTTCAACATTGATACCACCCACACACACACACACACTGACTCATATCATCATATGCCATATAAAAATTGAAGCAACGCTCCATAAGTCCATATATTTTTATGTATATGGTCATAGGTTGTCTAACTCAAGAGACAATTTAAGCTGTAATGATGCTTAGCAAGAAAGCAAATGTCACAAACCGTGTGGGTCTTCGTAAATTCCATTTCTAACAGAAAACCGACAAACCGTTGTTATATACGTTTGACCAAGTCAAAGATGTTATTCCACCAACTGTCTCAACACTTGCTCGTGCTTCACTCTCCTAATCTTTGTTTTGTTTTATTATACTACTCCACGTTATCATATACACAAACCTCGCAACACTATACTTAATACAAAAAGTTTTTGCCGGCCTATACTTGCCAAATTTATTGCTATGCTAATTTAAGGCAGCAATACAGCATTCCTTTTAATTTTCAAATCACTGATCCAAACGGGCCTAGCATTCCTTTCTAAAAGTTTCCTAACGGGCCTATAACTAACCCAGCCCGGCCCAAATTTTAGAAACTAACTAATTACAACATTTCCTCAACAAATCTTTCAAGGAGAAACATGAAAACGAAAGCCAATGGGCGTTGGTAGAGATCTTTCAGCCTCCAAGATGCAGATCAAGAAGTGGACATGCTTATACAGTTGTTTCTGTCACTGTCCTCTGAAATCTTATAGCTCCCTGAAGTTTCCTGATAATCCATATCACGAGTCACATCGATTCAGAGCAGCTCGTAAGAGGCAAGTCTTAGTTCCAAGCATTGCAAGGAATATCCAAATCTACTAAGCAAGTGACGACTCCATAAAGGACTTCATATTCACCACATCTTCCCTCCTCGTTACATGACTAGACGGTTTCATAAGCTTCCAAAGCCCAGGAGGATGTCGTTGCTTCACTCTCGCATTCTCTCTTCTCTTCTCAAAGATCCTCTCGCACTCTGGATACGGCTTCACGTACAGATTATAAAACCTCTTCATGCTTGGCTTTATCAAACCTTTCAACCCAATCTCACACCCAAGCCCTCCTCTCAGTTTCAAGTAATCAATCACATTGTACCTAGGAACAATCTGCTTCTGCAGATTCACACCTAGATACTCCGGTACATCAGCTAAGCAACTAACGTGAAACCCCATCCGGTTTGTTAAAAACTCAATCTTCTTCTCAATCTCATCGATCTCGTACAAGATCACTCTCGGCTCTCTCCACACAACCTTGAACGCGTCTCTGTGGATCAAACCGTATCTGCATAAACAATCGATCCTCAGCTTCACTTGGAATCCAGCACGGAACAATCCTTCGCTGAGGATGCTAACTCTGATCACTTCTCTGCATTTCAACGTCTTGATCAGCTCCAAACACCGTGAAAGCTCACCTAACTCCAAACCGAGAACTCTCGGCTCTCTTGCGATCTCTTTCTTTATCTCTCATTGCTAAATCCCATCTTCTTGAATTCATCAAGCAATGGTTTGAGTCTGGTCTCAGTACCAATCCCGAGAATCTCAGGGAAAATGTGGAAGAACCTCTCAATGTTCTCTCTCGGAATGTTGATTCCAATCAAAAACTCAATCTTTGTACGGATTTCAATCTCATTCACAGCAATAACGCCAGGAAACGCACTTAAGATCTTACTAACAGTACTATCGCAAAACCCTAAACTTCAGAATCTTCGTGCATTCGTGAAATTTCTCAGGACCGATTCCGATTCTACTGGAATATTCGAGGACGCTCGTAATCGCGGAGGAAGAGAGGCCGAATTTCACGAAATCCGAGATTGGAGCTCTCCATTTCCTCAGGAACTCCGATCGGAGAACGTGAGGGCAATCGGAGATCAACTTAACGAGTGATTTCTGGGGATTTTCAGCGATAACAATACACCGAGCGAGCTCTCGGTCTCGGCTAAATCCGATTCAGCAGGAAATTGTTCTTTGAGAGGAAGTGTTGGAGAGAAGATTGAGGGAATCCATACCTCTGAAGGAGATTCGCGAGCAAAATCTGTTTCCGATAGTGCGATTGGTGGACAGGTTCGAGAATCCGCGAAGAGGGATTTGAAGAAGATACCGAGCGATTCTGGCGGGATAGAGTTGCTGTGTAGCCGCCATGGAGATTGATGAAGGTTTTAAGTTTTGAGGCCATTCTGATTTCAGCTTCTCACTGTACAAAGGAGGAAGAAGACAATGTCAGTGTGAACAAAAAAGAACAAATAAATGATCATAAATTCATAACTAACACTTTTACCCTCAAATTTCATCTTATTTTTTATAAAACCTCTCACAATTAAATTTAGATTTTTTCTTTTACTTTTAAATGTCAAATTTCGATTGTAGTGTAGATATATAAATGGATACAATTTTTATATGTTAAAAGCATTACAGAAATTTCTCAATATCTACAATACAATTTTCTACTAGTTAGGAAATGAATACTACATAATCCGTTTTGATCTAAACTTTATAATCACATATGTTCTTGAATATTGTCATTCATGTAATGTCTAAACCTTGGTAATTGTTTCAGTTTGAAATCGCTCATGATCAGAACGACTAAATTAATTTCAAATTTTCTTTTCCAAATGGCGCAATGAATGGAAGAAGAGCATTGAACAACTGTGAATAAGTGAATAGTCATGGAATATGTGTGTGTTGGGAAAAAAAAACGAGGTCACATTAACAAGTGTAACAACTTTCATTCTCAGATTTATCCAAAAAATAATATTTTTTTCCAGACTTGTTTAGGGAAATTGTAAATTAAAAACTTGCAAATATTAATTGAACCATGAGTTCACATTTTTTAGCTTAGTAGAGAGACAAACATTGATGGAGTTGAACAAACTCAACAAAGGATGGAATCCAAATTGGTTTATAGGCGCTCAAATGCTCAATGATTCATAACATAGCCGACCCCCAAGTAAGAGAGATCAGCGTACGTGTTGAGACTTGAAGAGAACTGGAATCGGTACGGAATTGATTTGATTGGTGCAAAATCCTGGCACTAAACAAAGTAATTATATACCGTCTCCAATTATCATCAAGTCTCCATATCATAGAGCACATTTAAGCCAAAGTTGATCACATCCTCTGCTCCACTTCATCAATGAATATTTCTCCACCGAAAAAGATTCACCGTAGAGCATCTATCCTATCCTCTAGATACGACAATGTTTCCTTCATTTTTTTCTAAATTTTTCTTCTTCTCTTTATCTTTTTTTTTTGTTTTGCTTTGATTTTGTGGTGTTCGTGTTTTTTCCATTCGCATCGTTTCTTATATGCTTATAGCTCATTTCATTTACGTTCCCTCTTTCCAACTGCATTGCATTCTCATGCTACACTAAGTCAAAGTCAGGGACATCTGATGAGTTTTTTTTATTCGTACAAACACATAATCTTTACGTTCCCTCTTTGCAACTGCATTGCCTTCTCATGCTACACCTCATCACAGAGTTCTTGGGGAAAACACCTGGAACCTAAAGACCCGACCCAAACTAAAATCATACAGAACCGAACCAAACTAAAACCGACAAAAATACCCTAATGGGTCTTATACTTCTATACCCAAAAGAACCGGACCGAACCGAGATCAAACAAAGAACCGAATGGATACCCGAATTATCAAAAATATAATTATATACCAAAAAATATTAGTTATATTTAGATTTGAAATAACCAAAATATATAAAATTACAATTATAAACCAACTAAATTAGCTAATATTTAGCACACAATAACTAAAACATCCCATATATCCAAAAATATTTAGTTATTTATGTTAATATTCGTTTGTTTTTTTTTATTTAACTCAATTTTATTTAAATGAAAATACATATTTTTTTATTACATTTCATCCATACATGCGCTACTTCTTGAGTAACACGAGTTCTTGTTATCTAACTATCGGTTATGTTTGTTTGTGTCTTTAGGGCAAGGCCAAGAAAGTTTTTCAGGCGCAAAAGCTTTAGTGTGAGATCTTGAAATCCTAGCTAGAAACAGGAACTCCATATATGTTTTTCAATTTTGTAGCACAACGTTATATCCATATCTATCCATATTGCTTCTCATATGTTTTGGAGGGAAATATAATTATAAATGTAGATTTTAATTTACTATAAGTTCATTTTTGTTTATTTACTTAAGAATATTTTTGGCAAAATATATTAAGAAATTAATTTGAGATACACATATGTTTTAATATGATTGGCTAAAACATTTTGGAAGATAATTTTTTATATAAGATCAAAAACATAATCTAGTCTAATTTTATCTTCTCATAAATTAAAGATAATAATATAGACATATTCCACGTTTTGTTGTTATATAAGAGAGTGATTTTAATCATTTGATGAAAAGTGCTATAAACCCCAAACAAAAAGAAAGAAGTGCAAAATGAACAAGAATATGTGTGAGAGTGGCGAAGGGAACCATAACCCCTTGACGATACCAATGGAGATGGAGATGGAGATGGAGATAAGCAAATTACAAACAATCCTCGAGGTCATGTTGGTGGAGATACTCGCGAGGTTACCGTCGAGAAGCATCGCGAAATTCAAGTCAGTGTGCAAAACATGGAAATCTTTGATAGAATCTCCGTATTTCCGCCGTCTCTTCGTCTCCGTGCATGGAAACTCCCCTTCCTCCTGGTCACTCACGATCAGAAACAATGATCATCCTCCTATCAGGGAAGTGATAGGGTTTCATGGACGTGAGCCTCCCAAATCTCTGGCTTCTTATATCTTAGATTTTCAACAGAATCTGAATCTCCCTACTTCTGACTTCACATATCTTGCTTCTTCTAATGGATTAATCTGGATCCAGATCAATGTTCCACTCATATACCTTTCGATAATCCACATAGGACTCATAGATATTTCGTTGGTAATCCAGTTTTACAACAATGGGTAGCAATCCCTCCGCCTCCTGAGAATGGTCAGGCCACTAGTTTGGTAACGCGTGTGGAGGATGACGGCGTTGTTTCGAGCTTCAAATTGGTTAAGACTCGTCAAAGAATAGATACCAAACCGAACGTATGGAGAGTGTACGTGTATTCGTCTGAGACAAGGAACTGGACTTTGAAGCTAATTCTCTCCCCTCATCCATTTGACGATGATGCTGATTTTAAATCTCCTTTGAATCTCGACGGAGTACTTTATCTTCGGAAAAGGAGATGGGGTACTGGTGAACGTGGAGCCCTAGTAGCTCATGACTTCTATGGCCCTGACGCCGATGTTCAGTGTCGGGTTATACCTTTCCCTTTCCCGCATAGCAAAGACGCTAGGAGATGTTTGACTACTTCTAGAGGACATGTTATCTACGTGGACATACTTCATCGAAGATTAAATGTCTGGAGGCTCAACAACAACAACTCTGCCTCTGAGGGTCAAGTGTGGCACTTGTTACGTGAAGAAATCAATATGGCGTCTGTCGGATTTGATGGCATTTGTTATCCCGTAGCAATGAATCCGTTTGACGCTGGCATCGTTTATCTATGGAGTCTAAAACACAATTCTATGGTGTTTGGTAACTTGCGGACACACAAATTTACTCTTCAGAAAGAAGCAGAGTATTGTACTAGTGAAGGTTGTTATAGCATCATCAACACTTCCAATTTTATCATGGACATTCGTCCGTTTATAGAAGGTCGTATCTTGTGGGTTGCAAACGTATCCCATTTTGTGCTCCCATGGATGGATTCAGTACCTCGCCTAGGAGGAACCTTTTAAAATTGTTTATGTTCTTCTGGTTATCATTTATGTTCTGCGGGCGGGTTTGATCGAACCATGTTGGATTAATCCGCTACATTCTCATATTTATTTTGTATAAATAAACAACCATATTTTGGACATTGTTCTTTTAAAAAAAGCAACCAGTTTCTTTTGTTTTTAGATCTAAGTCCTTTATGAAGAAAGTGTTTGTTTTTTTTGGTTCTTGAATCTTGTTTAGCCTTTATTTCTTTTGATTTCTTGCACGTTATCTTAATATTCTATCATGTCTAGCATTCTTCTCTTTAACTTTCACATTTTTTTTACCTACTGTTGTGTGAGTAGATTTATTTTGGATAATGGATCAATAGATTTGGTTGGTCCGGCTGTTTGGTTGTAATGTTTTATTATAATGATTTTCATCATTTGTGGCTTGTCAATGCTATATTGAAGCTTCGTAAGATCACTTGGTCACGGACCAAGTGAGAGAGATCAGCAGGTTGAGACTTGAAGATAATTGGAGTCGGTACGGAATTGATTTGCTTGGTGCAAAATCTGACATTAAGCAAAGCAATTATGTACGGTCTCCAATTACCATCAAAGACTCAACGTGTTGCTCTCTCTTCTTTGAGGCTTGGTATGCTATCCATCATGGAGCACCGGCGAGGATCGATCCTATCCTTGAGATCGATACAACAATGTTTCCTTCATTTCTCTCTAAATTTTTCTTCTCTCTCTCTTTTTTTTGTTTTTTTTTTGTTTTGATTTTGCAGTGTTCGTGTTTCTTCCATTCCCATCGTTTCTTTTTCTTATATGCTTATAGCTCATTCCATTTATGTTCCCTCTTTCCAACTGCATTGCATTCTCATGCTACACTAAAGTCAATGTCAGGGACATCTCATGAGTTTTTTTATTAGTACAAACACAGAATCTTTACGTTCCCTCTTTCCAACTGCATTCCATTCTCATGCTACACCACATCACGTACATCTCATGATTTTTATTGTTTGTACCAACACAAAATCTTTCAAATAAACACAACTTGATTTTGGGTTTCATGCGAAGAAGAATCAAACTCCCCTCTTTCTTCTTTTTATATTCTGAATCACAGAACCCTCTGTCCTCTTCTCAAATGGCTTAATTTTGGGTTTGGTCCTATTATGAATATATAACTTTATCATGGGCCCCGCCGAAGAACAAATTTTATTTCAATATTAATCCACACGTGTTATGACTGAGTTTGAGGTTTCACAAGATAAACCCCTAGCTAGAGTTTTTTTTTTTTTTTTTTTTTTGTTGTTGTAAGTATCAGTCTTGTCTTCATGAAAGCAAAACTTATAGCTAGAGTTACTTAACTAGTTACTACATCAGTTTTCTCTCAGTCTATCAATGCCTAGCCATCCCTCATTATCATGGATGCGGGTGTTGTATGTTCTTGATCATTGTCATGTTGTTGAGGACAGTTTGTGCATGAAATAAGGGGGTAGATGGGAAATGCATTTCTTTTTTTATGTTGCTTTGGTATTAGATAATGTTATTAGATGAGCTGCTAATATCACATCAGAAATTATTGCTTCTAAAATGATTTCTGTTATCATTTCTTTGTGGCGTACATATTGATTAACATCATTTATATTAAAAAAATAAGAATTTCCCTGTTTTATGAATTAAGACAAACAAAAACTTATCGATTCTCTTAACATGTGCAAAAGTATGTAACATGTCGATTTTCTTATATAAAAAAAAAAAAAAAGAAAAAAAAAATTGGGCAAGATACCGGCCGGACGGAAGCTACAAGGTATAGAGAGACATATATATGAAGAAAGAAAGACAGAATATTGGACTACATTTTTGTGTCCTATATAAATAAAGTTGATCTTCGATTTGTTTGTTCAGATCTTGAGATAGAGAGGTGGGAGAAAACGGTTGCGTCGCGGATACAAATTCTCATAGTCTCATCCTCAGTTGATTTGCTATAACAGGTGTGCCTAGACGAGCAACAGAAACGTTTGAAACTAAGAGGAGTTGTGGAGTGTTTAGGGAGTTGTGGCTGAAAGAATGACAAGAGAGATGAAGGATAAAGGCTTTGTGTACGATGCCATCACTTCCTCATTTTTTACTTGAAGCTCATGGCAATGTACGTGGATCAAATCACACATGTGATAGAAAGAAACATATATAATTGATAATTTATAGTATACACAAGATGAATTCAATATTTCAGCCAATAAAAACAATTATATGAATATAATGCAGTACAAACTATAATTGTTTTTTTTTTTTTTTTTTGAACAACTTACAAACTATAATTGTTAATCTGAATTTTCACAAGCAATTGGGATCAACTGGGACCATAAACAGAGTGAGTAATAAATTGGATATGAATTCCTAGATTTATCTCCAAATATAAATAAAAATGCCAATACCAGAAAATAAAAGGTGGAAAGCAAACACCTATATTTGGAAAAAAATAATAATAAAAGTAAAGTATATATTAAAAATGGTTTAGTGCAATAATCATTTTTTTTTCCTTTAACAACAACCAAAATTAAAAGGATATACTTCATATATTATAGTATATATTTTCTTTTAAGAAAGAATTATATTTATTCTTCTCTAAAACAATCATGTTGGATTTTCCTTTTCAATAGATTTTTCATTAGATTTATTTTGTCTAATTTAGTTTTTCTTAAAGCATAATGTAGTTTCAGCGTTAAAGGGCAAGTTCAATTCTAGACATAATTTTTCGAAGAATTTGCTAGTTGCTTTCACTTGTGGTTCAATCATATATTAAATTACCCATGTTTTTTTTTCTGTTACTGGAAATTATCCATCTTTGATGGAATATCTTTTTTTTTTTGGTTAATTGGAAGCATCTTTTTCACTACTAAAATCTAAAATCAAAAGTCATGAGAGGGAAGAAGTAAGGAGGATATGCTATCAAATAAAGTCACAACACAACACGACAATTATGAATGAAAATCTTGACGTGGGGCTAACAAAAGGAATCAGAACATGTTTAATTTATAATGAATTTTTCAGCCCAAGAAAAAATTGAAAGAAAGGCTTCTGGAGAAAAGGATAAAGTATTTTAATAATAGATAGAGATAAGTCAAGAGTTGGAACACAGACCTCCAAACTCAAAGATTGTTACACCGCAAATAAAGTCCAACACATAAGATAAAAAAAGAGATAACCCAGTAACAGGCAGAAACTAAAAAGAAATCATATATTTCCAGGATTATTTTACTCTATTTAGTATAGTTTGGGTGGTTCCATAGTTAGCTAGACGAGGCATTCTTCAAGTCATAGACGAGCATCCTTCCTGTACCACCTTGCAAACAAACAAAAAAACGTCCCCAAGTTAGTATAATAAACTGTAAACTCGATTTTACCACTTAAGGCTAATGGTCTGAGAGTAATTCGTTAATTACCAGCCACCTACGGAGCAGGGGGGTAGGCTATTCTCACTCCAAGAGACACTAACCATCTGTTGCTCGACCGTCCGTGAAACCCTACAATTTTGTGGCCAGAGATGGTCTTTTTTTTTCCTTTCGCCGGCGCTCCGTAGAACCCACTACTTTTTCCTTTCTGTGTATTGAAACATAGAGCAGCAATGAATTCGCCGCCCTCTTCGTCTTTCCTGACTTTTTCGCTGTAAATTTCAACGCCAACGATGTGATCGTTTTGATCGATATCAAACTGCACCAGATTACAAAGATTTAGATATTAAATACACAAATGTCAATTAATATTCAATTCAAAAATAGAAAGTTTAGAACAAGTTAACCTCTTCTATAGCAAATGGAGCTCCACGACTGATCCCATGACCCGCTCCGTGTACAAGGTCCGTGCCGTCTTTGTAATGAAATTGTATGAAAGCCAACCCTCGCGGACAGCGTCCCATTCGTATCTTCGTCACGTTCTGGTGCTTACCATCATCCCATTCCTCTCCTAATTTAGTCCCGCCTTCTGCTTCTAGCTTTCTCGGGGGACGAGGACCGAGGTGTGTATCGATTTGCAGTAGTACATCACTGAATCTTCCCTTGAATCCAACAACCGCTGCTCCACGTCGAGCTGTAGTTTCATTGACATTTCTAGGTATCTCCTCCGGACCCTGCAAACCAAAGGTAGGAGAGGTTCTCCTTTCTGAAGTTTTGAAGACAAGCGTCCTCAGGGAATTGTATATCCCCTTGGTCCACGCCACCGATGTTATGTATTCATCCGGGTACTCAAATTTAAACTGCAATCAAAGATTCAATATATTAGTGATCCACGTAGTAGACTTAACATTCCTTCTGTATGTCTCATTTTTACGCTAAAGTACTATTAATTAATATTATACGAATATTAGATAGAATCATGAAACAACTTAGAATAACAACCAAAATTTAAATAAAAAACGTAGAAATCATTCATCAAGTAGACGTTTATAGCATTCAATTTACCCTCAAGTACTGATTTAAATATATATATAAATAGTTGTATAGGATTTTCTCTTAGATATATATAAAAGAATAATTGTATAGGAATATATATTTTTTTTGACAAAGATATAGGAATAGGAATATATATAATAGCATCATGAAACAACAATTTCATACCTCGGTCGCTGGTCCGTCAACTCCATGTCTCACTTCTACGATGTCTCCATTGTCTCTTTCATACAGCATCTTCAGAAACGTTACGCTCACTCCGTCGTCTCGTACAAAGACCTTCTTCAAACCTGCATATACGCCGTCGTCAAAAGCCGCATGCTCCATTTTCTCACTTTCTTTGATATGTTTTTTTTTTCTCTCTTTGATATTATGAGTGATGATGATGTTTGGGACCGCTTTGGGTGTCGTATATATAGAAAAAATTATACCGCTTTGTTATTTGTTAATTGGTGATAATGTTGTTTTTTCATATAAAAAATTACAACCAAACAGCAAATTACATACAAGTTCAACCTTCTATGAAGACTGTTAAAAGTCGATACCCAAAAAGGGGGGGGGGGTTTAATTTCCTCTTTTTTTCCATCTTTAGAGTCTGGATTTCTCTTTCAAGGTGCTCATCGTTTGCTTGGTCATTAAGTCCGACTTAAGATTAATGGAAATTAAGTATTTGCACCAAAAAAAAAAGGTGCTCATCGTTAATTTGCTTGGTCATCTGCATATTTTCGTGATGACATACAGCTGTAAATCACATTTTATACGAAATACTTTTGTCATATAATCAAAAACAAAAACTATTCTGATGAGTTTGTTAAGCAAGTTCCAGCCTGTTTCAAACATAACGCTATAAGACATACAAAAATAGATTCTTGTCTAAGAATTGCTTCATGCATGTTATATACTATGAATTAATTATTATTCGAATTATTTACGGAAATGGACATTACTTCTCTTGTTCTACCATCTTGCATAAACTGAGATTTCTAATTGTTGAAATAGTATGATAGGTGACTAACTGAGTATATAATATAAAAAGTTGTGTTTGGGTCCAGTCACACGGTACAACAAATTGACAAGTGACAATATCGATCGGAAATGAGTCAACATGTACTCTGACTTTCCATGTGATTTCATAAATCTTGTTGTTTCTGTATGTGCTCAATTAAAATTTGAGTTTGAGTTTCTGTACAAGGATTTCTTTTTACAGTTTTGATACAATGTCTATAGTTATAAGGTCGATAATATTAGCGTTATATGATATTTTTTCAGAAAAAAAAAATTGTATAGTTATCCCTAATTAAATTTGTTAACAACTGGGAAGAAACCAAAAAATTGCAAAAGTTGCACAGCTAAAAAACCTCAATCTTGGGTGATCCTGATGAATTGCAACGTCGTCAGAAAACAGAGAAAGGTTCATAAGTCACAACAACCACATCACTTTATATTTCGATTTTTGTTTTTTTTTTATCTTTCTCAGTTCCCACTCACGCTGAAACTAACCTTCGTATCTATATATGTATATACATATATACATCTTCGTTCCATAATTAGTAGCCGAGTTGTTCTGCAACATAAACTAAAGACTTACGAGTTACGATTCGAATATGGTACAACGAAAAGCTGGTTCAAGTAATAATATATTGATTTCTAGTGATTTGTCATTTTATCAGAACTGCGTAGATAAACATAACCTACAAGGACGTCATATACTCACATGTCACTTTCCACCAACCACCACTCTGACTTCATTTTTAAATTTTAATTTTTATATCAACATATGTATAATGTGTGTGGTGGTGTGTGCCGGTGTGCGCATATCTTAACTTTTACTATTCGCCGAATTATTTTCATGTGACAACTGAGAATAAACAAAAATGGAGTATCAGAATTTTGAAAGAAGAAGAGAAGGAAAAGTGAAGAGTACAAAAGACTAGAAAGATGAGTGCGTGGACAACATGTCTTTTTATAGAAACGACTGAAAATCGTTTATTGTGGGCCTATCTGACAATGTGTGACTTAGATATATACAAATTTACTATGACATAAAATATCTCTTCAGGAATATATATTTATGTTGTCTAGTATAAATTTTTATAAAATAATTTTCATAATTCAACATGCAATATTTTTCTGCCAAAGTGCTAAAAAAAGTAAAAAAAAAAAAAATACGTCTATGTTTGAGTCTTAATGTATTTTATGTATTTTTGGGGTCCCATTTATCATATTTGTTTAATACATTGCATTAATTAGTATAGCGTTATTTAAAGATTTTTGTATCTATTAATTAAAAGACTTCGCTGAAGTTTTAATCTCTATTGTATTCGTACAGTTATTCTCAACTTTTCTAATTTTGATGCGTCTGTTAAGCAAGTTCCAGCCGGTTTCAAGCATAATGCAACACTATAAGAAATACAAAATTAGTTTGTTACGTTGTCCAAAAATTAATATAACTTAATTAATATTCGAACTATTTGCGAGAAAGGACATTAATTCTCCTGTTCTACCATCTTGCATGCATGTCTTTATAAACTGATATTTAAAAAAAAAATATATATATATATATGATAAGTAAAGTGACTAACGGAGTATATATATTAATATATAAGTGTGATATGATCATCATTAGTGCTGACGTGCTGTTTTAAATTATGATGTGATCATCACATTAGCGTTATTTAAATTTTTTCGTTTCATTTCTTCTTTCCATTTTCACTCTTTCAAAAATCTGTTTGGAACAAAAATAAATTAGCAGGAAATTTTTGTTTAGGAACTTAATTGGAGAGGATGGAGAAGAAATGAGGAACAACCGAACAAGGGACCACCAAATTATATATACTATATTAAAGTGTGACAATGAAAGGTTACAGTACACTGTTTTCTTCTTACGAAAAAAGTTATTTCTTTTCTCAGGAATCACCCCACCGATCAATTCCAATTGTAAACCACCAACATTATTTCACGTATTTTACCATTAATAAAGTATATTTTCGCTGGTTTTCTTAATTATTTTGGGGGCAGCAAACTGGCTATTTTAATTATTTCTTCTATAAAATAGATAAAGTTTATGTACATATACTCCCAGTTACATTTATGTTCCAGTCTTGATGTATTTTTGGAGTCCCATTTATCATATTTGTTTAATACATTGCATTAATTAATACTCCCAGTATTTATTTAAACATTCTCGTATTTATATCTCTATTATATTCGTACAGATATTATCAATTTTTCTTTTGATGCGTTTATTAAGCAAGTTCCAGCCGTATTCAAACATAACGCTAAACTATAATTAAGATATACAAAATTAAATTGTTGTCTAAAAATTGCTTCATGTTATATTATGACTCAATTATTATTCGAATTATTTACGAAAAGGAACATCAGCTCTCTTGTTCTACCATCTTGCATGCATGTCTTTATAAACTGAGATTTAAAATTGTTGAAATAGTATGAAATTGTTAAAACTGAGTATATATATATATATAATCATCAAAGTTGTATTTGGGTCCACTCACACGGTACAACAAATTGTATCGGAAATGAGTTAACATGTATTTTGACTTTAATGTCCATGTGATTTCATAAATCTTGTTGTTTCTGTATGTGCTCAATTAAAATATGAATTTGAATTTCTGTACAAGGATTTATTTTTATAGTTTGGTACAATGTATATAGTTATCAGGTCGATAATATTAGCGTTATATGATATTTTTTCAAAAAAAAAAAATGTATAGTTATCCCTAGTTAAATTTGTTAACAACTGGGAAGAAACCAAATTTGCAAAAGTTGCACAGCTAAAAACCTCAATCTTAGGTGATCCTGATGAACTGCAACGTCATCTGTAAACAAAAAAGGAATTCATAAGTCACAACCACATCACGTATATTCAATAAACCTTTACCTTTTATGTTTCGATTTTTGTTTTTTTATCCTTCTCAGTTCTCAGTTCCCACTCACGCTGAACCTAACCTTCGTATATATATATATATATATATATATATATATACATCTTCCTTCCATAATTAGTAACCGAGTTATTTTGCAATATAAACTAAAGACTTACGAGTTACGATTCGAATATGCAACAACAAAAAGCTGGTTCAAGTAATAATATTTTGATTTCTAGTGATTTGTCATTTTATCAGAACTGCGTAGATAAACCTACAGACGTCAAATGTCACTTTCCACCACTTTAGTTTGGAGAAATTTTGATATATTTATTTCTGACTTTATTTTTAATTTTTATATCAACAGATGAGTGCGTGGGGACACAATGTTTTTCTTCGAAAAGACTGGAAATCGTTTACATGTGGGGACACAATGGTCTATTACACATTTAAGTTATAACCATATATCATATATGAATATGAATACATTATGTAGTAGTCAAAAGTATGAACGAATATAACCACAAAATGAATTTATTTTAGCCATTACTAGTAGAAAACTCTATTATAGAGATTGAGAAACTTCCATGATCTTTTAACATCTAACAAATAGTATTCATTTGCAGAAAGTAACTGAAATGTGACATTTTAGAAAAGTGAAGGCCGAAAATGGAAAGTTTAAGAGAAAACAGCCGTTATTTAGTCACGTCACTATACTTTTAACGAAAAAGATCACCACGTCACACTCCATTTTCCTAGATCTATGAAGTTTTGGCAGTTTTAGCAGAGATTGATTTTCCAAGGAAAAACTTTACTCCCTCTGTTTCTTATTACTTGTCGTTATAGTAGATTTCACGCAGATTAATAAAATAGATTAAAAACTCTATTATACCCTTAAAAAGCAAACTAACTATTAGTATTCTTCATTAGATCAAGTAAATTAGGTATTTAATATTAAATTTTACATTGGAAAGTGAGAACGACAACTATTTTGAATCAAAAAAATAAGGCTAGAATGACAAGTGTTTTGAAACGGAGGGAGTAATTTCTTTTGTTGGTGAAATCGATGGAAAAACTTTATGGTAGAGAGAGTCTAGAATTTTTTTGTTATTGTTTTTCAGTTGAGTATGCATGTATAGAAGTTGTATTTTTCTGGATACGAAAGACTGGCAACAATTAATAGAGACTTCGATATTTGCATTACCAATTTACCAGAATCAAATAATTATATTAATTAGTGTGACGAAAATAAAAGTAAAGGAGAAAAAAAAGAGAGATTATAAGTGTAAAAATAAAACACGTATAACCAAACCGGGGAATTTCTTTTCCATATGAGAGCCGTGTCCGAACACATTTTCCCTCGTTATAAATTTTTATATTTTTGGTAAAATGTTAAGTTCCCTCGTTAAAGTTTCGCAACATGTTCTTAATTATTACGAAAGTCATGAGAATATTAGCTTTAATATTTACGGATATACCCAAGGTACGTATACCTACCGGCTTCGAAACTCGAGTGCTAGTTTGCCAATTCCACCAAATACTTTCACCCCAATTTTAAGCTCTCTCCTTAAGAAAATTAACTAAAATAGCAACTGTCTCACTTGTAACTTGTAAGTGAGAGAAACAAGCACATTACTTTAGATGTATAATTGGATTGTAACCAGAGCCACAAGGAACCGTCAACAACAATAAAAATGTCGGTTGTACACTGAAAGTAGTATCAGCTTTCGTCTACTACGAGCCTATATCAAATGAGAGAAAAAATAACATTTTTATTAGTACGTAATAAAATATCTAGTTGAGATCTCTCTCTGCTTTCCTGGTTATAATATCTGTGAATAATTTAGCTAGCTTCGTTACATATTTATCTACCATGAAAGTGATCATATATTTTGAATCCTTGAGAGTGAGTGATATGATTAAGTTTATTATTTCTTATCATGATTTGGATTTTGGATCAACGATCTGTTGGTTTATTCTTCTCATTTACATGACACTGTAATCTCCTTGATAAATGACATAGGAAGCAGGATCAATGCTCGAGCAAAGCATAGATGACCCTAAGAGCTGAGATTGGTGGACAAAGCATAGACCAATTGCCTTTTGCATAACCAACAGATGTTGTGGAGTGCCAAAAGGCCCAATAAACGGCACTGGTCTGGGCCTAAATTTTAAAGATTCTTAATTCTAGTCGGTCAAATGTCTTACAAAGTAAAAACCAGATCTGGCATTTTCACCCGAACCAAAATTATAGGTCCCACGCAAAAACCGAGAGGCTATTTAAAAATAAGATGAAATTTGAGGGTAAAAGTGTTAGTTATGAATTTATGATCATTTATTTGTTCTTTTTTGTTCACACTGACATTGTCTTCTTCAGTGAGAAGCTGAAATCAGAATGGCCTCAAAACTTAAAACCTTCATCAATCTCCATGGCGGCTACACAGCAACTCTATCCCGCCAGAATCGCTCGGTATCTTCTTCAAATCCCTCTTCTCGGATTCTCGCACCTGCCCACCAATCGCACTATCGGAAACAGAATTTGATCGCGAATCTCCTTCAGAGGTATGGATTCCCTCAATCCTCTCTCCAACACTTCCTCTCAAAGAACAATTTCCTGCTGAAATCGGATTTAGCCGAGACCGAGAGCTCCCTCGGTGTCTTGTTATCGCTGAAAATCCCTCAGAAATCACTCGTTAAGTTGATCTCCGATTGCCCTCACGTTCTCCGATCGGAGTTCCTGAGGAAATGGAGAGCTCCAATCTCGGATTTCGTGAAATTCGGCCTCTCTTCCTCCGCGATTACGAGCGTCCTCGAATATTCCAGTAGAATCGGAATCGGTCCTGAGAAATTTCACGAATGCACGAAGATTCTGAAAGGTTTAGGGTTTTGCGATAGTACTGTTAGTAAGATCTTAACTGCGTTTCCTGGCGTAATTGCTGTGAATGAGATTGAAATCCGCAGGAAGATTGAGTTTTTGATTGGAATTAACATTCATAGGGATAACATTGAGAGGTTCTTCCACATTTTCCCTGAGATTCTCGGGATTGGTACTGAGACCAGACTCAAACCATTGCTTGATGAATTCAAGAAGATGGGATTTAGCAATGAGAGATAAAGAAAGAGATCGCAAGAGAGCCGAGAGTTCTCGGTTTGGAGTTAGGTGAGCTTTCACGGTGTTTGGAGCTGATCAAGACGTTGAAATGCAGAGAAGTGATCAGAGTTAGCATCCTCAGCGAAGGATTGTTCCGTGCTGGATTCCAAGTGAAGCTGAGGATCGATTGTTTATGCAGATACGGTTTGATTCACAGAGACGCGTTCAAGGTTGTGTGGAGAGAGCCGAGGGTGGTCTTGTACGAGATCGATGAGATTGAGAAGAAGATTGAGTTTTTAACAAACCGGATGGGGTTTCACGTCGGTTACTTAGCTGATGTACCGGAGTATCTAGGTGTGAATCTGCAGAAGCAGATTGTTCCGAGGTGCAATGTTATTGATTACTTGAAGCTGAGAGGAGGGCTTGGGTGTGAGATTGGGTTGAAAGGTTTGATAAAGCCAAGCATGAAGAGGTTTTATAATCTGTACGTGAAGCCGTATCCAGAGTGCGAGAGTGAAACAACGGCATCCTCCTGGGCTTTGGAAGCTTATGAAGCCGCCTAGTCATGTAAGGACGAAGGAAGATGTGGTGAATATGAAGTCCTTTATGGAGTCATCACTTGCTTAGTAGATTTGGATATTTCTTGCACTGCTTGAAGCTTAAGACTTGCCATGAAGATTGACCATGAACGTTACTACGAGCTGCACCCAAATCATCAGAGGACAGTGACAAAAACTTCAGGGAGCTATTAGACCCGGTTTCATTTTGCTTGAGTTCATGGCTTGATTATTCAGAGGGCAGTGACAAATACTAATGTATAAGCATGTTCACTTCTTGATCTGCATCTTGAAGGCTGAAGAGATCTCTACCAACGACCATTGGCTTTCGTTTCCATGTTTCTCCTTGAAGGATTTCTTGAGGAAATGTTGTAATTAGTTAGAGAACACCAGAATGTAACAACAGATTGTATGGGCCGGGCTGGGTTAGTTACTGGCCCGTTAGATAACTTTAGGCCCGTTTGGATCAATGATTTGAGAATTAAAAGGAATGCGGTATTGCTGCCTAAATTAGCATAGCAATAAATTTAGTGTTGCGAGGTTTGTGTATATGTTAACGTGGAGTAATAAGAGGTATAGTAAAAACAAAACAAGATTAGGAGACTGAAGCACGAGCAAGTGTTAAGACAGTTGGTCGAATAACATCTTTGACTTGGTCAAACGTATCTAACAACGGTTTGTCGGTTTTCTGTTAGAACTGGAATTTACCAAGACCCACACGGTTTGTGACATTTGCTTTCTTGCTAAGCATCATCACATTCACAGCTTAAACTGTCTCTTGAGTTAGACAACCTATGACCATATACATAAAAAAAAATATGGCCTTATGTAGTGTTGCTTCAATTTTTATATGGCATATGATGATATGAGTCACAGTGTTTTTAATATAAGATTATATTGGACCTTTTTGACCAATAATTGTCAATATTGAAAGAGCACCAAGTTGCATTTCTGCAATTCGGATTATTTCAGAAAATGAAGCACGCCAATTTAATTTTGATGCATAAAAACTAATCCCATTTGGTTTTGACTATTCTAGAGTTTATGTTTTGGAAAAACAAGTTATACACAGAGTAAAACCAGATATTTTTACTTGGTTAATGGAACTTTTATATTGGTCAAGTTTTCGATCTTTTAGTTATTTTCTTAGCACCGATTAATTAATTTAATTTTGTGTGTAGTTTAGTTAATCAGTTAATAAATAGAGAATAGTCTTATTTTGAGTCATTTAATTAGTTTAATAATTCTTTACAAGATCTTTTATAATTGCATTGTATCTTAAGGAAAAATAAAAAGAGTAATGAGAAAGACACACGACTTTTTGAAGCATTTTTTTAACATATTATGAGCAACACACCCAACCTTTTGAAGAGCTTTTTTGGTGTATTCAAAACGATTATATGTAAAATGTACAACAAAATATTGAAGATAAAAAATGCAATCTTCCAAAGTATATGTGATTACTAAAAAGGGTCATAAATGAAAAAAACATAACAGAATATGATAATAATAGGTTAAAAGCGTAAACTTTCAAAAAATGCAGCACCAGAAAAGCACAATGAAAATTTGTTGTGTTTCAGATTGCGCCATTAACATTTGAGTTTTCTTCCTCGGCAAATGAAAAAAACTATTTGTGTAATTATATTATGCTCAACTTAATGTATTGGCCTGTATAAACTATGAACCTATATGATTTAGATTAATGTATTGACACAAAATTGTAGTCCAATATATTGTCTTTCTTTCCTCATACTTCTCTAGTTTTAAAACATTGAACGGTGTGATTCCATGCAAAATTGAATCATTGCGTTTGTGTCAAGTTACCAGTCATATCAGCTAGATTATATAATGAAGATTACATTGATCAGGTGAGAGTAAATGTGAGTGACGTACAAATAAGAACCAAACTCTAGCATTGTTTTGATTCATATTGTTGTTGTAGGTCCCGTCAAAGGTGAAGCTGAGTGAGATATACTTATAAAGAAAATTAGAGGGACACCATCGTCAAGGGTCGCAAGTGCAGCTATATTGTAGCAGAGGAATGTCGTGTAAGAGAGAATACTTAGAGAATCATCTTGATCTTTCTTCTTCTGATGGAGGAAGAGTAAGAAAACAGAGTAGAAAAACAGAGGAAATGAAGTTGTCTTCTCTTCTTATAGAAACATTAGAGCTAATAAATTACATTGGGACTCAAAATGCCGCATCCATGTTACTAATCATCCTCAAGATGATGATTTGATGATAAGCTGATGCAACAAGTAACAGTCTAGCCATAAGCTTTGCTTTCATGAAGACAAGTAAGGCATTTTCCTGAGAGATACCATGAACTAAAGAGTGCCTTAGGGCCATTTAAATTCAGCTAAATTGATTGAGTGTTTATAACAAAAAAAAAACTTTAGGAGTTTATCTTCTGCCTTGAACTCAAACTCAGTCATAACACCTGTACAGTAATATTGAAATTAAACTTGATTTTGGGCCAATGATGAAGTTATTCATAATAGGACCAAACCCAAAATTAAAGCCATTTGAGAAGAGGAGGTTCTGTGATTCAAAATATAAAAAGAAGAAAGAGGGGAGTTTGATTTGTCGCATGAAACCCAAAACCAAGTTGTTTTCAATGTCATATCAATAAACATAATCTGGTTTATGTTCGATATGAAAAACCTGAAATGAAACACCAACCACTTTGCTTCTAGTGGTTGCAGGGCCACGCTCTGGCCTCCGATCATATTTGTATCTACTGTATCTACTAATCCAATCATTTATTGATCAGTGTTATTGTTATTTCTGTTCTAGCACTTCAAATTTGAGTCAGGTGAGAGTAATTGAGAGTGACATACAGCTTCAAGACATAAGAATTAAACCTAGCACTGTTTTGATTCATTTTGTTGCTGTAGGTACCGTCAAAGGTGAAGCTGAGTAAGATATACTTGAAGAAACGTTAGCATCCATGTTACTAATCATCCTCAAGATGATGAATTGATGTTAATGAGGATGGCTAGGCTTTGATAGACTGAGAGAAAAATTGATTCAATAAGTAACACTTCTGGCTATAAGTTTTGCTTTCATGAAGACAAGGAAGGCCTTGTCCTGAGAGAATACTATGAATTAAAGAGTGCCTTATAGGGTTAAATTCAGCTAAATTGAGTGACTGATGTTTATAACAAAAAAAGAAATTGAGTTTATCTTGTGCCTTAAACTCAAACTCAGTCATAACACTTGTGCAGTAATATTGAAGTTAAATTTGATTTTCGTCCCATGATAAAGTTATTCATAATAGGACCAAACCCAAAATAAACCCATGTGAGAAGAGAAGGACCGAGGGCTCAACTAAAAAGAAGAAAGAGGAGTTTGATTGGTCGCATGAAACCCAAAACCAAGTTGTTATTATTTCAAAGATTCTCTGTTGAAACAAACAAAATCATGAGATGCCCCTGATATGGTGTAGCATGAGAATGCAATGGAAATATTGTTTTAATTTCAAAGATTCTGTGTTGTACAAACAAAACAAATCAAATCATGAGATAATTGTGTAGCATGAGAATGCAATGCATTGGAAAAAGAGACCTATAAAAGCGATGGGAGTGGAAGAAACACAAACACCACAAAATCAAACAAAAAAAAAAAGAGAGAGAGAAAGAGAAGAAGAGAAGTTTGGAGAGAAATGGAAGAAGCATTGTTGCTTATCGAAACTAGGATAGAAGAACTCAGGGAAACTGTTGCCTGGGGTGAAGACTACATGGATGGCGTGGAGGAGCGCATGGAAAACAAATTGGCGAACAGGCGCACGGCGATTGAGAACATACCTGACCAGTATGTTAGAGAGAGCAGCGGGCAAAGACTCGAGGAGAACTGGTCTCGTTATGGGATTGATTTGCTCCATGCCAGGACTATGCACCAATCGACTGAACTGGTGATCGAGGGTGTTCTGACGGATATCGAGGAGATTGCAGAGGACGAAAATGCCACAGTCCTAGATTTCGCGCCGCTAGCCACGAGGATCCTTAATGCTTACAGCACCCTCAATGGGGTTACAGAAACTTTGCAGGCATGGGAACTCCGTTTCTGAAGAAAAGAGTCGAGAGTCGAGAGTTGTCGAGTCAGAGTCAGAGTCGAGTCAGAGTCGGTTTTATGAGTTTTATGAATTGTTGCTTATGTTTGAGTGGGTTATCTTAGAAGATAATTCTCATTGTGTTTCTCGTCTTATTTGGGTTCCGATTTCTGAGTTTTTATTTGTTGGTGTGATCATTTCTGAGTTATGAATGGAATCTTTTTTTAGATTATGTTTTATGGATCCAGTTTAATTACTCTATCCATCGCTCTCTCCAATTTCCTAATATTTTACACCAATTCCGATTGAACTAATTTGCATATCGTTTCATCGAACTGGTTCCGGCAAATCACATTCTTTATCGTGAGACTGATACGATACCTTTTCAGGGCCTTGTCACAAAGAGGCCATGGGACCAGAACAAAGAAAGAGATGATGGCCCATGTGTAAATGGAGCTATATTGATTTATCGGTCTTAATGCGCATGTAATGTAACTGTGAACATGGAAAGAGCATTGTCTTTCTATATTTGATTCAGTTTTATACTCTACTTGTTGAAACTTGCGAGATTAAGCAATGTATAAGTCCGTTGGAAACAGTCTTACGTTCTGATAATTCTAATTTGCTGTTTGCTGAGATTAATGCGACTAGAGAGGTATTCAATAGCCAACCCTCTAGCTGCCTGGTATTGTGATTGAATGATGTTCTTCTCTTCTAAAAAACCTGACACTTAAAAACATTAAAAAAAAATTCTAAGTTTCCTCTTGTTCGTTCCACCTGTTTGCAATCTACTTGCAGATAGATAAGCAGAAAGCTAATTTTGTAGTTTTGTACTTTGCAATGTCCATTACAGTATTGTGATTGAATGATGTTGTTCTCAGAGGTAATCCACAAATTACACAGTGAGAATTGCCACCTTCGTTTATAGCCAAATAGAGCTAGCTATATATCCCCTTACCAAGTTGATCGACATCAGAGCGACTGGATCATTGCACTACTACTACTACTACAGCCACTCACAGTGACAATCTGGAGCAGAGTCTAAACGCAATTTGTCCAATGTATTTACATTGATTCTTGAAGAGTTTTCATCTGCATCTGGTTGGTGTTTCTAAGAATATAATTTTCTTGGACAAATTTGACAAGGGAAACGCAACCATGTCATTAGCAAGATGTTCATCACAAAGAGCAAAATCAAAAGCACAAACGCATCTTAAAATCCCATTCAAACTAGTAAATAAAACACAACGACGAGCTAGAAAATTCAAAGAAAACACGACGATAAAGCGCACTGATTATTTTCATTTATTGTCATCCTCAGACTATTTTGGACCTTTTTGCAGACTTCTCATCGCCATGGTCCTCGTGCTCTTCCTCAGCATCACCTTTGTCCTCCTCGGCCGGCTCTTTCTCAGCAACATCATTGTCCTTCTGCTCTTCCTCGGCGGCGGCTGGTGGTGTTTTCTTCTTCTTCCTCTCCTTCTCAATCAATCTTTTGATCTTCGCAGAGGCCTAGTTCAAGATCAACCATATACAATTAGGTATCAATTATGAAAAAAAAAAAACAAAAATGCTATATCCATCTCACCCTTTCGAACAGACCAGAATCAAGCAAGTCACGCGACCCCTTCTTCATCTCTCCCAGAAGTTTCCGGTAATAGGTCAAATTTTTCTCCTGGATATACCTCAGGTAAAGGTCGTCTGCCACCGGAGACTCCACTTTCTTCAGGAAATCGTAGTTTATCTGATCCGTAACCTTCGCTTCCTTCAAATCGCCGTTGTTCGCCATATCTCTGCTCTCTTTCTCTCTCTCCGATCTCCGTTCGCTCTCTCTCTGATCTCCGATCTCCGCTCGCTCTCTCTTTTCTCTCTCTCTCTCTCCCCGGATGATCTGTTGGATTTATAGAAGTCTGCGATTTTTATGTCATTGTTATTAAAAAGTTGAAAATAAAAATATATATTCAGATATATCGCCCCACAGTATCTTTCTCCCTCAACAACGGCGTTTATAATCGAATCATAATCCTAAAAAAAACAAATAAGGGAATTATAATAATAATTAATCTGTGCTCTCTAACGGCCCGGGTTAGATCGCAACTATAGTTAAAATATTAACTGTGGTTAAGTTAGTTGACGATGAGTTAAACCAAAAGGAGAGAACAGTCAGTCCATTTGTGCTCTCTAACGTCCCGGGTTATATTGTAACTATAGCTAAAAGATAAATTAACCGTGGTTAAGTTAGTTAAAGATGAGTTATACTCCTACAAAAGATGAGTTAAAGATGTATGGAGAAGCTTTTATTGTTTACAATTTCTTCTTTACATTTCCGAATTCCGATTTATGGTCTCAGTTGTTGAATTTTGCCGGACCCATCATCAATGTAAACACCTTTTGAATCAGTCTTCAATTTCCCCATGTGGTGGGAATCTTTTAATATTACATCACCTTCTCACGTGTATAATTTTTTATTATATACCGAATATTCACACAAGTTGGATTTATATGGACAGGCGTGGTTTCCTTAGGAATTGACTCGGGTTAGAAAATAAAATAACATTATTAATTACAGTATTAATTTTGAGTTAAAAATTAAAAACCTAAAATGTGGGGGAATAAAATAAAATAACATTTTCACACATATACAAATAAAATTTTGTGTACCAAAACTGATAAGTTAATACTTAATATATATATCACACAAACATATATATATATATATATATATATATATATATGTTCATGAGCTAAAGAATTAAAAATGTAGAAACAACTTTGTTTGATGTCCTTTGCATGAGCTATAAATAGGAAAGATATTTGGTTTCTATAAAAAAGTATAACCGTTTTCATCAGAAATTATAAAATGTATACAGTATAGACTGTATAGTAGTATACTAGCTGTTTTCATATAGTTGTTTTTAAAAAGAAAAACTCCAATTGCACTTTCCATACACGTGAGAAGGTGATGTAATATTAAAAGATTCCCACCTACATGGGGGAAGTTTTTCCAATTGAAGACTGATTCAAATAGTGTTTAGGTTGAGTCCGGCAAAATTCAAGAACTGATGAAAAACAAACTTAACCACAGTTACTTAATCTTGTATCTATAGTTACAATTAGAGAGCACAAATGTACTCTTCTTTCCTTTTGATATGAGCTTCAAGTAAAAATGAGTAAGTGATGGCATCATACACGAATACGCAAAGGCAAACCTTACAATGAAAGTTTGTTATACTTGTTAATGTGACCTCGTTTTTTCTTCCTAACACACATGTTCCATGACTATTATTCACAGAAAAAAAAATTGAAATTAATTTCTAATAGTGTGACCTCGTTTTTACACTTTTCTTTCATTCATTGCGCCATTTGGAATTTTTTTCGAAATTAATTTTCTAATAAATAAAAGACAAAAAAATGCATGCGATTTTCTCTCGCACTCGCAGGGTCGTCGTCGTCGTTGGTCCTTCTCTGCAGCGAACAAAATTGCTCAGAAATCAGCAGCCGGCGCTTTCTCAACAGAGCCAGAGACGTCATTTCTTGAGCCACCTTCTTCCTTCTGGCCTCGTCGCTTCTTCTTCGGCCACCCGATCGGAGAAAATCCATGGGTTCTTCGCTACCACGTTGAGAAACAACCATCTGAAGCTGGAATCGGGAAATGCATCGGAATCTAGAGCTGGGTTCTTCGGTTTTCGACTTCCCAGTAAAGGATTGGAGTCTGAGGGTTTTACTGGGTTTCAAAAGCGTGGATGGTATTGTGTTTCTTTTTTTCCTCTTCGCATTTGCTAATTGAGATTTGAGATCGTATCTTGAGAAGATTGCTGAGAATGCTAAGAGATTAGTTCCTTAATTACTCTTAATTTCGTATGCAAGATACTGAAATTTCTGATTATGTGCCGATTCGTGACAATGTCTGGTTTGATTTAGGGTTTAGAGAGGGTTTATGTGGTTAATTGTGCGTTGGCTCTTCCAAGAGAAAGATGTGTGAGGACGATGAAAACTCTACTTGCCTTGTGTAGTTATTGATCTGAGTAGCTCAAAAAGCTTTGTTGATGCTAATGGATTCACTATGTTCGATTGCTTGTGTTTTCATCTGGCAGGAAGTCTTGGATTCATGGAGCTAACGGTGTCGTTTTCGGGTTGATCATTGCTAATGCTGCTGTGTTTACACTGTGGAAGGTTTCAGATAAACGATGGATGACTAAACATTTTGTGGTAAGACCTCAAAGTTCAAAACTTTTTTCTATCTTATTCGCTGATAAACTCTCGTCTTGGATTTGGTTGATCCTTTTGGCATTTAACCGTATGATATTTGGTGCAGCTATCATTGTACAGTGTTACAAGTGGACATATCCACACGCTGATAACTCCAGGTTTCAGTCATATTGGAACCAGCCATTTCGTCATGAACATGATTGGACTGTTCTACTTCGGAACCAATGTATGAATTTTTCGATCCTTCTTGTTTAAACTGTTTCTCAGAGTGATCATATAGTGAACATGATTCGGTTTTTCTTTTCGTTAAAGAGATAAGAATTTGTTTCCTGTGAACTCAACTTACACTTGAATTGGAGACATTAGCTAGTTTTTTGAGTTTCTTTATGTGACTATAACAGCTAACTTTAGAAAGAAACGTCCTTATATGACTTGGCTCACTTGGATTATCTATGTTAGATCGCAAGAACCTTCGGGCCGCTCTACCTTCTGAAGCTGTACTTTGCTGGAACACTTGCAAGCTCTGTTTACTTGTTAAGTGAACAGGCTCTAATGGCAACACTCAAGGTATATAGAGTAATTTCCTTGGTCCACGAATTAGTAGTTTTTCACATGCTTAATCTGTATGATGATAACCCTTTTATATTGGTTGGTTAATCATACAGAGCTATGGATCTCAGGGTCGAACAAAACCCATTGCAATCCTGGTATGTTTAAGTTAAAGATTGTAGAGACTCTTGTTTTTGGACTCACCAAATGCTGTAAACTCAATTCAAATTTTGTCTACAGGGTGCTGATGGATCTGTGTTTGCCATCACACTACTCGATATCTTACTCTACCCAAAAGTGACTACATACTTTGACCTGATGCTTCGAGTACCCGCATTGCTTGTAAGCTTTAGAACTCTCTACATATGATGATCATACTGAGAGTGAAACTCTTGTCTGATTACTCTCTCACACTAATTGTACAGGGAGTATTAAGCTTAGGAGGCAACGTGTTACAAGTGCTAGAGGTGCGTATATGAGACTCTAACCCACATTTTTGCTTTGGAAACAATATGACTATCTCTCTAAAACTGGACCAACATTTTTGGGAAATTGTAGGGGAAAACGAAGACTCTCTCCCTCCAATCGACTCATGTGTTAGGAGGAGCTATAGTTGCAGCCATTGCGTGGAAGAGGATTAGGAAAGGTCGATTCTACTAATGATTGATTTCATTTTTTGTCCATTAGTTTCTTGGATTTGACTCTGCTGACCTGATCATCATAGTACTGGTTATGTTGCAAAGTGATAGACTTTTTGGACGGTTGTAAATTGAACCAAGAGAGAGATCAATTGAGGTTTGGTAATTTTTAGTTTACAGTGTATGGTGTATCTTTTTTTAATCTCTTTCCCGTCAAAATTTGATTTTTAAGAGTGAAGAATTTACCTTAGCTAGTTGAGATTGTCTGAACATTTGATTCCAAGTCCCATCACAAAGATTTTTCTTTTCTTTTCATGTCAATCAAGAAATCTTATTTTAGTGTAAAAGCAAAAAAAAAAAAATTATTTATCTATATTTTTACACCGGTTATAAAATATTAAATTACAAAATCCGCATATATAATATAGTTAATTATGGTAAATGTCATCATAGTGCGACTAAATTACCAATGGACATAGCTAATGCGAAAACAAAATTACTCCATTGGACTGTAACAGAAAAAAAAGTAACGAAGCTGAATCAGTCCATAATTCATTTATTTCGTTTCACCTTAATTTCGGTAAATATTTAGATTATTATCTTGTGGTTGCCATTGTTAAAACTACCTAAAGCAAAGAAGCACCTTTATCCTCTGTATCTCCATAAGAAAGTTAGTGTGATTTGCATTTTGGATTCCCAATCTTCAATTTTCTTTTATTTACCATATCAAAAACCTTAATTTTCCCGCACTTTCTCAACCCAAAGGAAGGATTTTTCCTTTATCCACAGGAGAAATGAGATGGGAGAGGGTCCGACAAGTGGGTCTCGGTGAATCTTCTTCTTCCGGGCCCGGAAAGAGATGGGGACACACTTGTAACGCCATTAAAGGAGGCAGATTTCTCTACGTATTTGGTGGTTTTGGTAAAGACGATTGCTTAACCAATCAAATTCATGTCTTCGACGCTGGTGAGTTCTTAGAATTACATCATCTGGGTGGAAAAATGTCGCCTTTATTTGTTCTTCTAAAAGTTCTTCTCGTAGTGGGTTTTGCAAAAAGTGTCAACCTTTGTTTGATCTGTCTAATCTTTAGGTATTTTTGTTCGTTCGTGCGGTAGACCCCATTTGCTAGACACCATTCTCAAAAAGTTATCCTTTTTTGTATCCAATCTTGATCTTTCCCCTGTTGTACGTATCCACTGTTTCTCTCCTTGTAGTACTGTGCTTTAATGAATTGGGATTAAAGATTGATAATTTATTTGTTGGGGTGCTGTTGTGTTGATGTTTCGTGGTTGTCCTGTTTTTAGTATCTTCACTGTTAGAACAGTCTCATTGGTGGCAAATTTTGATGCAGAAACGCAGATATGGACTCAGCCTGTAATCAATGGCGTACCACCACGCCCAAGGGATAGTCACAGCTGTACAACAGTTGGGGATAACCTTTTTGTGTTTGGTGGTACTGATGGGAGCAATCATCTCAAGGATCTGCACATTCTAGATACTTGTAAGCTCTTCCATCTATTCTTTTAGTTGGCTGGTTAGATCAAGAAAATGCTTTTGTTAACTGCTCTTGGTGTGAGGTTTTTGAGTTTGAGCTCAATTCTTTTGTGATAGCTTCACATACTTGGATTTGCCCGGATGTTAGAGGCGAAGGACCTGAGGCTAGAGAGGCTCATAGTGCGACACTCGTTGACAAATGTCTTTTTATATTTGGCGGCTGTGGGAAATCTTCTGGCTCGGATGATGAAGTATTCTATAATGACCTTTACATACTTAACACAGGTGTGCTGCTTTTTAAGTTTCCTTGCTAATCCCTCTAAATTGATGTGGAATCTGATAGAGAGAGATTCTAAAATGAACCTTTTTGTTGTTGCTTACTCCTTGTGTATGTTCATTTCTCTAAAACTGAACTGGCTTTAATCTTGTTTAGAGACTTTAGTGTGGAAACGAGCTGTAACAACTGGGAATCCGCCTTCTGCACGAGATAGCCACACTTGTTCAGTGTGGAAGAACAAAATGATTGTAGTAGGTGGTGAAGATTTGAATGACTATTATCTATCCGATGTTCATATCCTTGACACAGGTGCAAAAAAAGGCACTCTTGAATCACATCTTTAACGCATTAGTGTGTGTGTGTCTTCTGATATTTCTGCTTATGTGTTTTCAGAGACTTTTGTGTGGAAGGAGTTGAAAACTTCAGGGCAGGTTTTAACACCTCGAGCCGGTCATGTCACCATTGCATTTGAGAGGAACTTATTTGTATTTGGAGGATTTACAAATTCTCAGAATCTTTACGATGATCTCTATGTGCTTGATGTGGGTATGTAGCTGAGACCTCAAGCTTTCAATTGCTTTATCTGTCCTCTGAATATCGAAATAAAATGTTATTGTCTGTTTGTCTCTGTAGAAACGGGTGTGTGGTCTAAGGTAGTTGCCATGGAAGAAGGGCCATCAGCTAGATTCTCTTCTGCAGCGGTTTGTTTAGGTCCTTACAAGGCTGGTTTGTTTTTCTTTGTTGGTGGCTGCAATAAGAATCTTGAGCCATTGGATGACATTTACTACTTACACACAGGTTTGTCGGTTTTACTCCAAATTCTTCGGTTTCTGTAGCGGATGTTCTGTATTTGGTTGCTAACTACACTCCTGATTTTCTTTGCTTATGGCTAATTAGAAGGACGATTCGATGCACGGTTTGATCAAAATCCAGGGAGGTTGTTGTCTCTGAGGAAACAAATGAAGCTAAAATGTCAAGAGCAGAAATTAGCTGTGGCCGGAAACAATATTGATCAAGGTGTGTTAACACTTAACACTGAGGAACACGAACGTTTATTGAGATTGGATTGGAAACAACAAAAAAATGTGTCATTTATTGCTGCTTATGGTTTTATTGTAGGAAGAGAGAATCTCCCTTTGAGGATTGGCCAGATTGATCAAGGAAAACCGATGTTTCAAGCCAGGGTTACCGAAAACGTTCCTTTAGGTTACACTATAGAAACGATCATTGATGGAAAAGTGCTTCGTGGTGTTTTGTTTTCAAACAGACACAGCTCTGTTCAAACTGTGGCAGATCCAAGCTTTAGTAGCAGGCAAGTGTTAGTCATTACTCTCTTATTCTCTTTTGGCGTATTTGTTCTAAAGCATGATTGATTGTTAGCAGGAAGAGACCTACTATGTCGGATGCCGAGTGTGATCATAGAGGAAAGACACCAAGAACTTTGAGCAAGGACACAGCAGGTAGTAGTAGCCAACAAGCTGATCCTCTCGATCCTTCTGATGATGCTAACAAGAAGGTTGCGGATTCAAATGATATGGACACACCCATGATCGACACTGACGATGTTAATAAAAACACTGAGGGACCAGAGGAGGCAAAAGCCGCTGATGTTACATCTGATGTCAAAGAACAAGATCTTTCTCAGCTCGATATGGTATAGGATATATCATCTTCAACAGTTTCAGCTAGTTGTAATGATTCTGTTTCTTACCGGAATTTATACTCTGCAGGGCATTGTGAACGCAGAACCATCACTGGTTACTCTTGATCAGGCGAAAAATGTAGAGCCATTGAGAAATGAGGTATCAACAGACGTTGGAGCTGCTCTTGATCAGGCGAATGTTAAGCCATTGAGTAATGAGATATTAACAGACGTTGGAGCTGCTCTTGATCAGGCGAATGCAGAGCCATTGAGAAATGAGATATCAACAGATGTTGGAGCTCCTCTTGATCAGGCGAATGTAAAGCCATTGGGAAATGAGATATCAACAGACGTTGGAGCTGCTGCTAAAGCTGGTCCTGGAGAAGATTCATCGCCACAAAACCATGGTGATTCTTGAATAGACATGATTCAACATATCTTTCTGAACAATTGGGTAATAAGTTAACACATTCCTTTGGATTGAACAGATGAGGGAAGAGTTGCTGCGGAAGATGCAAATGCAGAGCAAGAACAACCGTTACCGCATTAAAAGTATGATCTTTTTGCGGGGGTGTACAGTAGCTGGCGATAGGGGTTTGCTTTTAAAAAGCTGAAGTAGAAGAAAGTTAAGGATGATTAGTAGTATAAGCTAACTCTTGAGTTTAAAGATGTTTTGCTTTTGTTTTGTATTTTGAAGCTCTTCAATACAAACAGCTTTTTCCTCTGTTATTATTCCTTCTTGGTTTCAGTTTGCAAGCAAAAGCTTTGCCTTGTGATTTTTTTAATTTTATTTTATTTTAACAATTCATAAACTCTGATTTGGACAACACATGCACCTAAACAAACGTAATCACTTCTATAAGAGAAACTTTACAGGTGAAATTTAAAGGCTACTTTGTCTTACCACAACACTCCATACTTTTAGTGAAAGAACCTCTGTTTCTTCAAGGGTCCCTTTCTTCAAAGATATGTTATGGATGGGAACATTAATAGGACAATTTACTGAATAATAATATTTTCTGAAAGAATCTCTTTCGCATTGTGTCACCAACTATAAAGATTAGTAAATGTAACCACAAATCGGTATATACATGTGTATGTGTTTGTTTGTTTATGCAAATATATACTACTATAAAAAGTAAAGAGACAAAAATTCGATGATTACAAGTTTTTTGACAAATCATTAACGGTGTGAAACCATGTGCATCGATGATTGAGCGTACTTAATCTTTGACCAAGACCCACTTTAACTTTACTTATGCCACGATTAATTTTACATGCTTATACTAATATTAATAGGTGTACGCTTTGGAAATTGTTAATTGCGTTACCGATACCATACTCATCATTCATGAATGCAGAATGTTGCTCACTTGCTTGCGTATGTATGTAGAGTACAAGTATACACACATATATACGGAGAAGATTCTGTCTAATACGTTTTGGATCCAACGACAAAGAGTAAATGCCAGAGAAAGTAGAAATATTATTTTACAAAAAAAAAAGTATAAATATTTAATTACGCGATCTTTACTGTTATCGTTATATTACCAACCATAGTTATGTCTCTCTCATTAATTCATAACCAGTTTCTTTGACGTGTGTCTAATACTTTTGTCCTTTTACTAAAGTCTTCTTCTAATGGGTTTTCTTATACCCTGTGGGCAAATGCTACGATCAGTCAAATTTTTGATAAATATTTTCTACTATAATTTGTGATACGAAAACATAATTCGGAGATCATGTTAATGAAAAACTCCAAATTGTCCTTGTTGGCAACCCAACCACTAAGGACTAAAGCATGTACTCTCCAACTAATTTTGTGCCTAATTAATATAGTTAGGACGTGTATTTAAAGTTGTATAAACCCATAAATTTTTATTATGGTGATACTTTAAAATTTCGAATTATTTTATCCTCAACATTGCTTTTCATAATTTCAATGCAACAAAAAAAAAAGGTTGAAAGACTTCCACTATGAGAAAAATAAAATTAAAAAACACTTGCTACTTTATGTTTACACGATAATTAAGACCCTTTATCTTCTTATAATGTTGAAAGTTGGAGACATCATCTTCTGACATATTTTTAACGGCTAGTATTGGTTTAATTTTGTGTAAACAATAAATTCTACAACTCGCTATAGAATACTAGAAGGAAACAAAAAGAAGATAGTGCTCGTACTAGACTCTACAGTACACCACCTACGAATATACGAAAATAATAAATTGAATTGGAGAAAGAAAAGTCATACACATTTTCTATGGTTGTCAATTTTTATAATTATGACTCGAAAATGACAAGAAAAAGAACAACAAGAATAAGGTGTTTGAAGATGAAAAATACTGGAGACATCTCAGACGTGAGAAACTTATATATAAAGCAAAAGGGAACATAGAAAATGACAAGTATTTAGTTTCAAAGAAAATAACTACTTCTTAAAGAAAAATCATAATTTAGGGAAACTGCGGAAAAAAGATGTTCATGTTTACTTGCTTACAAATTTTTTCGTTGTCTTACTTACCTTTGCGGATGGTATTTAATGCAATTCCGTGACCTCACCGGCAAAAATTAAAGACACAATTGCAATATGAGTCTAGGACAATAAACTTATCTCTTGTGTGAAATAATTTTATTTGTAATATGTTAAACATTTTCTGTGTGTTGTAACTTGTAAAGAAAGGTCTCACTATGTTCTATGGGGAACAGAAATATCATTAATATGCTACTAATTATGGAAAATCTTTCATTTGATGTGAATTATGGAGCAAGAGACTGTGACATTGCTTTGAATTTCCAGTTCCAAATCCAGAATCTTTTATATAAAATGTGTTGACAGAAAATAAGAGAGAAATGAACCATTTATATGGATATATTGATGACCTGACATAGAGGTAACATGTAGAAGTAAATTAGATCCACTCTCTCACATGACATGCTTTTGTGAGATGGAGAGCCACTGTACCTCCACACAACCCCCTTCCAATGTTTTGTCTTTGATTCTTTTTTTTATTATCTACATAAATAAAAATAATCTGAAATTTCATATCGGCTAAATACATTTTATATTTAGAAACAAAAGATAAAAAAGAATCCTTCCCATTTTCCCAATAAGCCTCTATGTGGCTACATTTCCGGTTTGTTCTCTGAGCAGTTACCACTTACCAGTGAGTACAAACAGAGGAACATTTAATCTCTTCTTGGATCCGCAAGAAAATTCCTCTGTTCCCTTCTTTTATATAATCTTCTTCGTCTTCTTCATTTTGGCGGTTTCTCTTCTCTTCATTGTTTTCATTGGTTCTGTAGATTTTAACTTACATTCTCTGGGTTGAGAACTGAATTTTCAGACAATGGGACATACATGCCCTAGTGTGTTTTGTTCATTCATCTTCGGTCTTCTTAGATTCTTATATGATTGGATCTAATTACCAAAAGGGTATTTTATCTTTCACTCCCTTTTCCTTTTGTCTTGAGTGGAATTTGGGAATCTAGGTTTGTAAAAAAAGGCGCAAACTTTTCTTCTTTCCTTTTTAGATCCGTAGGTTGCTGTTAGAGTGGGACTCTGATTGAAAAGATGTTTTTTTTTTGTGGGTTTTTCTTTTCAAGCTTTTAATTAGCTGGAGAGACAATGGGGTTGTGATTTGAAATCTTGAACTGGGTGAAAGGCTAAATTTTTGGGGTTTTATGAATATGGAAAGTGCGTCATTCTGGTTATGTTTTTAATGGTGGTTACTGTTGGTGATGGAGATAGAGAAAGAAAAGGAGAAAGCTTTCAAAAGTTAATCACTTCCAAATTATTGCAAGAAACACACATCATTGAGGCTAAAAGTTTGGGTTTTTGGTAATACAATAAAGAGAAGATTTCAAAAGGGAACTCATCACAGACTAAAAGCTTCAAAGCGCTTCAAAGCCAAAAAAGAAAAAAGGAGAAGTCTTTTTGTCTTCCTGTGATTTACAGAAATGGCTGCGAAGCTACTGCATTCGTTGGCAGATGATAGTGCAGATCTGCAGAAGCAAATTGGGTGTATGAATGGGATTTTTCAAATCTTTGATCGTCACCATGTTCTCACAGGCCGGCGAAAAAGCCTTACTTTAGGTAAAAATTATTAATTTTTATAACACTCTCTTCTGGTCTCTGTCTATGGTTCGTGTCTCATAGTCGTTGACTTGTATATGCTCACTTATGTAATTCTTAATTCATATCTTTTGTATGATCTTCTCTATTTCTTTCTTTTTTGCGCTGCATACATATACCAATGTGGTCTGATTCTTTCATTTTTACATTCTCAGAGATCTAAATTTCTGGTTTTGCTTTCTTTTCTCAGTTGTGTTGATCTGCCGAATCTTTTGGTTAGATCTAGTTTCCATTTCTTGCCGTATTTTTCTTGGTAGATTTTGACTTTTATTAACCTTAGGCACATGCTGTTTCCAACCAAATGTGATCATATCAAGATGATCCTTAATCTTGGTTTATGTGTTTCTTGCAGGTAATGGAAATGCTACAAGTATCAACTTTGAAAGAGACTCTGTTGATACATTTTATCAAACAAAAGAAACAGTAAGTTGGTCAGAGATCTACCATTTTCATTCATACTGATGTTTTCTTTAAGATGTTAAGCCTATTGCAATTTCAGTTTCAGGACTCAAACGTCGGTGGAAATGTGAAAGAGAAGCAAAGGGTTTCAACAGAATCATCAAGAGTTTCTTTCTCATCTTCTTGCTCCTCTTCCCTATCCTCTTCCGAGTTCAACAGAGGAGCTCAACCTGAAGCTTCATCTGCCTATGACCAAACCATTTTTCCAGAATCTCCTACAAGTGACCCTGAGATGAGCGAAAGGAATGGCTTTTCACATCTAGAACTTGACCTCAGAGATGTTGTGAGAGACTCCATGTACAGAGAAGCCAGAGGGATTTCGGTTAAAGCTCCTATGACAAGAGAGGAAGCAGTTAGACGCAGCAGCAGAAGAGAGGACTCTCCAAGGCCTTATGGTGTGAAGCAATCCACCACACCTTCTGATCTCAATGAGTCCTTCAGATTTCTAGCCAAACTTAGAGAAACACATTACAATGAGGTTGGAGCAAGAGATGCAGCACCTCGTTACTCTGTTGATTCTCATGATACGTTGAAACCAAGACAGAAGCTGAAAGAGTTGCCTAGGCTCTCGCTGGATAGTAGAGAACGAGTGATCAGAAACTCAAGTGTTGATCTTAAATCAGAAAGCTTACCTGGAAGCTCAAGCAGCAGCAACAAGAAACGGCCTCCAAGTGTTGTTGCAAAGCTCATGGGGTTGGAGACATTGCCTGGCTCTCCATTGGGTAGAGACATCCATCACCAGTTTGGTTTCGAGCAGAACAACGATCCATGCTCAAGATCACTGAGGGAGAAGAACCTGAACCGTTCAATCCGGTTTTCTCCTAGCTCACCGAGGAGCTTGGGGAAGGACCCGTCTTCTCCAAGATGGAGGAACTCTGATTTTGTCATGAAACCTCTGTCAAGTTCAAGATTCCCCATTGAGCCAGCTCCATGGAAGCAACCTGATAGAAACAGAGTTTTGCAGAAACAAGCACCTAAGTTTTCTCCAACTGTGTACAGTGAAATGGAGAAGAGACTGAACGAGCTGGAGTTCAAACATTCAGGAAAAGACCTGCGAGCTCTTAAACAGATACTAGAAGCTATGCAATCAAAGGGTTTCTTGGATACTGAGAAACAACCACAACCTTCAAACTTGGCAGCTCAAAGAGATTATGTAACTTCCAACTCCAAAGCGAGAGTCCCTTCTACTTCTTCATCATCTTCACCTTCATCTAACCAGGTGTACCAATCTCCGATTGTGATTATGAAACCTGCAAAGCTTGTTGAAAAGGCTGGCATTCCGGCTTCATCGCTCATCCCCATTCACAGCCTAACCGGACTTAACAAGGTCCGTAGAGAAGTATCTGATAGTAAAGCAACTTCAACAAGTAGTAAACGTGTGACCAAAGGAAACCGAACAAGCTCTGTTGATAAGATACCTGACAGCAGAAACGTGCGGTCTGCTTTGAGAAAGCCTCATCAGGTTTCTAAAGAGACTACTACTTCAGGATCTGTGAGTCCAAGACTGCAGCAGCAGAGGAAGCTTGAGTATGACAAACGTTCACGGCCACCAACGCCTCCGTCTGATTCTAGTAAAGCGAGGAAGCCGTCACACAGACAGCTCGCGGAGTCTACTTCTCCTGGCGGCAGACGTAGAGTCAAGCCTCAGAAGAGTTTGCAGCAGAATGATGACCAGCTTAGTCAAGCCAGCAATGAATCTAGGACTTCAAGTCATGACACGTGTACTCAGTCTGAAGCTGATGGTGGAAGTAGAAGTCCATCTGTAATCGAGGCAGCCAAAGCTGTAGTCTCTAACTTAATGCAGAATGTGAGTTCTCTGTGCCTCAATTGGTATTTGAAGTGTTTGGTGTGAAAAGATTTTGAGTTAATAATTCTCTTTCTTTGTTGTGTGTGGTTTCAGAAATCCAGTCCAAGGTTTAGTGAAGATGGATCAACAACAAACCTTTCACTAGCTGCTTTGGAACATCCAAGTCCTATTTCTGTTCTTGACACCTCACTTTACAGAGAGACAGAGCCTTCTCCAGTGAAGACACAAGGTAAGCAAATGGCTTCTTGTTTCTATTGTTCTTCAGTTTCCTTCCATATTTCTGACTCAGAACTTGACCATGTGTTAGGTAATGTTGTTGCTCATGACTCTGGTGATGAGCATTGTGAGGACCAGTGGAATCCAGCTTACAGTTTCTCAGAGACAACCTCAAGCTTTTCTCCAGAGATAAACCGGAAGAAGCTTCAGAACGTTGAGCACTTGGTTCAAAAGCTGAGAAGGCTCAACTCTAGCCATGATGAAGCCAGCCAAGATTACATTGCATCGCTCTGTGAGACCGCAGATCCCAACACCGACCACAGATACATCTCAGAGATTCTTTTAGCCTCTGGTCTTCTCCTTCGAGATCTCGGCTCAGGACTAACAACGTTTCAGCTACACCCTTCAGGCCACCCGATCAATCCAGAGCTGTTCTTTGTTCTTGAGCAGACAAAGGGAAGCAGCAGCAGCAGCACTACGCATCTGTTACACAAGGAAGAAAGCAAGGCTGTGAACAAGGAGAAGCTTAACCGGAAAATGGTGTTTGACACGGTTAACGAGATTCTTGTGGAGAAGCTAGCTTCGGTTGAAGCCACGACGAATCCGTTGATGATGAAGCCATCTGCTAAGAAAGCCATGAGTGCGCAAGAGCTGCTGAAAGAGCTGTGTTCGGAGATAGAAACACTGCAGAAGCAAGCAACAAAGAGGTCAGAGGACTTGTTGTTGGAGGAAGAAGATGATTTCTTGAAAAGCATACTTGCAGAAGACGTGATGGTTCGGTCTGGGAACTGGGTGGACTTCAATGGAGAAATCTCAGGGTTGGTGTTGGATGTGGAGAGGCTTATCTTTAAGGATCTTGTGAATGAGATCGTGCATGCGGAGACTACGAGCCGTATGCAAGCAAAGTCAGGAAGACGAAGAACGCTTTTCTCAGACCAGTAGCTTAAAGGCTGTTGAAGAAAAGACTAAAATATATATATACATGTTTCTCTTCTTTCTCTAACCTTTTTTTAACTGTGTTCTAAAAATCAAAATGCTCTAAATTGAGTCACACATTATATGATTATGATATCTCTCCTTCTTAGGCTTTGACCAACTAAGTTAAGCTCTGTTGTAAAATTGACTCTAAGGACAACCACATGCTAAAGAAAAGAGTGTTAAGTAAACGACATAAAAGAATGAAACCTAGTAGAGATACCCTTTGAGTGGTCTTATCTTTTCTCTCTCCTTACTCTCCACTCCAACAATGGCTTCTCTTATCTCTTTTTCTTCTCTCCCAAAATCAAAAGCGGTAAGAAATTCAATCTCAGCAGCACCTCAGAGACAGACAACAATAGAAGGGCTTGAAGAAAAATTCGGACGAAAAGGAATAAAGTTTTCCCAACGAAACAACGGTCCAATGGTGGAGCTGAAGGTGAGAAATGGAAGTTCTTTAGAGCTGAGTCTATCAAACGCTCATGTGGTTTCATATAAGCCAAAAGTATACTGGAAAGACGAAGGATTCGAGGAAATACTTTACACAGTCGAGGGTGATGACAATGAGAGCAGAGGTGGGGTTGGTCTTGTTATCTTGGATGGACAAGAACCAAAAGGAGGGTCTTCACTAATCTCAGGTTGTGATTGGAGTGTCAAGGACTCTGACTCTGACGCTATTGATGCTCTTCAGGTGATTGATCAGTTATGAAATCTAGTACTCTCTTCGTTTCACAAAGAGTGTCTTTCAAGCATTTTATTAAATCTTTGTTGAATGTTGTTATAGATCGAACTGAGCTGTACGGCAGGGTTACTGGACATAACCTATGTCGTGTCTCTCTACCCGGTAAGCATAGCGACAGCATTGGTAGTGAAGAACAATGGACGTAAACCGGTGAGCCTTAAACCGGGGATAATGAGTTACTTGAGGTTCAAGAAACGGAGTGGGGCTGGAATTCAAGGGCTTAAGGGATGTTGTTATTGCCCTAGTCCTCCTTTATCCTCTCCTTTCGAGCTTTTTTCACCTTCAGACGCAATGAAGGCAGACGACTCTACGGGGTGGTTTGGGTCCGAAGAAGCAGAAAAGCCTGGGGTTTGGGCTGTACAAGACTCTGAGATCACACTTCTTCAGAAAAAGATGAGTAGAGTCTATGCTGCTCCTCCAGCTGAGAGACTAAAGGCTGTTTATAACACTCCACCTTCTAAATATGAAACCATCGACCAGGTAAAATATAACAACTTTTTATAACCATGACTATAGTATAAAGAAACAAAATCGTAACAATCTGAGTATTGTAGGGAAAAGGATTGTTCTTCAGGATGATAAGGATAGGATTTGAGGATATGTATGTTGGAAGTCCAGGATCAATGTGGGACAAGTATGGGAAGGAACATTACTTTGCATGCACTGGTCCCGCGTCTATGCTTGTTCCTGTTGATATCGCCGCCGGTGACACCTGGAGAGGAGCAATGGTAATCGAGCATGATAATTTGTAAAATTTTAAGAAAATCTTGTTCATATTATAACATTGAATCTACCAGCTCCAAGATATGTTTTGAGCTATTACATTTATTCAAGAGAGACAATACAGATGAACCAAACACAGGTTATGTTCTGTTTTTTATTTGAAACAAAGCAGGTTTCACCAAAACAAATTCCTTGCCTTGTGGATGAAGGCATCAACCATGTAGAACCAAAATCTGCTCCAAGGGGAATCAAAAGAGAGAGATGCGAATAAGCCAACAAGTATTGTGACATAGGCTGCAGAAGCACTCCAGTAGAAAGAAACCATGTCGATTGGGGATTCATCATCAGCTTCAACTCCATCATTGTCTTGTTCTTGAAAGTTCTTACTGCTCTGGTGGCAGCTTTTGTTGGTTGGTTGTCCACAGAGAAGAGGATTACCTAAGTAGCTTTGCGTATCAAATGTGTTAAACTGCTTTCCATGTGGAATGACTCCGGATAAGTTGTTGAACGAGACATTGAAGGTACCTAGGTAGCTCAGCTCTGCAAGTCGTGATGGGATCTGACCTTGTAAACTGTTGAAGGACAGATCAAGGCTTTCCATATTCTTCAGACCTGAAAAGCTCGCTGGTATGACGCCTGATAACCTGTTGTGAGAAAGATTGAGAGCTTGTAGTTTCAGAAGATCTCCCAGCCCAAATGGGATCTCACCGCTCAGCTCGTTATCCGAGAGATCCATTCCAAACAATAACTTGAGATTTCCACCCATGTAGGTATCGTATCGGTGCTTTGTTGCAAACTCAATTTTCGTCCGGGTGTGTTTTTCCATGTAGCCCAAAGGAAAAGGGTCAAGCACAAGAAGTGATTTGAAATTTCTACCAACAGTTTTTCTGAAAGTGGAATCCTGTTCAAGATTGTGGCCAAGCTCGAAGCTATAAAAACTTCCATCGAAATTGATATCAACATAATATGATGCATCCTTTCCCAAACCAAGTGACGTATTGCTAAGACATGAAGGTATAGATCCATTTAGCCTGTTCTTGGCAAGATCAAGAAGGCGGATTTTGGTGAGGCCACACAACTGGTGAGGAATACGACCTGTTAAATTATTTCCCCGGAGAAGAAGAATACCAATGCCTTTGGTGTCGATGAACTTTGGAATGTTCCCAGACAATCTGTTGTTTCTCAGATCAAGTACAGAGACATTCATTAGCAATGTATCTGGAATAACTCCTGACAGATTATTATCTTGCAAAAGTAACCTTAAATGATTTGAGGATTTGACGTGTGGAGGTATCTCTCCAGATAACCTGTTTGCAGAGAGGTCAAGGAGACTAAGAGTTGACGTGTTGAACAACGAAATAGGTATTTCACCTTCCAATGAGTTGTTTGAAAGCAGTAGCGTAGTTAACAATGGAAGTTCGCCAATCCAACTTGGTATAACACCAGAGAGACTATTGTTGGACATGTCAAGCAACCACATGTCTTGCAACCTCCGAAAACCTTGGCCAATCTCTCCTGTAAACTGATTGTTATCCATTAACAGCTCCGACATAGTATTAAAATATTTTTTTTCTTGGAAAAGAAAAATCTCTCCACTTAGTTTGTTGTGTGACAACTTCAAAAGTACCAGCCCATCACAATCCGTTAAAAACCCTTTTGGTATCTTCCCTTGGAAACTGTTGTAAGATAGATCAAGAAATGCAATCTCTTTCATGTCTTTTAGAGATGGCAGATTTCCTTGAAAACCGTTGCTTGATATATTCAAAGAACTTAACTGAGGAAGTATCCACCCAATGTTCTCAGGAAACAGATGACTGAATTCGTTACTTGACACGTCAAGGAAAGACAGATTATGAGTAGATTTTGGTAGCTGGAAGCTTGTGAGATAATTATTTTGCAGATGCAAAACTTTGAGTTCCGTATTGTTTTCCAACAACCAATAAGGAAAATTCCCTGCAATTTTATTATCGGAGAGAACAACTAGGCGCAAACCTTTCTGTTGTTGGAGAAACTGAGGAATCTTGTCCAAGTTGCAAGATCCTAGTATAATAGCATTCAGCTGAAACCTTGGCTTCCAAGAATCTTCAGACACTACTTGAAGTGAGTTGGAGTTTGAACCAAGTTTTAACACCCTAAGCTCTGTGAGGTTTGAGAGCGAACCAAGTAAGAAGAATCCTTCGAAGTTGTTATCAAACAACGATAAGTACTCAAGCGATTCAAGGCTACCAAGAGCGGATGGTATGTTTCCAGCCAACTGGTTTGATGAGAGATCAAGAACTCGAAGTTCAGTCAAGCCAGTTAAACATGTTGGAAGCTCACCTACAAGTTTATTTCGACTTAAATCAAGCTCCTGCATGTTCTTCAATTTGCAAATCCCTACGTTAATCAAATGCAGAAGCTTAAGTCACTAACATGAACGTGAACTCGACCGCAACTTCCTTCTAATAAAAAGTGAGTAAACTTGCCTTGCAAGTCGATTGAGCCAGAAAATACATTATCACTTAGATCCAGAGCTTTAAGCTTCATCAGGGCAGATAGCTCTGTTTTAAATAAAATAAAAAAATCATTTCAGGGATAAGACAAACCAATCCAACAACTTTTACCCTAGCAAAGAAAGACAAGCATTTATTGACAATTACCTTGTGTTGGTATGGTGCCATTGAATCTGTTTATACTAAGGTCCAAAAGTTCCAAGTTTTTCAAATCTCCAAGTTCTGAAAGGGAGTCCAACGAATATGGTTATAAAATTAAGACAGACATAAAATGTTAACTATAGCATAGTAAACTGAAACGATCAAGCAAAGGAATTATCATCAGTAAACACGTCTTAGTAGATATCAACTTGGTTGTATATGGAGAGAACACACACCTTTAGCAGGAAAAGGGCCATCCATGTAGTTATCTCGAAGAAATAGAGTTGTAAGTGATGTAGCGGCATTAAGAAAAGGAATGATGCTGTTGTTGAAATTATTATAAGAGAGATCTAGAATTTCCAGGTTTCTTAACCTCCTTAAGCTTTTATAACCTGCAAACAGAAAATTATTTTGGATAAACACACAATAATCTTTTGCTAAATTAATGCATAAACAAAGAAATTCCACGTAAGTTCTTTAGAGAAGTACTAGACCCTTACGCAAGGAAAGGATCAAAGTTCCAATAGAAATTAATAAATGTTAAAAAACCTAAAGCCTGTTATACCTTCAACATCATCAAAGAAACCATTGAATTGGTTGTTTATCTCTACATTGAACACTTTCTCCTCGTTGTATAAGTAACTGAATCTTGACTTGGAAAAGTTCAGAATTCGAACATCTTCAAAGGGATGAAGCAAAGAAAGATTTAGGAGTAAGCTCTCTTCGAGGTTAAGTGTGCCAAAGGCAATCTCGGTCACCCGTCCGCTTGTACGGTTGCACGTAATTTCTTCCCACCGGCAGCAGTCGCTCTTTGTGTCATTTGTCCAAGCAGGGAAAATAGAGTCGGGATATTCTTTAGAAATTGAAGCTATGTAGTTCTTGAGCTCCAATAAAGCTTCCCTTTCTTTCTTAATACAGCTTTTGTATCCATGTAGCTGCCCCAACAGTAACATAACCCATATCAAGTATTGGCACAAGAACACCTTCCCTTCCATTGGAAATATGATTGTTTTTTTTATTTTAAAAAGGGCAAAGGAAAGATACATAAACGCAATGGAAGAAAGTGGATTCAACGCAAAATACCTCCACGTTTATTTAAGATTTCAAGTTTACGTGGACCATGTTCAACAAGAAATAACTGTGTAGATAGAAAGTTGAAGTCTCAAATCATGAAAAACGCGTAAAAGTCATGTGACATGCGACACATGCTCTGTGTACGTAAGTGATCATTATACTTTGACTCGTATGATAATTACAAGACTCGTTTAGCCCTACAAGTCGTTTTATTTGTCATATTCCTCGCATTGTCGGCAGTTTATACGTTAAATCCATGCTGAAACACAACTTTATATCATATGATTAAGCCCGACTCTGATTACGTGCAAAGAGATACGAGTATTAGTCTATTAGATTATAATTAATACATGACCCACAGGCCACAGTAATTCAACAAGTAACCTTCGTATTTTAGGACCCACATTTATTTTTAAAAATTCATGCATGTTATTTTGTCATTTATTCAATTTTTTTTTAATAATCGTATATATATGCAATTACCAGGACATATAATTTAGTATTTTGTATATATGTTAGTGTTGAAAAAAACTCACAAAGCAATGTGTTTCTGTTTTACAGAAATTTCAAAAGCAATGTGTGACTGAGAGTCCAATCCAGATAGCTCTACGTTTAACAAGAACTAATTGTATATTTAGAAAGTCCAAGTCTAAATTCTCAACTCAATCAATGAGAACACTAACTCATGCAACATGCGTCGCGTGAATTATTCACTATCTTTTACTGTGATAATTAGTATGTCTAGCTGTCTTCAATGTAGCCTAAAAGTCAAGGTCTGAAAATGTGTGGCCAGAATCTTAAGATATTTTGCTTATTAGTAAGCAAATAATTCCAGGAGTAAAATCTTTCTACATCTCGCACAGGAGTCAAAGTCCTTTTAGCCAAATGATACTCATAATCGTTTGGTTTTTATTTCGACCAAGCTTTATATGACGGGAAATTGTTTAGTACGTAGTGAACAATTTCTCATTGTTCTAGTTTTCTCCATCTCAGTAGAGTTGTTTCTTGAATTTTGCAAGTAACCTTTTTATGTTCTTTCTTGGATCGGCACTCTTTTCTACCTTGAAATTGCTTAATGCATGTTCCAGAATTCTTAAGGTTGTTTAGTTCAACAAACCACTAAGCCAGTTCAAAGATATGTTTGAGACCTTACATTTCTTCATAGAAAATGACAAAAAGACAGTACATAGGAACCAAACACAAGATATGTTCTCGTCTTGTTACACAAAGAAGGAGGTTTATGATGAAGAAACAGATGGGGATACCATAAGAATTTGTCACCAACAATGGTTTAACACAACAATCTCCTCACCTTGTGGATGAAAACGTCAACCATGTAAAACCAAAATCTGCTCCAAGGAGAATCAAAAGAGAGAGATGCAAATAAACCAACAAGTATTGTCACATAGGCTGCAGCAGCACTCCAGTAGAAAGAAACCATGTCAACTGTGCTTTCATCAGCTTCCACTCCATCATTGTCTTGTTCATGAAAGCTATGATCATTGCAGCTTATTTTTGTTGGTTCTCCACAAAGAAGAGGATTACCTAAGTAGCTTTGCGTATCAAACGTGTTAAACTGCTTTCCCTGTGGAATGACTCCTGATAAGTTGTTGAACGAGACATTGAAGATAGCTAGGTTGCTCATCTCTGCAAGTCGTGATGGGATCCGACCTTGTAGACCGTTGAAGGACAGATCAAGGCTTTCCACATTCTTGAGACCTGAAAAGCTCTCTGGTATCACTCCTGATAATCTGTTGTGAGAAAGATTGAGAGAATGTAGTTTCAGAAGCTCTCCAAGCTCAAATGGGATCTCACCGCTCAGATAATTCTCCGAGAGATCCATTCCAAACAACAATCCGAGATTATCACCCATATAAGCATCATATCGGTGTTTTGTTGCAAACTCAATCTTCGTCCGGGTGGCTTTTTCCATGAAGCTTCCAATAAACGGGTCAAGCACAAGAAGAGATTTGAAATTTCTACCAACAGTTTTTGTGAAAGTGGAATCCTGCTCCAGAGCATAGCCAAGCTCGAAACTATTAGAACTTTCACTGAAATCGAGATCAAAATAATAAAATGCATCATCTTTTCCCAAACCAAGTGATGTATTGCTAAGACATGAAGGTATAGATCCACTCAGTCTGTTCTTGGCAAGATCAAGAAGGTGGATGTTGCTTAGGCCACACAACTGGTGAGGTATAGAACCAGATAAATTGTTTCCCCGTAGAAGAAGAATACTAATGCTTTTAGTGTCAACGAACTTGGGAATGTTCCCAGACAATCTGTTGTTTCTCAAATCAAGAACAGAGACATTCATTAGCAATGTGTCAGGAATAACCCCTGAGAGGTCATTATCTTGCAGGAGTAACACTAACGGCTTTGAGGATTTGACGTGTGGAGGTATCTCTCCAGATAACCTGTTTGCAGAGAGGTCCAATACATTAAGAGTTGACGTGTTGAACAAGGAACTAGGTATTTCACCTTCCAATGAGTTGTTTGAAAGCAGTAACGCTAACATTGGAAGTTCGCCGATCCAAACTGGAATCACACCTGAGAGACTGTTGTTGGTAATGTCAAGCACTGACAAGTATTGCAACCTCCGAAAACCTTGGCCAATCTTTCCTGTAAACTGATTGTTATCCAGTAACAGTTGTGATATACTGTAAAAGTAGTATTCTTCTTGGAAAAGAATAACCTCTCCACTTAGTTTGTTGTGTGACAACTTCAGAACTTCCACGCTATCTTTCAAAAACCCTTTTGGTATCTTCCCTTGGAAACTGTTGTAAGATAGATCAAGATATGTAATCTCTGTCATATTTTTCAGAGAAGACGGCAGATTTCCTTGAAAACCGTTGCTCGATATGTTCATAGACATTAACTGAGGAAGTATCCACCCAATGTGCTCAGGAAAAAGATGGTTGAATTCATTACTTGACACGTCAAGGAATGCCAGGTCATGAGTAGATTCTGGTAGCTGGAAGCTCGTGAGAGTATTATTCTGTAGACGCAAAACTTTGAGTTCTGTATTGTTTTCCAACAACCAAGTTGGAAAATTTCCAGTAATGTTATTGTCGGAGAGATCAACTAGGCGCAGATGTTTCTGTTGTAGGAGAAACTGAGGAATCTTGTCCAAGTTGCAAGATTGTAGTACAATAGCATTCAGCTGAAACTTTGGCTTCCAAGAACCTTGGGACACAAGTACTTGAAGTGAGTTGGAGTTTGAACCAAGTTTTAAGCTTCATCAGGGCAGATAGCTCTGTTTTAAATACAATTTCGTTTCAAGTGATTAAACTTCCACCATAACAAAAGAAAGACAAACATTTATGGACAACTACCTTGTGTTGGTATCGTGCCATTGAATCTGTTTCTACTCAGGTCCAAAAGTTCCAAGTTTTTCAAATCTCTAAGTTCTGAAAGGGAGTCCATAACGAAATTGATGAAATTCAGACATACATATATAGAAAATTATCCCATAAAAAAAAACTGAAACGATCAAACAAAGTATACTATTGTTAGATATCAACTTAGTTAATAATGGACAACACACACCTTTAGCAGGAAAAGGGCCATCCATGTAGTTATCCCGGAGAAAAAGAGTTGTGAGTGATGTAGCCGCATTAAGAAAAGGAAATATACTATTGTTGAATTTATTTGAAGAGAGATCTAGAATTTCCAGGTTTCTTAACCTCCTTAAGCTTTTATAACCTGCAAACAAAAAAAATCTACTAGATAAACTTACACAAGAATCTTGCTAATCAAATGCATAAATAAAGAAAATCCATGTAGGTATATTATAGAAGTAGACCCCTAACGCAAGGAAAAGGTCAAAGTTCCAATGCAAAACAAAAATGTGAAAAAAAAAAACTAAGCACTAGGGAAATCCTTTTATACCTTCAACATCATCGAAGAAGCCATGGAATTGGTTGTTTTCCTCTTCATGGAATCCTCTCTCCTCAATCGGGTACAAGTAACTGAATCTAGACTTGGATAAGTTCAGACTTCGAATATTTTCGAAGGGATGAAACAAAGAAAGATTTAGGAGAGAATTCTCTTTGAGGTCCAGTGTACCAAAGGCAATCTCGGTCACACGTCCGCTTGTACGGTTGCACTTAATTTCCTCCCACAGGCAGCAATCGCTCGTTGTGTCATTGGTCCAAGCAAACAGAGCAGACTCAGGATATTCTTTAGTAATAGAAGCTATGTAGTTCTTGAGCTCCAACAAAGCTTCCCTTTCTTTCTCAACACAGCTTTTGTATCCACGTAGCTGATCCAACAGTAACATCACCCATATCAAGTATTTGCACAAGAACACCTTCCCTTCCATTGCAAACAAAAACGAAAACAAGAAAATGAAAGAAAAACCAAATGGTGACCGTGAGTTTAATGCAATTACAATGATTTCAAATTTCCAGTGGAAAACGCCAAGTTCAAGAGATATTTCTAATTTCTGTATCCACAAAGTCGAGGTCTCAAGTCGTCTATCGTTGACTTTAGAGTCGTTTGGCATACAAAGTCAAGGTGGGTGGGTCTATGTAGAAAGTGACACGTTTGTACATAATTACCGACGTGGCATTATTAATAATATCTTTTTTTTTTCAGATTATGTAAAACGATTTGGGTGGTTCAATCAGGTTTCTATACATTGTGGGTCAAAATTAAAATGGGAAAATGTATCGACATTTTTGTGGGAATATGAAAGAGCAATTGTTTCGCAATGAGAGGCGTTGTTTGATAAATAGTATATTCTTCTTGGTGCTTTTAGAAAATATCACCTACACGAATTTAATTTAATACTACTAACTAACTAATTAATTTAATTTATTGGAGAAAAAAAACAACCTCAAAATTGTCGTCCTAACCAAAACTGGAATATTCGTGAGTATGATCTGAAGAATGATAGAGATTCGCCCGAACGCAGATGTCAACGGACTAGCCACTTGGTCCGAAAACATTTCCTCTTCTATTAAAGGCAAGGAACCAATCTGGTAGCACAAGAGACAGAGAAAAAAAAAGTACCGAGAAAAAAAGAGAAGCAATCCGATTGATCTAGAAGATCGTCATGATTCTTACAAGTAAAGCTTTCTCAATTTCGTATTTTTTAATTAATTTTCCTGGGATTATAATACTTGTAAATTCTTATGGATTTCTCATTGTTCTGTTTGTCGCCATCTGAGTATGGTTGCTTCTATTGCGGATGGAGTTTGCGAAGCTTGATCATTGCCCTTTGACTTTTTTCTTTCCTCTGTTCATCCATAAAACTGAATAGCAAATTAAAGAATCTGGATTTGTTAATATTCATTATATAGAATCTTGATTTGTTTTTTCTTCAATAAGCTAAAGAAAAACTCTGTGTCTTTATAAAATTGTCTGATTTCTCTAACTATTGAATCTGGTTTTGTTTCATTTTTTCACTACAAGATAAAAATAATAGTTTTGGTCTTGGATCTGTTTTGCCTTTGTTTCTGCTAACACAGCAGTAAAAGTGAGAAATCTGATTCTTGTTCATGTTACAGAATGCTTGCTATTGGTATGGCTATCTCTACTTACTCTGTGTGCTGGGAGGACATTGCACTCACACCCTGGTAAAGGAGCTAAGCAGCCAATTCAGACTTCACGTCCTTATAACATCGCACACAGAGGTTCCAATGGAGAGATCCCTGAAGAAACTGCTGCTTCATACTTGGTTACACCATTGATCTTTCCTTGATCAGTATCGCTTTAAGTGGATCTTTCTCTTTGGAACATTTTGCTAAAGAAAATGTTTGGATTCTTAACAGAGAGCAATTGAAGAAGGTACAGACTTCATAGAAACAGATATCTTAGCTACCAAAGATGGTAAGCTTATCTGTTTCCATGATGTCGGCCTCGACTTAACCACCAATATTGCAAGCATCAAAGAGTTTACTGATCGTAAAAGAACATATAATGTCCAAGGATTCAACATCACTGGCTTCTTCACTTGTACGTTATTACCACAATGTTTCTTATTCCTGAGTTTATGCATAAGCCTAATCAGCATTTAGAGTCTTTTCATTTGCTCAAAAGTGGTTTCTCTTTGATTGCTTGCAGTTGATTTTACTCTCCAAGAACTAAAGACACTACGGACAAAACAGAGATATGCTTTCCGGGACCAGCAATACAACGGTTAGCTGTTGGGAAAAAAATAAAAAGGAATCGCTTGTTACAGTAAAAATATTGAACCATGCTCTCATCTCTTGTTTGAATTGCAGGAAAGTATCCAATCATTACATTTGATGAATTCCTTACCATTGCTCGGGAAGCTCCACGAGTTGTCGGAATATATCCCGAGATTAAAAATCCAGTTTTGATGAACCAACATGTAAGTTACATTACATTAGTATCAATTTGGAGAAAATGATGAAACTTTTTGGCTTCTTAGTTCTCTTTAAAGGAATGATCTTTATCTTTGTTACTATATATCACTGTTAAATTTACCTGCAGGTGAAATGGCCTGGTGGTAAGAGATTTGAGGACAAAGTTGTGGAGACTCTAAAGAAGTATGGTTACGGAGGCGCATACTTGTCCAAGAAGTGGTTGAATAAACCATTGTTTATTCAGTCATTCGCTCCAAGTTCGCTCGTGTACATATCAAACTTGACAGACTCACCAAAGGTCTTGCTTATAGACGATGTAACCATGCCAACTCAAGACACTAACCAGACATACGCAGAGATCACATCAGATGCCTACTTCAGATACATTAAGAAGTATGTGGTAGGGATTGGACCTTGGAAGGATACAATTGTTCCAATAAAGAACAACTACATGCAAGCTCCTACAGATTTGGTCAAAAGAGCTCACGCGCATAAGCTACAGGTAGGGTTTTAAGATTCTTCACGGTAAAAACATGGTAATAACTTCTTGACCATATATGTTCTTTTGTGATGCAAACTTCAGGTGCATCCATACACGTACAGGAATGAAAACAGTTATTTACACTTTAACTTCAGTCAAGATCCATATAAGGAATACGAGTACTGGATCAATGAGATTAAAGTTGATGGACTCTTCACCGATTTCACTGGTAGTCTCCATAGTTATCAAGAATGGACATCTCCGTTACCTGGAAGGTCCAACTCTCCGAGACAGCTCTTGAGTCAGATTGCTTCATTGGTCTCCCCTTATGACAAAAAGGCTTGAAGTACCATATACTAATTCCTTTCTTCAGTTTATCCATTGTTTGTCATTACATGGTTATTGTTAAAGTCTCATCCATCATTCTTAACCATAACAATAAAGAAAAACTCAGTTGTGTCCACATTTAATAAAAAGAACCAACTGAGTTTGGACTTTGTAATTCTTGGAACAAACTTCTACAATGCCAAGAAGAATGCAAGAAATAAAATTTTCTACTGAACTTAAAAGATAGTATTACATGATCAAACTCAAATCCCTCTCAAAAAGATCTCTCAACTACAAATTGTGCAGCAAGGGAAGCAAGAAAACCATCTAGGGTTGCGAGTAATTGCTTCTGCTTTAGGATTAGTAACAGGTTTAGGAGCTTCCTCTTTCTTCAACCCTTCGTCTCCTCCTTCAGCCTCATTCGAAATCTTCGGTGTCTCTGGCTGCGACAGCTTCCTCTGTTTCTTTTGTTGCGCTGAGCCTTGTAATCCTCCCTTGTCTGCATTCCCCAATCTAAAAAAACAACAAAAGTGAGAAAAGAAAACACATTTCTTGCTTAACACGTTAAGATAGATGATCACTTCGTTTGCTTACATTGGAAAAGCGAAAGAATTGAGGCTTAGATCTTCCGAGCGACGAGAAACCGTACGATCTAATTTATTGGCTTTGTTGTTGTTGTTGTTATTAGCAGCTTCGTTAGCCATGATAACCTCTCTAATACTTGCAGCAGCCTTTTGTTCTTCTTCTTTACTTGCACGGTACGCTTTGTCTGTTTCAGCTGCTTTCTTACCTAAATCCACCGGAGTTTTGGCCTCTGCCTCCACCACTACGCTTCCTCCTCCTCCTTGGTTTGTGTTTAGGTGCGGAGAAGTCAAAGTAGGAGTCCTTGGTGAAGGAGGCTGAGGAAACGTGAGCTCGCCAGATTTGAAGTAATCATTTCTGTTGAAGCTACTGTTACCCATGTGGATGCTGAAGAGAGACTCGTTAGAGAGAGTGCTCCATTCAGCTGGAGCTGTAGATGTTGTTCTTGCGAAGACGTGTGAAGGGATTCTGTAATTACTTGGGGTTGAGGTTGTTGTTGTGGTTGTGGCTGTTTCGTTGTTTGTGGTTCTCTCCATGATTTGTGTCGGAGGAGATGATTGCTCTACGTTGTTGCTGTTGAGGAAACTCTGATCAGGGTTTGGCTCGGCTTCAATGGAAGAACAAGAAGAGGAAGAAGCAGAAGAAAGCCGTACGATTGGATCTTCTGGTTTAGAGGTTGAGTTTTGGTTCGTGGGGTTAAAAAAGCTTTCCTCTTGTGACGTTTCCATGATTAACCAAATGAAAGATTATGTATGTTCTTGGACTTTGATTTTTTTGCTTTTTCAAAATCTTCAATCTACAACGCAAAAAGAGAAGACAAGGAAACAGGTTTATCATTAGAATACAGATGATCACAGCAAATGGCATTATTCAAAGAGATTTTAGTTAACCTGAGGTTAAAGATGAAGACGATGAACACAAGCAAGAAGAGATTAATTTTAGAAAATTTTCAAAGACAAGTTTGGAAGATAGAGAGAAAGAGGTACAAATGTTTTTTTTTGGGGGTTTGGAATTAGGAGAGTGAGAGTTTAAAGGACATGCACGCGTCTAGGAGTTTTTTTCTTAAATAGTTCTGATAATACTCTGTGTTAACCCAATTTTGATCAACTATTTTTTGCCATGCTAAGTAAAGATTAAAAAGGTGATTATCTTAATCCGGTTTCGATCGGTTTGCAATTTACCGGGTCTAAATTTAACTCTGTGCCAGATCAGCGAGAAAATCCAAATGAACGGTCAAGATTGTCTCATATAAATGAACGGACAGGATGAGCGAACTATTTGACATAAGCCCTTCTCTTCCATGGACTCTGGGTTTTCACATTTCACTTACTAGCGAGAATTGAAAGACGCTTCCAGAGAGATCGTCGTCTCCGTAAAACCCTAGAGAGTGAGTTTCAGTCTCGTCGATTCTTCTTTTTGGTTTTATGTTTGAGCTGGTCCCTTTGATTTTAGAGATTCGATTTGATATTCTGATGTTTCATTCACTGATCCGAAACTATATTGTTCTCTGTTTTGATTTTCTCTTTGTAATATGATTCTCTTCTGCAACAACGTTATGAATTCGATTTGGGGTTAAGATTTGTGTATGGATGTTTCATTTCACGATTCTGACTGCTGAGTGATGCGATTTATGGGTTTAGCGAGTTGACCTTGTAGGCTTGCACGATTTCGTTTCAATCTCTTTGAATTCGTATCTAGAAAAACTGATGATTACTGCTGGAATAAGAAATTTCTGGAGCCGAGTAGATTTAATTCGTTTCTGAGCAAACAGAGTAACACATATAGTGAACGTTTTTTTTTTTTTTTTTATCATTCTTGTGTTTTGCATATGAAAGAGTGGATTTCATATTTTAGTCTCTGGAATCATTATCTATATTTTGGTTTTGTTTCTTGATTTGTCTAACCACTTTGTGAAAACTCTCTTTGAATTGCAAATTTGCAATCAGAATACAGATTCGAGCAACATGGCTTTCTTAAGTAAAGTTGGAAGGATATTTAGTCAGACTAGCGCTCATGTAACTGCCTCTAGCTCGATGCTACAGAGCATCCGTTGCATGTCTTCGTCAAAAATCTTTGTTGGAGGTGACTATAACTCATAACTCTATTTCGTTCGTGTGATGAGAGAGTACTCTTTCTTGTTTCTCTCCGCTTGTTTGTCTCAAAAAGTTTATATGTTTGCTTGCAGGTATCTCCTACAGCACTGATGAGTTTGGATTAAGAGAAGCTTTCAGCAAATACGGAGAAGTTGTTGATGGTAGCTACTTATCTCTCGCTCTAAGTTATTGCAAAAATCTAGCCTTTTTGAAGTTTTAACTTCCTTACTCCTCGGTACTGACTAAGTTTTTATCAATTCAGCGAAGATTATTGTGGACCGTGAAACTGGCAGATCGAGGGGGTTTGCTTTCGTGACGTTTACTTCAACCGAGGAGGCTAGTAATGCCATGCAATTGGATGGACAGGTAAACACACAAATGTTCCACTTCTTTTGATACTAAGTTGTCATGAGGCTTGTTCCTTTGCCATTTTCTTTTTCTTCTCTAGCCCTTTTATGACTTCTTGATGTTTACCTTGACGATGATGTTTCTAAAACACCTTTTTAGTCTTTCAAACGTTAGCAACATAGGTAGGGTAGATATTAGTATCATCATCTAGCTTGAAATGCTATTCATCTGTTAGGCAGATACTTGTTCTCTCTCAATGAACGGCTGAATGTGGAGCAATATATCGATGCGTTGGTTGGTTGTATATGTTTTCAGGCTGTCTCTAGACGATTCAGCAAAACGCTAAAATTGTTCCTTCTTTGCTTATCATTCTCAGTCGGTCATTTATTGGGGTTTATTGTTGCATACAGGACCTTCATGGTCGAAGAATTAGGGTGAACTACGCGACTGAAAGAGGAGGTGGATTTGGTGGTGGCAATGCGGGTGGTTACGGTGCTCCAGCTGGTGGTTATGGAGGCGGTGGCTACGGAGGTGGTGGTGGTGGCTACGGAGCTCCAGCCGGTGGCTATGGAGGTAACTCTGCTTATGGAGGAAACGCTGGTGGTGGTGGTTACGGAGGTAACTCTTCTTATGGCAATCCCGTTGGTGGTGGTTACGGAGGTAACTCTTCATCTGGCGGCAATCCCGTTGGTGGTGGTGGTGGTGGTTATGGAAGCAACTTTGGCGGTGGATATGGTGTTGCTGGTGGCGTTGGCGGAAGCGACAACTTTGCCCAAGGAAGCTCCACTAGTGCTGGATTCGATGACAAGTTTAGCAGCAACGAGCCATTAGGCAATGATACGGATCATCAGCTTGAAGGCGGTGAAGAACAGTTCGGTGGCAGTGACAATCAGTTTGGTGACTCAGACAACGGCAAAACAGAGAATGGGTTTGACCAGACAGACGATGGCGATGATGTTGCCAAGAGAGCTTAATCCCTACTACGTTTACTCTTTGCGTCATCAAACTTTTCTTTTGCAGTTTCAGACGAAAACTTTATGGAATCTTTCTTAATTTCTTGTTTTTTAAACGTTTGAGGTTGTTTATCATCAAGAGACCTCTATTGTTGGTCGTTTTTTTTCAGAAATGTTTTGACATTGGAGGCTCATAAATAAAAACTGTAATAACTTGTAACAGAGACGTGTTTTATTATAAGCGGCTTCGAGGACGAATGTATTTGACATGCGTCGAGCTTGAGGCTTTCTCCTCCTTGGCAGCACATTGTCAAAGCTTTACTCGTCTCCCCTTGTGGTGGTGCCATCAACAAAGCAATGTTTGCGTTTGATCCTCTGAGCGGGTAGCTTGCGGCTTTCTTCATCAACAAAGCAACGTTAAACCTCTCCCTGTACTTCCTTTCAATCTTCGACGTCAGCTCAATTTTACCTCTCACAAAATCATCGTTTGCAAATTCCAAGCGGCCAGACTCGACCTCTCGAAAGCCCTACAATTACAAAATAAAAGAAGAAGAAGAAGGAGGATTAAGATCCAAAGTCGTTGCTATGACACCACAAAGCCAACGGAATCAAATACAAAAAAAAACTTACATAGAGCTTAAGGTAGTGGGTGAACATTGTCCATGTGGGCATCACCAACTTGGGAAGTACGTCGATGTAAAACTTCTCCTGATTCCAAACGATGAAACTCTTCCCGTCACTCGACCACGACACTACAGAGTTCGTTGAAGCACGATTTACAGCACGATACAATGCGAGCGTGAAGAAAGGACGCTTCGTGACTTTTAAATTTTCTAAAACTGGGTGATGGAAGTAAGTCTTCCTCCTCATCCTTGATCAATTCTCAGAATCCAAAATCCCCCTACAAACCCTAATTCCAAATCAAATCAAACCACACAAACAATCGAACGAACGAGGAAGCCAAAACAAGATCGAAAATAATTCCGAAATCTGGAAATCGAAGTGAGAGAGAGAGAACAACAAACCTAGAGGTCGTGATGATCTTCTTCAATTATGAAATCTAAAAACAAACAATTTAAAATTTGGTTTGGTTTTTATCAGATCCAATTGGGCCAATTTCGTTGCTAAGCGAGATGTGTAGCGAAGCCCAATTCGTAAGTGCTTCCTCTACAAGTAAAAGGACTATAAAAATTACAATTCTACCCATTAGATGTCTAAGAAAAACTAATATTTTAATTGAATTAAATTGTTTCGGCAAAGTAAATCGGAAATTCGTCGCCGGTCCGTCTATTTGGGCGGCGAATTGGCGAGAAGCGTCGTAACTGCTTTCACTAAAACCCTCATAAGCCCTAACTCTTGGAACCTTCGAGAATTTTCAGTCCTCTTCCCTCTGCAACGGAAATGGCGACGAAGAGCGAGGAATCGAGCCACGAGAAAGCTCCTCTGAGTTACCAGAAGAGTATCGAAATCAAAGCCACGCACGATCAGTTTATCGGTAAGTTCCGATTCTCTTCTCCGACTCATCGTTCTCTTGTGGTTTGTGCGGAGGGGAACGAATGTGCCGAAATCGTTTTAGATTGATTTATGCATATGATTACGCTTAGACGATGAGTTTCTCAGCGATAGTCTTTAGATTCCGTCCGGTGATAGTGATGAGAATATCCGAATCATGCTCAGTTGCATTTGATCGGAACTTAATAGTACCGATTCTGTTCATATTAGTCTAAAATTCCAAACGCATTGATGTAGTTTGGAGAGAGTTCCTATGGGGAGGTATAGCTGGAGCTTTTGGGGAAGGAATGATGCATCCCATTGATACACTCAAAACTCGACTTCAGAGTCAAATCATTATGAATGCATCTCAGGTATGATTTTGGCTCTAGAAACTTACCGATTGTTAAACCAGATTTTGTGCTTGCCATTGATTATCGGAGTATATCATCTCTAACCTTGTTCAGTTGTTGATTTCAGAGGCCAAAGAGCATACCACAAATGCTCCGATCTGTCTGGGTTGGTGATGGAATAAAAGGTACATTCGTTCATACTCTTTGCACCTCATCTTCTTCCAGTTTTCCAAGTATGGCTGGATTAGGTTCCATTTTCTCTCTTCTTGTGGCGTGCCTGTGATTCACTATCCTACTTATCATCATTATAAGAAATAGACTGCGTAGGCTATACAAGCTTGCGCTGTGAACTTGGAACTGAAAAAAAAAAAATCTTCTATGCTCTGAGTTTTTGGTTTGTTATAATTTTATATCTCTGCTGACTTTAATTTCAGGCTTTTATAGGGGAATTGCTCCTGGAGTCACTGGATCGCTTGCAACTGGAGCAACCTATTTTGGTGTTATTGAGTCCACAAAGAAATGGATTGAAGAGTCTCATCCCAACTTAGGTGGACACTGGGTGAATTTTCTAGCAGGAGCTATTGGTATGTTATCTAATCTCTCCCATTCTCTCTCGGTCATCTGATTATTGAGGTGGTGGTAAGGATTAGAGGGAAACATATGTGCACTCAAAGTTGAAACTGATTTTGAATGCCAAGCATGCAGCAGAAATCAAACTAACTATAACCTGGCTGAAAAATCAAATACTATCAGACGTTTCAATGTTATGTGATGGTTTTAGCTATGGATACAGTGGTTTCAGATTTTCAGCAAGATAAAGTTATCTGAAGTTGGAATGCGTCTGATTCCTCTGTTTGCTGCTTCTTTCCTTTTGGCAGGTGATACACTTGGTTCTTTCGTTTACGTTCCTTGTGAAGTGATAAAGCAGCGGATGCAAATTCAAGGCACTAGTAGCTCCTATAGCTCCTTTGTTTCTAGGAACAGCATTCCGGTGACAGCAGGAGGAGGTGACATGTATGGTTATTATACTGGAATGTTCCAGGCTGGAAGCTCAATATTCAAAGAACAAGGGCCAAAAGGACTGTATGCTGGGTACGTAAATCTCCTTCAGGCCTTTATATGATACAAATTGGATACTGCATCCTTTTTCAAGGGACTGATGCTGTTATTTCCCATTTTCCTTTGGTAGATATTTTTCGACACTTGCGAGAGATGTGCCTTTTGCTGGCCTTATGGTATGTAATGTGACGCTTCAGGCGAAACTGTTACTTCCATCACCTAATGGGTCTCTGTCTCCTCATGTTCGTTCTGTTTTTTCCTTCTCAGGTAGTGTTTTATGAAGCATTAAAAGATCTCGCAGATCAAGGAAAGCAAAAGTTTCCACAATATGGTGTCAACAGTTCTGTAGAGGGACTCGTACTGGGAGGATTATCTGGTGGTACGTTAGGATGAGATCAGTTTTAAAGAAACCGTTCCAAAATAGCTCATACCGTAGTTAGTGACCCTTGTTTAATTGATGTCTCTCCAGGACTAAGCGCTTATCTCACCACTCCACTGGATGTTGTCAAAACAAGACTGCAAGTGCAAGGATCTACAATCAAGTATGTCTCATCTCTTAATAGATACTCATATTCTCATCGAAATAGCATCCCCAGGTTTATAATCGAGAACTTGTTGTTGATAGGTACAAGGGGTGGTTGGATGCAGTTGGGCAGATATGGAGGAGGGAAGGTCCAGAGGGGTTTTTCCGGGGAAGCGTCCCGAGGGTCATGTGGTATATTCCGGCCTCTGCACTCACCTTCATGGCCGTTGAGTTCCTTAGAGATAGTTTCAGAGAAAAAAGTAGTAGTAACAATGTCGTCCCAAGCTTGAGCATAGAGAGGAAAAGCTCTTCTTCAGTACATGAGGTTAGTGAGAACTAGTGTGACTAGTGAGAGAGAGAGAGAGAGATGATGATTCTTTGTCTTCTTTGGATCCAAGGAGCCACAAACTTGTCCATATATGGCTCATTTTTTCGTTAAAAAACAATCTGATGATCCCTTTTTATTAGCCTGAAGAGCAAAAGAAAGTGTTGAGAACAAAATTTTCATTAAATAAATTAATTTGACCACCAAAAAAAAAAATTAAATAAGTTACTGGGCAGCATTATCTTTTTAAAAACGTTAGTAAAAGAGGAATTGGCCTAAACCCTAAAAAGGATTCGGGAGATGGCGTCTTCGTCTCGCTCGGAGAAACGATGCCTCTACGAGGTTCTCGGAATCAGCAAGGAATCATCGCCGGACGAGATTCGATCCTCCTATCGGCGTTTGGCTTTGCAGCGTCATCCCGACAAGCTAATCAAGGCCGGTGGAATAACGGAGGCTGAAGCCACCGCGCAGTTCCAAGAGCTCGTCCACGCCTACGAGGTGTTATCCGATCCCAAGGAGCGAGCCTGGTACGATTCCCACCGATCCCAGATTCTATTCGCCGGCCATGGCGCCGACGGTGGCTCGAAATCTCGCGGAATGCCTGGCGGCTCCGTTCCGGATCTATTCGCTTTCTTCTCCGCCACCGTCTATTCCGGGTACTCAGACACCGGGAAGGGATTCTACAAGGTGTATTTCGATGTGTTCAACAGTGTTTACCTCAACGAGATCAAATTCGCGAGGACGTTAGGGATGAGCTTGGACTCTGTGAAGGAAGCTCCGATCATGGGGAATTTAGAGTCTCCGTACGCTCAGGTGACGGCGTTTTACAATTACTGGTTAGGTTTTTGCACTGTGATGGATTTCTGCTGGGCGGATGAGTATGATGCGATGTCTGGACTCAACCGGAAGTCGAGAAGGTTGATGGAAGACGAGAACAAGAAGGTGAGGAAGAAAGCCAAGAGAGAGTATAACGAGACGGTGAGACGTCTGGCGGAGTTTGTGAAGAAGAGGGACAAGAGAGTGATTGACATGATGGTGAAGAAGAATGCGGAGATGGAGAAGAAGGCGGCTGAGGAGAGGGAGAGGAAGAAGAAGATTGAGAAGGAGAAGTTAGAGAGAGCTATGAAGTATGAGGAGCCTGATTGGGCAAAGGCTCAGGAGGGAGATGAGGAAGGGGCCGAAGAGGATGATGATGATGATGCGAATAAGAAGAATGAGCAGCTCTATTGCATTGTTTGTAGCAAGAAGTTCAAGAGTGAGAAGCAGTGGAGAAACCACGAGCAGTCGAAGAAGCACAAAGAGAAAGTGGCGGAGTTGAGAGAGTCGTTTGAGGAAGAAGACGAAAAGCACAGAGAAGTTGAGGAAGAGAATGAGCTCCATGAGAAGTTTCAGGAGGGGCTGAATCTAGACGATGGTGAAGAAGAAGAAGAAGTGGAAGAAAAGGATGTTGTAGGTGAAGCTGATGAAACTGATGAGGAGTATTTTATGGCAGAGAAGGAGGATGTGAAAGGATCTAGTGAAAGTGAGGACGAGGATGGAGATGATGACGAGATGTCTCTACTCAAGAAAATGGTATCTGGGCAGAAGAAGAAGCGAAAGAACGTTGTGTCAAGGGAAGAAGAAGAAGTTCAAGTGGAGATTGAGAGCGACACAGAAGAGTTTGATAAACAGAGAGCCACAGGTATGAGCAGAAAAGGCAAGAAGGAGAGAAATAAACAGAATGCTGTGAAAGACACGACAGATGATGCCAGCAAAGTAGACGAAGGTAATACAGATGACAATGTGGATGCAACGAACTCAGCTTCTGGAGCGTTTGAGGATTCTTCTCAAAAGGATGAGCCGGATGAGCCGGAAGTAATGGAGTATGATAACAGGAAGAGCACAGGGAGGAGGCGCAGAAGTAAGAAGGGTAAAGATAAGAACAATCTTGGAGGGTTAACGGAGAAGAGCAGTGAAGCGAATGATCGAAATGGAGGAGAGAAAGAAGAATCTCATTCAGAAACGTTTGAGGATCGAAGTGAATATATGGAAATCAAGAAGGCTCCCAGATCGAAGAAATCAACGAGAGGAATGAAAACAAAGGTACAATCATTCTTCCCTTGTAGCATCATCACTATATCATAGATTTTGGTATGATAATTCTTGACATTCGTATACATCAAAATTCAGGGCGGATCAAAGAAGACTAGTAACGAATGCGATAGATGTGGAGAAGAGTTTGAGACAAGGTTGGTCCATTTGATATTTGTTCTCTTTGTCATCTCCAGTTCAGCAGTAGTATACTTTGTAGCACTCAAAATGTTGACTCCACCATTTATCTAAACCATGGCCAGGTCAAAACTATTCAAGCATATAGCTGATACCGGTCATGCCACAGTGAAATCCCGATGATCCTTCGGCTCATTTAAGGGTTATTCAGAGAATGAACCAAAGGATGGCTGTAGAAATGCATTTTTGATTTAATTTATACACATTGGACACAAATGACATATTCTTTGACATTGTTGTAGTGCTCACGAATTGGTAATCAAATAAAAGCTTTTGTTTTGACATTGTTGTATTGATCACGAATTGGTAATCAAACTATGTACCGAATACTTGTGTGTTAGAAACAAAGATTTTGCAGAGAAGAAATCTCTCAAATGTTGCCTCTAGCATTGCATTCTTTCGAGTATATATCACTTATAGCACATTCTATGAAACATTCTGTGAAAAATGTATTATTAATTGAAACAAAACGTAAGACTCAATTGTCAGAATAATCTCACTAAGTAGCAGACTCGACAACTTCTTTCAAAAACTCTGCAAAAACACCAAACGCACAACAAAATCCTGTAGAAATGATATGATAACGCCATGACTCTAAAGCTGAGAGCACCAATCTCTAGCATTCTGGAACATCTTCAACCACGGACTCGGCCCAGCTTTCTCAACCTCCCAGCTAGTCGGGTACCACGGGAACTGCCACATCAAGAAGCAACGTTCAGGGTGAGGCATCATCGCCAAATGCCTCCCGTCCGGCGAACAAATAGCAGCTATCCCCAACGGTGAACCATTGAGGTTAAACGGATAAGCTTCAGTCACACTCCCATCATCATCACAGTATCTCAACGGAGCCAAATCCGAGTGAAGCATATGGTCCAACACTCCTTCGTCAGGGAAATAAGCCCTTCCTTCTCCATGAGCAGCCCAAACTCCCAAAGTGCTTCCTTCCATGCCTTTCAGCATTATAGACGGCGAGTCCTTGATGGTCACGCTAGTGAACCTGCACTCAAACCTTCCTGACTCGTTGTGAACAAACCTCGGCTGCGAAGTGTCGAGCGAGCCACCAACTTGTGGACCTGGCACCCATCCTAACAAGGCCATAAGTTGACAACCGTTGCAGATTCCGAGGCTGAACGTGTCTGGTCTCTTGTAGAAGTCTTGGAACTGAGTGAGGAGTGGCTCGTTGAACCTTATTGAAGCCGCCCATCCTTTGGCTGAGTCAAGAACATCAGCGTAGCTAAAACCTCCCACGAACACAATCCCATTGAACAAGTCAAGAGTGATTGCTCCAGCTAGAAGATCAGACACTGTCACGTCCCATGGTTCGAAACCAGCAGCGAAAAAAGCAGCTGACATTTCCCTGTCTCCATTACTGCCTTCTTCTCGGATCACAGCTACTTTCGGTTTAACATCTAAAATCAAGAAAAAACTCTCATCAGGAAACTATACACAGTTTATAATATATAAAAAATTGATCTTACCTTTAGACATATAACTATCGTTGGTCCATGAAGGAGTGAATGAGAGCTTCCAGTTAGGCTCATGCCTCAATTTCAAACCTTCTTTCTCCATCTCAACACAAGACGCCAATCGCTGAAGCTTTTCCAGCTGGAAACTGGTGTCTTCCCACATGTCTCTGAGGAATGAAGTTTTCTCACTCAGCTGAGTGATTCCATCAACTTTCACCTCTATCAAAGGAGAGTCAGTGACTTTCCCAATGATCTCAGCATCAACATTGAAACCACGGAGCTTCTCCATCACAGCGTCTAAGTTCTTGCTGCTAATCTCCATGACAAGTCCGAGTTCTTCAGCAAACAAAGTCTCAAAGAGGCTTATCCCGTTTGAAGCCAAGTCGAGGTTTATACCTTTGTTTCCAGCAAAAGCCATCTCCAAAGCTGTCACAACTAGTCCTCCATCGCTAATGTCGTGTCCAGCAGATACCAAGTCCTCTGAAATGAGAGCTTGAACGCCGTCGAAGACGTTCTTCAGGTATGGAACATCGTCAAGATCAGGACAGTCGTTTCCAATCTGACCAAAGACCTGAGCCAATGCAGATCCACCTAATCTCCTCTTTCCCTTTGCCAAATCAACATGCAAGAGCACACCATCACCGTCTCCTAGCTTGAGATCTGGAGTCACTGTCTTTGTTATGTCAGGACATGTGACATAAGCACTGATCACAAGATTTCCTGGAGCTTTAACAATCTCACCATCAGCATGAGCTGCCATTGAAAGACTATCTTTCCCACCATCAATCGCAATGCCAAGTTCGATCATGGCTTCAGACAAAGCAATTGCAGCATCATACATAGCTGATCCTTCTCCTTCAAGCTTAGCAGCATACATCCAGTTACCACTAGCTTTAACATCAGATAGCGCAGTGACCTTTGCCCAAACAAGATTTGTTAAAGCCTCACCAACAGCTAGTCTCGCCATGGCTTTTGGATCAAGCAGACCTTTAATCGGTTGCTCACCAATAGCACACGCACCACCGGTTAAATCAGTGAACGTCTGTGCTATAACCGCAACATCAGCAAGAGTGATCTGCAACGGTCCAACTGTCTGCTGCTGAGCAACAAGACCTGTCACACATCTATCCACTTTCGTTGTCAAGAACCTCTTAGAAGAAACCGAAGGCAATCTCAAAACCCTTTTCAAAGAGTCCATCAATGTAAGCCCAGGAGCAATATCAAGTGGCTCACGTAGATAAGCTACACGGTTAAACTCAAACGTCTTCTTAGGCATGTCGCCAAGAACCTTCTCGAGTTCAAGATCAACAGCAGGAGGAGGTGGAGGCAGACCTTCTTTACTGCACTTCGCTGCAGCTGTGCTGTCAATCAAAGTACAACGACCTCCTCCATTAACCGTTCCAATCACAGCCATTGAAAGCCTTTCTCTCTTACATATCCCCTGCAAAACCTCTCTGCTCTCAGCTTTCACCAGAATAGCATCCTGCTCTTGATACTCAGCTCCCCATATCTCCAACACTGACATAGTATGATCACCAACAACAACAGCTCTAATGTCAATCTCTGCACCTTCCGGATAAATAATCTCTTTCACTACATTACAGTTCCCACCAGCGCCTTGATCATGAATGCTGATGATTGGATTCTTCTCCCCCATCTCAATGCATGCACGGACAACACGGTACAGCTTCTGCGCCATCTCAGCGTCTCCACGCTGCACAGCGTTGAAATCAAGCTCTGCATCGTTCTGGCCACTAACCATACTTGAAGCTGCACCTCCTCCCATACCAATACGGTAAGCAGGTCCACCAATCTTGACAACAAGCATCCCAACTTCTGCCTCACCTTTAGTTATATGAGTATGATCAATCTGTCCAATACCTGCACTGAACATAATCGGCTTCAACCATTCTCTTCTATCACCACTCGGCAGCCTCATTCCAAAAGTCCTTGTGTATCCTTGAATCATAGGCTCTCCGAATTTGTTCCCATAGTCTGAAGCACCGTTGCTAGCATCAATGAGAATCTGTAAAGGTGAAGCTAAGTTCGATGGATACTGAAATGATGAGTCTTCCCATGGAGCATAAGATCCTTCCATGTTGAGGTTCCCAACACAGTAACCAGAGGTTGATGCAACCACAAAAGAGCCTCTTCCTGTTGCATGTGTGTCTCTAATCCTACCTCCAGCTCCAGTCTCAGCACCAGGATAAGGAGCCACCGCACAAGGGAAGTTATGCGTCTCGGCAGTGAACAAGATGTCTAGATCACGAGCACACAAATCAAGCAAGCAAGTAGAGCCAGGAAGCAGAGGACGTAGCTGGTTCACCATAAACCCTCTGATAGCACTGGAGTTATCCTTAAACCCAATCACAGAGTTATTCCGATTTGCCTGCAAAGATTCAACACAAAAGCAATGAGTGAGTCATATGAATCAAAAGCTCACAACTTTGAATGAAAAGCTCAAAACTTTGAATGAAAAGCTCAAAACTTTGGATGAAAAGCTCAAAACTTTGAATAAAAAGCTCAAAACTTTGACTGTAAGCTCTTTAATCTTTACCTCCCAAGTGCTCTTCACAATCTGCATAAGAGACTTATCCATTGGCTTCCCATCAATAACAATGTTCCCAGCAAAGAACCAATGACGACTATGCTCACTATTAGACTGAGCGATATCAAACAGCTCCACATTCGTAGGATTACGCTTAATGTCCTCTTTGAAAAGTCTAAGATAATACTCCAAATCCTGCTCATCAAACGCTAATCCCATCTCCTGGTTGATCTCTTCAAGCGCCTTCCTACCTTTCTCCATCACATCCACATACTTGACTTCCTCAGGAACCACATTCGTCTCAAACGAAACCAGCCTCTGAGAGTACACACATTCAGTCATCCGATCGTGAACCATTGCAGCAAAGTCTTTGACTTGAGCCTCCGAGAGCGGCTCCTCGCTGAACAAGAGGTACCTCCTGGACCTTTCCAAGCGTGTCACTTCGTTTAAGCCACACGCTCTACAGATTGAAACTGCGTTTGTGGACCATGCGGTTGTGAAAGACAGTCTTGGACCAACTTCAACGATTGTAGCATGGAGTCCTTCTTGCTTCTTCCTCTCAAGAAAACTATCATTGCCTGAAAATTTTATTTTAACTCAAAATCATCAATAAAAACAGAGAAAGGTTAAGACTTTTCGTAACCATTGAAACAAAAAGTACCTAAATTCTCTGGCTCGAATGTTTCTTGAAGAACCCACTTGAGAACAGAGAGCTTCTCGCTTCCTAACTCCGATTCAAGGCCGATGTTGAAACACTGCTCTGTTGTCAAACTGACGATCTGGTTGCTGATTTTGGTTTGAACGGACTTGAGAAGCTCGGCGTTTGCGCTTTCTTGAATCAACGGCACGCGGAAGAAATGGATAACCTCTGCAGCTGGTTTCTCAACCAAGCTCGGCTGCTCTACGACGGAAACAGCTGGCTTGTTAGATTGAGCAGAGCATCTCAAGCTAACAGCTTTCGATCGATTCAGTGACAGACGCTGCTGCGAGGTGGTTCGGAATCTAAGGGAGCCCCACAATTGACTTGTTGAGCTTCTCTGCAAAAGCGTCGCTTGTCTATTGGAGCCCTGCAAAAAGCCATTAACTTTGATTAAAAACGAAAACTTTCCTGGAAATATGGAATCTTTCTATCGAAAATCTGATAAGAGTAGAGATCAAAAAACATCACAGATTCGAATATAGAGCTAATCGGTTATCATCAATCATCGACACGAAACTGTGAGAAAATGAGTGGAGAGAATATTTACGTTGAGAAACAGAGCCGCACGAGTAGCTTGGGAGGTATTCATCGTGGGAGGAAGATGAAGACCAGGGGACGAAGCGGGAGAGGGGTTTAGGGTTTTTTCTCTTTTGTTGCTGTCTTAACGGGACCGAGGAGGCTCCGACTCCGAGAACTCAACTCGACAGTCTACACACAGTCTTGTGTCTGGTCTCTCCTCTTTTAGGTTTGTTTTTTGTTTGGTGGAATATAGTAAAAAAACATAAACAAATAGTTGGTGGGTATTCAGATATTCCTGAAAGTTTGATTGGGCCTCAATTATTGGGCCTAAAGCCGGACGTTACAATATTAAATTCAGCAGATTTTAAGGATGATTTTGTTATTTTAAAGAATCCGATGGCTTTGCTCCAAAATAAAAAGAATCTGAACCCATTTGTAAATCAATTATCGAGGTCGGGTTGTCAGCAATTATGAGTCTATTTTTACTTACATCGAAGTGAATTGGGTGATTTATCAGTTAATACTATTGTTTTCATTTCACAAGCTCTACTAGTACACAGAACAGTGAGATATATGAAGATGCGTAGCTGTTAAATTTTAATGATGATAATAATTAGGCTATGAGAACCATAATACTTAATCTTGCGGAAACTCGGTAGAAGAGGGAACAAGATTTTCAATTTGTGATTAAAAACCAGATCCATGATAAAAGTCTAACACTTCAAACAAAGAAAGGAAAATGCTTTCAATATCAAATACAAAAAAAAGGAACCAAACTAGTTTGACAAAAACCAGAGCTAAATCAAGTTTATGCCGTTTACATTTGCTTCTTCATATGTTGCTCGGATACATGAAGACTCTCACTCTGCTTCCCTGCAAGACAAAAAGAACAATAAAATATGTCAACACCAAAACCACAAGAAGATGATTTAACATATAAACAAGTAAAATCGAATAAAGATTTGAGTAGTATGGGATCAAGTTGATGTACCATGGACTTAGGAGGCAAGTTGGATGTGAATTTGGAACGGACAACACCGCTGTTACCATGAGGCCTGGTCACTTTTCCCCAGATGCAACGGTAGTGGCTACCATTCTTCTTTGTCTTGGCCTTGTAGATGTAAGCCAACCTCTTTCCCTTGTACCATGTCACCTCCTCAGTAGTGTTGACTCCTTCGATCTGAATAAGTGATGTATTTGGGTACTGGTTCGACTTCGACCTGCAACATTCAACAAAATGTCAGACCATAAGCAACATCAAATGGTTCGGTTTAGATACAACAATAACAAGGCCAAGATCGGTTAACAACATCCAAGTGTAGATTGTTTATAAATAAGTATACTGTTCTATGAAAATGCACACAACTAACAATATAAACTGAGACATGTAATGTTATAATTGAAGGTAAGAGGAACGTAGTGAGATTATCAAGGAGGAGATCCTATTAGCTTAAGTTGCATAAACTAAACTCACTATGTATCATTACACTGAATAAAGTTGAAACTAAATCAAATGAATTAAGATAGAGATTAGAAGTAAATGGGTCACCTTTTGTATCCGAGGATGGTTCCTCTAACGTAGAGTCTGCGAAATTTGAAAAAATCAAAATGAATCAGATTTTAGCAGAACGTGGCATTACGGAAATTGCAATATTGAGCAATGTACAATCTACACGAGCAAAATGTAATATTGCAATCGATGAGAAATTTTTCTAAACAATTACGAATCAGCTCAAATCTAGACAATACGAGTGAATCAAAATCAGTTTCAGAAGAGAGGATCCAAATCTCAAGTGCTACCGATAGAAAACCAACTTTGAAAACTAGGAATAGATCAAAATCGAAGAACAATCAAAAGAAGAAGAAAGACCTGACTCTCTCTCCCTGGCGTCCCTTCACCATTTTCGAGTTCGGCCGATAAACACACGAGTTGCTGCTACTGAGAAAGACGGAGAAGAAAACCCTAAAAAATCAACTACAATATATATACTGCTCCCCTCTAAGTTCTCGTCTCAGATTTAAGAATGGGCCTATGGGCCTCAAAACTTGGCGCGGTAAAAGATATTGAAACAACTTTAAATGGGCTTAATTCGGGACACGATATGTTCTTCTAATTCTTTCTCTCTCCCGCAATTCTCAAGAATCGTCACTTTCGCAAGTCGTAACCGACGCTTAAGTGGCCGGGCTAGTCTCCGATCATCACTCCGGCTGTGCAATGGCGACTGAAACATCAAGCAGGAGCTCAGTGAAGCCTTTGCCTAGAAGTGGCATTCTTCTTCGCTCAAGTTTGATCACCATTTTCGGGATCATTTCGGCGTTGACTTTTCAGTCTATAGTAAAACCTCCTCCGCCGAAGCTATGTGGATCCCCAGGAGGTCCACCGATCACAGCGCCGCGGATTAAGCTCCGAGACGGGAGGAATCTGGCGTACAAAGAGCACGGAGTTCCAAGAGAGAAAGCTCGCCGCAAAGTCATCTTCATCCACGGATCCAATTGTTGCCGACACGACGCTATTTACGCGACCCTCCTCTCTCCGGTAACTTGTTCATATCAATTTCTGGAAATTCAAAGTGTTTCTATAAACTTCCCTTGACGAACTTCAAATTCTTAGGATTTAGTTGAGGAACTAGGCGTGTACATAGTTTCGTTCGATAGACCGGGTTATGGAGAGAGCGATCCGGATCCGAATCGGACCCCGAAAAGCTTGGCTTTAGACATTGAAGAGCTCGCTGATCAATTGAGTCTCGGATCAAAGTTCTACGTGATCGGATATTCCATGGGAGGACAAGCAACATGGGGATGCGTTAAGTACATCCCTCACCGGTTAGCCGGAGTGACGCTAGTCGCTCCGGTGGTTAACTATTGGTGGAAGAGCTTACCTTCGAATGTCTCCAATGAAGGTTTCAACTTGCAGCCAAAAAGAGATCAATGGGCGGTTCGTGTAGCTCACTACGCTCCTTGGCTTATGTACTGGTGGAACACACAGAAATGGTTCCCCGGTTCGAGCGTTGCGAGCGGAGATTACAGTATCTTGTCACAGTCGGATAAAGATATCATTTTGAAGCTCGGGTCTTCGAGGAAACCGTATTGGGATGAAGTAATGCCGCAAGGGAAGCACGAGAGTGTGAACCGGGACGCGATCGTGGGGTTTGGGAGTTGGGAGTTTGATCCTGTAGAGCTGGAGGACCCGTTCTTGAACGGGAATGGCTCTGTGCATTTGTGGCAGGGAGATGAGGACATGTTGGTGCCTGTGACGATGCAACGTTACATTGCGGAGAAGCTTCCGTGGGTTCAGTATCATGAGGTTGCTGGAAGTGGACACTTCTTGCACTTTGCTGAAGGTATGGTTGATGACGTTGTTAAGACGCTCTTATCCACTGATGCATAGAGCTTCTAGATATTGTAACTTCATATATGTGTTTAAAGAATTGTTTGTGTGCAATGTACGCCAAACTTCTCTCTCGTTATGTTGTCGTTTTGATCATTAATACTCTTGAGTCTTGAGAGTTAACTAAGATCCCAACGGTCTAAAGAAGCCCAAAAAATATCATTCAATGGGTTTATGTATATTGGTGTATTTTTAGGACAACATAAGATTTTTTTTTGACTTTGTAGTTTGTGCACACCGTTTTTGTTAGTCCACCAAAGAAGCCAAAATCAAAACAGAGTACGAGAATAGTCCGATTCTAAGAAAAGCGTAATAAGTTACAGCACCTCAAAGAACTCTTAAACCTTGGAATGTTTTCAAATGCTAAGACTTCAATCCTCAAATATTGAAATTGGGAGAGAAGAAGAAGAAAGAATTAAGGGTGTGAGACAGTATTCAGAGTCCAGAGCCCCCAACAAACGCTAGAGTAGGAAAGCAGAGATTGAGCAAGTTAAACATTCTTAGGAATCGCAAAATGGCAAGTAATGTTTTTTCCTATCAAACATATTAGATTTGTATCAAAACTTGTGAATTAACTATGAAATATGAATGAGCATAAGCTGATTTGCATGTCTTCCTCTAAATCTGAAAGTAGGCTTCAAATGTCTCCTTCTTGACTAATCTGAAAGTAGGGCTCTAAATGAGAAGTACACCGTGTTGTTACAAACAAAGAAAAGAAGCCTAATTTCACTATTTGTGTAGTAATCATGTGGATATGGTATAACAGTCGTGACCCTGTCCAGCTAAACCTTCTACCATTTCGGCTTTACAAGTACCAGGTCCTAACTTATAAGTACTGAAGTTAGGCCACATAAATGAAGAGAGCAAGCACTCAAAAAGAGTGGTGAATATGTCGTAAATGTGGATATATAAATAGTAAGAGAATGCGTATTGTCAAATGCCAAGAAAGACATAACTCGAAAAGAATAAAAATGAATACCACTCTCCAACTTCTCCCTCTCATTTTTACTTGCGCAACACTTCTCTTATTTTACATTCGAAATCGAAACAGTCTCCTTCTTCCTTCAAGTGTAATCATCATCGTTGGTGGGATGATAGTCAGGTTGACTTATCAGTTAACGATGAAACCTCCTCCGGCGAAGCTATGCGGCTCCCTAGAAGGTCCACCGATCACAGCACCGCGGATAAAGCTGCGAGACGGGAGACATTTGGCTTACAAAGAGCATGGACTTCCGAGAGAAAAAGCTAACAACAAAATCGTCCTCATCCACGGATCCGATAGTTGTCGACACGACGCCGTTTTCGCCACACTCCTGTCTCCGGTATTTATTCCGTTACGTTAGGGTTTATATCAATATTTTTTTTTGATAGATTACTTTTTAAATATAGGATTTAGTGGAGGAGCTAAGCGTGTATATGGTTTCGTTCGACAAACCGGGTTATGGAGAGAGCGATCCGGATCCAAACCGTACTCCGAAAAGCTTGGTTTTGGACATTGAAGAGCTCGCTGATCAACTGAGTCTTGGAGAGAAGTTCTACGTGCTCGGGAACTCGATGGGAGGACAAGCAACATGGGGTTGCCTTAAATATATTCCTCATAGGTTAGCCGGAGTAGCTTTGGTTGCTCCGGTGGTTAACTATTGGTGGAAGAACTTACCTTTGAATCTTTCCTCGGAAGGTTTTAACTTGCAACCAAGTAGAGACCAGTGGGCGGTTCGTGTGGCTCACTATGCTCCTTGGCTGACTTACTGGTGGAACACACAGAAATGGTTCCCAGGTTCGAGTGTTGCGAACCGAGATGATGTTAGTTTGTCACAGCCGGATAAAGATATCATTTTGAAGCTTGGTTCTTCGAAGAGGCCGCATTTGGAAGAAGTTAGGCAGCAAGGACTACATGAGAGTGTTAACCGTGACATGATCGTGGGATTTTTAAGTTGGGAATTCGATCCTATAGAGCTCGAGAATCCGTTCTTGAACATTAATGGCTCTGTTCATTTGTGGCAAGGAGATGCGGATATGTTAGTTCCTGTGACGATGCAACGTTACATTGCGGAGAGGCTTCCATGGCTTCAGTATCATGAAGTTGCGCGAAGTGGCCATTTGTTCCACTTCGCTGAAGGTGTGGTTGATGACATTGTTAAGACTCTCTTAACCACATAAGTTGAGAATTTACTAAGATTATAATGGTCTAAAAATGTATGGGTACTATGGAGTTATGTACGCTTGATGTATTTACAAGAAAAAAAAAAAACATAAGAAAAGTAAGATGCTATCATAAAAACATAATGAATGTAACACTTTAATTTCTTTTGTATGATCGGGTTTTGAATAATAAAAAAAAAATTAAGAGATCAAACCCAAAAACACATGGGAAGGTGAATACAATCTTACAATAAAAGATAAAGAATTATATGAGTTCATGTAATTTAATCAAAAATGAGAAACCATGACATGTCTAAGTTATATAGTAACGTGTTAAAGTATTTGTTCTCCTGTGTTCTAAAAGTACGAAGATATGGATCGTAAGTGGCTGACTAGTGTGTAGGACGTCCAAACTCTTCAGGGAGGTTCTCATTGGTCTGTAATATCAAAGGGATCGAAAATATGTTGATGTCTCATGTCCAACATAAAGACCACCAGATCACCATCCGAGACCATTACTGAATTAAACTCCATTTGTTATCTCCACTTATAGATAGAATATGGGCCACATGCCCCACCATCTATAACGTGGGTCCGCCACTGGTTGTTTTGTCGCCAAACATGCTAAAAATTTTGAATTTTTAAAAACGGTGATGGCAGAAACAATGTGATCGTGGATGTGAATCATCGTGCATATCTAGATTACCTAATTATCCAACGTGGACATTACGTACGTACCTAACATTCAATAATTCCAGTTATTAATTGCATTTCATTTTCCTAACGTCATCATTTTTCTATAACCAATATATACACCTCACGTCTTAACGCTAACCTAGTCTAGTTCTACTACTACGTCATCGTTTCTTTTTGTTTCTCTTCTCATTGTTCTCTCTCTCTCTCTCTTTGTGCCTAGCTCGAGCGTCGAACACGGCTTGCGTTGCAGTTAAAGTGCCTTCGCAAACCAAGCGAGCTACAAGAGCCAGGCTACTACGTCATCGTTTCGGTCGACCAAAAAAGCCTATCTTCTCACTATCGGGGGTCTTTTATTTCCTCACCACTACCCTATTCTTATATGTTATTGTTATTCACGTGCATTTTGATGGTACAGTAAAACCTCTATAAAATAATAACGTTGGGACCATAAAATTTTATTACTTTAACGAGATTATTATTTTATCGAGAAATAATTACACCAAAAATTTAATTTGGGACTCGAAAATTATATTCATTTATCGAGGTATTACTTTATAGAGGTTCTACTGTATAAAGAAACTGATTATAATATTTAAATCTTGTTAAAGTTTGGATCACTGTTAGTTATCAGGAAAAATAAAAACTTTATATATACATATATATATATATATTTATATTTATATAGTAAAATAGTATGAGGGAAATGCTATTTGATGTCCAAAGAACTGGAAAGAGTTTATAACCTTACTTTTATGATTTTATCATAAACATGTTCTATTCAAGGTGCAAATTAAAAATCTAAATGATTTAGTAGAATACTTACAAAAAAAAAACTTGTATTAATTTAATAATCTAAAACATAAAAGACAAGGAATCTAACCCACCAAGACCCATCTCCACGTACCCATATATATCCCGAATCTGAGATTATCCATATACTTGAACTCCTGAAGATTCCTTCGCAGAGACAACTCTCTTGGCATTGTTAATATTCTCTGATACCAAACTTTTGATTCCATTTCCCTGCTACTCTTATTTTTAAATTACTATTTATTTTAATGAAAACCGTGGCACTATTGCGTCTGGTTTACATAATTTCATCCAAAGGCTTTGGAATATCTAGTACTCCATTTTTTTCACACAAAAAAAAATATCTAGTACCCCATGTCTCCATCCATTTTCACTATAATTGATTTTTTTTCATCAATTTTATATTATTTAGTAATGTTTACTAACTCGTTTTATAATTGTCTGTATTGTTTCCTAGTCTTTTGAATAAAATAAATCTTACGCTGGCAATATCTGGACGGTTAGCTCGAAGAAATTCACGTGTATTTTGTCTTTGATGTAAGAAATCAAAACTATTCTTCTCTTTCCTTTTCTCATTTCTCACTTAACCACTCAGACTTTACATCACCACACATTATAAGTGTGCCCTCAAAAGATCTCTCAGCCCTCAACATATTCCTCTTTTTATTCTGTTTCTTTCTTTATATAGGAAACAGATTTTGAGTTCTTTAATCAATTTCGTTTCTTGGAAACAGTTTTTGCCCCCACACACAGAATTCAAGATTTTCTTGATCTCCAATGGATTCTATATCACTTTCTGAGGTTACTGTCATAAGAAGAACACACTTGGGATTTATGCACAGTTTCAAACAGCCATTTTCTGGTGTTACAAGATCTCCAAAGTTCTGCTCCTCCAAAGGTAAATAATAATACCTTTATACCACTTTCTCTTTTTAGAAAAAAGTCACTTCCTCTTCACAGCAAAATACTATTTTTTTTTTAATTTTGATTTTGTTTTTCAATTTGGATGAGAAGTTGAAGGATCAAATGCAATATCTTCAAGTGTTTCCAGCACAAAGAGCCAATTTGGTAAAGGAGAAAGCTTAGCTAGAATAGCAGATTCAGGTTATAAGATGAATGGAGTAAACCTTAAAAACAGAACACTGATCAGTTCTGTCAAAGAAAGATTATTACTTGATGTTTATGATGATGAGTATGGTGGAGTAGTAGTTGATCATGGAAAATTACCATCAAATCCTTACGAATTCTCTTCAATGCTTCGAAATTCTCTCTTGAACTGGAGAAGAAAGGTAAACAGAGAAACCCAGAACCCTTTATCCTAAAAAGTCATGATATTTCATAAATTTTCTTAATTATGGAGAAATTATTTTTTGTTGTTTGGTAGGGAAAGAAGGGAGTTTGGTTGAAGTTACCTGTGGAACAATCAGAGTTAGTTCCAATTGCTGTAAAGGTATAAACAAACCCAAAAAAAAATGATTTGTCTTGTGTGTGATTAAGCAGAGAAATTTTATATAATGTGTAAGTTAGTTTTTTAATAAAAAGAAAACATATGTGAATGAAATGTGTGGATTTTGCAGGAAGGATTTGAGTATCATCATGCAGAGAAAGGATATGTGATGCTAACTTATTGGATACCAGAAGAGGAACCTTGTATGCTTCCTGCAAATGCTTCACATCAAGTTGGTGTTGGAGGCTTTGTCTTGAACCAACATAAAGAGGTATATAAGGCATTACCCGAGAACCGGAACCAAATAAAAACCGGTTTTAGTGTAACCGTAAATTGTTGGTTATCTGATAAAAAGAATTGATTTCAATAGGTGCTTGTGGTACAAGAAAAGTATTCTACTTCATTGAATACAGGTCAATGGAAGTTACCAACAGGATTTATCAATGAATCAGAAGAGATCTTCTCTGGTGCTGTAAGAGAAGTCAAGGAAGAAACTGGGGTAAGAAAATCTTGATTTCGGTTTAAACATTTGCAAGATCATAACCATGTTTGGCGTTGTGTACTTGTGTTGTCTTCTTCAGGTAGATACAGAGTTTCTAGAGGTTATAGCTTTCAGGCATGCACACAACGTTGCCTTTGAGAAATCTGATCTGTTCTTCATCTGTATGTTGAAAGCACTCTCTGATAAGATCATCATCGACAACCTTGAGATCAAAGCCGCAAAGGTAAATAATCATAATCTTTCAGATCATAAATGTTACATACTCATAAGATGGTTATTAATTTTGTTGCCTTTTTTTTTTCAGTGGATGCCACTGGTGGAGTTTGTGGAGCAACCGATGATAAAAGGAGACAAAATGTTTAAGAGAGTGACTGAGATCTGTGAAGCGAGATTGAGACAACGTTACTGTGGTCTCTCTCCTCATAGACTCGTCTCTACTTTTGATGGCAGACCTTCTTCTCTCTATTACAACGTTGTTGATGGTAATGATGATGATGATCCTTCACACTCCACCTGTACCGCTGACTTTTATTAATAACCGGGTCAAACCGGACCGAATGTATGTTCGATTCTGTGTTTGTGTATATACTTATTCCAGTGCAATGTAATCTGTTGTTAGAACATTCTCTTCAGTAAATAGTAATTAAGCTCCTCTGTATTGCAATATGATTAATAAACCGGTCTTAATAAGTCGAGTTTGAGACAATATCTGTAAAGTTGGAACATGTTGTTGACTTTTTGACTTGAACTAATACGATAAAACAGAGAGGCTTACGTCATACATAACAATCATTTGAATGATGTGGCAATGAAGAATAAGACCAAACTGATACTAGTTTGGTTGGTGTGTTGATGATTTGGAACCGAGCTAGTATCACGACCTTATCTCTTTAGCTTCACTATTTGTCGCAATCCTTACAAGTCGAATCGTCACTTTCGTAACCGCATTATCCCGTCGAGCTAGTCTCCGATCATCTCTCTCTCTTTCTCTCTCTCCGGCTGTGAAATGGCGAGCAGTCTTCTTCGTCCTTCAAGTTTGGTCATCATTGTTGGGATCATCTTGGCGTTGACTTTTCAGTTCGTACTGAAACCTCCTCCGCCAAAGCTATGTGGCTTCCCCGGAGGTCCACCGATCACAGCACCGCGGATTAAGCTCCGAGACGGGAGGAATCTGGCGTACAAAGAGCATGGACTTCCGAGAGAGAAAGCTCGCCGCAAAGTCATATTCGTCCATGGAGCCGATAGTTGTCGACACGACGCCGTTTTCGCCACTCTCCTCTCTCCGGTAACTTGTTGCTCAAGCTCCCATCAAAGTCTATGTATGTATATTAATTTCTTGACGAATTCGATTTTTATAGGATTTAATTGAGGAGCTAGGCATGTACATGGTTTCGTTCGACAGACCGGGTTACGGAGAAAGCGATCCGGATCCAAACCGGACTCCGAAAAGCTTGGTTTGCGACATTGAAGAGCTCGCTGATCAATTGAATCTTGGAGAGAAGTTCTACGTGATCGGATATTCCATGGGAGGACAAGCAACATGGGGATTAATCAAGTACATTCCTCACCGGTTAGCTGGAGTAGCTCTAGTTGCTCCGGCGGTTAACTATTGGTGGAAGAACTTACCTTTGAATGTTTCCTCTCAAGGTTTCAATTTGCAGCCAAAAAGAAACCAATGGGCGTTTCGTGTAGCTCACTACGCTCCTTGGCTTCTTTACTGGTGGAACACACAGAAATGGTTTCCCGGTTCGAGTATTGCGAACCGGGATATGAGTATCTTGTCACAGCCGGATAAAGATATCCTTTCGAAGCTTGGTCCTGCAAGGAGACCTTATGTAGCGGAAATAAGGCAGCAAGGGATTCATGAGAGTATTAACCGGGACACGATTGTGGGATTTGGGAGTTGGGAGTTTGATCCTATGGAATTGGAGAATCCGTTCTTGAACGGGAATGGCTCTGTGCATTTGTGGCAAGGAGATGAGGACAAGTTAGTGCCTGTGACGATGCAACGTTACATTGCGGAGAAGCTTCCATGGGTTCACTATCATGAGGTTTCGGGAACTGGCCATTTCCTCCACCTCACCAAAAGTGTGACTGAGGACATTGTTAAGACTCTCTTAGCCACCGATGCAAACTAAGCTTCCACTGGTCTTGAAATCAACAGAAGAATTTATGGAGACAATGGGATTATGTAACTTAATGTATTTCTACGACAACGTAATAAAAGTTGACTTTTTAAAAATTTCAGGCCGTTTTGTTAGTTATTGTCCACCAAAAGAAGCGCCAAACCAAAACAGAGCATGAGCCTCTTCCGAATCCAAAAGCAACATGCAAAGGACTCTTAACCGTTAAGAATCCAATCCTCAAATCTTGAAACTTTTAGAGAAAAATCCATAAGCACACGGTAGATTTATGAAGATTGAATTTTTAATATGAAAACATAATAAAAGTAGACTTTTTTACAGCTTCACACACCATTCTTGTTACTTAAAAAGCTCATAAAAGAAGCCCATCCAAAATAACCGAAACAGAGCATGAGTCTCTCCCCGACTCTAAAAGAAAGTTACAACACCACAAAGAACTCTTTTAACAGTTGGAGACACTAAAAAGGTTAAAACTTTTAGTCCTCAACCATTTCCTCATCATCGTCTTCTACCTCCTCGATCCTCATCTTCTTCACCGCCTGAGCTGCATCACTCTTCTTCGGCCCATTAGGAATGTGAATCAACACGTCCGACTTCTTCCCTGTCGTAGCGTTCACTAGCCCTCCGTTCTTCTCAACACGGTACACAAGATCTGACCCACCAGCGCCTGCGTCTATGTAAACGGTCGAGTTCTCATCGATTTGCTCAAGCACAATCATCTTTGACAGCTCCGTCACCACTTTCTTCTCCATCCATCTCCTTATCGGCCTAGCTCCATACACCTAACCAACCATACAACACAATCTCAAGAGTCAGCAACAGATCCAAACCAACCTAAAACATCAATGAACACACTGTATCCAGTGAAGAGACTTACCGGGTCATAACTCTCTGCCAAGATATAGTCCAAAGCAGCATCAGTGACTGCCAAAGCAACACCTCTCTCAGCAAGCCTGACAGCAACATCTTTCATCTGGAGACGAGCAACTTTTCTCAGCTGATCATGCGACAAGGGATCGAACACCACAATCTCGTCAAGCCTGTTCAGGAGCTCTGGACGGAAGTGTTTCCTCACCTCCTGCATCACACACTCCCTAGCAACATCCATCGACACTTTCCCAGTGAGCCCTGAGAGGAGGTGCTCTGCGCCAAGGTTCGACGTCATGATTATCACCGAGTTCCTGAAATCAACCGTCCTCCCTTGCCCATCTGTCAATCTACCATCATCCAACACTTGGAGCAGAGTGTTGAACACAGCAACGTGGGCTTTCTCCACTTCATCAAAGAGAATAACACAGTAAGGCCTCCTCCTCACAGCTTCAGTCAGTTGTCCACCTTCCTCGTGACCAACATACCCTGGTGGTGCTCCAATGAGTCGAGAGACAGAGTGTTGTTCCATATACTCGGACATATCAATCCGAACTAGGAGGTTCTCATCATCAAAGAGCTGCTCAGCAAGAGCCTTTGCAAGCTCAGTTTTGCCAACACCAGTTGGACCAAGGAATAAGAACGATCCAGTTGGTTGCTGTGGTCTTCCAAGTCCTGCCCTTGACCTTAAAATAGCCTCAGCAACAGCGTTTACAGCTTGGTTTTGTCCCACAACTCTCTTGTGCAACCTATCACCAAGACCAATCAGCCTTTCCTTCTCGTTCGTGCCAAGTCTCGTCACTGGGATCCCGGTCCAACGGCTCACAACTTCAGCAATGTGCTCCGGCCCAACGTTTTCTGTGAGCATCAGATTCTCCTCAGAAGTTCCTTCAAGCTGAGCGATCGCAGATTCCACTTCTTGGATCGCTCCGTACTGTAAATCAGCAGCTCTTGCAAGGTCATATCTTCGTTGCGCCTCTTCCAAAGCAAACATGAGCTCTTCTTTCTTCTGTTTAAGCCGGCGGATTTCATCAATTCTCTCTTTCTCCTTTCTGTACTTCATCGTCAGAGGTTGAAGCTTGTCTCTCAGGTCATCAAGCTCTTTCCGCACCTACAGAATCATAATCAGAGACTAGTCCAAAACGATGCTAAGCAACAATTCTAGAGCTATACTAAAGAGAGAAGGAAACTGTAACATACCTCCACAAGTCGAGCTTTACTGGCTTTATCCTTCTCCCTTTCCAAGGCATGAAGTTCAATTTCCAGCTGCATCCTCTTCCTCTCAAGGTTATCAATCTCCTCAGGCTGACTATCAAGCTGGACTCTCACATTAGCACAAGCCTCATCCACCAAATCGATAGCTTTATCCGGTAAATGCCGACCTAAATCAACCCCACAAAACGTCATGCCAAGAACAAAACTACAAGAACTTACCAAAACCAGCTCAAGATCAAGAATCTTATAAACATACCGGTGATATAACGAGCAGAGAGTTGAGCAGCATTGATAAGAGCTCTGTCCTGGATCCTAACACCATGATGTCCCTCATACTTCTCCTTGAGCCCTCTGAGAATACTAATGGTGTCAGGCACACTTGGCTCAGCTACATAGACTTGCTGAAACCTTCTCTCAAAGGCTGCATCTTTCTCAACGTACTTCCTGTACTCCTCAAGCGTAGTAGCACCGATGCATCGGAGCTGGCCTCTTGCTAACATGGGCTTGAAGAGATTCGCCGCATCCATCGACCCTTCAGTTTTACCAGCACCAAGAACCAAATGAATCTCATCGATAAAGAGAATCACTTTCCCTTCAGCTTCCTCAACCTCTTTCAAAACAGATTTCAACCTTTCCTCAAACTCTCCTCTGTACTTAGCACCAGCAACCAAAGCGCCCATGTCCAGAGAAATCAACCTCACGTCCGTGAGACTGTTGGGGACGTCTCCTTTCACAATCCTCTGCGCTAAGCCTTCAACGACGGCTGTTTTCCCAACTCCTGGCTCTCCGATAAGCACCGGATTGTTCTTCGTCCTTCTCGAGAGAATCCTCACGACTCTTCGAATCTCCTCGTCTCTACCAATCACAGGGTCAAGCTTCCCTGCTTGCTCAACCAAATCTCTTCCATAAGTCTTCAAAGCTTGGAAATTTGTATCCCCTGAAGCACTCTCGACTTTCTTCCCTTCTTTCCCACGAAGCTTCTCAACCTCCGATTTGATCTTCGTCGCTGCGACACCGACCTCGTTCAAGAGGTCCCTGATCTGAGAATCTTCGAGAAGACCCATAATCAGCTGATCTACGGCTAAATGTGTGTCGCCGCGCGACTTCTGAGCTGCTTGAGCTCGACGTATGACCTTGATGAGACTCGAGCTCCCGGGAACATCGTCTGGTGGAGGAGATTGCGAGGGAAGCTTCTTCAAGGCTTGAGTGATGACTCTTTCGGCGGATTGAGCTGCGTTATCGCCGCCGGCGCTGGAGATTGCTTGAGGGAATATTCCGGCTGGATCTGAGATTAAAGCACCGGCTAGATGAAGAGGAGTGATTTGAGCGTGTCCTGCGTTTACAGCTAGCTCGTGAGCTGCAGCGATTGTCTCGTTTGTCTTGTGTGTGAATTTCTCGGGATTCATCTTCGATTATCCTCTGTAATTCCTGGAAAAATAAAACCAACCCTAATTTTAGCAACTTTTCATCCAAAATCCAATCTTGAAGAGCAACCGAGATTGAACACGAACAAGAAAGATCAACAATCAAACAGAATCTAGGCCATTACCTTAACGATATGAGAGCTAGGTTTCGCGGATTTGTTTCTTCTTCAATGAATTAGAAAGCTTCTTCTTCTTGTTAGTAACAAGTCTCTCTTTTTCCAGAGAATCAAACGGATTGTTAAGATTGAATTTTTCAGATGTTTGTAAGCTTTTTGAATTGTGAGAGAGGAAAGAGGCAGGAGAGGTGTTTTTAAGGGAAGGAGATTCATCTGGAAAGATAGAGAACTCTCGTCGCCTTCTTTAAAACTGGAAGCTACTAGAGAATTCCTGAGAGAGAGAGAGAGAGAGAAAGGAGAGTGAAGGAGACAATAAGTGTCAATTTCCCTTTTTTGTGATACGACAGGTGGATGCCACGTGGAATTTATTAATTTTGTCATCTATTTGGACCTTCTGAAAATATCTGGACAAAATAATGAGCATTCTACAAATTAAAGGAGTGAAATGAAAATTTTCAAAACGTTTTTAAAAATACTATATGTTATTTAACAATTAGTCCTTCATTTCCCTCCGCCATTTTATTTCCCACCCAGATCTCAATCCTATCCTCTGTTCTCTTCCTCGTTATGCGCAACATTCTCTCTCTCAAACTCCATTATCATCTCTCTCAATTGATCCCTCTTCTTCAACTTTCCTCTCGATCCCATCGTGATATCGCATCCGTCGTGTAATTTTCATCCCGAAAGTAAGTCTTTTTTTCCTTTTCGAAAGTTCGTGTTGCGTCGATCTCACAGTGAATCGCCCTGAGAAGGAACTAAGTAAAACGATAGATTGATAAAACCTGATTGTTCCCACTCTATTGTTGAATTTGTACCTAGAGTCGTCTGATTACTATCGTATAATCGTGTAGCTGAATCGAGTTTGTGTTTGATCATGTAAACAGGAACTATTTGTGTGTAAGCAATCGAATTTTGCAATGGGAGCTAATGAAAAGAATGTAGAGAATAAAGAGTATCGTCTTCCACGAGAAGTGAAAGAAGCTCTGCAAGCAATAGCGTCAGAGTGGGAAGATGTGATTGACTCAAAGGCTCTGCTTGTGATTCCTTTGAAAGGTGCAATGACCAATGAGGTGTTTCAGATCAAATGGCCAACGAGAGAAAGTGGACCTTCGCGTAAGGTTTTGGTTAGGATTTACGGTGAAGGCGTTGACATATTCTTTGACCGTGAGGATGAGATCAGGACGTTTGAGTTCATGTCAAAGCATGGTCATGGACCTTTGTTGTTAGGCAGGTTTGGCAATGGTCGTATCGAAGAGTTCCTCCATGCTCGGGTAATGGTTTATTCATATGTATCGCATCTTGTGAGTGAGTGTCTCTATAGTTTGATCTATGAAATGTTCTTCCATGTTTACTGAATTTTATAGCTTCTTTGTCAACTTTCAGACTCTATCTGCTCCTGACTTGCGTGATCCTGAAATATCTGGACGCATAGCAAGTAGGATGAAGGAGTTTCACGGTCTTGAAATGCCTGGTGTGAAGAAGGCTTTGCTTTGGGATAGATTAAGGTACATTTTACTTGTTTTCTGGTAGATTCTACATTGTTTTTTCTAAAAAAAGCATTAATCTTTTGGTCTTGTTTACTCTGTTTTCTGTGACTTAATAGGAATTGGCTGAGTGCGTGCAAGAGACTGGCTTCGCCAGAAGAAGCTAAGTCCTTTCGTCTCGATGTTATGGAGGTGGAAATTAATTTGCTAGAGAAATCTCTGTTTAAGAATGATGAAAATGTTGGATTTTGTCACAATGATTTACAGTATGGGAACATTATGATGGATGAAGAGACCAAAGCAATAACCATCATTGTAAGGTTTCATGAATTTTGTTTATTAAACAGCTCTCTTTTCTTTGTGTGGCATTACTACTAGTACATGGATTTTAACTCGGATTTTATTATTTTTGTCTTACATTAAAAATAGGATTATGAATATTCATGCTACAATCCTGTGGCTTATGACATTGCCAATCACTTCTGTGAGATGGCTGCTGATTACCACACTGAAACACCTCATATCATGGATTACAGTAAATACCCTGGTAAATTATTGTCTCAAGTGATCTTTGTTGTTATTTTCTACTCTTTTTGAAATGGATCTAATCACAAGTGACGAAAATAAACAGGTGTGGAGGAGCGTCAACGATTTCTGAAAACGTATATGAGTTCTTCAGGTGATTATTTTATCACACTTTTTGACTATGAGCTTCAGCAAGTAATCACTGTATGTTCTAAATTCTCAATTGTTCTTTGTTCTTGTGTGTCCAGGTGAAGAGCCGAGCGATGCTATGGTCGAAAAACTCCTTGAAGATGTTGAGAAATACACACTGGCTAGTCATCTTACTTGGGGTTTATGGGGGATTATATCGGTATTTTCTACAGTCTCCTTCTATCATGCCTGCACATTGTGTATGAGAACTTTCCATTTCTAATTTGATTTTGTGAAACTTTGTTCCACTTTGTAGGAACATGTGAATGAAATCGACTTCGACTACATGGAGTACGCAAGACAAAGGTTCGAGCAGTACTGGTTAACAAAGCCGAGGCTCCTTGGTAATGCTTGAGGGTTAACATAAGTTGATTCTATGGAAGCAGCCCAAGAAGAGGTATTCTTCGGTGGACGAGGGGTATACATTAATAGGTTACGTAAAAGAATAAAAAAATGTAACGTTTTCTGTTATAAGAAGAAATGTAAGGCTGAGTAGTTTAATTTGAGCTTCACAATTGTATTTGTTTTAGGTGAAATGTAGCTTTTACAAAATAAATCACTTTCTTTTATCCTTCGTCTACGATCTACTTGTATTTTCCCATCACTGTTATTTTGTCATATTCAGTCCTGTTGCGATATCTGAGCTCTTCTTGTATTGTAAGCAGTTTTTACCATTGCTTCTTTTAAGAATTTGCAGTGAAGTACTAAAAAAATTCATTATCAGAAAGAGTAATTGATGATTATGCTGCAAGTTGGTTCACTTCTCAGTAACCAGAGATCACCATCATGAAAGAAAATGGTCCAAACTTTGTATTATACAATTGTTTATCTTATTAAGAAGAATTCTCATCTGTTATACAACTAGACTAGTAATAAAGCACAAAGCTGTTTTATGTATATGCCCATAGATATGGCTTATAAATAATCTAGGAACTGAGCTCTATACACTATTGCATCTGAATCATACAAGTGAATAACAAGCTATCAAAAGGTGTACCTTATAACTTAAAAAAAATAAATCAAACAAAAAAAATGCTTTTGTGCTCTTTTCTCCATCTTGCTTGATGATAATCACAACAGGTCCAGAGTTCTTGGAGCTCTTTACTCCATCTCCTAAGGTTTTTTGATGGCCAAAGAGGTTTACAGCGTTCACTTCCCCTGTTTCTTACCTGCAGTTTCAAAAAGATGAATATCAATGTCTTTGCTCAACCAGTTTTGCTTATTTTGAGCGACAAAAAGGAGCATAACTCCTCTTTGTAAAAGCAAAGGACCAAAACACAATCAAAAGCACAGAATAGTTGTCAGTTAAAGCTTTCTTAATTTTTACCTCTCTGGAACCACGGTTTTCGAACTAGGTTGCGGATATGGCGTTCATGACGTTCCAATAGTTGATCAACTCCATAAGACTGAGACAACAAAGGACCAGAGAAGTCGATCTTGTCCCCATCACCCTGTCAAGGCATAAGTGATCAACATCATTGAGCATGCTTGTCAATAAACCCAAAAAAAGGAGACAGACCAAATCATGCCTACTTTCTTTCTCTCTCCTCTGCAACTGTAGGTAAAAGCGTGGAGAGAGAAAAGATAAAAACTTAAAACAGCTGAGCAAACATGATCTGAATACAACGGTAATCTGATCCTTTCTTTCCACTTTTTTGAGATGTAGATCCCATTTACACCATATCTTATACATATGTATATTGTATATATAATATTTCCTTCAATCTCCAAAACCACTTAGATATATGTAACTAGACTAGTACAGCAGTAGTTTAATCATATCTGTAGACAAGTTCTTAGTTTCACTTGAAAGAACGTCTGGCACAAAGCCACAAAGCATAAATGGTCTTTACTAAGTCTATCAAAAGCACTAAACTGCTATGAGAATAATGCAAACAACGAAATTCTGTATGGAACTTGAATATATGGCTTGTATAATCTATGGACGTACCAAATTATTACCCATCTTTGTTGCCATTTTATCTCTCTGATAGGCTCCCAATGACATTTCCTGCGAGTGATACTCGTCAGACGCACCAAAAGAATCTGGACGTTCAAGTTGTCTCCACTGCTTCAGCATGGAACGCTTCACCATCTCATACGACTCCTGGCCTCGAGATTCTGTCTTGTCCTCGAGCTTCTCCTCGTTTTCGTTCTTTATCTTAGATTCAACATCATTTTTCTCACTAAAAGCAGGAGACTGTCCCACAAGGTTGGGAACGTGACCTCTTGAGAGAGATCGATTATGCACCCTAACACATACGTCATCTTTCTCACGTTTCGCCCAAGCAAAACTGTTTGATATTGGGACTTGTAACGGCCCTGAGAAAGGTATGTCTCCTTGTGATGCATTCTTCACATGGGAAGCTTCGTCTTTCTTGTGATCTAATGGCTTTTGCGGTTTCCCACATAATCTTGCATCACTTTCAATCGAATTGTGAACTAAATGACCAATTCGTTTCTGAAAAGTTTCAGTTTGGTGCCGCACATCCTGCAAATAGAAAATGAGAGCCACATTTCAGTTTCTTGCACCAGAGATTATACTCCCAAAACAGGTAAGACAAGAGAGTAAGTAAGAAAGTACCTCAACTGGTGCCAATTTGTTGAACGAATGAGCCTTCCGTGACGGCTTCCTTGCATCTACACGTCTCCCATTCCCGCTAATTTTCTTCCTGAAAATCGGACATGACGTATGAGAATATTCACAACTGCTTACAAGATGATATGATCATGAACTGAAATTCTCTCTAATAAAATAAATTTCTGACCTTGATGCATCTTCTCGATGCTTTGTATCTATCTCCTTGCTAGGCGGGTACACTGGCAAGCTTGAGGGATCACAAGCAAAAGGCTTTGTAGTAAAATACTGAAAAGAAAAAAAACAAACACAATGCCTTCATTTGTAAATGAAGAACAAAATGGTTTGTTACATTAATTCAAGGACAAAAAAAAAGGTTACCTGAGAAGCAAGGGCACTAGAGGCGGTCCCACGTTTGTGGGGATCTATTGAAAGAAGAGTCTCTATCAGATTGATTTCAGTCTCAGATAAATCTTTCAACGTCTCTCGGAGACAACTCTCGTAATTCTGCTGTGGCTTGAAAAGCATTGCATGAGGAAGTTTGGACTTTTTCCAGTAATCTTCTGGTGGAGATCCACACAGTTTGAATATCTTGTGCAACTGTTCAACCTGTTATTCATTTAATAGCACTGAGTTTCTTTTTCACTAAACAGAACCATATCCAAGAACAAAAGGTTCCAATGGATTTACCTCAGTTCTTCCCCGGAGAATAGGTTTTCCAAGAAGAAGTTCAGCAAAAACACAACCAACACTCCACAAATCAACAGCCGCTCCATAGTCCGTTGCTCCAAGCAAAAGCTCAGGTGGACGGTACCACAGAGTCACAACTCGGCTAGTAAGAGGCTTCTTCTTGTGACCAGAAGAATTACTGAAGTTGGCTAATCCAAAATCAGCCACCTTTAGTACTCCTTCGTTACTCAACAAAAGATTCGAACCCTTTATGTCCCGGTGCATCACGCCTCTCGTATGACAATGATCCAGCCCAGATAACAGTTGCTTCATGTAACACTTAATCTGCAAAAACCAATTATCAGTTGATCACACAAACCAAATACATTATGAGTGATGATGATTCTTCATTGGACGAACCTGTGGGGTCGTGAATTTGATGTCAGGGGAAGCAAGAAGACCAGTGAGATCATGCTCCATATACTCAAAAACGAGCTGTATGTTGCAAGATAGCTTGGAAGTGATCAAACCTTGCAGCTTGATAACGTTGGGATGATTGAGTCTTCTTAGTATCAAAATCTCTCTCGCCATGAACTTAACACTCTCCGGCTCGAAATTGTCGAACCTCACCTTCTTCAACGCCACGATCCTCCCAGTTTCAGTCTCCACCGCACGGAAAACGCTGCTATACGTTCCTTGCCCAATCTACATAACCAATCCAAATTTCACATCTTCTTCTCCAAAAACAAACGTTTCGATTCGTGAAATTACACAGAAATTAGGAATCAAAACCTTTTCGAGCTTTTCGAAAGCGTCGGATCGGAGTGGGACCCAGCCGTGGATAGCTTCGCCGGCGACGTTGCTCAGCCACGCGGGCCAACCAGCAGCGACTTGCTCGGCTTCAAGGTATTTGCTGACATTACCGAGCCGGAAACTCAGCGAGTCACTAGCGCGGCCTGACTCGCTCAACTCGCTACCGAACTCACCGCGGCTCTTCTGCCTCCTCTTCCCGCTCTTACTCCTCCAGGAAACGAGCTTCTTAAGAGTCGCGAGAGGCGGATCCTCCACAACGACCCGACCCGATCCGGAGCACTCATCGTCATTGTCCTTGAAAACGCCAGAGTGATCGATTGCAGGCGTCACGTAGACCGTCTGCTTCGAGCTAACGCAACCCATTTGCAGAATTTCGAATTACCAATCACCACCGCAACAACAAATGACCAAGCTAAAATCTCCGACGCTCCACCTCTTTTTCCGGCGCCGACAAAACAAGATCCGTCGCCGTAATCGGATCCGGAATTTTCGAGTGAATCTCCTGAAAGTAGTGAAACTGTGATGTTTCGTATTTTATAATGAAGATATTAAGAGAATTTAGAGAATGTTTTAGACTCTTTTTCACTTTTTTATATTTCGGCGTATTACGGAAGACGACGACGACAGTACATTTTAAAAATCTATTAAAAGATTTTTAAAATATTAGAAGTTCAAAAGAAAACATGCATTTAATAGTTCTGGTCCATAAATCGAATCTGCACCTTCCAAGTTTTGAAACCCCATTTTAGCATGTAGTTAATGACAGCTTTTTGATTGAATTGAATAGTAGACTACACCAATTTGGAAGCAAATGTATTAAAGCCGTGTGGGGGAAAAAAACAAAAGGAAAATTATATTGGCTGTATGTATTAATTTTTGGTCTCTAGTCAGTACACGCGAATGGCTATTATTGATTTATCAAATGTCACGAAGATGACTTGAAATGATATATGTATATCCATAAGCACTAAGTAGCATTTAGGCTAGTAAGATTATAAAGCTAAAACTATGATTAAGTTTCCATAAGATAAGTCAAAACAAATTCATTACACAGACATATAATAATTGCAAAGAGAAACTCACTAGTGTCTGAGTGTCTCTAATGCTTTGCCAGCTCTTAGCCTATCATGACTATTTTTTAAAAAATTGACATTTTGTTGCAAACCATTGACAATTAGTGAGTTTAGTGTTATGACTAAACTTTTTATTTAGTTTTATTTTCGTTTATTAATCAATTTTTTTCACTAAAAACGGGTGGAAAAAAGGTCGGCAACTACCAAATGCAAGAAAAAATAGACGACACTATAAACAACAGTAGTCGCATTCAAAAATGCTATCATTCCAAAGAGTCACAACTCAAACCAAAATCATTAACTTCCGTATATAGATTTTTAGTTGAATTGTTGGTGAGCATAATCAAATCCATCATAACATTCTGTTTTTAATGATGATCAGATTAACAAGAGAATTAATTGGCAGAAATCCCAAGAAAAGAAAGAGAAAAAAAAAACTTATAGTTAAACTGTCGTTATGTATTCAACAAAAGGACATCATAGTCTCGTACGGTTCAACTACAACCATTTAAAGTTCAGGCCTAATCCTATCAAAGACCAAAAAGGTCCAAAACACAAAGTAGGCACAACAGATTAACAAAACCAAAAACTGAACTTTTGTCTTGAGGTAAAGGTTAAAAATCAAGCCTTCTTCTTTTTGGATTTGAGCATGACCATGCCGATGAACACAGAAAGAAGAGAGAGGAGAGTTACGCCGGCAAAGACAGGTACGAGAATGGCATAGTCTTGGGGTAAGAAGTACTTGTGGATGAAGTGGTCACTATCTACAAATGGCTGTGCAAACGAAAATCTAAAACATTAGATGAAATTTGCACATCAAACTCAGTCCTGACAATGTGAATTATGTTGTTGTCACTTACAAGGATGATGACCCAGAAAGTGTAGTAGGTGAATATTGATAAACTGATTGAAGATAGTAGAAGCCCCACTGCTCGATCCGCTAACTCCATTTTGTCACCTTCTCTCTACCTGCATCATGGTAAAATCAACAGATTCAAGTAACAAATATCATAAAGATTCAAGCATTTGAAGACACAGTCAAAAGTGAGGAGTTATAATGAGAATGCCACCAAAACTATATCACACTACTGCACAGTGTCCCTCAAAACTAAACAGACGAAGAACAATAATCACTGGACCTTGGAGTTGCTTCACATCTCAGAAAGCTGATCCGAAAGTGAATCAGAGTTTCCGTACGAAGATATCAACAACTTGCAGGACTTTTGTAGTGGAGGGAAAGTAATCATCTCCAGCTTCCAAAATCAATGGCTTGAAGTGATATATAACCTAAATAGAGGTCTTTCAGGTGTTGCTTACACAGCCCTACTCTCCTTCCATTTAAGCTAGGATGAATACATACAGAGAACCCAGTTTTCCAACCAGGAAACTTCTGTCTCTCCATCGCATGCAAAGTATAAACAGCAGGTGCAGCCATCGAGCAACCGATTACGAAGCAATCGCAAGGTCTCGATTCACTCACTATTCGAGCTAAAGACAGCAAACACAATCCACTGTTGGAAATGCCGTATGTTAGATGTTCATCTTTATCAAAAGCCGGAGAATCTGATCTCTCATGTTGTACTTCCTGCTCTATATCTTCAGCAGAGGGAATCGTGCTCAGTTCTGAATCAAGTCGTTTCTCTATTTCATCTTCATGTATTTGATATTTTGACGCCAATGTACGGATGCATGACTTTCTGACCTGATTGTCGATAAGACCCTTGATCTCATCGAAATTACTACAGCCTCCATACCATACCACCCATCGCCGGACAAGTCCTGAGAACCAATCGATTATTTGAGCAGTATCTTGCAAAATTAGCATCGCATTCGTACGAGCATAACCCTCAGCTGTAACCAATCCATAGCGAAAAAGACGCTTTCTTATAGCATTGGTAGGAGCAACAACATCGCCAAAGAAGATAGGTTTATCATGAGAGAGTGGACATGGCAGAAGCGCTTCTGCTTTAGCCGTCTCTGAAGAAACATATGCCGCAGCAGAGTTTTGGAACTTGTCAAACGCGTCTCTTAGCTCTTGAGGAAGCGCAGGTTCAACAACATGCTTGGACAAGATAAACTCCTCGCTTCTATCTGCAGAATTTCTTAGCACGTCCTCCATCCATATTCTAAGCAAGACCTTGTACCAGTGATCTGTTTCCATGCCTGCCTTTCTGTGGCAAGATATTTGGCTCAAGGTAGAGTTACTATCAGCCAAGCCTTTGATCTCTGACTCCTTAACCTTCTTCAATCCATGTCCTAACCATTTCTTTCCGATTCTAACTGTACCCAAGGTCCAGGCCTCTTCTTTCTGCAATGCGAAGAGTCTAACTTTCTCCTTTAACTTGTGAACAACTTTGACAGCAGGACTCTCCCTAACATTTTTCCTAACCAAGGTACCTAAAACACGAAGCCCACTGGTCGCTTCACATGGTGACGTGTCTGCTTCATCTGTGATCTCCAAATGCAGAGAATTCCGTAAGAAACCTACAGCTTCAGATCTGATATCAACCGCAGCTTTTTCAGGACCAGATACGGAGAAAAATATCTCATCCATAAATCTGCAGCAATAGACTCTGAGAGCAATGTCCTTCTCCGGAGTACTTTTCAAATCTTGTTCTCCGGCCTGCCTCCTGAACCATGAACGAAGTTTTGAGCCTGGCCTATCTTCATCAGTGCTTGAATCAAGACCAAGGGCTTCATGCCTCATTGAGATTCTATAAACCTCATGATCAAACCGATCAAGATATATGTTCATCAACACACGAGACAACACCCCTTCTTGGGGAAGACCATGGCCTTTAGGAAACCCTCCAAACTCAAGATTGAGCACCTGAGCTTCAAACATAGAACGGAGTAAGATGCTTAAACTACCGTCTTCGATTTTTTCCTCCATCACAGAGAGCAAGTTCTCGAAAACAGAAACATCCATCTTCTTCTCCAGGCTCAAAGTGAAACACCAATCAGAACGAGACATGTTGCTACTGATATACTTCAACGCAGAGGCACGTCCCCTTCCACTTCGGCAACTATGTGAAATCTTGGAAAATTGAGGACTGAAAACGACTTCCAGGACTATTCTGATAGCTTCTTGAACAACTCTCAGAGCTACACTAGGCAGAACAAGAACCTCCTTTGCTTTATCTCTAGCCGCAAGCGAGAACGTATTGGAATTGACATCAAACGCTCCACTAGAGAGCTCTTCCGCAATAGAATCAAACGCAACTGTGCCATTTCTCTCTGCTATGGAAACATTCGAGTTAAGCCTGATACAGTCATAAGCGTCCTGAAGAGTTTCAGGCCTTGCAATCACCTTCTTCAACAGGTCACTAAACTTCCCATCGGTGTATTGCTCTTTAACTCTTTTCTTCAAACGGAGTTCAAGAGATCGCTTTAGTTCCATACGGCTTCTGGGTTTGGTATCATCAACAGGAGCAGATTCCTCCACAAGACTAGCTAATTCCCCAGCTAGTGAAAAGATTCCACTTTGCTTATTATCAATTTCTGCATTTTCTGTTGCAAGCAGAGCTGATTTTGACTGTGTGGACATTGCGCGAGTCCAGAGGCGTCGAGAAATTAGGGCTTCTACGTCGCCGAGATCAACTCGACGCAACAAATCCGTGACTAGTTTCCGTTTCCTAAACATCAGCTAAATTCCGATTTCTCAACCTAAAGCTATGCGATTATATCCCGACTAAGACCAGTTAAAGTTTCTACAAGAGAACGGGAACGATCAGGTTTAATTTAACAATCTCGTTTGATTAACTCGACAGAGTTTGAGATCGACACAGAAATGGAAGGAAACTTACGATTAGAGACGAAAAGAGACGAGAGAATGCGAAAGTACGACGATTGGACTGAGAAGGAAATCGGAGAAGCTGCTAACCCGGCGCACAGCGAGATAGTCGAAAACTCGAAATGGAGAACAGAATCGTGGGAAGGGGGAGGAAGGAAGGAAGGACTATTTGTTAAATAACGTATAGTATTATTAATTTCTAGAAATTACATTTGGACTCCTTTATAATTGCAGAATATTTCTTTTTTGGACATGTGTTTTCACAAAGGTTAAAATTCATATTTCTACTTTTGTGATCAATGATCATCATGATTCTGAAATATACAATATAGTGGGTGATATGTATTTGATACGTACGAAATTTTTTGATAACCTTGGAGACAATTTTCATTTGCCATGAAAGCACAATACTTCTTTTCAAGGATCATGGAAGAGTGGCGTAGGACAACAGAGCTTCTCAGGTTTCAAGGAATCTAGTGAAAAAATGTATCATTTCAATCTGAAATTGCCTAGTTCTTTTTGAAAAAATGTCATTTGACAATAAATAAAAACACAGTCATGTTTTCATTTTGTGATAGAAGACTTGACTCATGGTTTTAAACCCAAAAGACACGTTTGTATTTGCTTCAGAATGACTATGAGATACAAACTATTTTTTTTTTTTGTTCAAAGAGATACAAACTATTATAAAACGATAAATTTGTGACTTCATTATGATTGTTAATTAAGGACACACAAGAATGAGATATCAGCTTGCCTACCCGTTGAAACGTGAGAGACGGTACGTAATGCGCCATCATCTACTTGTTCTATTGTTTAACAATTTCCCCATTGACAATTTCTAATACATAATGTATGCTTTGCTTCATGCTTGCTTTAAAAAGATGAATAAAAAAACGATGCTTCATGCTTTTGCTTATCTAGTTATATACCTAATTTACCTATATTGAGCTGTGCTTATATCAATATGGATAATTTTAAAATCAACACAAACTTTCAACAAAAAAAAAAACCCGGTTATGTCAGACAATGTTATGGACGATCGAGTGGTTATTTTAATACCTTCCAAAAATTCTCTAATTGGATCCGATGCTATTTCGTTCAGTTTGCTATATATTTATTTGTCTTGTTAGGTGACATTGTTGAATTTGACCAATGGAAACACTAAACAGCAAATGTGTATGCAGAGAAAAACATGAACGCCAAAATGGCGTCGCTTTCGAGTGGCATTTCTTTCAAATTTCCCTATGCGATGGTTTTGTTTCTTTATTTGCGTGTTAGTTGTTTTTGCATGAACAATGTATTGTTGGCTCATTACAATTCACACCTCCTTAGTGTCTAATGTGGACCATCTTTTTTATCCGAATTTTCCTTGTTTTTGCCTTTCAAAATTCAAATGGTGGAAATCCAAAACTTTAAAATTGGTACCACTTTGAATTTTTTTTCAAAAATTATAACATTTTCTTTAACAGGATTTAATGCCAATAGCCACAACATGACTTATTTGAAAGGGTAATAAAAGATTTGAAACATGTGGCAGTTAAAAAATGATGATATATCCTATTGTGATTAGAGTTGAGGGTTATGAATTGTTTACTCAAAGCAACACAAACTAATTAAGTTACAAATTATGATTGTAGATGTCGATTTTCCATCGCTATAACAAAAAATTAAGAGAAAGTCAGAAACATTTTTTTTTTTTGTAAGTTCACATAAGCTTTGTTATATAAGAAATTTATCTACAATTATAAGTTTATAACTATACGACACTGTAACTTTTTTCAGTTTTACCTTTTCCAATGGAGACGAATAAAGAAGAATAAATTATATGAATCGCTTTATAGTCTCTTTAAGGAAGAGAAAGCCTTTGAATTTTCTAATTCAATACATTTTTCAAATGGCCTGTCACGAAGTGTCATACTATTCAATTTAATCGAGTACTTAGACTAATCAAGGTAAGATAATACACGCATTTGACTTATCATCACGAGACAGAGAAAATAAAAATATTTCTAACTGGAAAATAAATAAACAATACAAACAAAAAAAGGGAATAATATGAGGTTAGGATTTGATCCTAATAATGCTAAAAAAAACATTGGTCAAAGGACTAAATAAGTCAACTACTGCCGTCCATATGAATTACATGGGACCCAACATAAACATGCTATTTTGTTAACCTGTTTAAGAAAAATATCTCAACTCTGATAATTTCAAAGTGGTAGCAATTTCTTCTTTGGTCGTCTAAATTTGTTTACTCTTTTGATGATGTACTTTCATTGAAAATATTATCATAATTTCAGATCTATACCCTCATGTAGTCATAGTGACCATATGTAAAACGTAATTTCTATTTACACTATGCATAACAATTTTTTTGGGGTTGTTTCTTCTAATTAGAAGAACCTACACTGCTGACACGAAGTCAAAATCTTCTGAACTGGTCAACTTAGATGTCTCAGCTGCTCACCTATAATTTTTCCAAGTTAACTAACTTAAAATATTTTAATTTTAATGAAATTTCAACCAAATCACATGATTAAAAACTGATAAAACCTAAACACAGTTTTGATATTTACGTCCAAACGTTAATTTCCCACTTGTCTGAGTTCGTGAGTGCGCATATGGTACCGTTTGTTTAGTTAAAATGGAGAACAAAGGTGTGCTTAGTCATACGACACTAGTAATTTAGTCGCCAAACATCATTTCTGTTTGTCTAAATAAATTTCAAATGATAAGAAGAACCTTTTGTTTTCAAATTTCAAATATTCAGTTTTATATGAATAATACTATACATAAAACAAAATAACAATGATTCTTTTTCAATCTGTGAGATGGATAACCTCGTTAAATTTTCAACAAATGCAATAATTTTTTAAAAAGGAAAAAAAATGTATCAGATGGGTAACGTAACACATACGGTATTAACATCTACTTATGATTAAAATCAACATTTTGGTTTTTAATTTTCCCAGTGAAGAAAAAAGAAAGGAAAAAAGGAAAAGTCTAATAAATAAGGAATACGCAATATATGTGATGTTCAAAGTTTTCAGTTGTTTGGTCTACGTGCGAGGCGGGTCTGTTTTTTCAACTTCCCTTTCCTTTTCCTCTCTAATCCCTTTCCATGAATTTCCATGAAATTCATCTTCTTCCCCCGTAATTTCTGCACCTTCCTCAGTAACACCCGACGAAGAAGACGACGATGCCAACGATAAAGAGGTAGAAGAAGAAGAAGAGGAAAGTGGAGAACGATGGTGACACGTGTGATCATGGCGGATGATAATCCTGAATCACTAACCTTTGTTTTCTTCTTACTCTTCGTTTTAATCACCGGTAAATTCTTCGCATCTTTTTTTTTTTTTTTTCAATTTATGTTTCATTTGAGATTTTTGTTTTGAATTTATTTTACTGTGTTTTCAATTCTCTGCTCGAGTGTATGAGTTTTTAGTTTATGTTTATTTGTCGTTTACTTCACCGGCGGCCAGGTTTAGGGTTTTTGAATTTTGATTTTAATTTCGCCTCATTTTTATCATGGATTATCGTTGTTTACTTGAAAATGATTCCGAGAGAGACGAAGATTTCAGTATCCGCAATTCTGGGATTCTACATTGTGTGTTGATGAATCGCAGTTTCAATATTTTTGCAATTCAGTCTATTTAGCTATAATCTGAAGATTTCGTTTTTCTTTCCATGGCAGCCGTAGCAGTCGCCGGAGATTCAATAGACAGCGACAGAGAATTGCTGCTGAATCTGAAATCGTACCTCGATTCACTGAACCCAACGAACAGAGGAAAGTACACGGAATGGAAAATCGAGAAGCAACAAGACGTCTGTCAATGGCCAGGAATCGAATGCACGCCTCAAGGAAGTCGAGTCACAGGGATCAATCTAAGCGACTCCACCATCTCCGGCGCTCTATTCGGAAACTTCTCCGCCTTAACGGAGCTCACATTTCTCGATCTATCTCAGAACACTATCGAAGGATCGATCCCAGACGATTTAAGCCGTTGCCGCAACCTAAAGCATCTGAATCTCTCTCATAACATCATCGAAGGAGATCTGATTAGCTTATCCGGTTTATCAAACCTCAAGGTTCTCGATCTATCGGTGAATAGGATTGCCGGCGATATTCAATCCAGCTTCCCGTCGCTCTGCAATAGCTTGGTTGTTGCGAATCTGTCTACCAATAACTTCACCGGAAGAATCGACGACGTCTTCAACGGGTGTCGTTATCTGAAGTACGTCGATTTCAGCTCCAATGGATTCAACGGAGAGATCTGGACTGGCTTTGGGAGGCTGCTGCAGTTCTCAGTTTCTCAGAATCATCTCTCCGGGAGGATCTCAGCTTCAATGTTCAGAGGAGACTGCAATTTGCAGGTGTTGGATTTATCTGAGAACAGTTTCGCTGGGGAGTATCCAGGGCAGGTTTCGAATTGCCAGAATCTGAGCGTGTTGAATCTTTGGGGAAACAAATTCACAGGGAAGATTCCATCTGAGATTGGTTCTATATCTTCTCTCAGAGGTTTGTACTTGGGGAATAACACCTTCTCTCGAGAGATACCGGAGACTCTACTGAATTTGACCAATCTGGTGTTTCTTGATTTGAGCAAGAACAAGTTTGGAGGAGAGATACAAGAGATATTCGGGAGGTTCACTCAGGTGAAGTATCTAGTCTTGCATGGGAACTCATACACTGGAGGCATCTACTCTTCCAAAATCCTCGAGCTACCTAATCTCTCCAGGCTAGATCTTAGCTACAACAACTTCTCAGGACGATTACCTCCTGAGATCTCTCGGATACAGAGTTTGAAGTTCTTGATTCTTGCTTATAATGAATTTAGCGGTGACATACCGGAGGAGTACGGGAACATGCCGGGGCTTCAAGCGCTTGACCTCTCCTTTAACAAGCTGACCGGTTCGATACCAGCTTCGTTTGGGAGACTGAGTTCTCTCCTGTGGCTGATGCTTGCGAATAACTCTCTGTCAGGAGAGATCCCAAGAGAGATTGGGAACTGCTCGAGCCTTTTGTGGTTTAACGTGGCGAACAACCAGCTCTCCGGTGGATTCCATCCTGAACTGACTAGAATGGGGAGTGATCCTTTCCCGACGTTTGAAGTGAATAGGCGAAACAACGACAATATCATTGCTGGTTCTGGTGAGTGCTTGGCGATGAAGAGATGGATTCCTGCAGAGTTCCCTCCTTTCATGTTTGTATACGCAATTCTCACGAAGAAGAGCTGTAGAAGCTTATGGGACCATGTTCTTAAAGGGAAAGGTCTGTTTCCTGTCTGCTCTCCTGGTTCCAAGGTACCCACGCTTGATATTTCTTCGTATCTTCAGCTCAGTGGTAACAAGCTGTCCGGTGAGGTTCCTGCAAGTATCTCTCAGATGAAGAAGTTGAGTACGCTTCATTTGGGGTTCAATGAGTTTGAAGGGAGACTTCCTAAAGAGATTGGACTGTTGCCTCTCGCATTTCTCAACCTGACGCGGAACAAGTTCTCAGGACAGATTCCTGGAGAAATCGGAAATCTCAAGTGTCTGCAGAATCTTGATCTCTCCTACAACAACTTCTCTGGAAACTTCCCGACGAGTTTGAATGACTTGAATGAGCTTAGTAAGTTCAACATCTCTTATAACTCTTTCATTTCCGGTGTGATACCGTCGACGGGACAGCTGGCAACTTTTGAACAAGACTCGTTTCTTGGGAATCCGCTGCTGCAGTTTCCTAGCTTCTTCAATCATTCAGGGAACAACACGAGGAATCAGATCTCCAACCACGGTGTTGCAAACAGGCCAAAAGCTCTTCTTTTGATTTGGATTTCTTCGGCTCTTGCATTGGCGTTTGTGTCCTGTTTAGTGGTATCAGGTATTATCCTCATGGTTGTTAAACGTTCAAGGGAAGCGGAAATCGATCTCTTAGATGGATCAAAAACCAGACACGACTCCACTTCTAATTCAGCCGATTCATCCCCATGGCTGTCAGGAAAAATCAGGGTCATTCGCTTAGACAAGTCAACATTCACATACGCTGACATTCTGAAAGCAACGAGTAACTTCTCTGAGGAGAGAGTTGTAGGTAGAGGAGGATACGGAACTGTTTACAGAGGCGTGTTGCCTGATGGAAGAGAAATTGCGGTCAAGAAGCTGCAAAGGGAAGGCACAGAAGCAGAGAAAGAGTTCAGAGCCGAGATGGAAGTTCTAAGCGCCAACGCATTTGGTGACTGGGCGCACCCGAACCTCGTGAGGCTGTACGGTTGGTGCCTAGACGGATCAGAGAAGATCTTGGTGCACGAGTACATGGGAGGCGGGAGCTTAGAGGAGCTCATCACAGACAAAACGAAAATCCCATGGAAGAAACGGGTCGATATAGCCACGGATGTAGCGAGGGCGCTTGTGTTTTTACACCACGAATGTTACCCTTCCATCGTTCACAGAGACGTGAAAGCGAGCAATGTTCTTTTGGATAAACACGGGAATGCGAGAGTGACGGATTTCGGGTTAGCGAGGCTTTTAAACGTCGGAGATAGCCACGTGAGCACTGTGATTGCAGGGACGATCGGGTATGTAGCTCCTGAGTATGGACAAACTTGGCAAGCCACCACGAGAGGAGATGTTTACAGCTACGGAGTATTGACGATGGAGCTCGCTACTGGTAGAAGAGCAATTGATGGAGGAGAAGAGTGTTTGGTGGAATGGGCGAGACGGGTGATGACGAGTAACATGACGATTAAAGGCTCGCCGTTTACACTCTCCGGGACAAAGCCAGGGAACGGAGCTGAGGAATTGACTGAGCTACTAAAAGTCGGTGTGAAATGTACAGCGGATCATCCTCAAGCAAGACCGAATATGAAAGAAGTTTTGGCTATGTTGGTTAAGATATCCGGTAAAGCTGAGCTCTTCAATGGTTTGCCTTCACCAGGTTACAGTCACAGAGAAATGTAAAAATCTTTCTTTCTTCTTTCAGATTTTATACATAACAGCAGAGTTTTTCTTTCGTTTTCATTGTTTCTGATTCTTCTTGTACACAGACCTCATTGTTGTTAGACAGATAGAGAGAGAAGGGAAGTTTTGCTCGTTATGTACAGAGACACAATCTGAAATAAAGATATTCTCTTCTTCTTGTCTTACATTGATTCTAAAAACAGCTTTGGCTCTATTGTACAATGAGTTAGGCTGCAATCTCTCTCATCAGCCAGTTTAAGCTTGGAAAGGCGAAGTAAAGGACGAGAAACGACGGAACAGCCAAAGCAAAGGTGACAAAGAAATAGATCCCAAGAACTGCAGCACTCACAGGGATTGCATATAAAGCCATCAACAGGAATATGACCACCAAAGGAAACTTAGCCAATAGATGAGCAACAAGAGCCATTGACTTACACACCGAGTCATGGAGTCTCCCATTTCTGAAGTATCCCCTGGTCACACCATTCCACCAACCACGATTCTCCAGCAACCCTTCATCATCTGAGGCCATATCGGATCTCTGTCTCATCATGTCTCTCTGTCCTGAAGAGACCCTTTTGTTGTCACTGCCCGGTTCGGATCTGCAGCCGTTCATGCTTTCGACCATCCATAGAAGGTAATAGTTCTTGGAAGGGAACTTGATGGTTCCATTGCAGACCAGCCTTAAAGAGAGGAAATTGCACCAAGGGCAAGCAACGAAGAAAGGAAGCTGGAAAGGTAAAGCTGAGGTTTTGATTACAACGGCGCGTTGTAGCCCTAAGAGACAATACTTGCAGATGGTATGACCACACCAGAAGATATAAGGCACATTCTCAACCACGTTGAATGATTCCCAGCAAATGGGACACTCCAATTTAGCTTCCTTCGTTGTCTTTCTTCCATTTCCTGATGAATCTGAAGGAGCGTTTCTCAGCTTTGTGGCAGCATCTTCTCCTCCCTTTGATTTAAAGCCTTCCTTGATGGATTTTGAAGCTAATTTCCACATGACTATGGAGGAGGGAAGGAAAACAGATTCCTATTACGTTTTCTTAAAGCTTCAAAGAAACAAGAATCAATTTTCAGAAAACTCAGTGATTATCTCTTATCAGACAGTAAGCCAAAGACAGAGATAATCAAACATGAAACGCACAACCAAACCCACAAAGATATCAATCCAGAACAAGCGAAAAAGCAACGAACTTGATGAAACCCAATAATTCATTAACAAAAACAAGTAAAAGAGAAGAGAAAACGAAACATACCACACAAAGATACCGAAGAGAAGTATCACTGCACCTAAAAGCTTTCTCTTTTTATATAAGAAGAGTTTATCCAGTCAACAGAGATGAAGATAATTGCAAAAGAAATATCCAAAACTCTGATGTAACAGCGACGTAGTTTGGGAAAAACCACTGAAAATGGACACGTGTCGTAGAACATGGTGACTCCGAAACGCCTTTCGAGGTCCCCGCCGCCCCCGATATACTCACACCGATTCGACGACGTTTTCATTTACTCACGACCAAACGCTGCGTTTTATTATCGCTCATGCCTCATATTACCGCCAAACGTGAAATAAAATATTTAAATCGATTTTAACAAAAACTAAAGACAATTAAGATAAGTGTAATAATAACATTTGTCGGTGAGAGTGAGCTGTACGCGCTTCTTCTCCTTCTGATTCTAGATCGAGCGAAGCATTTTCGCCCGACAATATATTTTTAAGTATGACAATGTTTCCGCATTATTGGGTTTAATTTCATTTTTAAATTAGGGTTCTTCAGATCGACAATCTCTCTCTCCCCCCCATCGGATCATGCTAAAGATCTAAAAACTATTCAGATCCGTGAGCAAGTACACAGAGAGAGAGAAAGCTACAGATACTGTAGTTTCAATTAAAAACCCCAACTTTGATGGTCGCGAATCTGTAAGTGAAATCTATTGAGAGAGACGTTGGGGAGGAGAAATGGGTCAAGACGGCTCGCCGGCGCATAAAAGACCCTCGGGAAGCGGCGGAGGACTTCCAACGTCGACGGTAGCGAACGGCGGAGGAAGAGGAGGTGGAGGCGGTCGCGGTCTGTTGCCACGCGGCAGACAGATGCAGAAGACGTTCAACAACATCAAAATCACGATCCTCTGCGGGTTCGTCACAATCCTCGTCCTACGTGGCACAATCGGCGTCGGGAACCTGGGAAGCTCGAGCGCCGACGCGGTCAACCAGAACATCATCGAGGAGACAAACCGGATCCTAGCCGAGATCCGATCCGACTCCGATCCCACCGATTTAGACGATCCTCACGAGACGGAGACGATGAATCTCAACGCGACGTACGCGCTGGGCCCTAAGATCACGGGTTGGGATAGTCAACGCAAGGTATGGCTGAATCAGAACCCGGAGTTTCCGAGCTCCGTCAATGGCAGAGCTCGGATCCTGCTCTTAACCGGATCTCCCCCGAAGCCCTGCGATAACCCGATCGGCGACCATTATCTATTGAAATCGGTGAAGAACAAGATCGATTACTGTAGGCTTCACGGGATTGAGATTGTGTACAACATGGCTCATTTGGATAAGGAGCTCGCTGGGTATTGGGCGAAACTGCCGATGATTCGGAGATTGCTTCTCTCACATCCGGAGGTTGAGTGGATCTGGTGGATGGATAGTGACGCTTTGTTCACTGACATTCTCTTCCAGATCCCTTTGGCGAGGTACGAGAAGCATAATCTGGTGATTCACGGTTATCCGGATTTGTTGTTTGATCAGAAGTCGTGGATTGCGTTGAACACTGGGAGCTTCTTGCTGAGGAATTGTCAGTGGTCGTTGGATTTGTTGGACGCTTGGGCTCCGATGGGGCCTAAAGGGCCGATACGTGACGAGGCCGGGAAGGTTCTGACGGCGTATCTTAAAGGAAGGCCGGCTTTTGAAGCGGATGATCAGTCTGCGTTGATTTATCTTCTGTTGTCGCAGAAGGACACGTGGATGGAGAAGGTTTTTGTGGAGAATCAGTATTATTTGCATGGGTTTTGGGAAGGTTTGGTTGATAGGTATGAGGAGATGGTGGAGAAGTATCATCCCGGTTTGGGTGATGAGAGATGGCCGTTTGTGACGCATTTCGTTGGGTGTAAACCGTGTGGTAGTTATGCTGATTATGCGGTTGAGAGGTGTTTGAAGAGTATGGAGAGAGCGTTTAACTTTGCGGATAATCAGGTGCTTAAGCTGTATGGGTTTGGTCATAGAGGGTTGTTGAGTCCTAAGATTAAGAGGATCAGGAATGAGACTGTGACTCCTTTGGAGTCTGTGGATAAGTTTGATATTCGCAGAACGCCAGTGGAGTTTAAACCGCAAAACTAGAGGAAACCAAGGAGGTTGTGGACACGTATAGGTAAAAATATATAACACTTACAAAATGCAAAGCAAAATTTGTTTGCCTGTACTTTTGCTACTTTACTGTTCTTTCTGCTTTCTTTTTTTTGTTTGTTGTTGTTTGCAATTACATTGGTTTAGCTGCAAAATTCTTTTTTTTTCCATAGATGTTTTTTTGTGTTTTCTTCAGTCAAATATATGGAGAAATTTCATACTTTGTTCTGACACTTGAACTTGTTGGCAAAATACTAACTTCGGAAGAAAAGTTTAGGGAACCAATGATTAGAGACTGTAGAATTAAAATGAATGTTACATGTAGCCATTGATTGGTACACAACAGATCGTTTCATATAACTTCCTCTACCCTAGCTGCTGAAGACTAAGCTTTTCCTTAAATCTTACAACTAAAAATGGGACTGACCAGGAAGATACAGGGGAAAGATTCCTTGGCTGGATCATTTCTTCAGGTGGATAACCAACTTTCTGGCTGCTAGACGTATCCCTGCCATGTTCTGATAATCGTAAGGCTCGAGAGAGAAGAATGCATCAACCAGGGTACGGGGAAGTAATGCTGACTCAAGCTTTTCAAAATCATGGATGCTGAAATCTAGCTTTTGAATGGTTTCCGAGAGTTCTTCTCTATGGTAAACCTTGGTTCCACATTTGGCATCATCTCCATCGGATTCTGAGCTTATCCTGTCAACCAGATAATGTAAGTTTCAGAGGTTAGGGACTTTTAGTGGAATCATTCTCTAAGTTAAGTCAAAACTTACTGCAATCTGGCTGTGGGATAGTTGACAAAGCCTTCTTTCCTCATAACGGTAGGCCTCCAACCTGAGCTGGTTTCTGAGTCAATGTATAAATCATGTGCAGCATCATCGGATGCGTCCAAGATCTTGCATAAGTCAGGAGGTACATCAACAACAATATTCAACCTTGGACGACCAGCATCATCCAAAAACCTCCGGCTTATTCCAAACCGAACTTTCAAGCTATAGCAACAGATATGCAGAGGGGCGTCGCTGTGAAACAGCTTCATTCTCATGATCCGGCTCCCACGATACAACGGGACAAGACTTGCGCTGATGCTAGAAACAGATACTTCATCAACCCCCAAAAATGATTCACCTTCATCCTGCTGTCCTCCAGTGTTTGCTTCGTCTGCATCATCTTTCTGAGGAGTTCCGATGTGTAGTTTACTTATTAGACTGGTTATTATATCAGAAGGATCTGATTCAGAACAAGATGCATCACTCTCTGAGCATTCTGTTAACAGAGAAATGATGGGATGCTTTTCTTCGGTTGTGGCCTCCACGGAAGACAGACTCGGATCAGTTTTAGAGCTCATGGAGGAAGAAGGCGTGCTTCCTCTGACTCCATTAGGCAATGACTTCTCATTACTTCGTGTTCTCGGACTTTTCCTTGGTGAAAACCAGCTCGTTTCTGTAAGAATGTCAGGAACACTAGACTCCTGCAAACACCAAGTATTGACCTTTAGATATCTCAACCTCCCTAATCCTTAAAAGTTACAGTTTTTACTCTTAAAGAAACGAGAAGACGGCGTTACCAGAAACAAGACGGTTGCACAGTACTTGACAACTTCAAGATTCATCCGAACATCATCTAAGCTCCTGTGCGCCTGATCTCCTAGGCCGAAGTATGTAGCAAGTGATGCCATCTACATTGGTTTAAAAGGAGGAAACTTTAGGTTACAAGGAAGACTAATCATCATTGAGAAGAAGAAAAGAGAGACCTTCATGTCACCAGCTCTCTTCCCAAACTTCTGAGTCAACAATGAAAGCGAATCGATTGTAGCTTTCGGCTCCGGCGGAGATAGTCCAATCTCTGCAAATGCGTCTCTTATTCTAACACAATCGAATCTCTTTATATTATGTCCCGCCCAAATTCGTCCTACAGTAACACCATAAATCAACATCTCTTATCTTCGTAACAGAGCGAGGAAGAGAAAGAGAGAGAGAGAGATAGAGAAAATACTTACCGTGGAGAATGTCGTAGACATCATCGGCGATTTCAGAGAAAGTAGGTGCAGAGAGGACTCCGTCGCGCGTGATGCCGCTTCGCCGTTTGGATAGCGTCGCAATGAGAGAGAGATCGGTGGGTCGAACCAATGTGGTGTAGCTGTAGAGCTCCTCCAGCTTCCTAGGGCAAACTAAGATAGCTCCAAACTCCAGAATCGCGAAACGCTGCCCCGATTTCGCCGGAACCGCCGTCTCAAGGTCGAAGAACGCTATCTCGCTTCTCTCGTCATCGCCGCCCAGATTCGCAGCCGCCATTGATGAGAACTAAAAATCGATAAGTGGTGGGTTTTAAGCTCTTTTTTTCTCCGTTTCCCTCATTTACGGTAACAAATCTCTAAACTCAGAGACGCGACTCTACGATGAGATTTATCTTCCGTCGTCATCTTCCGTCTTCGAATTCTCTTCTTCTTCGTTATCATACGAAATCGCTTAAATCAAACGACGCATTGAAGCATTATCTTGAATCTGGAGAGCCAAACAAAGCTCTTTTAGATTTCCGGCATCGATTCAGAGAGAGTCCCTGTTTCATAGACAGTTACTCTGTTTTGTTCGCCATCAAAGCTTCATCATCAATTCAGAAAGCTTCTTCATTTCACGGTAGGCAGATTCACGCTCTCGCAACAAAACTAGGGCTCGACAGCGTAATTCAAATTCGAACATCGCTTTTGAGTTTCTACTCTGCTTCCGGTGATCTCGCCGATGCACGCAAGGTGTTCGACGAAACGCCTAAGAAACAGAGCATCGTCTTGTGGACGGCGATAGTTTCAGCTTACGCTGGGAATGAGAATCCTTTGGAAGCTATTGAGCTGTTTCAACGAATGGAATCGGAAAGGATCGAGCTTGATGAAGTGATTGTGACTGTGGCTTTATCGGCTTGCGCTGATCTCGGAGCGGTGGAGATCGGAGAACGGATTTACCGTCGCAGCGTCAAGAGGAAACGAAGATTCGCCATGGATTTGACTCTGAGAAACTCTCTTCTTAACATGTATGTAAAATCTGGAGATGTTGAGAAAGCGAGGAAGCTCTTCGATGAAACGTTGAGAAAAGATGTGACTACTTACACGTCTATGATCGTTGGGTATGCTTTAAACGGTCAAGCTGAAGAATCTTTAGAACTCTTCAAGAAGATGAAAACGAGGCAAGATTCGTCCACGGTGACTCCAAATGATGTGACTTTCATCGGCGTTTTGATGGCTTGTAGTCACGGCGGTCTAGTGGAAGAAGGGAAACGACATTTCAGGAGCATGGTTGAGGATTACAATCTGAAACCTAGAGACGCTCACTACGGATGTATGCTTGATTTGTTCTGTCGTTCAGGTCGTTTGAGAGAGGCTCGCGAGTTTATAAATCAGATGCCGGTTAAGGCGAACGCGGTGATGTGGAGAACGATGCTCGGCGGTTGCAGTCTTCACGGGGATGTTGAGCTCGGAGAAGAGGCTCAGAGACGGATCTTTGATTTGGACGGTGGTGGTGGTGATCATGTGGGAGATTACGTTGCGTTGTCGAATCTCTACGCTTCGAGAGGAATGTGGGATGAGAAAGTGAAGATGAGAGATCGTGTGAGGAAGAGAAGAGTCCCTGGGAAAAGCTGGATTGAGCTTGGAAGTAGCATCACTGAGTTTGTTTCAGGTGATGATGGTGAGAAGAAGAAGGTTAGTGAGGTTTTGAAGTGTTTAGTTGCTTGTATGACAAGTTATGCTTGTAATTGAAAAAAATAAAGGCCTTTGTAGGATATATAGGCCCAATGAAGTGAATAGAAACTGATAACTGAAAAAAAACAATTTTTGGATATTTAAAGGTTTACACTTTTTCGAAATAATAAAGTAAACAAATTGAGAGAAATAAAATAATATTGAAAAAGAGGAAGCTCCGTCTTCGTTGCTTTTTCGAGCGGTGTCTCCTCTCAACTTCCATGGCTGACATCTCACCTTCTTCAGGATTACCGAAACCAACCACAAAGTATCTTCTCCTTTTCTAAAATTTCCATCAAACCTCAGGGTTTTGTTTATCCATTTGCTTTTTGTTTTTCTATTTTTGTACGGTTTTTTTTCTATGGATGCGATCTTCTCTCCCGCCGTGGAGGCTGAAAGAAGAACCGCCGCCGGCTCAACGATCGACACGGTTTCTCGGTTGATCTCCGGCGTTTTCTGTGGAGCTCTTACCGGAATTTTCGCTATGGGTGATTCACTTTTACCATTTCTCTTTGTGCATTTGATCAAAGATTTAATTGACTAGACAAAAACTTTCCCTTTTCGAGAATTATTTCCCTTTTTTTTAATAATTCTTCGTCTCTACACTTTGTTTGATTATTTGCAAAGCTTTTTCATTTGAAAGGTTTTATCAACAGAAAACAGAATTGTTTGTGAAAGTCTACATTTTTTCTTTCTGCATATCGATGAACAGAAGATTTTATAGTATCTGTCCTCCAAATTCAGAAACTTTCCTTTGTTTATGAGAATTGTTTTGTTGATCATAAGTCAATTAAGCGATAGTTTAGGAATTAAGTGTGTTGGAGAGTTGTGTACTTAGGGAAAGTCCCTGGTGATATCTACGTGTTGGACGCTCTTCTTTGTTGTGTCATTCTTATTTTGTTGTTGTTGTTTAGTACATAACTTTGGCTCTTTAATGTGTTTACAGCTGGAGCATTCACGGGAGCAGTAACTGGTGCGGTGGCAGGGAGAGCTGCACAGTATGGAATCCTCCGTGGGGCTGGACTCGGAGCTGTCGCTGGAGCTATTCTCTCTGTTGAAGTGTTGGAGGCTTCTCGTGCATACTGGTATTTAGAGCTGTCAGGATCAAGGGGTCCCTCGTCTATGGTTAGTCTTAAATTCTCCTGAGCAAAAATCTCACGCGTTTGTCATGAATATAGGTTATGGGGGTTTTTGAGAGTTTTCAACTAACTTAATGGTCCGAGATGGAGAAAATGATTCTGAGATAATATAAAAATACAAAAAAGTTTGGTGGATGAAATAATGACATGTTACTAATGGCCCATCAAAGTTATGGGGATGACATAATGACAGGATGGCTTGGTTTAGTTCCTTTGATTGTTTATTCAATCTTGAACCCTCCTTCGCATATAGGATGTTATAATCAATGTGATCATGCTTTGAATCTGTATATAGGCTCGCTTCAAGATACATCCACCTCCTTTTGGTTTAGGCATTTGTATGTACAAGTTTCAATGAGTTGATTTGATAACCACCAAGCACTTGAAACCATTTCTTTCCGTGCTTCTTCTACGGATGATTGTATTGAAGTCTGAGTTTGTTTTATTTCTTGTTTAGTATCTGTTGGAAGGGCTTTAACCAATTGTTACACAGAACTATCTTTCCACTGCCTAGTATGAGTAAGCTTAGCCTTTGGTGTTTTTGGTTTTTGGATTCAGGCAGATTTTGTAGAGCAACTGTTCCGTGGGAGACTAGTTGATGAACAGCTTACGTCTACAATGATAAATTCACATCACTGGCAGGTTCTATCTCTAACTTCTTCTTTCTTTGATCTCATCTTCTTGTACATATAGTTAATATCTGTTCTACGAGATTCCACTATTGAGAGAGAACACTAAAAAGTACTATTGACACTTTAGTTCCTACATCTTCAACTTAAAGACTGTTTTCTCATCATGGAGAAGAACTGGAAAAAATATATTTGGTTCATGAGTAGTGTTTTCTACTTTCTGCAGTTGAGGATTTCTGATGTAAGCTATGAAGAGCGGGATGATATGTATGGTGAATTTGAACCGAGAGGCTTGTCGGGTGAATCTTTGAGGAAACTACCATGCTTTATCATGTCAAGTGAGATGACCAAGAGGCAGATCATTCACTGCACAATTTGTCTGCAGGTTTTCATTTATTTGACACAAGCTGATCTTTAACTTCTTTTCATGTGACCTTTTGTTTCATCTCACACCTTTGGGATTTACCTACAGGACATCGAAGTAGGGGAAATCACACGAAGCTTACCGAGATGTGATCACACGTTTCACCTGGTTTGTGTTGATAAATGGCTCATCAGACATGGCTCGTGCCCCATTTGCAGACAAGCCGTTAAAGATTAAAAAAAACACCATTGTTGCCGAGCATTGTACATAGCAAACCCCATTCTCCTTATATATGTTGTTGTAAGTCTCAGAACCTTTAGCATCATAATAGGTTTCTACTTTTGAATGTATACTATTGTAGACATGAATGAGAACAGATATATTGGAACAAAAATATATAGAGAACTCGATCAAGTTAATTCTAATATCCCTAACGTCTCTATTGGGAAGCTCTGAAACTCTTGACCTCACAACACCTTAAAAGGAAAAAAAGACTATTCATCTCTTAGTTTTTACAGCCATGGAACTGTTGCGTTTGGGAACGGGGCTCCATTGACCTTGCTCTCATACAGTAAGGATCTTGTGCAGTCCCGTTCTCAGCTTTGTTCAATACCCATGGCTTTAACCCTCCAAGGCCATGAGCCACGTCCACGAGTGAGGACCAAGAGCTTGTGACCACCAGCACATCAGAACAGCTCAGAAGGTAAATCTCAGTCCAAGCTCTCATCCCCTCCATGTTCCTCTGGAGTTTTTGGTATTCCTTGAGGCTCGGCTTGTGAACACTGATTATCTCTCCCCTCACTGCCGGGTTTTCCCAATATACGTCCCTGATACTCTCAAAATACCCTGAAGAAGACGAAGAGACGAACAGTGCCTTTGTTTTTCTGTTTAGAACTTGGCTTGAAGGGAGATGATGTCTCTGTTTGTCTACTTCAGGAAGCAGCTCATGTCTAACTCCACAAGCTAGAATCTGTTCTACCAAATGCTGAAACCGATCATTTCCAGTATCAGAGACCTCAATACGGATTCCTATTCTCTGATCAGCTTTAGCAAGATAAGCGCTATAGTATCGTGTAATGAGACCCCAGACAACATTAGTTGGGTGGAAGAGATACTGACCCAAGAAGTAGAAAACTGTTTCTTTCTCCGGGAAGAGCTTTTCAAGTTCTTGCTCAAATGAAGAGATCAAGAAGAGAGATGGGGCAAAGAAACCATCCGCTCTCATGATCAATACAAGGGTCTCCTCCAAAGAAACTTGACTTTCCTCACAAAAGAAAAGCTCATCACCAACAAGATGGCGATATGCAAACGTTTTGTTGCCAGAATCACGAAGAAGAGACTGTTCGTTGAGCTGAAACTCTGAGGGAAGAAACCATGTAGTGTTTGGAAATGGCTCGCAGAAGAGATCAGCCAAGTCAGCTCCTGGTTCCACAAGCAAAACCCGGTTTGTTAAGAGAGCGTAGAGAAAAGCTGAAGCTAGACTCAGCATCTTATTCCCAAGTTCACCATTGGAGTTCAACAAAACTACATATTTACAACCAGAGAGTACTCCACCATCAGGCTCAGACCGATCTCCTGACTTGAGTTTGTCCAGTGTTAAGTTATAGGAACTAGTGAATGGACCACACTGCCTATGAAGATCTTCGTATCTTCTTAATCTAAAATCCAGGTATGAAGATGGCTTTAAAGGCGATTCCTTTCGATATAAACTCGCCTCGTGTCTGCTCAAGCATGACTCTTTATCAAACCCGGGGATAAAAATGTCGCTGGGCTGTTCCTTCTTCTCGCTTAATCCACCATCTGATTCAATGGCTAAAACCAGAATGAATAGCAAAAGTGTTACTAATGGAACAGAATAAACTTTTTGAAGACAAAGATTATGCAACATTGTAGCTAAAAAACATCTTATTCAACACTGAAGTATAAACTAATAAACTTTCCTTAATTAACAAACATTATTTTGGAGAAAGATTCATGCGAAAAAAGGCAACTTTCCTAATGGGGATTTTTTGCTAATACACTGGAATAAAGTTTCTTTAAAAGAAAAGAGAGGGAAAATTAATTCGAAGCTGTACCTTGGTGGAATCTGAGCTGAAGAACCCTAGAAGCTGCATCAGTCTTCTTAACAATAACATCATCGGAAGGTGGGTCTCTGAGTACCACCGACAGAGAAAACATAACCGAAGCGGCCATTAGGACGGCAAGAAGTAGACCCATCGATTTCATCGAGCTCAAACTTGGTTTCATCGGTTCCAATTCGCTAGACCCGGTTCGATTATCCGAGTTGGTCGCTGGTTCACCCACATCTGAGTTTTTCTTGCCTCGCTTCATCGGGCAAGAGAGAGAGAAGACGGTGAAAATCGGTTCGGATCTCCAACGAAGACTTGATGAGTCAAAAGAAGAGAGTTTGGTGTAGACTGTTGAGTGTGGAGAGTGGAGATTGGACAGTGGACAGTGGAGGAGAAGTGATCATGTGTTGTGTTTGAGAGAACAGAGACAGAGAGAGTACGTGGCAGAGACAACGACAATTTTTTAGTTTTTGCTACCGATTTTACGAAACGTACCCTTCAACTTTGTACTCATTTTAATATTGATCCGATACTTTTTGGGAATAAAGTTAGTGGGACGTTTCTGTAGTTACAACAAATAATCGACCCTCTCTCGTTATTTCTAAGATCTTTTTTCTTTTTTGGTTTTAATATTTCTAAGATCATTTTATTATAAAACTCTAATAATAAAATAATTACTATATATTTACCAAATGTTGATAAATGCATCGATGAAAAATAAATAAAAAAAATCTATCTATAATGATGAACACGATTTTGAGTTCTTTTGTAACCATCATAGAACTTGAAGTTGAAGTCTTTAACTAATATGTGCATAATAACAGTGGGACTATATTATATTCAACAAAATGATCAAATCGTAAACACAACACTATTTTGGAAACTACTTCTCCTTGATGATACAAAAAATACGAATTGTCTTTGGTGCACATTTTTCACGTGTGTATCATGGTTCATTTGTCAGCTTCTGTGACCGTTGTAAAGGAATTTTATACTTGATGATTTACTCGTATAAGCTCTTGTTTGAAGTATTTTACGTACTGACATATCTATTTGCTTTGACATCTTTGGTCCGTTTGGATGACAAAATTAAAGAAACTTTGTTTAGTATTCAAGATTCCGCTTATATGTTAAGTACTGAGTCATCATGCTGCTCCACGTTCGAGGACTGTGAAAGGTCTCACAAAGTCTAGTTTTCACTACATTCTAGTATATGTTATTTTTTCTCATTTTTGATATGAGCACATTATCTCGAAATACTAGCTCCTTCAAGGCTTCAAGCGAGTGAAAATACAATTTTGCAGACCGTAGACGCCAATATAAAAATAGCACACGACATAGTTGAGTCACTCGCAAATGCAAGTCTCACCCATAGCTATCTATATACATTTTATTAAAAATAATAAGATCCCAAAAAACTCAAATTTGGACGTAGAATTATAAAACATTCTCAAAACCACAAGATAAAAAGAAAAAGACAATTTCAAGAGAGTTAACAAAAAGAACAAAGAACAAAAAACGAAAAGGACGTCGTGATTATGCTATAATGATTCCCTCATTCCCATCCATGTAAACGTGAAATCTCTTCGCGAAGAGAATAACTGCGCGTTTTCTGAAACGCGGATTCAAGGGCTACACATTGGTAGAGACTAGAGAGTGTGTACTAGTATGGACCAGACCACACCTCACCATCGAGAGAGATTCTCGTGAAGTGAACCTAATCACACACAACAAGATAAGATCAATAAATCTTGGGGGGCCACCATGTCCATGACCATGAGTAATCTACATATATTATCAATTCTTATCATTTTCTTTTTGACAATTAAACAAAAAATTAACATTTCTGCTATCATTCGTTTTTTTTCCCTAACAAATAACCAAAAATAAGTTTAAATTGTGGTCCAACACTATAGAAAACAAAGTCTATGATGAGCATACAAACACATATTTTTATTAACTTTTTCAGAAAATGGTTGCATACTTGCATATGTACACATTCTTCACTATTATAATTAACCATACAATATTAACGATTTATTATATAGAAATCATAATTAACCATACACCCGAATTTACACCATGCTTCAAAACAACGACTACTATTACTATACCAGATTCATAAATCTTTTTGTGGCTAGCTCCGTTTACAGGATCTGGAAAATAGTTCAGTTGTTTCCAAAACCGTGGATTGGGATCATGGAACCGATGTGCGAAATCCGATACCGTAACACCACGGTCGTGATTTGTTTTGTAGCTTTCGTAAAAGAACAATTCATCACATTCAGCAACGTTATGATTTTTGTCTGAAAGAAATAAAGCAACAAAATCCTTTATAAACAAAGAAAAAAGAAGAAGAAATCAACAATTTAGATCACACAATCAACATAATTTCGATACAAATAATACATAACTTTCTGTTTATTTTTATTTTTCTAAGTAGATAATACCATAATATAAAATCTCAACGTGTGTATTGGAAAACAAACAATGAAAACAATGAACCACGTGGATACAAAACAAAAGCAAAAAGATGTACACAAATGAAGACTCAACAGAGGGACAGTGTCTTTTGGCAGTGAAGGGACCGTTTTCTATTCTTGATATTTTCTTTTATTTTATGCATTTCAAAAGAATAAACAACAAAAACAAAACAAAAATAGGGTGAATCCGTAAATGTTAATATGATCAATTTATTTAGCATATTAGTAAATCCAAGTGCTGCGTGCCCCACAAAGAAAGGTTAACAAGACATAAATATTCTGCTGTTTTCAATAATTTATTACTGTTTCTATTCATCAGGGTCCTAGTGTTTATGCTATTTCATACTAGCCAATAGCATATTTCATATTGGTTACGTACTTTATTTACTATTTACCTTTTAGGACCTGACTGGTTTAACCGCTGCGGTTGCGGTTGCGGGTGCGGGAGTTTGCGGAAGCGGGCGGTTGTGATTAGTAGCGTTATTAAGCGGTTTGTACGACTGGCATAACAATTGAAAATGGATGCGTTTGCGGGTTACTTATGACTGGTTCACTTGCGGATGCAATAGCGGTTAAACAATAAATTAATAATATAAACACATTATATAATTATAAAAATATCAAAACTATATTATAATGAAAATTTTAAATTTATGGTTCAACATAATTAAAAAAATATTATAAAGAATAATATGTGTATAATACTTACGTCTATCTTTTAATTTCTATAATTTAAATAAAAAATGTGATTTTATTTTCAAAATATATATTTAATGTGAAAATTAAATTTATTTTACAATTTTATTTATTAGATATATATGTATTAGTATGAAAAGAATATTTATCAAGAGAATTTTGATTTGTAGAACTTATAAATATATAAGTATTATATGATTTTAATGAATATTGACTAAAAGTACTAATTTTTTATTTATATTGTGATTTTATTATCCAAATCTTATTTTTTAATAAATATTATTATTTATTTTCGGATTTTATATAAGTTTGTGTTTTTTTTTTTTTTTTAATTATCCACCCGCAACCGCCCGCAACCGCAAACGCTTGCGGAAAGGAGCTTTTGATTTTCAGCGATATAGAGCGGTACAGAGTGGTATAGAGCGATTCAAAGCGGTTGTCGTGATTGTTATAAACCGCCGAAAACCGCTACGAACCGCAAACGCTGCGTTTGCGGGTGGTAGCGGGAGAACCAATCAGGTCCTTAGTCTAGTGTTGCTTCTTCCTTTGTAAATTATGTAATTGTGTTGAGCTGTTTCTTCAAATTACGAGTTTTGAACTTTAGAAATCATTCTGCCCTGGTTGTTCGTATAAGAAGGGTAAATTTTATGTGAATAACAACCAGACCTGTTGAGAGATCAGAAATATCAGTGTGGTGTTTTTTCAAATGATTCTGATGTTAAAATTAATAAAGTTAAGATACTACGAGAGTTTATCGAAAACCAAAAATAGAAGTTTAAAAATAGAGAATGAAACTTACACTGGAGCAGTAAATATGGTCGGCGGTGTATTATGTCCATATCAAAGCTTTTCTAGTGAAATCAGAGGGAATTTTTTTATAATGATTTCAAGAAACCAAAAACACATAATGTAAAGAGCTTCTTGACGTTATTGGACCATTCGTCAGCGATTATTCTCTGTATCGGAATTACAAACGTTGTTTGCTAACCAAGTGTTTGGGGATAAAACAGTTTGGACTTTTGTAATAAGGTACACACAACACACACACACACCACTTCTAAGATCTACCATTCTAAAATTGTCCGAGGGACCATTGAATTAAGCCAAGTATTTAGTATCGAGTATATTACTTAAACTATACAACAATTGCTTGAAATTTCGATTATAATCAATACTCCCTCCGTTTTTTTTTATAAATTTTCTAGAATTTTCACACATATTAAGGAAAAGCAGATTTTCAATCATTAGTGTATTGATTTATGCAATAAAACAACTTTTTATAATTTTCAACCAATAAAAATCTAACAAATACAATTATTGTTTCTTGAAAACTGAAAAAATGTATCAAAAAAGTAGAAAATTTATCTTTGTGAAACAACAACTAATGTCTAGAAAATCCATCTTAAAAAAAAGGAGGGAGTATATAACATAAACTAATGCTCTCTGAAGGTTTTATAAACAAGAAATTTTGTTATTTGAGTTGAATTCGTGTTCAAATACAGCGGTAGACTTAAAACAAATACATCGCTAGTCTTGAAAATGATCATGTTACGCTACATGTATGACTTTAGCCTCTTGAGATAAGCATGTTTACATATTCCGAGTAATTTATTTTTGTAACAAAAAAAAACAACATAGTAACGAAAATGATATGTGGGCATCAAGATATACATATAACAATCCAACGGTTGAGATATTTTTGTTTTAAAAGAAAAAGAAAAAGGAGAAAAGAACAAAATATAACCATACCCCCATTCCTCACTCTATAAAAGTCCATTCTACTTCTATATTAAAAGAGAGTGTGAGAGAGCCTCACATAAATAAATTAAAGTCTCTTAATAAATTAGTTAAATCATAAATAGTGACGGTAATCAATAATTCACTTGTTCTTAAGGTCATCATCTAATCAACTCTAAGTTGATTGATTAATTGGTTCACCGGAGACAAATGGGGAAGACGACGTGGTTCGACGTGGACGGGATGAAGAAAGGAGAGTGGACGGCGGAGGAAGACCAGATGCTCGTCGCTTACATCAACGAGTACGGTCTCGGCGAGTGGCGTTCATTGCCTGCGAGAGCCGGTATAAATCTATACTTACACCCTATATTTATACATGCATACATTTTGTACGGTCCTGTGTTTGTGTCTCTTTCAAAGCTAGGGGCTTTGAAGAAGCTTAAGATCTTTAGATTCCAGTTTCTGTCGGACGAAAGATTTTGTTTTTGAGTTTTTGTTTTTTGTTTTGTCGGCGATTTTGTTTTGGGTATGTTTTGATTTTTTTCTTTGTTTTAGGTTTCTCGAGTACGTACATTATCACATCGTAAATTAAATTCTTTTTTTTTTCTTGAACTTTTGTAAATCTTATTCTTCGTAAGGATAAAATAAAAGATCAAACTGTAATAAATCTGTCCAATAACAATTTCTCCTGTATAAGAAATTTATCGTTTATGTGATTATTATGTTGGGGAACTTTAAGAACCTTCGACCAGGTTTTATAAGATATGATGATATTATCTTTAATGCAATCTGTGAACCCATGTTAGCCAAGTATTTTAATTTACTGGTTTTTTTTTTCTACAAAATGAAAATATTTCTTTTAGACCCAAAATCAGAAAGTTTATGTGTTTTTGTTTTCTCCTATTGTTGTCTAATGGAAAAAGAAGGTTCAATCTCTTTTTGTTTTTTTTTTTTGTATCTTCTCTGTTGTTAAAGCAATAATTCACCTCATTTTTCTGATAATTCGTTTTTTTAATGCGACAAAAAAGGTCTGCAAAGATGTGGAAAGAGTTGTAGATTAAGGTGGCTGAATTATTTGAGACCTGGGATTAAAAGAGGCAAGTTCACTCCTCGGGAGGAAGAAGACATCATCAAATTTCATTCTCTTCTTGGAAACAGGTAATTATTAATTTTTGATTAAATGCAAATACAATAATCGTGTTATAATAATATTAATGATACATACATAATTAAATTATTGATATGCATAATTACATTAGGTGGGCAGCGATATCTAAGCAAATGCCAAACCGAACAGACAATGACATAAAGAATCATTGGAACTCATCTCTTAAGAAAAGACTAATCAAAAATGGAATCGATCCGATGACGCATAAGCCTATCGTCGTCACCGTCGAAGCTACTTCCTCTTCGACGGCTTCGTCTCCGACACCGAGCCCTTCTTCTTCTTTCTCGGCCTCAGGCTCTGCACGTCTACTTAACAAGCTCGCTGCTGGAATCTCCTCAAGAAAACAAGGACTCGACACGATCAAGACTATGATATTTTCGGAACCAAGCCAAGCCGTTGAAGAGAATATGGTTATGATCAAGGACAAAGATCATGAAGAAGAGGAAGTGACTGGTTGTTTCATGGAGATTGATGAGAAGCTGATGGGCACGACGTCGTTTGATGAGATGCCTTGTTACTCCACTCTTACTACGACGAATGGCTTCGTGGATTTCGAAGACTACTCATCAGTCGATCCGTACGATCTGTACCAGTCTGATTTTCATCATGAGACTGAACAGCTTGACCTGTTCCTCCTTTGATTTCACTCGAGTTTTTTTTTTTTTTTTGGTATGACAAAAGAGAGAGAGATTTCTGAGAGAAAAAAAGAAAAGCATGTGCTTTTTAGTACTATAAATGACATGCATGGTCAATGTTTTCTGAGCTTTGACCGTTACTTTTTCTTATTATTCGATTCCTTCTCTATCTCTCTCACCTGTGACTCTATGAGCCTAGTCGCCTACATGCATATGTGAGGGTTGCACACCATGTTGTTTTTTACGATAACTCTAGTTAACATTTTCACTGTGACAATGTAACAATATAACTATGCATATTTACTAAAATAATAAGATGATCACTACAAGTGGAAGAGGACTCAAAACAATCAACGAAATGGAAATTATTACAAGTACGGATCCAATATAGATTCCTAATTAATAATCCAAATTTCAAGATTTTTTTTCACAAAAGTGGTAACAGACAGCTATAAACACAAAATAATTGTGGTCAGAAGAGGACAAGTGTTTTGCTAATTGATCGTAAATTCATGTTCTTGCTTTAGTGTGTGCTAATACTTTTTTTTTTCTTCATGCCAATTGCGGAAAAATATTTCTAACGCATGTGGAAATTTTATCTATCGTGGGACTACTGCCTTCCGCGTCGCTGGCCCATACTTATTTTGGACTATTTTCCCTCTATATTTCTTTTTTTTTTGGTCAACCTTTTCCATATTTCATATCGTCATCGTTTTTATGTATAACTAAATGTTAGTATATAATTTCAAACATTGAATATCACATCTTTTTGCATCCTCTCAATCAAGAAAAGAGAAAAGAAGTAAGTGAGACTGTGAGATGAATATATTTTGTTCATATTGTTTCAAATTCTTATGATTTGAAGAAGCTCTGTTTTATGGTTATAAAAAACAAAAGAATCTCTGTTAGCAAAGCATATAAATCATTTATTCTTTTAATTATTTTTCGATTTCACTTTAAAACTTTTCTTGGTTCTCAGCTGAAAATGGCTGAAGTTACAAACCACATACAAATCAAATCAAACACTGCGTCGTACTATTCTGACAGACTCGATTTCATATTAATCGCATTCCTTTTATATTTCACGTGACACAAATTCATCGACGTGGGAAATTAGTAATTACCACTGTATTCTATAAAATACATTTCTCAAGTCCAGAAATTTAAACGAGCTCATATAATTTATTCAGGCTGGGCCTCACAGTGATCTTATCACAATCTGGTTTGTGATTTTGTATCACATACACATTATTTAACAAAACAAACATTTGTTTTTAATCACAGTCACCAGTATTTTTTGTTTTTGGTGTAAATGTTAAGATTCATACCAAATTTTCTGAGTTTAATTTACAATGTTGAAGGCACCTTATCACAGCGCAAAAGAAACTATAACCCTAAACAAAAAAAAGGAGATAGAAAATCAAGAAGCCTAATTAAAACTGTAAAACTCAGAGGATAAACACAAGTGTACTGAATACTTCAATACATCATTGATAGAGATTGCAAGCTTAAAAAGCCAAAGTACAACAGACTTAAAAGGAAACTTACATAAGCAAACTAAACGTGCTAGATATCAAGACATCTACTACTTGACTCCTACAGACCAGGAGCTTATTTAAACTGAAACAAGCAAGTTAAAGACTAATTCAAACTCAACAAAAACAGAGCGGATTGATGATGTGATAAGCATGTGCATGTGGAGGCCGAGAATATGCGCATGCACGTTCCTTTCCTTCCACAATCACCAAATATATTGGCGGCTTACGTGACCTTCTTCTGCTGTGTCTTTTCTCTCCATATCTTGATCTCACTCTCTATCTTGGAGTCGACACGCTTTTTAAACCCAGGATATGGCTCGTAACCAAAAACAGCTTGCATAACCTGCACATTATCATTCAATATCCATTGTGATTAGTACTTTTTCTAGCTAGCTTTCATGGGAATGTGGAAGGAGAAACATTTAAAAAAAAAAAGACATTGAACCTGGAACAACGCGAAGAAAGGACCCATCAAAAAACCTTGCACTGGATTGTCTAGAAGTGCAGGAGCTCGTTTCTTGGGAGTAGATTAAGATAAGTATACAGTTAGGTTAGGTCATGCAGAGAAGAATCATCAAAAGAAATGATTTCAAAGAACAATGTGAAATAAAAATATACCTCAAATACGGCGTGAGCGAAGAACTGACCGACAAAACAAAAGAACTGAACAGCTATTCCAACCTGAGAGAACGAGGAGGCCTTTAAGTCAAAACATGAGCACCACATGCATGCATGCACATAAATTCGTATAAAGATGAAATATTTTTCGTTACCGTCAAGGTCAAGGAAAGTCCCATTCGAGCTGCGAGGAAGCTGGAGCCGATCCAGCAAGAAATACACATTAGAGCAGCTAAAACCCCAGATTTCTTATCCATGCATACGTAGAAGATTGCATGAATCATAGCGTGGATGAGGCCAATGTCCAAGCGCAAGACACCATCAAAGAACCCTAGTTTAGAGAGATCTAGAAATGGTGGCGCAGCGTAGAGGAAAAGGAGGGCAGCGAAGACGTTAGGCCACACGAGTACAGTGTGGATAAGGATGTTGATGGGGTTGGTGTGGTAAGCTCCGTAGAAGGCGTAATGCTTCTCCAGGTCGAACATTCCGGTACTAACGCCCATGATTTAGGGTTTCGAGGACTTTCTTTTAGTTACTTGAGTGGGAGATTTTCTTGGGCATCGGAGGAACCGTGGAAGAAGAAAGGAGGAGACTTTATAGCAGAGGCGTCAGCTAAAATATGCTAACATGCGCTCCCGCCATTGTCAATGTACGTGTAGGACACTTGTACATCATGCAGTTGAATCAAACAAGGCATCTGATCGGAGCTGTTAATAGTCGCCGTCTCCGTTACACTTCCCAACACGTGGCATTCGTTTTGTACCCATAGCTCAGAGCCATCGGAGAAACCGAGGAAGAAGAAAGGAGGAGACTTTAAAGCAGAGGCGTCACTGAAAATATGCTAACATGTGACTCCTGCCATTGTTACTGTTCGTGTAGAACACTTGTGCATCATGCAGTTAAATCATTTATCTCGTTAATGCTGGGCTAATGTATTTTGATGGGTGGTTGTTGGGCTTCGGATATTGTTCTTTGGAATGCCCAGTTTCATACAAAGGTTTTTCAGTTTCTATCAAAGACCTAAACAAAAATGGTGTATATTACAACCAAGATTAGCAAAATAAACAGAGCAAAAGGAAGTTTTTTTGCTATTAATTACATCAGCACAGTTATTTGCATGTCTTCCTCTGAAAAGTGAAGACAAGAGTTCAATTGAAAGCTCTCGATTTTACTTTCACTTCGTAAAGGTAAAAAAAAATGGAAAAACGAAAAAGGATTCACTTTTCCATTTTAACGGATTTATTTATTATTTTTTAGGTTTAATCCTTTTTTTTTAACAATCCTTTCGCTTTTATAATCAAAATTTTGTCGGATTTAGGTTTCATAATTCTTCTTTCTCGGTTGTACTTAGAGCATCTCCAACCCCATGCTAAATATGACATATATGCTATTTTGCCATAATTTTTGCTCCAACCCAATTGCATATGCTATTGCAAAATAGCATCATGCTATTTTTGCTTCTATATTTGGCATGAGATTATGCAATATGCTATTTTGCCATTGAACTTTTTTATTTATAAAATAGTCCTTCAATTTGTAATTACTTTTAATTTAACAGTTTAATTATATTGATTATGATTTATTTAAATAAATAAACAATACTCATAACTTTTTCAAAATATAAATAATATTTATTTCATAGAAATATAAAAACATAACCATAATAAACTTCAAATTTTATTTTTAAAAATACTGAAATTCAAAAAACATAAAACAATAGGTTAAAATCTTTGTTTTCTATAATTTTTATGTAATATGATGTATTTTGTTTTAATATTATAATAAAAAAAAATATATATATAATTCTGGTTGTTTTTGCAAAAAAAGAAAAACAAATGATTCACTTTGTAAAATTTGAAGAAATCAAGTAGTTTTAACAATTAATAATAAGTTGGAAAAAAATTATAGCATGATATATGGCATGAGGGGTTGGAGAGAAACCCAATGCTATTGCTATATTTTTGCCATTTGCAATAACATATGGCATGAGGGGTTGGAGATGGTCTTAGATCTCCTTCTTAATGAGTAAAGTGTCTCTGATTTGAAGGAAGGACAAGACAATGGGTTTCTTTGATTTATTAAGAACGGATTCAGCTGAATGCGACACTTAATTATCAAGACAATGCTGCCATTTAATATAAACTTTCACTTCAATTTTTTTTATCTTCTTTTTAATACATTTATTTAATCACATTCATCATTTTTTTTTGCTAATTAAAACACATTCATCTTATTGTTGACAAGTAGAAGATAAGAACAATTTGTAAGAACAACAAATTAAAAGAGAAAATACGGAACTGCATTACTTATGTTACTTAACGGTTAAACTGAAACAAAGTTACATGTTTCTTAGATAGACATGAAACTGAAAAACTGACTTCCTAAATACATGACTCGTACTTGATTCTAGGAATATTTATTGGAAACGACTTAGAACTGAAACAACTTGAAACCACAAGACTCAAGGATGACCATTTCTTCTTCACATATTGGAGCTTACTTGACCTTCTTCAGCTGTTGCTTTTCAGTGCATTTCTTGATCTCAACCTCTATCTGGGAGTCAACACGCTTGTTAAATCCAGGGTATGGCTCGTAGCCAACAAATTGCAGAACCTGAAATATCACATTCAATCCATTGTGATTAGCACTCTCTATCTAGCTTTCATGAGAAACATGAAAGAAGGAAAGAGATGAAAAAAAGACATTTAACCTGGAGCAATAAGTAGAAAGGACCCATGAGATAAGCGTGTACTGTGTTGTCTTCCATTCCAGGAGATCGTTTCTTGGGAGTAGAATAAAGATAACTAGTTAGGTTGTGAATGAAAAGAAATGATTGAATATTTATAAGAACAACAATGTAAATATACCTCAAATAGGCCGTGAGCGAGGAACTGACCGGCCCAACATACGACCTGAGCAGCTACTCCAACCTGAGAATAACGATTCATATTATATAAGATGAAGGAACTGTATTATTTTATATTTATTTATGTTATATCCATCACATGCATGCACATAATTATTTTTTCTTTTCTTTTTTCATGCACGTGAACTAATAGTAAGATAATTTTTTTTTATTAAAAGAGATTTACCTTCATGGCCAAGGAAACTCCTATTTGAGCAGCGAGAAAGCTGGAGCCGACCCAGCAAGAGAAACATAACAGAGCAGCCAAAGCTCCAGATTTCTTATCCATGCGGACGTACAAGATTGCATGGATCAGAGCGTGAATGAGCCCAACGTCCAAGCGCAAGACACCACCAAAGAGCCCTAGCTTAGAGGGGTCTAGGATCGGTGGCGCAGCGTAGAGGAAAAGGAGGGCAGCGAAGACGTTAGGCCACACGAGAAGAGTGTGGACAAGGACGTTCATGGGATTGGTGTGGTAAGCACCGTAGAAGGAGTAGTGCTTCTCCAGATCGAACATTCCGATACCTTTGCTCATCATCATGATGATTTGATTTGATGATTTGGTTAGATTTTCTTTGGTAGTTGTGTGAAGGTAAACAGGGCAAGGAGGGGTATTTATACTGTTTTTTTCGATAGTTCCCAAGTTTGGATGGGCATATAATACTCTTATCTAAGGAAAGGTGACAAGTGCTTTGCATGTAAGCGTCATGGGACTCATTGCAGAAGATGGTTGGTAAAATGTGACACTTTTGTGTCCAATAAGCTTCACCATAACCTTGCGCTCGGGAACTTTGTTGTGTAACGTTCTCTTTATCGATGGTTCCTAAGTTTGGATGTGGCATGTATGACATTTGGTGATTTCAAATACTGATAATCTAATAATATAAACGTAACATTGCTTCGTTTGATGAGGAAATGTATTTAAGTTTTCTTTTTTTCTCTTAAATTATAATTTGTTATTATACAAACGAGAAGAAAACTTACATATGATTGATTGGGTTTGATATGATTTTGATTCAAAACTTTGTTTTCTTTAAATATGAACGTTTTGAGAATTTAAAATTGTGCATTTTCTAGTGTTGTTTATTTTCAGATTAGTCCAGCAAATAAATAGTGAAAATTGGACCATTTGATATCCTCACAACCGATGAATTCTCTCTTTCATCGGATCTTTTCGATATGGTTTTAATTCTGGTTTTCTAATTGGGCTCTAAGATTACATGTTTGTCCTGATAGGTTAACCATATTGAAATGGGCTGTCCATTATAACATTTTATGGGCTGGGCTGTAAATTTTTGCTTTCTTTTTTCTGATTTTTTTTTTTTTTTTTTTTTTTTTAAGTTGGACCATTTTATTAAATTTAAAATTTATGCTCAGTTTTAAAACATATTTTTGGTTTGAGCCATGTTAGTTTTTACCAGATTAGTTTGGCGATAAACAGTTTAGCGCGATCTAAGCAAATTGCACGAATTTCTTTTATCGGTCTCTTAACAACTTACATGTTTCAAGAAATAGTCAACACTTAAACGAGAGTTTGTCTGTCATTTTCTTTATAAATCAATTTTCTTCGTTTTATGTCTCTTGGAACTTGTAGTTCACACGTGCTTTACTTCTAATTTTCTAGTACTAAAAATGGAGTATTTCATAATTGTCATAATTCAATCTGCTTTTTTTTATATTAGTAATGTCATCATCCTTATTATAATTAGGTACGATTCCAGAATTCCTGATATTGAGGATTTTACATATTTGGCTTATGTAGAAAACATGCAAGTCTAATTAACGTAGTGCAGTGCGTCTTACGTCTTGTATTAATAAAAAATATAAACCCTATCTTTCAAAACATAAAGATTTGGTTCAAACATGGCTTTCAACATTCGATGACAACCTGTTCTATTTACTACTGATTTTAAAAAAAAACTACAACAAGTATGAGACACATAATTAGTTCGTATTCCTACAATTGACTATGTCCTGATTAATACTTTCTTGCTTATTGCGTCATGAGGTATTTATTTGGTAAAGCACAAAAATATAAGAAAAATAACAACACATCAGCAAAACTGTCCTTAAGATTTCTTGAAAAGTTGCAAGAAATCGAATCAAAGTGACCAAGTCAGTCTCTCTCCTCCCACATTACGCGCCAACTAAGCTTGAGCTGTTATATTGACGCCGTCGTCTCCGTCACACTTCCCCCAACTCACGTTTCGCCACGTGTCATCCGTTTTCACATCATTCACGTGCTGGCATATCTCTCAGCCATACGTTCGCGCGGGATCTTACACTTAATCCAACGGTTAAGATTTGTCTGTGAACCCCGAGAGATTTTATGATTTCGAGTTGCTTTTATTTCTCATTTTATTATTAGTTGACGTGTTAGCTGCGTGTTTCGGACGAGTAAACAAAGCCCAAAAATAACAAAATAGGCAAAAATATATTTTTCGTTGGAATGTGAAACTTTTAAATAAAGAGTTACTAAAAATAAAATTAAAAAGATCAAAAAATTTCCAAATTTAACACAGAAAAGACATAAAAAGACGCGGTCAAAATTCACTCTCGGTAATCAATATAAAGCCCATTCTCTTTACCAGTAGGGTTTTTAATTTTTTATCATCATCACTCTCTCTCTCTTTCTCTCGCTCGCTAGAAAATGCGAATTTTCTCGCCGGCAACCTGATTTTTCTGTTCTGATTGTATAAATTCTCACATTTCATCTGTATTGATTTTTGACGATGCCAATAACCGAATCTCAAAGATCATTCGGGCGGTCGTTTCTGAATTTACGGCGTGACTCGGTGCACTCGGTCGACTCAGCGACGGTTTCCGGCGGCAATAGCAACGAGTTGACTCAGATGGAGGCGGAGTTGGATTCGTTTCAGAGAAAAGTCGCCGAGAGGTTTACCGATCTCAACGCCTCGAATTCCGAAGATCTGCTCTCCCTCGAATGGGTTTCGAAGCTTCTCGATTCGTTCCTCTCCTGCCAAGAGGAGTTTCGCGCCATTTTATCCAACCGCCGATCTCAGATCACCAAACCGCCGATGGATCGATTGATCGCGGATTACTTCGAGAGAAGCGTCAAAGCCCTAGACGTCTGCAACGCGATTCGAGACGGCGTCGAGCAGATCCGTCAATGGCAGAAACTAATCGAAATCGTCGTCACCGCTTTCAACGGATCCGGCGGAGGAGGGAAGAGACCTCTCGGAGAAGGCCAATTCCGCCGCGCGAAGAAGACGCTGATCGAATTAGCGATCGGAATGCTCGACGATAAAGGATCGTCTTCAACCTCGGTTTCTCAGCATCGTAACCGCTCATTCGGAAGAAACAACAACAACAACAACAACAAGGATCATCTCCTCCACCACCGATCAATCGGCCATTTCAGATCGCTCTCGTGGAGCGTCTCGAGATCATGGTCAGCTTCGAAGCAATTGCAAGCGATTGGAAACAACTTAGCCACGCCTCGAGCTAGCGACGTCGCTGCGAGCAACGGGCTCGCGGTTCTCGTTTACACGATGACGTCGGTTCTGCTGTTTGTGATGTGGGCGCTCGTGGCGGCGATTCCGTGTCAAGACAGAGGGCTCGCGGTGCATTTCAACGTGCCGAGGAGTTTCCAGTGGGGAGGATCGGTGATGTCTCTGCACGATAGGATCATTGAGGAGTCGAAGAAGAGGGAGAGGAAGAACAGTTGTGGGTTGTTGAGGGAGATTGATCGGATTGAGAGGAGTTCGAGAGTGATGAGTGAGTTGGCTGATTCCGTTCAGTTTCCGTTGACGGAGGAGAAGGAGGTGGAGGTGAGAGAGAGGGTTGAGGAATTGGGGAAGCTTCATGAGGGTTTGAGGAATGGTTTGGATCCGTTTGAGAGGAAAGTGAGGGAAGTGTTTCATCGGATTGTGAGAAGCAGAACGGAGGGGCTTGATTCTATTGGAAAGCTTCCAGAGTGAAAAATTTGATGGAGATGAAACCATTTTGTTGAATATTTGAAAAGTGGAAACTGTTTTATCAAATCGTGGATTTGTTTGTCTGAAATCTCTCTCCCACATATTGGGAAAAGTTGATAGATTATGGAGATTGAAAATCTCCATTTTATTTTCCAATCTTTGTTGTTATTTCTGTAATGTTCTTTCCAAAGATTGTGTAACTGAATTATACTTGGATTAAGGTTAATGTCAATTTTAGTTTCATATTGGTGATGATTAGGGAACGATGACTATTTTGATTATAAGTTTTTCTTGAATTAAGAATACAAATGGAAATTACAATTCTCAATTCTGTAAACGTTTCTCAATTCTACGACAATCTTTGAATTCTTTGTTCTTGATGGACTCTCAACCTGCATCAAAACTAAAAGAAAACTTCAAGATATGTTAAAAGAAAGGAACTTGATTAGGAGCCTTCATATACGGTAAAGAAAAATTTGATTACATTGGGTTAAAGTTTTGGAGCCCAATTTGGTTTTAGGCTACAACAAAACAAAACCCTTCATATCTCCGTTCTTAGATGCAATCACAAGGCTTTTAAGGGGTTTAAAAAGAAAAGAATGAAAAAAAATAATGTGCCTCAGAGGTAGTGACAATTGTGATTTGATTCATCACTATAAAATCTGATGAAAACACATCAATAGATATACATCACCGGCACATTTAACAAATATCACAAAACAAAGCTTAAAAATAAAACTTTTAAAAGAGGTTTTTGGGGATTGAAGTGCATCAGAGAGATTCCCATTTAGACAATTACTCATCATAGTGCTTCTCCATACGGAGAATCTGATGTCCCTGTCTTTTTATCGTCACTTGCACTCACAATAAACCCAGAAAACTAGAAATCAAAACAATTTAGAGCAAATCATCATACACAACCAATGCTTCATAAACTAATCACGAATGCAAACCTAAAACAATTCATAACCAGATGTATAAAAACAGAATGAATTTGCCTCAGCGTTGTTTCTTTTTTCCTAGAGACTTAGCTCTCAAAGTATATTTAATTAACACCATCACAGGCATCAAACAAACAAGAGCAATAAACAGAATTAAGCACAACAAAAACGCTTGTAGAAGACAAAATATTAACTCTTTCAAAAGCCCTCGAATCTATGAGAGAAAACACAGAAATACTAGACAGCTTTGAAGAGAAGTGGCTCTGATTTGTCTTTCATTGAATCACGATGGGTTTAAATACAATAGCAGAGGCAGGCGGCCAAAATTAGGGCAAACAAGCAAAAATATTTGACTGGGCTCATGTGTAAAAGAGAAGGTATAAATAGCCCAATAGTGATTTTAAAGGCCCAAACAGATTGTGGAAGATTTGCCCTTTAGTTTGAGGCACTGTAGTAATGTGCCAATGTATTATGTATATACAAGTCTTTGTGATCTAGAGCATACATGTGTAAGTGTAACATGTCTATGTATATGTGTGTACATACATGATATTTAGCAGATTTGTATAGTGTGTCAGTGTTGTATGTGTGTATTATATAATATCAAACACTAGTAATTAAAAAATGAAGAGTTTTATGTTGATGAGCATCATGTGATGTCTCCAACTCAAAAGGCTTATTTCCACAATCAACGGTAGAGATGTAAAGAAAATGAGAAAACTTCCACAATCCTCTAACCTTTAATATCTACATATCTTCTTCCACGATATATCCTGATCCTGAAGATGAAGATGAGAGCACCCATGGTTTTATATAAATCAGACAAAGCTAGCAGCGTAGAAACAGAACACATCTGTCTTTTGAGAGAAAGTAAATGGCGAGACTCATCTTCCCATTTCGAATATTCTTGGTTTTAGCTCTTATGATCTCATTGAAGCCTGTCCTAATTACTGCAAGTCTGTAATACTTCTCAAGACTCTTCTTCTTGTTCTGTTTCTTTCTTCGTTATAATTTCTTGCTTTATTTCAGGAACTGAGAAATCGACAGACTGTATAACCAATGGACAAGAATTTAGTCAGATTAGTCACCTGGTAAGAATTTACTCCAAACACAAATACGATGTGAAAGAAGATCGGTTCTCTTACTGTATTTTGATTCTTGTTCTTGCTTTGTATTGTGTGGATGCTTCATGTTTTTACAGAGACGACTTCAAACTGATCCTAAGAGAAGAACAAGGACAAGGAGGTTGATGAACGTTGATGAGATTGACGATTATCCAGGATCAGGTGCTAACAACCGCCACACTCCTAAACCTTACTGTCCTGACTGCTAATGCCAAGTTACGTTCTTGTAATTTTAGATCACTTTTAAGATTGTAATAATCATTTTACCTATGATATGTATCAAGATTTTAACATGATATAATCTTAATCTACTATGTGAAGATATCAATATTTGGTAAGACATCATAAAGTTTTTGAAACCCATGTCTAAAAAGCTGACTTTCTAGCTTTTTAATTAAATATAATCCCACAATTGACTAAGCTTAAGTTTGGTTATCCACTGAAACACAAAAGGGTTTTGCTCTATTTTTCCCTCCTTAATTACTCTGTTTTAAATAATTACTTTATCCTTCATTTAATAATTTTCCACATTAATCTTGTTATTTTTTCGTTTTATTTGGTAAAGAGACACTGAGACAGTGGATGACACAACCACCTCAAACATGATGATGATATCTTTACTATTATAAGACACATTATGGAATCAACCCATACAACCGAAGACGGAAATTACATAAAATAAAACATTATTTCACTTTTGAAAAAAACAAAAGATAATTGTAATGAAAGACAAAACGGAATTCTCCACAATATGTGAAACAATATACAATCATTACATATATAACTGAGACATCGATCAGCTTAGTTACTGTCGGGAGAAGGAGCAAGATCCGGCGCCGGAGAAGGAGCTTGAGAGATACCGTCTTGGGCACGCATGAAGTCAAACCTTTTGATAAGGATATTAGCAACGAGCTCGTTCGCTTTATCGGTGGGATGATACTCGTCCCAAAACACGTACTTACTCCTGTCTTTACACAATGTCGACGCCGGAATACACGTCAACGCCGGACGGATTCTGTAGAACGAGCAACACGGCGAGTCCGAGTTATCAAATCCTGTATTGCATTCACACAAACATAAAAAATTAAAACGTTAACTGGATTATTTTAGAGATGAAAATTTAAATAGCATCAATGAAAATAAATTCTCACAACTAGTACTACAAATTTTGTTACTGATCAAATTGAGTAACTGTTTTTGGTATTTTATAAGCATATAGTTTAATTGTTTAAGTTATTCATATGTTAAAACCAAAATTTCATATTTTCTATTGTTTTTTTGTAAATTTTTATATAGCTAGAATGTTTACTATTACACTATTCATCTTACATACTAGTAAAATCATATACTTTTCAATCACAAATCACGATAATCCTCATAAAGTTAGTTATTCGGTTATGATTTACCGTATTTTTGAGGGTTAGTGATGACGTCGTTGACAAGTTCATAGGCTTCACCAAACTTGTAGCTTGCATTAGGGAGCTTGGTTTCGAGATCTAAGAGCATTTTGGTGGCAGCTTTGTTGAATCTCACCGCAAGACTACTCGCTTTGTTTTGGCATTTTCCATCGAGGCTTAGAGCTCTTTGGAGTGGAATACAACCCATTGGTCCTAACCCAAACACCATTAGCTTCCTCGCTCCTAAACTATGCATCACCTAATTTAACATTACATCACAAAAAGAATATGTTTATCAGCCGATTTTAATAAAAAATTAATGAACCTATTCATGTAGTTTAAGTGCTTTTATCCAGACGAACCCTGAGTTGAGAATCAAGTGTTTCCATTAAGTAGTCGACGAATGTTTGATCATTGTACTTCCATGAATCGCTGTAGACAGGCATCAAGTAGTTGTTGATGAAGTCATTGCTGCCTAAAGCGACGACGTATCTAGCTTGTTGGAAGAATTTGTCTGCTTCCTTTTTCCCTATCTTCGCTACTACTAAATCTTGTGTCCCTTGGAATAACTCTATTTGCTTCCACAGCGAAAATCTTTGGATCTTCACAAATACAAACCCCAAATACAATCATTTCTTTGAATCTTATCCATTTATTTTATGAAAATAAAAACAATTATTTCAAAGACTTACGAAATAACCACCAGTTTCATTCAAGATTCCACCACCTCCTGAAGCATAGTTCACTCCACTCTCAAGTATTACATCTTCATTCATTGATGGATCCAAAAAGGCTACTGGTCTTGGTAACCCAATTTTATCACCTTAAAAAATTAAATAAAAACTATATATTATAAGTTTGTACAGAAAATAACTCACATGATGATATAACATGATCATTGGTTAGTTAATGAATGATCATACACATGACTTACCTATAATGTCTGAAACAGTACGACCGTTTGTGAACCTTCCATTAGGCAGACCATTGCCAAAATCAATACCGTAAAAAGGCAAATTCGCCTGCGCTAAACTCCTCGGTAGATTCCTATTATTGCCAACATCAGACAAAGAATCCCCAAATATAAACTGGACGATCTTGCAATCATAGCCATTGATAGCATCGAGTCCAAGAACGATGAACAACACGAATATAACGGAGATTTGCTTCATGTCGAAGAAGAAATGGAAATGTGTGTTGATTGAAAACGATTTGTTTTTTGGAGGTTTTTCAAAGGGTTTTAAAGAGGTGAAAATATAAGACTTTGAGTAAGAAAAGTGGAGAAGTAATGTGAGAATAAAAGGGTGAAGGTAGATTTTGAGTTGATGAACCAACTGATTTTGTTTTTTTTTAATTATTTATGTGTTGATTCAAACCTACTTTCAACTACTCTTTCCTCGTGTTGGTGTCGTAAGTTGTAACCGTTTCTTTGTCCGTAAACTTGAAATTTTGTTTTCTTTAGGGAATTGTTAAATTTTTATGTTTTCCTTGGGTTAAATAATTGCAAGTTTGGGTTTATGAACTCGTTTATAGGGTAAAACTATAAATGAGTTTTGCCTTGATACGGAATATGTCCTAGTATTATAAAATAAGCTAAAACTCTTCATCAAATTCATACGATTTCTCTTGTGTATGGATTCATCACTTACCTTACTCTTTCGTGACCATGGCCATTCTTCCTTAAAAAGAACTCTTCATGCTAGAAAATTGAATAAAAAAATAAAGCTTTTTGCCCATAAGTTTCACTAAAATTCTTATGATTTTTCTCCTGTATTGCACTCATCACTCTTACTAAAATTGTCAATAAAATTAGATGTTTAAAAAAAAACTCTTCTTTCCAAAAAAACAAAGAAGAATTATTTTCCCTTGAGCTGAAAATGCTATATCATGGGCCCAGGTCAAGCCCAATGGACCGAAGAAAACGCTGGGGCTCGAAGAAATTCAGGTCATATTCAGTGGCGATCTGGTAAATAACCAAAAGTGACTGTTTGTTTGGACCGTTGGATAACGAGGGGCATTTGTGGTAAGTTTAGTCTATTTCTAACCGAAACAGAGTACGTGTACTGTGAAAGAAAATTTAATTCAAAATGGACTAAAATACTTTTCAAACCATTTTTGTGTGAACCAGAAATTCTACGGACCTTTGCATGCCCATGAAGAATCACTGAATCACAAGACAACAAAATGGTTACATTACTATCCTACGTGGCCAAAACTCAGCCGATTGCTCTACAAAATGAAAGCCACAGATTAAATACGCAAACCCGTAACTTTATCTTCATCTCATCATCGCCGTCCATTATCAAATCCTACGGTAGCTATCCCTCGGAAATCTCCAACAATATCTAATCCACTAAATAAAATTTAAATAAAATTACATTTAAACCAAAAGAAAGATCACACAACTGAAGAAGAAGAGAGCCACACTCCATTGCTAGTGCTCGCTGAAGCTTTCTCAACGAACAATGGCGACATTTGCACTCAAATCCTTCACCGGACTTCGTCAATCTTCAACGGAGCAAACCAACTTCGTCTCCCATGTTCCGTCGTCGCTCTCTCGCTCTCAGCGAAGAAGCTCTCTCCGAGTAACCGCGGCCAGATCCAGCCCCAAGCTCGCCAACCGTAATCTCCGCGTCGCCGTCATCGGTGGAGGTCCGGCGGGAGGAGCAGCCGCCGAGACTCTAGCCCAAGGAGGCATCGAGACGATTCTCATCGAGAGGAAGATGGACAACTGTAAGCCATGCGGAGGCGCGATTCCTCTCTGTATGGTCGGAGAATTCAATCTGCCGTTGGATATCATCGATCGGAGGGTGACGAAGATGAAGATGATCTCGCCTTCGAACATCGCCGTCGACATTGGCCGTACGCTTAAGCAGCACGAGTACATCGGTATGGTGAGGCGTGAGGTCCTCGACGCGTACCTGAGAGAGCGAGCGGAGAAGAACGGAGCCACCGTCATCAACGGCCTCTTCCTCAAGATGGATCTGCCGGAGAATTGGGACTCTCCTTACACTCTGCATTACACCGAGTACGACGGGAAAACAGGATCCACAGGAACGAAGAAGACGATGGAGGTCGACGCCGTGATCGGAGCTGACGGAGCTAACTCTAGGGTTGCGAAATCCATCGGCGCCGGCGATTACGACTACGCAATCGCATTTCAGGTCAATTTCCCGGTTTAATGTTCAATTGTAGATGAAATTGATGGAATTCGAATTCGAACGGTTTAGGATTTGGAATTTGGGGATTTTTTCAGGAGAGAATTAGGATTCCGGATGAGAAAATGACTTACTATGAGGATTTAGCTGAGATGTACGTCGGAGACGACGTGTCGCCGGATTTCTACGGATGGGTTTTCCCGAAATGCGACCACGTGGCGGTTGGTACAGGCACTGTGACTCACAAAGGTGACATCAAGAAGTTCCAGCTCGCGACGAGGAACAGAGCCAAAGACAAGATCTTGGGAGGGAAGATCATCCGCGTGGAGGCTCACCCGATCCCGGAGCATCCACGACCTAAGAGGCTCTCGAAACGTGTGGCTCTCGTTGGCGATGCTGCTGGTTACGTGACGAAATGCTCCGGCGAAGGTATCTACTTCGCTGCAAAGAGTGGACGGATGTGTGCTGAAGCCATTGTTGAAGGCTCACAGAATGGTAAAGAGAAAGAAAAATCAAACCTTTTTTGAATTTCCTCTGTTTTGGGCTAAACCGGATGCTAAACCATTTTGTGTTGAAACAGGTAAGAAGATGATTGACGAAGGGGATTTGAGGAAGTACTTGGAGAAATGGGACAAGACGTACTTGCCTACGTACAGGGTGCTTGATGTGTTGCAGAAGGTGTTTTACAGATCGAATCCGGCGAGAGAAGCGTTTGTGGAGATGTGCGGTGACGAGTATGTGCAGAAGATGACGTTTGATAGTTATCTGTACAAGAGAGTCGCTCCGGGAAACCCATTGGAGGATCTGAAGTTGGCTGTGAACACCATTGGAAGTTTGGTTAGAGCTAATGCTCTTAGGAGAGAGATTGAGAAGCTCAGTGTTTAAAGAGCATAAAAATGTGATCTTTCTTTCTTTTTCTTGTTTTGTTTAGTATCTTGACTAATGTTTGCTATCATATTTATGTTGAATCAGTCAAAAAGGATTTGGCTTTACAAAATCCAAATTCACAAACCACTAAACTCAGTTGTGAAACCACACAAGAGGTACTTGACTTCTTCATCACTCTCTGTTCCTCCTCCTTCATCGACTGATTCGTCACTGACGACTGATCCGCTGCTTGAACAAGTTGGTTTAGAGATCTTGGACTGATCAGACTTGATCAGAGATCTCTTCTTCTTCCTCTTGTGGTTAGCCTTGAAGCAAGCTTGTCTCAGCCTCTTTGTCTTGTCCTCAAACTCAAGATCCGGCCTTTCCTCAATCGTCTTCTTCTCCTTCTCCAGCATCTCCAACGCGTTCCTCAGTTTCTCTGCGTTCTCTTCCCCTTCCATCTTCTGCAGCTCCTAATCACATAAATAAAAAAAACACTCTTCACATTTCTGAATATGAGTATAAAACAAGTGTAGTGGCTATGGCTTGTTCTATATACCTTGACGTTACTAATCAGAGTTAGTAGGCTCATGAGCTTCCGATGAGGCCAACGACGAATACCCAACTCGCGACATCTCCTCTTGAGAAGAGTTAAACCAACGTTGAGCTCCATAGCAGCCTGAGTTATTGGCATGTAGAAGTAGCGAGAGATGGTTTCCATCGACAATGCCTTTGAAGTTGTGTAACTAGTAATATCGCTGATGATTCTCACTTCATTATCTCTCGTTTTCCTCTTCTTGTAAGTCATCATCTCTTGCACTGCTCCGTGTTCCTCCTCCGACTTCTTCTTCTCCGACTCACCATCTCCTCTGTTCTGTTCTGTTTCATTCCATGATGCAGAGCTGTATGAGTCCAGTACATCTACAAGACAAAGCAAGACCCATGAGACCTCTACAATATAGTTATAAATATATACAAAAACTATAATATAACGATATATTATACCTTGAGACAAGGGTTCAATGTCAGGTAAAGGCAGAGAAGTTGTAGACAAAGGAAAAGTTTGAGAGGCAGAGTTGTTGTGGAGAGAAAGAAGCTCTTCTTCCCAGTCAAATGAAGGATAAGTTAACGAGCTGCGTTTGATTAAAAACAGAGAATACACATATAAGAAGAAAACAAAACTGATGATAAATCAAACTAAACAAAAGCTTCTGAAACTGACCTGTGATCAAAGGACAATGGTGAATGAGTTAGAAATGAGAATGGCTTGTCTTCGGTTAGTTTATGATCAGCCATTAGAGAGAGAGGTTGTGTTATAAAGCTCAATGAGGGAGAAATGATTTATATATACCAATAGGAGAGAGAGAGAAGAAAGGAGAAAGGAAGTGATGATGAAACTATAAGGGGACGTGGGGTGACGGCGAATTGATTGCTCTGATAAACTTGGAGTTACGAGAGATAGATATGATTAATGTTAATTAGTGGTAATTATAGGGACGTTTAGGTTTGGATTAGACTTCTCTTTTCGTCTCTCCATGCACATATGCATGCAATGCAACATGCCTCGAGTAAAAAGTAGTTTATATGTATGTACATGTACATGTATAGACACATATACATAGGCAATGATCATGATTGTGTCTAATTAATAGCCAATAACTGAATACTACTGTTATGTACTCAATTAAGATACAAGATGTAACGTATGGTTAAAACTTTATTAGAGATCATGGCCATGTTTTTAATTATTTTTAAAAAAATTGTTTATATCCCACAAAAAGAAAGATCCAAATCATTAAAAAGATTAAAAAAAATTTAGTCCTTTCTAAAAAACCGTTTTGAAGACGAAGAAGAAGCGTTACTACTTGGACCTTTGCTTCTACTGTTTCTATGTCTTGGCATTGGAACTTTCTCAAGAAGAGACACGACCTCAGGCATCGTTGGTCGAGCCTTAACCTCTCCGATGCATTGCAAAGCCAAGAAAGATATCATAAAGGCTCCTTTCTGAGGGTATTGACCCACAAGCCTCGTGTCCATTATCCTAAACATTTTTCGCTTGTCTCGCAAGTAAGGTTTCGCCCATTCCACTAGGTCTTCTTCTTCTCTAGCTCTGGTTTTGTCAATGGCTCTACGTCCAGAGAGAAGCTCTAGCAGAACTACACCGAAGCTGTAGACGTCGCATTTCGTTGTTAGATGACCTGAGACAGAGAACAACACAACAAGCCAATCTACTTTAGAAAATTTCCTGTTAGTTATGTTTCTTGAAAAACTGAATCAATGAGGCCAAGAAGAAGACACCTGTTGCTAGATATTCTGGAGCTGCGTAACCTTGTGTACCAATGACTTCGGTTGTCACATGTGAACGGTCATCGGTTGGACCTTCTTTGGCTAAACCAAAGTCTGAGAGTTTGGCGTTGAATCCTGAATCAAGAAGTATATTTGCTGCTTTGAAGTCTCTGTAAATGACTTGGTCCTTAGCTTCGTGCAAGAAACAAAGCCCTCGAGCAGCATCAATCGCGACTCTCATACGCAGTGACCAAGAAAGCACATTCGAACCCCCTAGAATATGAATGAATTTAGGAATAATGCATAGAAAAATAAAAATATATAAAGTGTTGGATTTAATATATAGTTTATTAATTACTTACTTTCAAACAAATGTTGTTCCAAGCTTCCGTTAGGCATAAACTCATAAACCAAAAGACGGTGTTGATCTTCCAAAGAGTACCCAATCAACTTCACTAGATTCGGATGATGCAACCTTCCTAGATATTTCACTTCCCTCTTTGGAAGAAAATTAACATACAAACATGTAAAAGATTCTTATATAGTAGGCTCAAGGGAAAATGATCATAACAAAATGATTGGTGATTAAGAAGCTTACGAGCCATTCCTTGTGTCCTTGAAACGCTCCAGTTTTAAGTTTCTTAACAGCAACCGTAATTTCGATTCCAGGTTCACCATAAATAACACAACCTTTGTAAACAAAACCGAAACCTCCTTCTCCAATGAGACTCTCTGGAGAGAAGTTTCCAGTTGCATTCTTTAGCTCATCTAACGTAAAAGACTTCAAATGTTGTGATGAATTCATTATGTCTCCTTCTTTGCTCGGTGCAACAAGATTGCTACTAGCGTCACTCTTTCTGCTAACGAGAGATTTTAAACTCCATGGATGTGACAGCTTAGACCTTCTTTCGGTACCACTACCACCTCCTGGACAATGGGAACGGATAAACAGAATTATCTACAGCTAGGGTTACTAGGGAAATCGAAGTTTCATCAACATTAGAGATGAATGAGTCAAGAAACTACATTAACACAACCTCCTAAACTCATCTATTACAATAAGGACTCATATTAGCAAAGCATTTACTCAATAAATTCGGAGAATCAAATCAAATAGGAGGGAACAACTAGAGTAGAGAGAAGAAGAGCTTACGTGAAAAGGGTTTCGAGTTAACGTTTTCATCCTCATTATCATTCCTCTTTGAGCATGATTCAAAGCAGTTCCCCATTTAATCCTCCAAAGGTCTAATTCTCTAAAAAAGGAAAAAGAAAACACTAATAAGCCCTAAGTAAGGATCGATCTTTCACACAGCCGTCTCCGTCATCGACGTTCTTCCTCCGGCGAAAAGGAAGAACGTGGAAACTAGAGTGGTGGATCGAAATGTGTGTGGGTCTCAAATCGATAGAGAGCTAGGAATTTTGAGGGGGGGAGAGGAGAGAGAGCGATTAGAGAAGCAAAGGGGATAAAGGTTGTAAATGTAAATTTAATTAAAATTGGTTAAACTTATAATTAGAGAGATTGGAGAAGGAGTTTACGTGTATTAACTTACTGTCGGAATCTATTCACCAAAAAAAAAACTTACTGTCGGAATCACCTATTACGTCACGTGCAACTCTCGCTCGTGTCCCGACTCTTTTGGGGTGGGGATTTATAAATCAAAGCATCTACTTATGCTTTTGTGCAAATAATACATTTTAAAATTTTATTTTTTGTAATTTTGTTTCAAAAAAATGTTAGTATTAATCAAGCTTGAATCGTAAATTTTAGTATAGAAGCTATTTAGAATTTTGTGAAAAAAAAAAAAGCTATTTAGAATTTTAAAAGTAAAGAAACCCCTTTTTCCCTTTTACTTAAGTTTATTTACACATCATGGTGGAGTAGTGGTGTTTTTTTTATCATTTAACAGATTTTATTTTGATGGTATATATATTTTTTTTAAAGTGGAATATCAAAAAAGGTGTTCATGAATTTACGGTCATTTGTATTAAAATGAGATTATTCTTAAACTCGAGAAAAAAAAACATGGAAAGTGAAGTAGATATTAGCTTTTGTTTTCAGTTCTCTCGTATGGAATATTAAAAAATGATCTTCACGATAATAAGTATGTCCGTTGGGAAGGAAAGGAATACTACAAAAGGAAAATATAAATAAGTGACAGAAATTTGAAATTAGGATATGGCGTAAAATTTGCAGCTTTTTGTGCTTCTTTTGAGTGCATAGCGTCAAATTCACCCCATACATTACTGCCCACAAACATAATCTTCCAATCCTTCAAGATGTTGTTAGTTCATACGCGGAAATGACAGTTCTCAAAATAATTAATTACTTTATAGTATATATATGTAGGCATATTATATCAGTTAACGCATCATGTGTTCTTCTTTTGACACTTTTAAACCCCATAAAAATTCATGTTACTTTTTTTTGTTAGCTTTCCTGGAAATATTGCCTTCTACATATATATATATATATATATATATATATATATATATATGTCGTCAACCCATAAACTAGCCAGTGGACTACATATATCTTGAATATGTTCTTGGACATTTTTGGATATAAGTCAAAATCATCTGTTCGGTAATCTGTTTCTTCAATTTATGAATATATCAAACTCCCCCTAAAGTATTCAAATAAGAACCTATTAATAGATTATAAGAATTTGAGGGTTTTTTCTTATCGCAGGATCAATAATTTATAACATGAAATTCTTCAATGCATGTTTATGATATTTTAATATATATGTAAGATCTCTTGTTATGACATATTTTAAATTATCAAAAGAACAAACTAAGAAAGATTAGAAAATGAACATAGCCAAAGTTTGTGGGTGCACGAAAAACCCTAACCGAATCAGAAAAAGAGACAAACAAGATAACCGAGAAAAGGGCAAAGATTTTGTATAGGAAACAAGCAAATATTTATGACCGAAGCAGAAGTGACGAACTCGTATCATTAAACGTCTATAAGGTCATGATCTATAGAAAAATCAAATCCGCGAACTATTTTTATTATAATAGAAACAAAAAAAGAAGAAGAAGATAAAATTATTGGGTAAGTAAGCTTCTGATTAAGGCAGCTTGAGCAGTGTCTGTGTTTGCGAGTAACTCAGATAGCCTCTCACTTAGATCATCAACCTCTCTATGCAGATTCCTTATGTAGTTGCACGTATCTTGTAACACCCTCGCTGCTGAAACCTGTCAATATTATATATATCATCATTTTCATTTCATTTATAATTAAGTATAAAGTCTAGCTGAGTTAGTTAGATTTATAGCGTACCTTGTCTGAGCGACGACTGTCTCTGAGCTCAGGAAGAAGCTGCTGCAGCTTGACAATGAGATCGTTGATTTGGTCTTCTGAGATCCTTGAAGTTCCTGATGATTGCCTCGAACGTGATCTTCTTCCCGACATTTCTTTGTTTGGATATTAGTTCAAGAAGTAGAGGTTGAAGCAAAGGCACTTTACCGATGAAACAGGTTATGGAGTTTAGGGCCAGACACAAGTTATGCCGGAAAAGGAAGAGAGATATAGAGAGATGAGAGAAGATGAGAGTATGAAAGAAACAAGTGAAGTGGCGGTTGTATTTATGTAGGCTCTTTTATTATTTGTTTATGTAAATATAAAGCAAACAAGAAATTGGCCTTGCTTATTTTAGTTTAAAATATATATGCGAATCTTGTTTTTCAAATATTGAATTATATGCCCCCTCCTGACAACTTTTGTTATAATAGATCGATTTCAGAGAATCTCATAATTTTAGTATATAGATCTAAGTTTGATATGTATAACTATTACTGTTGAATCTAGCCAACTCTTGTCTGAAAAAATTACCATACATCGTAAATTTTGATGATATTTTTGAGTTTGACACTTACATTACGTTATGTGTAAGATAATCCTGTGTTTTAGAAGTTTAAATTAACTACATAGTTAATCTTAAACATATCTTTTATCTATCGTCAACAACGTTAAAAAAATGGTAGTGAAAATAAAGATTATCTTACACGAACAAACTGACGTCATGTAACAGAAATACACATTGTATATTTGTATCTCTTGAAAGATGGTTTCAAAGATTGTAGAGTATTGTTATTTATTTTCTGCGGTGACTAAAAGATGATACTATTACTAAGTTCAATTTTGTGCGATTATCAAGAGATAAAGTATTATAGTATATAATAAGCCTATCCATTCCTCGAAACACTTCTATTAATATACAAATTCACATTATCGATGTTTAGGACTTCGCTCTATTACGTCCACACATGTAACTGTTCTTTATTTAGACATTTTTATAAAAAATATCAAAGGATATTATTTCTGGAGAAATGCTTTATATTTTCACGTAATCAATTATCCTCATTTCTTGACAACAAAACTGAAGTACCCTATATTCCATAGTTTTTCTTTGCAGACCACACTAATATTTTCAAATGAAAAAAATAGTCACATTTGACAAAGAAAAAGACTATTGAAAAAGGAAGACAAAACGTATAAAATCAAAGATGTGGTACTCTAGTACAAGAGAACTGATGTTTTTAGGCTATCTAAGATTTCATTTTTATGTCTTTGTATTATCAACAATCTAGTATGGGATGAAGCTCGTTTGTGAAACGTCTTTGTTGTTTCGATTTATCCACTGGTCTTTGTTGTTGTTTAAGTTTTTCTTTTACTTATTCCTTTGTTGGAAACTGAACGCAAAACCTTAGATACGAAACTTTCCTAGTTTTTATACTAATTATTATCGTATCCGCGTACTTTATTTTGCCCTCTGGTTATAATAGAAGAAACTGTAAATTTATCTGCATTTGAAACTGTATATTATACATATAAGTATAATAACATTTTTAAAATCCGTATAATAACATAGTTTATAAGTATTACGTACGCCCAAAGAAAAACAAATACGTATTGCGTATGATGTCTATGTATAGTAATGTGTATGTGAGAGAGGAAAGGGCCAAAGTATGAGGGGTTTGACTGGTCAAAGAGAACACACACACACACGCCCATGTTAGTTGATCAACAATACACACGTGGCATTTCGGGAGGTGCGTATGCTTACACCGACCTACGTGAATATTTCATAAATTAATTAATCTGCTGCACTAAAAAACCACGTATCGATACAAAGAAATCGTTTTTTTTTTGGTGTGTGATGACATCAATTTTAAGTGTTTTTATTTTTCCCACGCAGTTCAAAGTTTCCAAACTGCTAATGTGAAACAAGCGTAATTTTGTTCAATCCTTGGATTTTTAGTGTTGTACTCGTTTAATTAGAGTCAATTGTTAAGGCTCATAAGCCTAACTAAAAGTGGAACAACTTGTGATGAAACTTTATATAAGTGAAATTTGTGATGTTACGTTCACTAAAACACATCTTGTGAAATGAAACGGTTCGAGTTTGGTTTTGAGATCCTTAAAACATTGGACCTGAAAATACTGTTTCTTCTTTCTATAAAAATTAGTAAAAAATAAGCCAAGAAAAAAGGAATTAAAATTTGAGAAGATAAAAAAGAAAACGACAAAAAAATGCAAACTCGAAATGTGAGCTGCCGAGGACGAAACACAAAATCTCAGATTTTCATACATCGGAGAAAAATATGGCATTATACACTTTTGATTCATTAGATGCAAATTACTTGAATGTTGTAAAGAAGCGACCCTTTTTGTAAAATTTCTTCTAGAAGAACTTATTTGTACTGCACTAGTATAAATGAAACAACATTCTTTATAACCAAAAAAAAAAAATCATTTACTACCGCTAAAACGTATTTCCCATTTCATGTCACAAGCTAGGGTTCGAGCTTTAGCTCAATGCACGTATATGCAAGGGGGAATTGGCTTGATAATTCATAGACAAGTTAGTTTATGAAATTGCTTATGCTAAAGTTAGTTTCGTGTTGCAGTTTTGTGTTGTTGGATCTGTAAAGCAACAAAGCTAAGTGTATTGTATTTCGGAATATATTTGTTTGTTCATTAAGTATATGATTAGTAATGAAATGCAATTGTGCTTCCACAATTCATTTCTCAGAATCATAGATTTCAAAATGCAGAATCTCCATATACAAAGCAATTTCGAATTGGAACCAATAGTTTTCAGCTTCCATATAGTGTACACACCACCTGTGTTTTGAAATGAACCATTGGAAGAAAACAGCCATCTAAATTTTTGTTCATCAAACTGATATGAGCATTTCTTATTAAAACTTCATTTTAAACTATATAGGAAATAAGAAAAAAATTCCACTACTATATATTTTGGCATTCTCGTAAGTTATGCTCTTATTAGTTATGACATAGCTTAAATCGCCTTGATACCATATTAGAAGAATAGTGACTGTTGATAAATTATGTTTCATTGATTGAAAAGAAAAGTTGCATATATAGTTTATGCATTAACTAACATAAGCTAACATACTAATTTTCACAGTTTAACTTAAACACTTTAATAAAGGGAGATGTAAAATTTATATCTTATTGTGATTTATCTTTTTTCTAACTTTCATTAGATTTTTATCTTTGTTCTAGCTTTCATTGGATTCTTACTTCTGTTTATACTTTTTTTTTAATTGAGCAGATTACTCTGGTAGATTTCTGATTCAACTAACCGTATTACCTTCCATTTTTAATAATTAATTATATTGTTTGATCTATTTTGTTGTTAAATATGATTCTCGCTGAATTATTCATCTTCTAGAATTAGGAGAGTCAACATCAGGCATAGTTTTGATGTAGAAGATAAATTAAATTATACACATGATTTAAGAAAACGATTGAAAAAATTAGAGATGTATCGGTAATACTATATCAAATCATCCAACAAATAAGATATATCTCGTGGATAGGATTGAACATGATGAGAGAACTAAGAACAATCTAGAGATGAAAAGTTTGGATCGTAATTGAATTAAAATATCCTTTCTACATAAGGTCAACCAGAGCAATCAATCACAATTTTTCTTCGCTTAAAAAAACGTTAAATATATTTAGCAGTGATTACATTACAGAGATAAGATCTAATTGTAAATTTTTTAGTTTTGGAAAAGGATTTAATTAAGATTTTCTTGCAATAAAACAAAGAACTCAGATGTGTTAAATGGTAGTCAGCGTGTCTGTCGCGGCACATGATCTTTGATCAACTCGACAGCGAAGATTAAGCTTTATTTCACGAGCATTCCATTCTTATTTCAATCTTTTTTTAGTAAGAACTTAAAAACTTCAAATCCGTTTGTTTTATTCGTTTTGCTGCTTGTTTGATTGTTTCCGTTTTGTCTAGTTCTCCTCAGTGATTGATTTTTGTTCTACTATAGAAAAATAAACTAATGCATCAATATTGAACTAGGTACTACGAAACTGAACAAAATTTGAAAAAAAAATGATTGAAAAATTGAACACAAAAACATTTATAATTTTGTTACATAAAGCATTATTATTATTATTATGAATCTTTTTCTTCTTATATGGCATTTATTTCAACCTAATTTATCTTATAGAAGTTAAAAGAAAGATTAGCTATAATTTTGGCGTAATTTTTGTTTGGTACTTGTATATCGAGATTTTTTTATGCAAAGATGCTTAACATAAATACGATATACGTTTAGCTCTTCTTTAAACTCAGGTGTTCCTCTTCATTGACACCGACCAAACAAAGCTTAATCGTATAGTATTGCTAAAAACACGTGATCCAGCTATATAGTATATGTTTGTTCGTACTCTTATCATATTATTGTATACAAATATTTCAAAACATATCAATAATAATCACGTAATAGCGTAGCTTTTAAGGCTTACTATTTTCTTTAGCTTTATACGAATTATCCATCAATAGTTTTCAATGTAATGTGGCGAATTGTTTGAAGGTTGAAAGGGCACACTCCATTTGTAAGATGCGGCTATAATTTTATGACTTAGGATGAGTCCCAAAAGCCTAATTAACTCTGAATTTGCACGTGAAGTTAATCAAACCCACAAAAGCATCTTCTCTTCTTCCAATGCGTTGACGATGCAGAAGACAAACAAAATAAATAAATCCACCGTTAATCCTTTAGATAGAGAAGGAATTTCGGTAATATATCAGCGGAATTGTGTGTGATTTTTTTTTTCACTGCTATTAGAATTATGTGGGTGTGTATAAACTTTCAATATATTAAACGTCAAACGCAAAAATAAACAAATATGTCGCACTAATAACGTAGAAAAAGGTAAGACGACGCTAAAAAAACTCTACGACCATGCAGTCACATTATAAAACATACTTTTTAAAAAAAAATATAAAACATAAAATATGACCCAATTATTCTAAATGCTCACGAACTTTGTGCCTTTGTGCCTTTGTGCCTTTGTGGTATGACTATGATGTATCATGCGTTGTGATTCGAAACAAGTTCTCCAAGAAGGCCATACCTCTTGCAGTTTCTAATTGGTCACCGTTCTTACTATAAACAACCACAATTAAGGACAGTAGGTTGCTGGTTTTAACGTGTCTGATCTGAACAACACAAATCAAAACTTGGTCGCTCTACGTCATGCAGATTCGTTTTCCTATGTTACAACTTGGTACTTAAACATTGGTTGTCAACAATTTAATATTAACATGATCGACAATTTGCACCATTGTCTAAGGTTCTTAATTTCCTTTCACAATTTGCAATTTTTTAAATTACCTTAATCCAATAGTTAATCTCCTCGATTATGTTTAATGATTGTAATTAGCGTCAGAAACTTTTCTATGTGGTCCCATAAAACAAAAGAAAAGTGTTTTAAAGCAAAAGCAGTTGCATGAGGTTCCATGTACTTATAATTCGTGGGGGTGATATTTATTGATCAATAATCTGGTTCTAGTTAAAAAACAGAATTTGTCGCGCATTGATTATGTAATACAAAAAACTTATACATATTTTAGAAGTTGGAGGTGGTCCTAAGCTCAAGTCATCAGAAGTAAAATCAAGTGGTAGGTCAAATAAAATAGCATAATAATATTTGTTTGACACTTAAAGATACTACACGTTACAGAATATTCTCAGTTAACTACATAGTATAAATCAAGGCTATTGTAACCTGTGTGTATAGACTTTACATTTCATGGTAAATGAAATCGAAATGCTCTATTATATATATAAGTCTAGTATTTATTTAAAGTCTAGTATGTATTTTGTCATTTACACATCATTTGTTTGTAATAGCAAAAAAGATGATATAGTAAATGGGCTTAAAGTGTAAGAATAGATACGGCCCATTATTATAAGTTGGCAGATTACGGTCATAAACGGGCTTTAAGATCTCAGTTGAAAATTCTTATCTCAGCTCCTCATTGGTTCAATCCAACACCAAACACTGACACTGAAATTCAAATCGATATAAGAAATTAAGAACCGAATATTCACATCATTTATGGATGATAGAATGTGATATTCTGTCAATAAATCTGTATTAAGTTTGTAACCAAAGTGTAGCTAATTACGCCCTCTGTATAAATGCGTATGTCATGTATGATGTATGGTAAGGACTAAGGAGTAAGGAGTGAGTCCATATATTCATCATATCAATTCAGGGTATCAAAGCGAAATGTGGTTAAAAAGTTGGCTTGTAATTTATAAATCCAAACTGAACAAAACTGAACAATCTCGATCGGATTAGGATAATGTCCAAAACGAAACAAAACATTAACGTGAGAAGCAAAACTAAAATAAAAAAAGCTTTTAGTTGTCCGAAGCAGAAACACGTGCACGGAGCTAAGAATCGGCCGTCAACATCCTTTTGCCATAATGGCTAACGGCGCCGTCAACATTTTAGCATAAACTACCGAAACTACCCTTCTTCTCCATCTCTCTCCTTGTCATCGGTATAAAAAAAATGAGTAAAGAATATAAATTCATCAGCTTTATTCTTGATTTTATATGAATATAAATCCACCACTGGCTCATTCGTGCATCTTTTTTAATCCCAAAAATTAATATAAATTAAAAATAAATACAAAATCACAGCTCAAATATGCTACCAATTCAGCTAAAATGTGGCCGGAATTCGAAGATGTATATCATTCATAGCCCATAGGTTGAGCAATAACAAAACTCAGTTGAGTTTCATTGATTCCTTCTTTTTTATTCCGCCGGGAAAATATGATGAGATTGTATCTATGTGCGTAATTGTTGGAATCTAAAGTGGGTTTTGTCTGGATTTCGTTTTCCTTTTTATTACAGATCTTCAACCGACGAATTTATCGAAGAATCCAGGATTTTTCTTCGCAAAGTGGTGAGATTGATTTTAGTGAATTACCCTTTTCTCAATTACAGTTTCTTTTTTATACAGATTTATTTGTGATCCAATGAACTATTCTTTGATTTTATTGCCTCCTCAAGTCTTCCGTCGATCCATTCGTGCTTAACTTTTGAAAAGCTCTGTTTTTTTCTTTCTTGCTGCTGGTGAATTGCTTTTGATCTGATCGTATTGCGATTTCCTCCAACGAAAAGTCTTGTTCCGTGGATTAAAATAATTGCTTTTTGCTAAGTCTAGAGTGTATGATGTCAAAGCTTAATCTCACTGGTCAAAAATTTGTACTTTACCTTAATGGCCTCGACGTTGTTATGATTTTGATTGATGGATCATAGCATTGATAATAAATTTGCAAAAAGTGTCTATCTTTCTCCTGTTTTATTGGATACTTTGATTGAGAAAGTGACAATTTTTCATCAATTTTGCATTTGGCTGTTTCTTTTTTTATATTAGCATCCATAATGTTGGAGGCTCCGAGTTATCTGGTGTCAAGAGACTTACCATCTTCATGTGAGGAAGAGAGTAAATGGATCTACAACGCACACTGTGTGCTTCAGCTCTCGCTGAAGAAGCGTTTCTTGGATGATAAAGAAGAAGAAAGTTCCACTAGAAAGATGTTTAAGTCTCACTCTCATCAGGGAGGTGGTGATCAACAGAGTCCACCGATAACTAAGCTCGACCAAAACGCGCTTCTCAACTGCTTATCTCACTGTTCTTTATCCGACTTCGGATCCATCGCCTCCACGAACAGAACCTTCCGTTCGCTCATCAAGAACAGCGAGCTCTACAGGCTGAGACGAGCCAAAGGCATTGTGGAGCACTGGATTTACTTCTCATGCAGGCTACTTGAATGGGAAGCGTATGATCCAAACGGAGACCGTTGGCTACGTGTTCCCAAGATGACGTTCAACGAATGTTTCATGTGTTCAGACAAAGAGTCTCTCGCCGTTGGGACAGAGCTTCTTGTGTTCGGGAAAGAGATCATGGCTCATGTGATTTACCGTTACAGCATCTTGACCAATGCTTGGACGTCAGGGATGCAGATGAACGTCCCTAGGTGCTTGTTTGGATCGGCGAGTCTTGGTGAAGTCGCGGTGATCGCTGGAGGATGTGACCCTAGGGGACAGATACTGAGCTCGGCTGAGGTTTATAACTCGGAGACAGGGGAGTGGAGTGTGATCCCGAGCATGAACAAGGCGAGGAAGATGTGTTCGAGTGTGTTCATGGATGGGAGGTTCTATGTGATTGGAGGTATAGGAGAAGGGAACTCGAAGATGTTGATGTGTGGTGAAGTGTATGATCTCAAGAAGAGGACATGGACGTTGATACCTAACATGTTACCTGAAAGAAGTGGGAGTAGTGGTGGTGGAGGAGGAGAGCAGGGGAAGGAGAGTTCCGCTGCTGCGGCGGCTGCGGCTTCAGAGGCGCCGCCGCTTGTGGCGGTTGTGAAAGATGAGCTTTACGCTGCGAACTACGCGCAGCAGGAGGTGAGGAAGTATGATAAGAGGCGTAACGTTTGGAATAGAGTGGGAAGTTTGCCTGAGAGGGCTTCATCGATGAATGGTTGGGGAATGGCGTTTAGGGCTTGTGGGGATCAGTTGGTGGTTGTTGGAGGGCCTAGGGCACTTGGAGGAGGGTTTATAGAGATCAATGCTTGTGTCCCAAGGGATGGTGAGTCTCTGCATTGGAGAGTTCTTGCTTCAAAGCCATCAGGGAGCTTTGTGTATAATTGTGCTGTTATGGGATGTTGATGAAGTGAAGAAGACTTGACTTCTTTCTTTTAACAGTTTGGATTTTCTTTTTCATGATTGGGGTCAAAAGAGAGAGTCTTCATTGTCATTGTTGTTGTTCATCAGGCATAATCAATAAATTTGAGGGAAGAAGATTTAAGAACAAACCTCATGTTGTCTTATCTCTCAGCATTGTAATTTGATTCACTTGTTGTTACCACTTGTTTTTTCTTCTAATAACTTTTGAAACATCAATTTTGTTCTTCTTAAAGACATATTATAGATTTACATTAATAAAGTCTCTCCTTTTTTCTTTCTCTGGAATAATCATGTTCTAAAGTCTTAATTTTGTTTAGCTTTGGCAAATCAATTTTGACTCTTTCAACTTGATTAGTACACTTGAAAGCTTGAAATATTCTCAAAAACAGAGGAATATAAACAAAGTTGAATGCGAGCATAAAGTTTCTTCATTTTTTTATATAAACTTTTCTACACAACAGAGATCCATCCACACAAAGAAAAAGCCATAGATAAACAATATCAAAGACATGAACTTTGCTTCACACATTCTAAAATCAATAAGAACAATCCAATAAGATAAGATGATGAAAGTCATAGACTATGATGACTTTCATTAGGGTAAAGGAGATGTAGCTATGTGAACAAATAAAATGTAGCTAATATTTATGGAAAATAAAAAGTAAGTTTTTTTCATGGATCAAAAGACTTGTTTGTTATTTCGGAGGTTGTTATTGGATTAGTGGTTTTATGTGTTTTAATAATGTAGTTAAATTATAAAGGATTTTGTTTGAGTTTGATGAATTTATAACAACCCACATGGATGATTTCAAAACACAAACAAAACCATGTACTTGTTTTACTAATATCTAAAATAATCAAATGAATATTGAATAAACACTTGTTTTAAATGTATTTGAAATCCATAAAAAAAATGCTTAATCCAGTGGGGTTTAATGCTAAAACACTTGTTTTAGCGGTGCATTTGGTGTGCATCAGCAAAAGCCGAAGGAAAATATCTTACGAGTTCATGATTGGGGTCAAAAAGAGAGAGTTCTTCATTGTCATTGTTATTGTTCATCAGCTATAATCAATAAATTTGAGAGAAGAAGATTTAAGTAGCCCTAGGCATTTCGGGTTTTGAGACGGGAATTGACGGGTATAAGACGGAAATGGGAAATTCGAGAAACCAAATATGATTCCCGAAGCATTCCCTTATTATAACGGGATGGGAAACCACAGAAATGGTGAATTTTGGGAATACAAAAATAATACGCGAAGTCTGAATAAATCGGAAAAATTGAAGATAATATGGAAAATTATGGGAAAATTCGAGAAAATATGGGAAAAATTGGGATATTTAAGATAAAAATATCTAATATCTAATTTTCAATTTTTTATTTTGTAAACGGGAAAATTGGGAAATCCTTTCCCTTACCCTTCCCTTACCCATTTGAATAAAATAAATGTTCCCAAACGGGAAATTGCAAATTTCCATTTCCGAAAAATTCAGGAAATTTTAAATGGGTAAGGATAGGAACGGGATTCCCGTTCCGAAATGACCAGGGCTAGATTTAAGAACAAACCTCATGTTGTCTCTTATCTCTCAGAATTGTAATTTGATTCAATTGTTGTTACCACTTGTTTTTTCTTCTAATAAGTTTTGAAAGATTAATTTTGTTCTCTCAAAGACAGATTATAGATTTACATTAATAAAGTCTCTCCTTTTTTCTTTCTCTGGAATAATCATGTTAAAGTCTTAATTTTTTCTAGCTTTGGCAAATCAATTTTGACTCTTTCTGATCTACACTTGATTAGTACACTTGAAAGCTTGAAATATTCTCAAAAACAGAGGAATATAAACAAGGTTGAAATCGAGCATAAAGTTTCTTCATTTTTTTATATAAACTTTTCTACACAACAGAGATCCACACACACAAAAACCCAAATAATAAACAACATTAAAGACATGAACTTTGCTTCACACATTCTAAAAATCAATAGCTTTTAAAGTCCCCTTGGTACTGATATTGATAATCCTCACCATACATTGTCTCATGTTGTTTATATCTTCTTGATTTATCAGCCTGCAGATAAAACTACGTATAAGTAAAGAGAACAATCACATTATGTAAAAAAATCACAACTTTTAGGAGCATACCCGGCTTAAGATCTTCTCAAAAGCATCAGGACCATTCTCTGCAATGTACTTCTCAGCAGCAGTCAACACATCGTCTGGCTTTCTGAAGAAATCCATCTTCTTTGGCACATACCAAATGTTAATGCTCTGTGGGTTGAGAAACAGAGGTCTCACAAAATGTTCGTAGACATAAGCAGCGCCGCTGAAGTATGGAATCACTAGCCAGCAAGTCAAGATCAGCTTCGTGTATGACCATATCGGTAACCTGATTCACACCACATTGTTCAGCAAAACAAAAAAAAAGAAACTTGGATTCAGTTTTGTTTTTGGGTATTTGAATTCTCTTTACCATTCGATGAGTTTGGCGAATGTGAGCTCGAAAAGTGTGAGTAGTGAATAAAGGACCCAATATGTGAGCCATTGTTTGTCATCAGCGTGAGATTGAGTTTCAATTGCTCTAACTGATGCATATCTGAACATTCAGATAACAAGAAACCATTACATCAGAGCTTTAATGGTTAAAATATCTGAAAAACAGAGTAAACAGAGCAAAAACAGAGTATTGGATTCACTTACAGTGGATAAACGAGACTAACAACAGGCCTGCAAGAGATTCACACAAACAGAGATTGCAGTCAGTTTCAATTGTAAAAAACACAAACTTTACATTCCAAAAGAGGCAACAATTTAGGAATCAAGCAATTTTCAGAGACTGTGATCGATTGAGGAGAATATAGCTACTGGGCGAAAGTAATAAACTTTAGAAGGAGAGAAGAGAGATTTGGTTTGAATTGAAGGAATTGAACATTACCCAGCAAGAACATCGAAGTTCCTGAGAATGACCTTGAGGAAATTTCCAGCTCCAGATCCCATTCTCGAGCTTGATTTGGCTTTGAATCTGATTCTTCCTCCACTAAGAAACACTACTCACTAGAGATAGAGATAGAGAGCGATGGAGAGAGAGAGAGAGAGAGAGAGAGAGAGAATAATTGTGTGGTAGACGACGAACTGTTGAAAGTTTTGACCTTTAATGGTGAAAAAAAGCTTGAAAGCGAGATGAAATTAGAAAGCTACCATTAAATTTTTCCTTTCAGGAATAAATCGAAAAGCTTCAAAGAAATTGTTCCTAAAAAAAGAAAATGGAAATTAGAAGCTGTCTAGAAGTTGACACAGACAAAATAAAGTATCAATCTTTCCTTTTTGTTTGTGTAAATAAACTAAAAACCAATTATTAGTGTCAATCTAAAACTCTGTATTTGGAAATTTAGCTAAAAAGGGAAACATATATTTTGTATTAATGTATTATTATCCACATACGTATAATACAATTTACAACTGAATTATGTAAGATGTTCAAAGAACTTTTTGGCTTGTCTTTGATGAAACTAATGTCACAGAAGTTGGTAGAATATATATATATATATATATATATATACATGACATGACATAAAGGTAACTTTTACTCAAAAATGTAAAAAAATCGAATCCGGTAAAAGTATTTAGCTCTTTCCGCAGCCGAGCTTGAACGAACGAATCTTCATTCTTCCTCCTAATGCGAGCGCTAAAAGATCAAACTCTTCTACATACCACAGCTCTGATACTATTGCCTGTATCAATAGAGAAAATAGTTTCTCAATTCTTGTGTACATTTATGGTCAAGTTTTACGAACTTTTTACCTTGAAACCTCGGATTTGGTTGTTTAGTTTTGCGACCAACTCACGGAGAAGCTTGAGATGGTCGTCAGAACCAGCCTCCTGGATGAGAAAGTGTGACCGAGTGATAAGGTTGTTTTGAGTTTCTATAAATAGAAGAAAGAATAGAAGCAAGAAGAGCAAACTTGCCTCTTTTGGAGATATAGGAGGACCAAGCAGCCTTGCTAATGATGTATGGAGAATCGCAGCATCATACTGAAACACAAACACAAATCAATACAAAGTATCAAACAATTTATGTGTGTTTGTGTTCACGAGAGCGTGATGCTTACAAGTTGCTTCTCCGGTGCACGTGGAAGAACAGATCTCAGTTTCGACCGGATAGTTATAGGGTCATCTCCAGATTTAACCTGGTGAAAATAGATGAAACAGACTATAAGTTCCAGATTTCTGATGAAGCCATTTACAAAGCAGCACACTGAGGCAAACAAATTTACCTTCCAGCAACCAAGAAGAACACCGGTGGAGGTTAATAGTACTCTATCCAATACAATCTCCAGAGGACAAAGCTCATTAGCAACTGCATTAACACCGGCTGCTTCTGCTTCGACCTGATCACATCAAAGAGAATCTCAGAGACTAAGGATCTTGACAAGATCAAGATCAATGACTAGTAAAGAAAAGACCTCATCTTCGGTGGCTGGAACAGAGACAATGTGATGCGATGCATGAAACATGCTGAAGTGGTACAGCTTTGAATCTTGAAACCAGATTGCTAAGAAACCAACCAAAAACAAGAAGAAACAAAAATTTCAATTATATATCAGTGACTTAAGCATGGTTGAGATATAGTGGAAGGCTTACTGTTTTGGAAGTAAGGACCAAACACATTTTTTACTGCTTTCCTATTGACATGAAAAGAGACTTGTTAGCAGTTAAAACAAAATTTGAATTTAAATCAAACAAGAATTGGTCAAGTTACACACTCACGAGACTGGGACAGAGTATTCTGTGCTGAGATGTAATACATTAGCTCGTACAGGTGGATTTGCAACCTAAATATGACATGAGCAAACTGAACATTTTAGCTATCACAAAAATCACTTATCCATTTGACTATACAAAGCCACTAATCAATTTTAACGAATAGTTTAAGTAAAGGTGTGCATGTTTTACCTTGAGGACAGGTGAAATATTTCCATTTTTAATTGTGAAGAGATCAGAAAGTGACAGTGACTGAGACGTTTCGCCTTGTTTAAGGAAAACTGGTCCTTTTATCTCTAAATCCAATTCCATTTTATTGTACAACCTTGTGCTTTGCTCCGCATAGTTGACAAAATGATCTGAAACATAAACAGATTTGTTTATTTCTAGCTAAAGAAAGAAATTCAAACAGAGATGATGATTAATAAAACTCAAATCCATCTAGATCCTGAAATCAAGCATTGGCCTTTCAGCCACTGAACAATAAACATGTTAAGCTTAGGATAAACAAATCAAGAATGATGATTGAAGTATAAAGAATAAGTTTGGTTTAAGATCAATTGCAACTCAAATACAGAAACAGAGACATTTCTTCGGAAACATATAAATAAAAATTACTTCTTTACAATAAAGCTAGTGAGTTCCTTCTGTTAGCAAGTCAACATCGATCTTCCAATTACGAAACCCAGACACACTAAAAACACCAGTTAACACATCCGATTGTAGAAATAGTTTAGCTAATTTATCAAATCAGGTAAAAAAAAGAAATCAATCAACACATCATTGAAATCTGAGAATATAAAGAAACGACATTTAAGAAGTAAAAACAAATGATTTTACCTGATGATGATGACGACGAAGAAGAAGAAGTGGATGGCGAATTTCGAAGACCCATTTGGAAGAGAGAGTAGAAGATTGTGAGAGAGATTGTCCAGAACAACACAGCTTTTCTCCAATTCGGTGCCCTAATTGCAGACGTCGTCGCTGTCCCCATTTCTACTTTCTTCATTTTCGTCATTCCCTTTGGAAAAACCCGAATTTTGCTTAATCCATCACTATCGCCCCATTAAGCCATTAACACACACACCTATCGTCAAACTCTGTTCGGCGTGATTTTTTGTTTTCTGGTTCTTCTTTTCCAAACACTCGATTTTACCCATTTTTAAGTTTTTAACAGAACCGAACATAAAAAAACAGAACCGAACACAACTGTTGATCACTTTAGTTTTGTCACTTTGTGACTTAAACATAGAGTATGGTAATTAAACAAATTAATTTTGTGACCTACAAATTGACATTTTGCAAAATACCAATCAATAAATAATTAGATAAATATTTTCTAAGCAAACAGAAAATGCAAAAAGTGTGAGAGTTTCAAAGGGACCATATTCACAGCATTTGGATGCGGATACATATGAAACTTGTGTGTTTCTCTAAACAATCGTATACAAATATCCTAACCATGATACTCTGAGATAATAAATCATATATTTGTATCTTATAAAGACTCAAGTGTAAGGTAGACATTTTTTACAATCCATCAAACTTGTAACATTTCTTTTCACTCAACGAAGCAAAAGATGGTTATATATCTATTTTCTGTAATCCCTATCATCATCGCCACCATCATGCTATATCAACGGTGGTGGACATCAAACATACCTCCAGGACCAAAGCCAAAGTTCATGATCGGAAACTTTCATCAGATGAAACCACACTGGACGCATTCTTTCTTGGAGTGGTCACAGACTTACGGTCCCATCATCTCCGTGTGGATGGGCTCACAGCTCAGCGTCGTCGTCACGAGCTCTGACTTAGCCAGACAAGTCTTGAGAGACAAAGACCACCAACTCTCTAACCGACAGAGGAGCGACAAGATGACTCAGGATGGCACAGATCTTGTTTGGTCCGATTACACACCACATTACGTGAAGCTGAGGAAACTCTGCACACTCGAGCTTTTCTCCTTGAAGAGCATTGAGAACTTCAGGTCGTTGAGAGAGATGGAAGCAAGATCCATGGTTGAGTCTATTCTCAAGGACGTGAAGAAGAGCGATGACCAGTCGCCAAAACCGGTGGTCGTGAGGAAGTATCTAGCTGCGGTTGTGTTGAACACAATCTCAAGACTAATGATCGGGAAACATTTCGGGGACGAGGAAGGCAAAGAGTTTAAAGCCATCGTCGAGAAAGAGTTTCTTCTCAGCGGCGAAGGGTCGCTGTTCGACAATGTCTGGTGGCTAAGATGGGTTTCGGCTTGGATCATCAGCGACAAGGCTTACTTGTCGCACATGGAACGGAGAACAAAATGGTTTAGAGGAGCTATAAAGCCTATACTAGAGGAAGAAGACGTAGCATTCAAGGAACATCAAGGGTTTGTTCGGAAACTGCTGGAGTTGAAAGAGAAGAAAGAGCTGACTGAAGAGACGGTTCATGGAGTCATCTGGAACATGTTCACCGCAGGCTCCGACACAACAGCGGTTATCATCGAATGGGCTATGGCAGAGATGATCAAATGCCGTGACGTGCAAGAAAAGGCACAGCAAGAGCTTGATTCCGTTGTTGGAACGGAACGGTTAATGACTGAAGCAGATATCCCAAAGCTGCCATATCTACAATGCTTGGTTAAAGAAGCTCTCCGGCTTCATCCATCAACGCCACTAATGCTTCCACACAAAGCAAGCGAAACGGTTTGGTTAGGTGGGTACAAGGTGCCTAAAGGAACAACGGTTTATGTCCATGTGGAGGCGATTAACCGGGATCCAGCGAACTGGAGAAACGCGGATGAGTTTAGACCAGAACGGTTTCTCTTGGAGGATATTGATGTCAAAGGTCGAGACTTTAGGGTTCTTCCGTTTGGTTCGGGGAGACGAGTGTGTCCAGCAGCACAGCTCAGCATGAACTTGATGGCGTTGGTGATGGGAAACTTGTTGCAGTGCTTCTCATGGAGCTCACCTATTCCTGGGGAGAGTATTGACATGACTGAGAATCCTGGATTGCTCTGTAGCATGAGGACTCCAGTGCAGGCTCTAGCTTCGCCGAGAGCTGTCACAAGAGTTGTGTCTTTAAATTTGGATTGAAATAGATATAAATAATCACATATATATATATGAGATAAGATGATGAAACTCATTAGACTATGATGACTTTCATTAGGGAAAAGAAGATGTAGCTTATGTCAAGACAAATAAAATGTAGCTAATATATATGGAAAATAAAAAGTAAGCTTTTTTCATGGATCAAAAGACTTATTTGTTATTTGGATTAGTGATTTAATGTGTTTTAATGTAGTTAAATTATGAAGGATTTTGTTTGGTTTTGATGAATTCATCACAATGAGTATTACAAAACACACAAAACCCATGTACTCACTAAAACATTGAAATCCACTAAAACTGATTTCTAAAATAATCAAATGAGTGTTTTTAATGTACTTTGAAATCCATCAAACAAATGTTTAATCCAACAACAACAACAGTGGATTTTAATGTATTTGATTTTTTTTTTTCAAATACATCACTGGATAAGACTGTATTTATGTGCATTTAGGGTACATCATAAATGTTGACACAATGGAAAAAAAATGAAAGAAAAGGAAAATATGTTATGAATTCAACACAATGGAAATGAACGGAACTGTGATCGAAAAAGCTTCCGCATCATCATCTGTAACAAAGCTTGAAGGGCGGCGTGTCACATAATAAAGATTTGAGACATGTTTGCATGACAAACATGCTTACTGTTTACCTAAATCAATCTATGGTTCATATAACCGATCAAGCTCAAATCATAGAAATAGAATTGTAAGTATTTCTATTTATATCAGAAGAATTTTTCTAACAAATGTCAAATTTTGGACTTTGGATACATACCTGCAAGATACACATATTGCTACTCAAATTACCTCACATTTTTGTTATAGATTGTTGATGAAATTGTTTTTCTTACAAGTTACAACAAATTTAACTTCTACTAAACTTTCCAATCACATAGAAAATGCGAATAGTGTGGGAAAGCAAAAAAAGGGAACCAATTCATGAACATTACATGAGAAATTACGTGCTATCTAAATAGATTTTTCAATAACCATAACTCTAAATAAACTTTGTTAATGAGTAGCATCAAACTTGTATGAATAATTATCTTTTTCTTTTGTCAAAGCAAAATGGTTCTATCACTGATCATTTCACTAATCACTATCATCTTCGTCGCCGTCATGCTTCACCAACGTCGTCAAAGATCCAACATACCGCCGGGACCACCACCACGGTTTATGATCGGAAACTTTCATCAACTCAAACCACTATGGACTCATTCTTTCTCCGAATGGTCAAAGACTTATGGTCCCATCATATCGGTTTGGTTAGGGTCACAGCTCGCTGTTGTTGTCTCAAGCTCTGACTTAGACAAACAAGTGTTGAGAGACAAAGACAATCAGCTGTGTAACCGACACAGAACCGCTAGAATGACGCAGAACGGTTCTGATCTTATCTGGTCTGATTACGGTCCACATTATGTGAAACTGAGGAAGCTATGCACACTCGAGCTTTTCTCTTTTAAAAGCATTGAGAGTTACAGGTTCGTGAGAGAGATGGAAGTGAGATACATGGTTAGGTCGATCTTCATGGACTTGATGAGCGTTTCAGGCGATTGTCAGAAACCAGTGATGCTGAGAATGTATCTAACTTCGGTTGCTTTGAACATTGTTTCAAGATTAGTCATCGGAAAAACATTTGAACCTAAAGAAGGTAAAGAGCTTAAGTCGATCGTTGATAAAGAGACTCGCTTACCCGGTGCAACCAAGCTGACTTGGCGTAGACGTGTTTCGTCTTGGTTCGCTAGAGACAAGGTGTTCATGAAGCACATGGCTCGGAGAAAGAATTGGCTTAGAAGAGCTGTAATGGAGGAAGGATATGGAGAGAGAGAGCGAAAGTGTTTCGTTCAGAGTCTGTTAGTGTTAAAAGAGAAGAATGAGACGAGTGAAGAGACGGTTATAGGACTTGTATGGAACATGTTAACCGCAGGAGCTGACACAATGGCCATAGCTATAGAATGGGCAATGGCAGAGATGATCAGAAACCCTAACGTGCAAGAAAAGGCACAAAAGGAACTTGATTCAGTAGTTGGATCCGGAAGGTTAATGACTGAAGCAGATATCCCAAAACTTCCGTATCTGCAGTGTGTAGTCAAAGAAGCTCTCAGGCTTCACCCTCCAACACCATTGATGCTTCCACACAAGGCTAGTGGAACAGTTTGGTTAGGTGGATACAAGGTTCCTCAAGGAACAACGGTTTACGTCAACGTACAGGCCATCGGTCGAGATCCGGAAAACTGGAGAAACCCGGATGAGTTTGAACCAGATCGGTTTCAACTCGATGAAACCGATGTCAAAGGTCAAGACTTCCGTGTTCTTCCGTTTGGTTCGGGAAGAAGAGTGTGTCCAGCTGCACAGCTCAGCATCAATATGATCACATTAGCAATTGGTAACTTTGCTGCATTGCTTCTCTTGGACTTCCTCTACAGAGCACATCGACATGGCAGAGAAGCCTGGATTAGTTTGTTACATGAAGACTCCATTGCAGGCATTAGCTTGCTCCAGGCTGCCACAAAAGTCTTACCTTAACTTCTCAATGAAATAGTTTTTAACTTTTAGTTGACATAAGACAGAGATTCTCATTAAACCGCAAAATTTGAGACATGACAAAACAGACTGTAGCTACTATGGTAAATAAACTTAGTATTCCAAAAGAGAAAAGCTGAGTCTTCATCATTTGCTAGAATTGAGAAACCTCTCATAACACAAAACTTTACACAGCTGTTATAGAAGCAAGCCAGCAATGTCTTTATCTTGGTCTCCCATCATTCCTCCTCACCATCTTCACCTTCTTCATCATCGTCTTCTTCATCTCCCTGAAGAGATAATGGTATTGAAAGACATGTCAAGAAAGTAAAAGATGGAGTAAAAAATACAGATTAAGTGACAATGAGAAGCTGTTTTTACCTCTTCATCATCATCATCTCCACCAGAATCCTCTTCATCAGAATCCTATATAATACATCAACAAAATCTTTAAGAAACGTTTTCCCCTTTACAGAGAATATATAAAGACTGAGAGTGAAAAATGAATGATTTGTTTACATTGTTGAAGTAGGCGAGAGGGTTGATCCACAGATCTTCCCTGATAATATCAGCAACCTGCAACAAGACGAGATCTCTGAGTTCAAAACTGGACAGCCAACAAACATTTGATGCTTAACTTATAATAACAAGCCAGAAAGTAGAGGAGCAAGCATAAACCTCATCATTAATCTCATTCTCGCTATGTTGATCATCAGTAAACCAAGTAAAGAAGCTGTAGAGATAGTAGTAGAGTGGAAAAGGCGTTAATTTTGTATGCAAATTACTAATAAAGAAAAAGACTTTACATATCAAAAAGAACAATAACCTCTCCTCTGGTAATGCACGTTTGTCTCCTATCTTAACATCATGGCTCACTCCATTTTGCAAGCCCTTTCATAATTGAGAAACATTCATTAAGAACAAAATCTCCCAAAAAGCAAGAAAAGAAAAAAGAGAGTAAGAAAAAAACTTACCTTTCCCTCCTTCCATTTGATAGGAGTTGCTGTGGCTATCGTTGTTCCTGGTGCAAGAGAGGATGTTCCTTCTTCAAAGAAGGTAAACGTCTTGGTAAGCTTAGCATCCTCGAAAAACGGGTTGGGGTTGAAGTGCTGTGATTGATTCATGCCAACAAGTAGTCAGTAATCAATCATTCACACCCCATCTTCTTTAGAATCAATAGGAAGAAAACAGATTGTAGGATAAAGAAACTTACAAAAGTTATGGAGTATTTAACCTCTTCTGCATCATCCACTTCCAGAGAGCTCAAGAACTTGAAAATCTGTAAAAAGCAGAGAAACCAAACACAAGAGGTTTTAAAAAAAGGATGAAACTTTACAGAGAAAAGTAAGAATCTTGAAAGACAAAATTCAAAAACCTTTTGGTCTTCTTCTGTCAAGAGTTCACCTAAAGCAGGATGACTCATAAACTGCAAAGAATGTTGAAAGACAAATCAGAAAGAAGACGTTTTTACTCAGTGAAAACAGGGGATGATGATATTTACTTACAGCAGCAATCCAAAAGTCTGGAATCGATTTGATAGCTTCATTACGCTTGTCATAGACTGGTTTTCGTATCACGTTGTACTTTTGCTCCACTTTCAAGATTTCATCGTTTGCCTGTTCATTAATCTACACCCAACATAACACTTGCTTGAGCTCTCAAATAGTCTTCTTTGAATTTTTAGAAAAGCTAATTGCAGAGAGCTATCACAGGAATGGCTAAAGCATGCAGTAATCTTACAAAAAGTTTTCAAATTGTAAATGTACCAATACAATCTAATCACTGTTTTTGACTAAAAAGGATCAATTTTGATGTGGAAATCACGAAAGCCTTAAATACAGGGGACATGAACAAGAAATTGGAGAAATCTGGAGAAATTGGAGGAAAGAAGGGATTTTTTTTACCTTCTCAAGGTCGTCTTGAATCTCTTGAAGCTTCTCCATAGAGAGGACGAGCTCTTCGTCGATTTGCTCCTCTTCGACTTTCTCTTCAGTTTTCGCCTTCTTGCTCTGTTCCGCGACCATTTTCACCTTTTTGAGGTAAACCAAATTCCAAAGAAACAGAGGATTTGGTTCCTCCTCGTCGTTTCTCTCTTTGCTGCTTAAACCCTGTCGAATGTGAGCAAAAGGATTTAGGGTTTTATGTGGACCAATCAGATTGCGACAGACGAGAGGTAAATATATAAGAGTATAAAAGTCAATTTATTAACCAAACTTTGGGTAGTTTTCCATTAAAAATAGTTGATTTAGTACTAAGGGATATTAAAAGTGATTTTTCCATTTTGTGTCGTATGATTAACTTCAGGACCACAATAGCAAATGCCAAATAACAATTTGGAAAATATCTACTAAAAATTTTGTTCTAAAAAGGAAAAAACTTGATTAAAAAAAAAACAAAAGAAATGTTGACAGTGGGATTTGAACCCACGCCCTTTCGGACCAGAACCTTAATCTGGCGCCTTAGACCAACTCGGCCATATCAACTTATTGTTCATTAGTCAAACAAAGTCTTAGAAATACATTATGCCTCTTACAAAGTATTAGGAACGATGTGTACTCGTTTACGATTAGGATGAAGTCTTTTTGCAAGACTGAGTCGGCCTCATGCGGCTTTTGAGGCTTCTGAACAATATGGCTTCCCAAGGCTGTGAGATGAATGTGGTTGCGTATTGTACGGTTGTTGGTGGGTTTTATGAGGAGGGTTTTAAGGCAGAGGCGTTTGAGGTGTTTGGGAAGATGATTGAGTCTGGTGTTTCTCTTTGCGTTAGTGCGTTTAACAAGGTTCTACATGTTCTTTGCAAGAGAGGAGATGTCAAAGAGTGTGAGAAGCTACTGGAGAAAGTTACTATGCCGGAGAAGCTATTCCAAGAGATGGTTGATCGTTGTCTTGCTCCTGATGGTTACACACACAGACTTCTGATTGATGGTTTTTGAAAAACGGGGAATGTGGATTCAGGGTACAAGTTTCTACTGCAGATGATGGAAAATGGGTTTGTTCCATCGCTCACAACACTTGGACGTGTGATAAACTGTCTCTGTGTGGAGGATAGAGTTTAGGAGGCTGCTGGTATTATCCATCGGATGGTCCAGAAAAGACTGGTCCCTGAGGCTGTGAACACCATTTTTGACGTTCACAAGAGGGAGGTGGCTGCTCCGAAGCTTGTCCTGGAGGATATGTTGAAGAAGAGTTGTATTACGTATTATGCTTACGAACTTCTTTTTGATGGCCTTAGAGAGAAACGGCTACGCAAGAAATAGGGTTTCACTGTGGTAGCCATGTGATACTGATGCAGCGTTCAGTCTTTGTTCTGTTAGTACTCAACACCTGAAAAGTCGGAGAAAGAAGTTATGTGCTTTGATTCCATTTCTTCTCTCCCTTAGGAACGCCTCGCCGTTGTGAAGAAGCTGCACGAGGTATGTGTATAATTGTGCTGTTATGGGATGTTGATGAAGAAGACTTGAGAGATAGAGAGAGGCATTTCAAAGTTTATTGACTTCTTTCTTTAACAGTTTGGATTTTCTTTTTCATGATCGGGGTCAAAAGAGAGAGTCTTCATTGTCATTGTTGTTGTTCATCAGGCATAATCAATTAATTTGAGGGAAGAAGATTTAAGAACAAACCTCATGTTGTCTTGTCTCTCTCAACATTGTAATTTGATTCACTTGTTGTTACCACTTGTTTTTTCTTCTAATAAGTTTTGAAAGATTAATTTTGTTCTTCCTAAACACAGATTATAGATGTACAGTAATAAAGTATCTTCTTTTTCTTTTCTTTCTATGGAACAATCAGATTCTAAAGTCTTGATCTTTACTAGCTTTGGCAAAGCAGCGCCGCTGAAGTATGGAATCACAAGCCATCAAGTACGAGTGTATGACCAATGATGCATATCAAACCATTTGCATCTTACATACAGATGCATATCTGAACATTCAAAGTACAAACCATTACATCAAAGCTTATGGTTAAAATTCTAAAAAGCAGAGTAAAAAACAAGTTTTACTGTCACAATGTATGTACGCCCCTTCGGCTTTTCTTTTCCTCCAAGAGAGACATGTCTTGAAAAGGTAACCTAAAACATAAAAGAAGGAAATTAGTAGTATACCTAAGGAAACAAAAAAATGGAAGTTAATCAAAGCAAAGACCACGAACCATATCATGTTATATGCGTCTTCTCCATCTGTGACATGGCCAGGTTTGGACTTTGCACCTGGAATATTTTTCTTATCTGTTGCTTAGTTGTTGGCGGCTCAACTCTCTTGTAGCACCGAGAGGCAAAGAGCCTGCTCTCGATGACAAGTTCATTTGTACTCTGTCGAGCAATTCCACTTTCACGACCACGACCTCTCAATCCAGTCCCTCTCAATCCAGTCCCTCTCAATTCCCTGCAGTTGTAGCCGAGACTTGATTCAATCTACAACACAACCTATCAACTTATTGTACATGTACATATAACAAGTCTCATGGTGAATTAAAAGTACAAATATTGTGCGTACTATAACACCATTTCAGATGTATTTTATATACCTGGATGGATGTTCTGATCGTGATCTGGGACAACGTTGTTCTATTCAAGCACAACAACTCGTCCAGACGAACAGGTTAGTATTCATTCAGATATACAATATTAAAATGTAAATGAAATACCAAAAATATCAGTAGCATTTTTTTTTTTGGGCAAAAAATATCAGTAGCTTTATTGGTAAAATATATGCCATATGAACCCATAGAACCTGGGTTCGATCCCACCATGACCCCATTTAGCATATTTTTTTTATGGACTTTCTAATGCCAAATCCTTCAATTGTAACTGGGTTTCTCCGTTGGAATTGATAAAAGAGCCTTGCTTTTTCGATTTCAATATCTTCTTCATCCTCTCTCTATCTCAGCTATATCTAGGGTTCCACAATTTGTTTTCTTCTCTTCGCTATGGAAGTTTCCGGATTTAAGGAATTTCAAGTGTTTTTGTTAAATTAAGGTTCTCCAAATGGTTCCTCCTCTGCTTCCGAGACATGTAACTGCAGTTATAAAATGTCAGAGAGATCCAATGAAAGCGTTAGAAATGTTCAATTCGATGAAAAAGGAAGAAGCTTTCAAGCATACTCTATCTACTTACCGCAGCGTGATCGAAAAGCTCGGATCTTTCGGCAAATTCGAGGCCATGGAAGAGATTTTATCCGAAATGCGGCAGAATGTTGGTAACCATATGCTTGAAGGGGTTTACGTTGGAGCAATGAAGCATTACGGTAAGAAAGGGAAAGTTCAAGAAGCTGTGAATGTGTTTGAAAGGATGGATTTTTACGATTGTGAGCCAACGGTTTTCTCTTACAATGCTATCATGAGTGTGTTGGTAGATAGTGGATACTTTGATCAAGCTCACAAGGTGTATATGAGGATGAGGGATAAAGGAATCACTCCGGATGTGTACTCGTTTACGATTAGGATGAAGTCTTTCTGCAAGACGAGTAGGCCTTTTGCGGCTTTGAGGCTTCTTAACAACATGGCTTCTCAAGGGTGTGAGATGAATGTGGTTGCGTATTGTACTGTGGTTGGTGGGTTTTATGAGATGGGTTTAAAGGCAGAGGCTTTTGAGTTGTTTGGGAAGATGATTGAGTCTGGTGTTTCTCTTTGCGTTAGTGCGTTTAACAAAGTTGTACATGTTCTTTGCAAGAAAGGAGATGTTAAAGAATGTGAGAAGCTGCTGGGGAAAGTTATCAAGAGAGGCGTTTTGCCGAATCTGTTTACTTATAATCTTTTCGTTCTGGGGCTTTGTCAGAACGGTGAGCTTGATGCTGCTGTGCGTATGGTGGGTTGTCTTGTAGAGCAGGGACCAAAACCTGATGTGGTGACGTATAACAATCTGATATGTGGGTTATGTAAGAGCTGTAAGTTTCAGGAGGCTGAGTTTTACTTGGGGAGAATGGTGAATGAAGGGCTTGAGCCTGATGGTGTTACCTATAACACAGTGATTGCTGGATATTGCAGAGGTGGAATGGTGCAGGTTGCGGAGAGGATACTAGGTAATGCTGTTTTCAATGGGTTTGTGCCTGATGGGTTTACATATCGCTCCTTGATCGATGGATTGTGTCAGGAAGGTGAAACAAACCGTGCTTTGGCCTTGTTTAATGAGGCATTAGGGAAAGGGGTTAAGCCTAACGTGATTCTTTACAACACGTTGATTAAAGGATTGTCTAAGCAGGGTTTGATTCTTGAAGCTGCTCAGCTGGCGAGTGAAATGTCTGAGAAGGGTTTGGTTCCTGAGGTACAGACTTTTAACATACTCGTGAATGGGTTATGCAAGATGGGATGTGTTTCTGATGCTGGTGGTCTAGTGAGAGTCATGATCTCCAAAGGCTACTTTCCTGATATATATACGTTCAACATTTTGATTCATGGCTACTCTACACAGCTGAAAATGGAGAGCGCGCTTGAGATGTTAGATGTTATGTTGGACCATGGCGTTGAGCCAGACGTGTACACTTACAACTCTCTGTTGAATGGTCTCTGCAAGACTTCGAAGTATGAGGATGTGATGGAAACGTATAAAACGATGGTGGAGAAAGGCTGTGATCCCAACTTGTTCACGTTTAATATACTTCTGGAGAGTCTTTGCAGATACAGGAAACTAGATGAAGCCTTGGGGTTGCTTGAGGAGATGAAAAGCAAGAGTGTGAATCCAGATGCAGTTACGTTTGGAACGTTGATAGATGGTTTCTGCAAAAACGGAGACTTGGATGGAGCTTACTCTCTGTTCCGGAAGATGGAAGAGGTTTATAAGGTTTCAAGTTTGACAGCAACGTATAACATCATCATTCATGCTTTCACTGAGAAGCTGAATGTTACTATGGCGGAGAAGCTTTACCAAGAGATGGTTGATCGTTGTCTTGCTCCTGATGGATACACATACAGGCTTATGATTGATGGCTTTTGCAAAACGGGAGATGTGGATTCGGGGTACAAGTTTCTACTGCAGATGATGGAGAATGGGTTTGTTCCATCGGTCACAACACTTGGACGTGTGATAAACTGTCTTTGTGTGGAGGATAGAGTTTACGAGGCTGCTGGTATTGTACATCGGATGGTCCAGAAAGGACTTGTCCCCGAGGCTGTGAACACAATTTTTGATGTTGACAAGAGGGAGGTGGCTGCTCCGAAGCTCGTCTTGGAGGATTTGTTGAAGAAGAGCTGTATTACGTATTATGCTTATGAACTTCTTTTTGATGGCCTTAGAGATAAACGGCTACGCAAGAAGAAGGGTTTCACAGTGGTAGCCATGTGATTCTGATCTGATGCAGTTGCTTTGATCTCTAAAACATGATACTGAGTGATGCAGCGTTTAGTCTTTTGTTCTGTTAGCACTCAACTCCTGAAAAGTTGGAGAAAGAAGTTCTGTGCTTTGATTCCATTTCTTCTCTCCCTTTATGGTGATGCTGCTTCAAGAAAGCATTCAATACAGGCAAAAATCGTTTTTCAACTTCAATCAATCAGAAATTTGGTGGCACCAGTGTATAAGAAGCTACACGAGGTATGTGAAGCTGTAGAGATTTCTGAGTACTACACCATTTTTTTCTTATGTAGTGGTTATAATCTATCTTAGCAAAAGTATAAAAAACCAAATATATTTTGATTTTGATTTCATTATCATACATTAGTAGCTACCATAAGTCCATAGATGATTGTCTCACTTCTTTCATTAAAACTACTAGACCAACATTTTGATCCCATTACGCATTTGCAGCCTGTTGGAGATTCTGCTGTCTATATATCTGGGAGAAAGGCCAATAACTTATCACGAGGCATTTCGACTTCTTTCATCGAAGTCAGCTCTTGCAGGCGCTCTATCCAGTTGTACAAAGTCGGAGTGTTCACTGGATCAATCATCTCTACACCTTTATGTTTACTAATTTGGCGGAAGCCCAAAAGAGAGTTGAAGAAGAAGCAATCAAGCTGAAGAAGCCTTCTCATGTTACAGCTAAACATGTAGGAGGCGTTATGGTTCAAACTCATCCAGAGCGTTATGCTTTGCCGGACTCGCTCCGGAGGAGAGGAGTCATCAAACAGAAGAAAAAGAAGGCTCCTGCTCAGATTCAGATCCCTCAGAAGGAGACCGTGAAGTCCACCCCCGGATCAGGCATGAGCGTTGCCTCTCCTTGGACACTCCGGTAAACCTAACTCTAAGCTCGTTTTCTCATTCAAAATTTTCCAACTGTTTTATTCAGCTCTTTTCTATCTATTTCCTGTGTTTGATGACTCATGATGATGAATTTTCAGAGATGCAAAGGAGGTTTGTTCGTAGATGTGAAGACTTTTCTTCCCTTTGGGATCAATGTTGATTGGAATTACGAGAAGATGGGAAACACTGTTTATTTGCACATTAAGGAGATAGGTATACACAATGATTACAATGCTTAAGTGTTTACTCCTGTGCGCCGTTATTGACATCGATTTAGCATTGTAATCATTGTGTATACCTATCTCCTTAATGTGCAAATAAATAGTGATTCCCGTTTTCTGGTAATTCCAATCAACGTAGTAGATCCCAAAGGGAAGAAAAATCTTCACATCTACGAACAAACCAACCTCCTTCGGATCGCTGAAAATCCATCATCATGAGTCATAGATAGAAGAGCTGAATAAAACATTTGGAAAATTTTGAATGAGAAAACGAGCTTAGAGTTGAGGTTTACCGGAGTGTCCAAGAAAACGAGTTTACATAGTTGACTATTGAACCATCGTTGACTTTACTATTTTCTCTGAAATAATCTAAAGAAATATCTACTCGCAACAACAAAATTTAGTTAACGAGTTTCAACATCAGACACAACTCCACCCTGGTTTCTTCTGTACGCCTGTTCCTTTCATCAGCTTCCGAGTTTCCTCCACTTCTTCCCACTCGCCAACCTCTGCAAGGATGTTCGAGAGAGACACATACGCTCCAGCGTCTGCTGGCTCTAGCTCTATAGCCTTTCTGGCAGCTAGCTTCCCAAGTTCAACATCCTCGTAAACTCTGCAAGCAGCAAGCAATGTTCCCCAGACCAATGCGTCCGCTTTAATAGGCATACTATTGATAAAACTCTCAGCTTCTCTAAGTCTTCCTGACCTCCCCAGAGCATCTACCATGCAAGCATAATGACGATTATCAGGTTCGACGCCGTACTCTTTCACCATCGAGTTGAGATGGGAATAGCCTTCTTCCACCAAACCACCATGACTGCAAGCAGACAAGACTCCCACGAGAGTCACTTTATCAGGCTTGAGTCCTTTTTTCTTCATGAGACTGTACATTTGTAACGCTTCAGCGGCCTTTCCATGTTGAGCATAACTCGCAATCAGCGCAGTCCATGCGATCAAGTCCGCACCATTGATCTGGCTGAATGCTTTACAGCAGTCCTCTATGCTTCCAAATTTCGAATACACTGTCAGTAGCGAGCTTCCTACAGAAGGCTCTGCGCACAGTCCGATTTTGGTGATGTAGGCATGAACTTGAGCTCCCAGAGATGATTCATCTGAGAGAACAGCGGCTTTAAGAATGGATGAAACTGCAAAGGAGTCCATGGTGAAACCAGACATGACCATATCACGAAATAGGAGGAAGCCATCCTGAACTAATCCATGTTGTGAATATCCTGAAATTAAAGATGAACATGAAACCGGATCCATTTCCGGAAGCTTATCATAGACCTCCCTAGCCAACTTTAGTGAGCCACACTTTGAGTACATGTTTACCAGTGCAGAACCAAGAGACATTCCTCTGTCGATTCCAGCTCTTAACGCGTACCCATGTATCTCTTTACCTCTTGGCAGAGAAGGAAGAGAAGCACACACAGTTAGAGCAGCAGCTAGAGTACTCTCATCAGGGCTAGTCCCATCAGCCAACATCTCACCGAATAACCCAATAGCTTCTCTTAGATAACCGTACTCATTGAAACCAGAAATCATGGAAGCCCAGCAAGCATTGTCTTTAACAGGTATCTCCTTGAATAAGCTGAAAGATTCTTCCAAGCTACCACATTTGGAGTACATTGTGAAAAGAGAGCTTCCAACAGTGAGATCAAGAACCAACCCACTTTTAAAGGTGTAACTGTGAATCTGCTTACCTAAATCCAAACAGTATAATACACTTAACAAACTACACACACTAAACTCGTCCGGTCTCAAACCTTCCTGAAGCATTCTAGTAAACAGTCTTATCGCTTTACCAGGCTTCTTATTCTGCGAAAACGAAGACACCATTACGTTTACTATACTTTGCTTATGAACATCGTCCAGATCCTCAAAGACCTGTTCAGAGAGATTAATTTCTTCACTCTTTGAGTACATACTAATCAAGGAGGCAGACACTGAAGAATCGAGATAGAAACCACTTTTTAACACCCAAGCATGGATCTGGCTTGCTTCACAGACCAAAGAAGGTTTACCACAAGCAGAAACTACACTGGTTACAGTAAAGCTGCTGATCTCAACACCTGAACGTCTCATTTCCTTGAATATCTCAAGAGCAGAGGAAGCATCGTTACTCTTTGTGCAACCAGACAGCATCACCGTCCAAGACACACCACTAGGGTTAGGGATACGTGAGAACATTTCCCTAGCTTCAGCCATATGCCCACATTTAGCATATAAATCAACAACCGCAGTGCAAACAAACACATCCTCTGCTCCGCTTTTGATCGTCCGAGCTTGAACAGCTTTTCCAAACCTAAGCTTCTCAAGGGAAGCACACGCAGCCAAAACACTGGAGTATGTGTAGCTATCAGGTTTCTGAAACCCACCACACATTTCGTTAAAAAGATCAAAAACAGCGCCGTGATCTTGATTTCTAAGTGCCCCTGCTATGATAGTGTTCCAACAGTACACATTAGTAGAAGAGAAAGTGTCACGGAACATCTTGTAAGCATCCTGAAACCTCAGACTCTTTGAGAACGAGTCTATCAAAGCCGATTGAACAACTTCGTAAAAGAAAAATCCCATCTTTATCGTATGGCAACACACAAGCTCGCTGAACAGAGGAACCTGAAGAGCACTACAAGCGGAAAGCACAGAGACATAGCTAATCTCATTCGCCACAAAACCCAATAAATGCATCTTAGAATAAAACCTCCACGACTCTTCAAACAGTTTATTCTGTTTGTAGCCAGAGATCATAATGTTACAGGATACAACATCTGGTTGAGGCATTGTGTCGAACAACTTAGCCGCGTCGACCATGGAACCCGATTTCGAGTACCAACTGAGCAGAGATTTCGTGAGGTAAACATCAAACGGACAAAGATATCTTCTAAGCAAATGCGCTTGCAGAATTCTGGTTGTTTCGAGCTTACAAAGCTTCGAATTTGCTTGATCATTGAAGAACTGAAAAGGGTTAAAAGGAGTCGGAGAAGTACAGTCTTTGCTGGAAATGAACAATGGGTTTCGAGAATTGGCGACGGAAGATAGTAATCTGGAGGTAGAAGAAGAAAAAGGTGAGATCTTTAAGTAGTTTAAGCTCTCATTCGCTAGGCAATTCATTCTCAGTTTACTTCATCGAGCTAAAAAAATGTGTAAAAGAAGAAGCAAAACAGAGAATGAAAATTTTCAAAATACTGAAAATAAGTGTTTTTGGATATCTAATTTAATTGCATTTTCATCGACATTAAAGTCAAGATGGCCGAGTTGGTCTAAGGCGCCAGTTTCAGGTACTGGTCCGAAAGGGCATGGGTTCAAATCCCATTCTTGACATTTTCAAAGGTATCATTTTTAATTTCATGAACTCGAAAAACTAGTTCTTAAATAATTGGATTTTTGTATTCTAATTCGATTTTCTTTTGAATCTCTTCTTTTAAGTTTTAATAATGGTTTATGAGCAGATTCAAGTTTCCTCTGTTTTCTTTGTTTAATTGCTTCTGACGATGTCTATTGCAAATCACCATTGTCTCTCTTCTCTACTCACTAGCTGCAAGAGCTTAAGAGCCTTAACCCAAATCCACGCCTCTCTAATCAAATCCGGCGTCGATACCGATTCTTACTTCACCGGAAAATTAATCCTGCAATGCGCAATCTCCATTCCGAACGCATTACCTTACGCTCGCCGTCTCTTGCTCTGCTTTCCCGATCCCGATGCCTTCATGTTCAACACTCTCGTCCGAGGCTACTCCGAATCCGACGAGCCGCACAATTCCGTCGCGGCGTTTGTGGAGATGATGAGGAAAGGTGTCGTCTTTCCGGATAGCTTCTCCTTCGCGTTCGTCGTCAAAGCGGCGGCGAATTTCCGGTCTTTAAAAACCGGTTTTCAGATGCATTGTCAAGCGTTGAAGCATGGGCTCGGTTCGCATTTGTTCGTCGCCACTACATTGATCGGTCTATACGGAGATTGCTACTGTGTGGAGTCTGCTCGCAAGGTGTTCGACGAATTGCGTCAGCCGAATTTGGTCGCTTGGAACGCTGTGGTCACGGCTTGTTTCAGGGGAAACGACGTCGCCGGAGCTAAAGAAATCTTCGATAAGATGACGGTGAGGAATCACACGTCGTGGAACGTGATGCTCGCTGGTTACACTAAAGCTGGAGAGATTGAAAGTGCTAAACTTTTGTTCTTGGAAATGCCTCTCAGGGATGATGTCTCTTGGAGCACTATGATTGTTGGGTTTGCTCATAACGGAAGCTTCAATGAGGCTTTCTCGTATTTCAGGGAGTTGCAACGAGCGGGGATGAGACCTAACGAGGTAAGCTTGACCGGAGTTCTCTCTGCGTGTTCACAATCCGGGGCGTTTGAATTTGGAAAGACGTTACATGGGTTTGTAGAGAAATTAGGGTATGGTTGGATAGTGTCAGTGAACAATACGCTTATTGATATGTATTCTAGGTGTGGTAGTGTTCCAATGGCTAGGTTAGTATTTGAAAGTATGCCAGAGAAGAAGAGTATTGTGTCTTGGACATCGATGATTGCAGGATTAGCGATGTATGGTCATGGGGAAGAAGCTATTAGTCTCTTCAATGAAATGACTGAGTCTGGTGTGACGCCAGATTGTATATCTTTCATTTCGGTTTTGTATGCTTGTAGTCATGCTGGACTGATTCAAGAAGGTGAAGATTACTTCTCTGAGATGAAGAGAGTTTACCACATAGAGCCAGCGATTGAACATTATGGTTGCATGGTTGATTTGTATGGAAGATCTGGGAAACTAGAAAAGGCTTACACTTTCATACGCCAAATGCCGATTCCACCAACTGCGGTAGTGTGGAGGACTCTTCTAGGGGCTTGCAGTAGTCATGGGGATATTGAATTGGCAGAGAAAGTGAAACAAAGGCTTGACGAGCTTGATCCGAATAACTCAGGGGATCTTGTTCTCTTGTCGAATGTTTACGCTACTGCTGGTAAATGGAAAGATGTTGCTTCTATCAGAAAGTCGATGATTGTGCAGAGGATCAAGAAGACAGCTGGTTGGAGCTTGGTTGAAGTTGGGAAAGACTTGTACAAGTTCACTGCGGGGGAGAAAACAAAGGGAGTCAATATAGAGGCTGATGAGAAGCTAAAAGAAGTAATCTTGAGGCTTAGAGATGAAGCTGGGTACGCTCCGGAAGTTGCAAGTGCTTTGTATGATGTAGAAGAGGAAGAAAAGGAGAATCAAGTGAGTAAACACAGTGAGAAGCTTGCACTTGCATTTGCTCTGGCTAGGTTACCCAAAGGAGCTACTAATATCAGGATTGTGAAGAATCTGAGAATCTGCAGAGATTGTCATATTGTTATGAAGCTGGCGTCGAGTGTTTATGGAGTAGAAATTGTGGTCAGAGATAGAAACCGGTTCCATTCATTCAAGGACGGTTCTTGCTCATGCCGTGACTACTGGTAAAAAGGTCTAATTTTTTCACTGAAGACCTCATCTATGAAGAAGATTTCACTGCCAACACAAACTTTCTATAATTTGAGGTCTTCATTTGCGAGGTTTGTTGTGGTTTACGTTTGCCTTGGGTTTTGGGGTCATTGTGACGTTTTGCATTCTACATGGACTAGAACGTAATATACGAAATATTTTTGGGCTGTTATTGGAAATTTCTGACAGATTTTTACCAAACTTTGACGAGAAAAATCAGCACTTTCTGGTTCTAAAGTCTCAACCTTTTGAATCGTCGTTTCCTTGTTTCTTCTCAATTCTCAAATATCAGATCTTCGAAAAACCCAAACTTTTTGTATTCTCTCGCTTACATGGCTGCTTCAGCTGCATTCTCCATTTCATCACCACCTTTCGTACCCTTTTCCTGCAAAATCCGCAGTCCATTTCTCTTGATTAGTCCAAAATATCCCAAACCCGTCTCGGTGAGAGCTTCTGCGTTTTCTGTCGACAATCCCTCCATCTCCATCGATAGCAAATCGCCAGTCCAAACTAAGGTCAGTTTATCAGTATATGGTTTTTTGTCTGACCGTCTCGATCTTATTGCTCTCTCTGTTTATGGTTTGATACCTTTGACTTTGATTTAATCATACAAAATGGTATCATCGTATTGGTGCTCTATCAATTGATTGCATCATAGACTATATTAGCTCTAGAATTATGATGTTTTATGTAGAAATTGATGAAAGTGATTTCTTATATTTGAAACCAGAATTGAAAAGTTAGACTCTTTATTTGATAATCTTTTGTTTTCTGGACTTTGATATACTGATGTTGTTTTGTTTTAGACAAGCAATTGGCAGTGGAAGTTCAAGGGAAAATCGATTGGTATATACTATGAAGAGCATGAGAGTGAGAAGAGTGAATCTGTTAAGAACATCCTAATGATACCAACAATATCTGATGTTAGCACCGTAGAGGAATGGAGATCTGTGGCTAAGAACATCGTGCAGCGCGACGGGGAAGTCAACTGGCGAGCAACCATTGTGGATTGGCCTGGTCTTGGTTATTCTGATAAACCAAAGATGGATTACGACACAGATGTCATGGAGAAGTTTGTGGTCGACTTCATGAACTCACCTGAGAGCCCAATGAGCCAAGCAGGTTAGTGTAAACCGTTATGTGAAAATGTTTCCTTTCTCTGCAATATTATCTTTACAAGATTCATAGTTGGTTTAGAGACCCTTAAGCTTTAGCTCATTCTGAAACTATGTCTATGGGATGAGTCTGAATGCTTAGACGCTTGATTGTTGTTTCCATTGATCTTATTTGCTTTCCAAATGAAGTTTTAGAGAACAGCAAAATCTTGACATAGTTTATGTGAATTCGGAACAGGTAATGATGATGTAGTTATCATTGGAGGAGGGCATGCAGCGACACTAGCAATGCGTGCTACTCAACGTGGGCTGCTAAAGCCATCAGCCATTGCTGCTGTTGCACCTACATGGGCAGGACCTCTTCCTATTGTGTTTGGCCGTGATTCTTCCATGGTGACAAGGTATGGTATGCTAAGAGGAACACTGAGAGCACCAGGGGTTGGTTGGATGATGTACAACATGCTAGTGAGCAACGAGAAGTCAATCGAGTCACAATACAGATCCCATGTTTATGCAGACCAAAGCAACGTGACCGATGCCTTGATCCAAAGCAGATACGAGCTAACAAAGAAGAAAGGATCACGCTACGTCCCTGCAGCGTTCTTGACCGGTTTGCTTGACCCGGTCTCAACCCGGGAGGAGTTTCTCCAGCTGTTTGCTGATTTGGAAGGGAAATTACCGGTTATGGTGATGTCAACAAAAGGAGCTCCAAAGAGATCGAAAGCTGAAATGGAGGCACTGAGAGGAGCTAAAGGAGTTAGCAAATTCGTGGAGGTTGATGGTGCACTCTTGCCTCAAGAAGAGTATCCTTCTCTTGTTGCTCAAGAACTCTACATCTTCTTGCAAGAGACCTTTGCTTCTCCATAAGTAAATTGTCAGATAGATTAAGCCCACGCATTAAGGCCCATAATGATATGACTTTGATCTAAAAATATTTTGTCATTTTTCTTGTGTTGAATACCATAACTTTTCCACTGTTTCATATTTTTTCTTTGTTTAACCAACAATTTTATGTAAGAAACGACAAAAATACAAGTATCCATCTCATTATGGCTCTCTGAGATTTGTAAAATTAGATAGATAACATACAAAGGACTTGAACAGAAGACTAGTCTACTGTATACCATAGACAAGGTCGGTACTCGGTAAGTTGGGATCACCCCAAAGTGCCACGCAGAAACATCGCATGCCATGCATTTAGCCGACGTGGAATTCTTGGGCCTCACTCTTTTATTTTAATGGGCCAATTTCTATTTAATGTATCCGAAATTTACTGTAGACACCTTAGTATATATCCCTTTTTGTAAATTTTTGCGCCAATTTTAACTGTAGACCCTAGAATTTACTGTTTAGTTCTTCATCAATGTGGTAGTTTTTCCTTCTTGTATCATGTGGTGAATGTGATTTTGGACAGTGTATTGGGGTCCAACTGTATTACTGTAAATGGTCAGTTACAATTTAATGTATCCATAACTTACTGGACCCAAATGTATCACTATATAGTAATATTTAGTCAAGTTTAATCAATGTGAGCTAATTGTCCATAAGAAAATATCCAAATATAAAAACATGTTTCATGAGGCATTATATAGAGACGTGCTTCAAAGATACGTGCACAAAATTTGGCTATGTTAGTCATTTCTTTCTTTATATTTCGTTTATAACTCACGTACATAATACTATACTAGGCTACAAATCTAGTCGTTTGTGTTATCATTTATAAAATAGTTGATTATGTTTTTATATATAGACTGTACAGTTCATATTAAATATACATATTAGTCCAAACAAATATTTGGCTCCTTTATAAAGTTTGGTAGGCAGCGAGTTATGGGTATCATATATTGTAGGTATCAACCTTTTACCTATATGTCAAATCATTATTTAATTTGCATTAGAATCTTACGTACTCTCCCTATCTGCTCATACATTTTTCACACCATTGGTGACTTATTTACCTATCCAACAATAAAATAAACTCTCTCTTTTTAAGAACTGAGACTTATTTACATTCAAATTAAAAAGTTTTGATGTTTGACAACTAGTTTTATTGAGCGAGTTGTAGTAGAAAAGGTATTATGATTTATCTATTTAAAGTCGATAAAATATCATCTAAATAAAATTTGGATCTTTTGTGTTATAGAGAGTGGCTTTTATTATTGTTGCAATCGTGGTACCACTCACGCTTAAGTCGTCATGGATTCACGGTTTGTGTATAGGTGTTGATTGGTAATATTGTATAGTTGTCACACAACGTATATCGTCTTCTATTTAACCATTTGGTACAGCGAGAATAAGACAGTGATAAGGAGGACTCATACCACCATTTTTATCGTACAATTATCTCTTACTATTGTCTTGTATTCTTAATTAACTGTACTATCATCCTGTATTGCTATTATCAAAATATATTCATAAAATCAGGAAATAAACCTCTAGTAGTTTATTATGTTGGTTGAAAATAGAAAGATCTATCTTTATCGAGTTTATGTTGTTGTTGTTGGGATACCATTACTATAGGGCATCATCTTAATTTTTGAAATAATGTGTGTGTAATTGTATATGACCATGATTAGTCTCCCGACAATAAATATATCGACAGCTACAACGTAACATATAAACAAACGAGTCGATTTCAATCAACTGACACTTTACAACGTAGAGCATGTGAACATGGGCGGACGATCATCATGTTAACCTTTCTCTATTAAATTTATTTTTAAGGTTTTCTAGAAGTTATGAAAGTTCTGACATACTTCTTTGTCTAAATTCTCTTTAGCCCAATAGATCTCTAATTCTGTTATCCTTTACATATACAGTATTTTGCTATAATAATAAGTCAAAGCATTGTATTAGTATTTGGTAGTTTTTGAAGTTATGTGTTTATATGAACACATTTATTTGACTGCAATCTCGATTGAAGCTGTTAGCTATGCAATTATATATAGTATCATATATGGATATCAGGATATGCGTTGACTAGGTCTTGTTTGCTGCTTGCGTATGTCCGTACGTCCGTATATGCCTTCTTTTGTTCTAGACGCCACTAAACTTTATTCAAATAACAAGAACAATACCTTGGCTTTATTATATGAAAAAACAAGACCTATACGTTTTCGAATCTTGATCGATGTTGATGATTCCCATATTGTTGTTTTGAATATGAATGGGTGATAATTCAACAAATTTTTGGTCACGAAGATACGATGCAAATCTTTGTACCCCAAAAAATGCCACGAACCAATTAGCCTAGAACTTATTATCATATTTTCATTTTAATGGTAATTTAAGTAAATTGTTGAGCGCCGAAGATGGAATACATATATCTACGATTTTATTTGAAATATACGTGTATTACATGTCAAACAAACTAAGGTCATGTGGAAATGAACAGCCGACAACGAAGAAAGAAGCTAGTACTGTAATAAATAGTGAAATGTAACAATTAATAACCAGCATTGTTATTTACTTAGTTAGTACCTTGGCTTAGCTAGATAGGACCTCAATATCATATAATTGGTTTGATTGCCGACTAACGTTTTTAATGTTGCTAGTAACTAGAGGTGCATTGCAGCTAAAATATGTAAAAACGTCTCAATACCGTGTGCAATTATAACTATATATAAAGATCCACCTACATAAATTTCTATCGTATTTTTGTGGGGTTTTTGTTTTTGTATTCGTAGTAGGTCGGCATATATCATATGGCTATGACAACTATATCTCCTACTTTTGTTAACTAATAACTATTGAAACAGTTGCAATCAGAAACAATGTGGATATAAATCGTGAAGCAAGTCACTGTTATCGTAAATGGATCGAATCTATGCTAACGTTGCATACAAAATGTGTATTTATATATCTATAGACATTAGACATGGGCAATAATTTTTGTTTATTTTTATGTTCAAAGGGCTCGACTTCTTCTGTGAATAGCCGACAAGTGATGGGAGGGTGATGATGTAATTCAATAGAGTAGGGTAATTACAATTAATTAAGGGCATTATCCATCGTTTTCATTTATATTATTTTTGGACGAACTCCGTTCTCATTTCATTCGCATATTTAATCTAGACCTTCCACGTGTCATGCCATGATCATACGTTACCTCCAATTGATGTTAAATAGTTTCAACATGTTCACTCATGACTCTTATTTAGTTATTTTTGTCACAAAAGTAAACCCAACAATAGTTACGCCTAATATTTGATTATACTCTTAAATAGACAATTAATATATCTTCAAGGTTCTGTAAGATAAGACCGCTATCGTTCATACGTAAATTTTTAAATTAATAAAAGTTTCTATTTTTCGTGGATATGAATTATTTTTTTTGTTAAAGATGGATATGAATTATTGGATGAGTTTTATGATGTTAAGTGTTAACAGTCACCATAGCTTCAAGTGTGAACTAGTTAACTAATGATTTCTAGGTTGTGTGGCTGTAGGATTGATACTCCAACTACCAAAATTTGCAAGAAATAATCTAAAGTAGGGTACATTTATTTCGTTATACACCAAATGATGAGCATATGTCAATAGAAAAACGACTTAACATAAAGAAGTATGGAGAAGAAGTCTAGAATCGGAGCAAAAAGGTACCTTTTATTTTTGGACATTTAGCATACAAGAAAATATACTTTAATTAGTTCATATGGATCGTCAATAATACACTTTTGTTATTTGTTGTTTTACAGCTGTGGTAAAAACTCAAATATAAATAGAAGAAAAGAAAACTAGTAAGCGTGGATCAGACGTTTTTTCTATAAAAACAAAAAACAAAAAACGTGGACATTACTAAACCAATTAATCTTTAGACAAATATATATTTAATGAGGAATAGATTAACGATGAGAGTGTGATGCAATTGTCTTTCCCAGATGAATAGAGGAGTCGTTTTACAGATTATGGCTAGAGAGAAAATTCATCATTTACAGAATCGCTTTGGATTTCTCTTGGTCACCATTGCAAACACTTTAAATACAAGGATTTCGGTCCAAAATATTTTCATATTAGATTAGATTAGAGCGATAATATGTGTATTAAATGCGATAGTTCCTCTTCATAAAACCAATATTAATAGTGAAAGTCGCTTTATGTTATTTTTCACTAATTCTTATTAGTTGACCAAATAAAATTGGTTTAGTAATGAACTAAATTTGTTACAAATTTTTGGTAGAATCGTAAACTTAATTAAATTACCTCATCATTCATTGTGTACAATGTACATCTTCAATTTGTTACGACAAGGATACACCATATCTTTTAAGACACTATTAATAACGTCAGAGGCCTACCATGCATGGTCTATTTGAAAAAATAAGTTCAGCTATATATTGCGGCTATTTAATAGGAGTATTTCTTAGGTCTTCATTACACCGTATTTCAATTTTTTAACCTGTTTATATGATTGGATCATGAAATTATAAGGTTCCATTGCTGAAAAATTGATGGTGTAGTTAGCGTAATTAGTAAAAAACAGTGTATGGTATGATAAGATTCAAAGGTCTAGTCTAATAGTTAATTGATAAAAAAAAAACGGTATGATAAAAAGCTAATTAAAACTACTAAAATTAGAGATATCCAAGATTATTCTTTTGAAAAATAAAAATTTAAAAATCTATTTTTAAATTAATATATGACAACGTAGGAAAATATATATTAACATTTCCTAGTTACTTCACTGTGGTACTGGTTCAAATAGTTGTACTGTGAATTTAACATTAAAACCACACAGAAAACGTTGTACGTAGTGTTGTACTGTATTTTTCTATTTTGACTACTAATTTTTCTACTGCGTTACTCTTTACGACATTACCACCGATTTGTTTATCATAACGGTTATAGTTAAGTAAAAAACAGTATACATACAACCAATCGAAATGCTATATATTATTTCTAAGCTTTCTTTAATTACTGTACTTGCTGGTTGATCTTAATCAAGAAAACGTAGTACGCACGCACCATACCAACATGCAAAACTATATGAAAGATCTATCTTAATAGAACTAACTAGTTATAGTATTGGGTATTAAGATTTCAAGTTCGTTAAAGAGACACGTACATAATTAAGGAGAGTCGTTTCTTGGTTCTGACATAATGAGGACAAAAATTTAACAAAAAAAGAGCATAATGAGGAAAACTCCTTTGATCTTTGTAACTGGATCTTTTCTTTTGGTTTTATATAACTCGATCTTTGTATTTTTATAAAAACTGATCCGAGCTTCGTGATAGAGTGATGAGTTAGAGAGAGACGACCATTGACTCGTAATCTTAAAAGTTCGATAGTGAAATTATGCAGGAAAACCTCTTTCAAGAAGTAGGTGTGCCTCGATTTGGAACCAAACTGGTAAACTAGCGTACATTCTTCATCTTCTTCCCTTCTGTTCCGAATGCCTTTTTTGGTTTGTGTAAAAGTCGAAATCAAAATCTGTTAAGTGAGTTTAGTCTAATGTTATGTAGTCAACTAGTAGAGGACCTGCACGTTTGTGCGGTGTGACGTTGCAGTTTTGTGAAGAAAATATAATACCTTAATAACGAAAATTTTAAACCTAAAATATCAGATCATGAAATCCTATCAATGATTTTCATCTAATTAAATAATATTAGCGTAAGTTACTCATTTATAAATGCAAATAGAGTTTAGAGTAATGAGAAATAGATATGTTATTTTTCATTTTTAAAACAAACTAAAACATTTAGTCATTTCTCAGTAAAGAGATGGAGCATGGTGAAAAAATTAATAATAATTAAATTGATCTCAAAAAAAAAAATAGCATATTATTTCTTTAATCCTACAAAATACATAGCATTATAGAAGATCATAACATATTCTGCTTTTAATTTCCGTTATTGTAAAAATATACTCGAATTTTTATCACATATCTGACCTTATAGCTAAAATTAGGCATGCGAATTCCACCCGAAACCCGAACCCGACCCAAAAACCCTAACAAAATTTTAGAAACCCAAACTTTTTAAAATGTCTAAACCCAAAAAACCTTTAAAAAATGAAGAAAACATGGAAATGTCTGAAAAAAAACCGGAAAACCTGAACTGAACCCGAAAGAACTCAAACCCAACCCGAACATAATTTTTCTATAAAAAAACTGAACAACTTCTATATCTCTAAATCTGAAAATCTGAAACCTGAAGAACCTGATTCTAAACATAGAAATAACCCTATCTGAAATTTTGATAAAACCGCACAATTTTTATTTATCTAAACCTAAAAATCCGAAATCCAAAGTTTCAGGCCTACATAAAATCATATTAAAATTGTTTAAGATAATATATAATTTAATACATAATTTAAATACTATATATTGCAACCTCTTAATTATAAACGAATTGTCCACTTAATTTAAGTATTCTAAATAGCATAATGTGAATTGAAAACAAAGAACACGTGTTCATTACTTTGGTTTGGTCCCAGGTCACGGGTTCAAATCTCAAAATGTTAATAATAGTTATTTTTCTGTTTTTGTTTAGTGAATTACCAATTATCAAAGTATCCCCGTGTCTTTCTCCTTTCCTGCGACACTGAAACCCTGCTTTCGCCGATGTGTTTTTTTTTCCCACGATTATTATTTGTTTTGCTTGATTTTAATGCAATTTCTTCCACATCTGAAAACTCTTTTTGAATGATCTAAAACAATTAAAAGTTAACTAATATGATGTATCCGGTTTTTGGGCAATATCAAATCATTTCAACATTATCTCTTGTTCTGCTATTATCATTTCAATTTTCAAATGTCTCTCGAGATGCGTCGGTGTACTACTTTGATGAGTGTAAGATCTTTACTTGGATCTTCCAAGAAAACTTGAAGGACTTACTGTTTTCTCAATGGTGTAATTTCAAAATCTATTTTTAAAGTTTTAATTTATTGTAGTTAAAACTATGCAGAGATTTTCGTAGGAGTTTCTGTTTTTTTGTTTTCTAGTTATTACTAAAATCAAGATCTGAGATTTTCTGACTTATGTATGTTTCTGGATTTTGAATCTGAAGAATTTTGAAATTGGAGAAGATCGGTTCAGAATTGAATTTTAGGTTTGCAATTAATTGACGGTTTGGGCGATTGTTCCGGTTTGTTTTAAGTGACTAAGGATCCGCGTCCCAAAACTAAGATATTCGGGTGAACTATTCCCGAGTTACTGAGTCAACTCAGCCGAGTTGGTATTTTTCTGATACTATTGACCTCTATTATCCCTGTTTCCAAACATTATTTGTTCATAAAAGCAGTGACATTATCTGTAAATAAATGGGTTTTTTCGTCTTTTTTTTTAAATGTACTTCTCAATTAATAATAAAGAGATTTGGACAATACTAACTTCAAGAGGAAAAGAGAGAAGAAAATGAGTGGCTTTTTGGAGAAGAGAAGGGATGATTTTCAACATTTTGCATATAAAATCTCACCTATATAATCGGCAATTACAAAATACTCGTAATTACAATGCCAGCCCTTTGATTAGCATTGACACGTTAGTTAAGACTTAAGAGAGGGAAGAGAAGGGGATGACCTTTACTTTGAGGTCACTCACATTTGAAAAGCAAAGAAAAATGAGTAAATGCTCTTTGCTGTCGCTATTGACTATTCCCTCAAATCAAAGGCTTATTTTTGGGTCAGCAGCTACGTAGAGGAATTTCCTTATATATTATATGAATTTTTTAATGAGAAATACTCTACAGTGTCACTAAAATATCAGCTTTATTTTTCCAAAAATATTAATAAATTTCTTTTCTCAAAAATACCACACAATAAAACTAAATTTCAGAAGTTTCTAATTTAAATACTTGGGTTTGGGTTTATGATTTATTTTTGAGGGTTGATGATCTAGTTTTCAAAGTTTAAGTTTAGTTTTAGGTATATGGTAATTTTGGGAAAAACCTATATTAGTGGTATTGTTGGAAAGTGAAACTAGGTGTGATAATTTTGGAACCATAACTTATTTTTGTGGTATTTTAAAGAATTTTCCTTTTTAATCATATATACATATGTTGCATATTGAATTCATTTTATTTTTATAGGGGCTAGGCTGAAAACAAAATTAAGGTTTTCAAGTGTTCATATGATAAAGACAAAAACTAAATAAATTTAAAAATAAATATATATTTATGATTTCATGCGCTGGCTAGTGCTCGTTTCGGTTTAAATACAATGCAAATAGCTCCAAAGAACGACCCATATGGCCTAGACGCTTGTCTTTCTCTTCAATATCCAACGTCTTTGGTGAAACCTCTTTTGTAATAAGCAAACAAAACAAAATCTAGAGAGAAAAAATTCAAAGAAAGAAAGAAAGACTCTTTCAAGTCCAAAGTGAGGTTTTGAGAAGACCCCTCTCTACAAAAATCCAATCTTGGAGTCTTATTCGTTATTGTGTAGACACACACTGCCTACGTATACATAATAAGGAGAGAAACAAACAAAAAAAGAGAAGAGAAACAGAGGAGACGATCAAGAGTGTGTGCGTGTGGATATGGGAAGACCACCTTGTTGCGAGAAGATGGAGGTGAAGAAAGGACCATGGACTCCTGAAGAAGACATAATCTTGGTCTCTTATATCCAACAACATGGCCCTGGAAACTGGAGATCCGTTCCTGCAAACACCGGTATGAGTCTTTCGTTCACTCTCCTTCTTCTTTTTATTTTTATCTCTATCTTATTAGCTAGCTCCCATACATGTATGTTTTCAGGTTTGCTAAGGTGTAGCAAGAGTTGTAGACTTAGATGGACTAATTACCTTCGTCCTGGGATCAAACGAGGAAACTTTACTCAGCCTGAAGAGAAGATGATCATCCACCTCCAAGCTCTTTTGGGTAATAGGTATTAAACAGTACTCCTTTAATTATCATTCATTTATATATTAATTTTATGTAGACTAGAAAAATTTCATATCAGAAGTGAAATGAGACCTGCGATAATATATAAAGGATATAGGCTAATCCATCATATTCTAACTGGTTACGAGTCAAAAATTCATAAAGTTTACTTTTGAAAATGGACTCACGTTGATCTTCAATATCTCAACGTTAAATTAGTGTTTTGTTTATTTTTCTTGATTTAATTGGATATCATCTTTGAAAATATCAGATGGGCAGCCATAGCAACATATCTACCTCAGAGGACCGACAATGATATCAAGAACTATTGGAACACTCATCTAAAGAAGAAACTCAAGCTGAAACTTCAAAACGGTAACACCAACGAAGACAACACCGTGACGACAGACGTTTCGTGTTGTGTTAACAACAACAATAGATGTCACACCAACAAAAGGACCGTTAACAAAGGCCAATGGGAGAAGAAGCTTCAAACAGACATCAACTTGGCCAAACAAGCTTTATTCCAAGCCTTATCACTTGACCTACCGTCTTCATCGACCCCTCCCGAACCCGACTCACCAAAACCTCATCATCATGATCATCACCATCATCATTCTGCCACAACTACTTATGCCTCAAGCACAGATAACATCTCTAAGCTACTACGGAACTGGACAAGCTCATCGTCTTCGTCAAGGCCTAATAACACTTCATCACTCTCCAACAACCGGAGCTCAAGCACCGGTGAAGGAGGTGTTCTTGATCATCACTCTTTGTTCTCGTCGAACTCAGAATCTGGATCAGTCGATGAGAACTTGAATCTGATGTCGGAGACGAGTATCTTCCAAGGTGCGAGCAAACGAAACACTCACAAGGAAGCTACTACTAATGCTACTACTGATGATCAAGGCTCCTTGTCTTTGATCGAGCAATGGTTGTTTGATGATCAAGGCTTGGTTCAGTGTGGCAATGATCAAGAAGATCTCATTGATGTGTCTTTAGATGGTAAAAATAATGATAACGATAGTCAAGATTTGTTCTAAGGAAGAAAACGTGGAGAAAAAAATCTCAAAATGTTTACTAGCTACTTCTTTTTGTATTTTCTTTATGATTTTTAGTTAGGTTTTATTTTACTGTGTGCTTTCTGTTAAGTCGACGAAGATCGAACTGTGAATTATGGGAAGTTATTAGTGCAATGAATAAACTAAGCTTTTCTGTTTTGATAACTTTTATTTTTATATCAGTGTTTTTTCAGGAGTGAAATTTGTAATCTAGAAATTTTATCATTGGAGACAAGTAGTTATGTCACGGTACTAGGATCCTGATCACGAAAGGAACTACTCGGTCCGCCAAAAATCATGATGTCTGTTGGTATCTAATTCGTATTCAGTTTCATAAGACTTGCTTGGTGTAAGATAATATACAGTTAAATTTTTCAAGAAAATATATGTGTAACTAGTAAAATAGAAAGATTTTGGTCTTCCTAGAAAAGGATTTGGTGATGACAATCAAAAATTGAATGTGATGTGATAGGTAGAATATAATAATCTTTAGTTATCTATAGACTAACAAAACCTTGTCAATATCACAATTTATACTGTATCAATTATTGTAGTTTTGGTCCATTAGAAAAAGAAAAAGAAAAATAAAAAACGAGCCTATTTGTTCAATATTATGTAGACTTGTGAAATTGTTAAAAGGAAAATAAAATTTGTCTCATTAGGCCAATAACAAATCGAATAGACTTGTAGGATGGCAATCATTAATAAATTATTGGAGCATGGTAACAATAAACAAACTACTACGTAAACCTACTAACGATAGTCTATAGATAACAAAATCAACGTCAATAACGATATAGAGTCTAGTTTCCAAAGCCCATTTAAACAACTGGACCTCTCCATTATCCAATTATATAAGCCTTGTCGACTACTAATATCTCTTGTCTAATTGTCTTCTCTCTTCTGTATCTCTTATGTGTTAAATAAATCCACTCCATGCTATGAGAAATTTATACGATTCGAATGCTTTTTGAGAAAAGGGAAAAAGAATGTGAATGTGAATGTGGAATTAAAAGGACAGAAGCATGTGAAGTTTGAAGGCGGGCCTTTAGAAATCACATCGATCCCATGTATCATCATAAGCCATCTTCACTTCAATCATTTTCTCAAACCCATCTCTCCATTCTTAGATAAGCCAAGGTTTCTTTTCGCTGTCTTGGTCCACGTGTTTTGTTCATTTTTGGTCCCTTTTCCTCTTCTTCAACAAGGATGGTTTTTTTTTAAAATAATTATTGTCTTGTCATTCCACAATATATATATCTTAATTTCTTTCATCATGATTCAATATAGTAAACGGTCACTGAAGTTGAACTTGACAAGAGCCTCGAATTTAGTAACTATTTTTAGTGAAATATATATATATATATATATATATATATATATATATATATATATATATATAAAATCATATACCATGGGCTTAATACTAAGCTTTTGAATGGGCCATATGGCTCTCCATTAGTAAGAACGAAATTCAGAATACAAAAAGAAAAAGCAAGTCCTTAATGAATAATCATACTCTTATAAACGTTGCACATTTACCAAAAAGCCAATCATGAACCAAAAATGCCGATTGTTCACTCAAATAAACCAATTTGACTTGTTTAAAAACTGTTATTATCATTAGTCTTTGAATGTCGATTGATTTGCCAATGATGGGCCTTCACCAATTTCAACTTCAAGCTCTCCATGACAATTGCATGCCACCTAATTGAAAAGATGGTTCAATGTTTTGTTTTCTACACTTTGGAGATCTTTTGAGTTTCTACTGTCCCGTTTAATATTTATAGATTTAGTTTTATACACTTCTTTCGTTTCTAATGTTGTATACACTTCAAGCTCTCCGGTAGAGAAGGAGATAGAACCTATTTATAATGCTTTTAATTTTCTTGCAACTATAAGTCTATTACATATATACTGTTGATTATGTAATTTTGGATAGTTTTTTTTTTTTTATATCTAACTTCAACTCTTAGAAGTTAGAACCTTTCTTAATCTTGTGGAACCTATTTATATGTTTGTTTTATACTAGCGGTTAATATTATTCGAATCATATGTCAATTTTAGATTCTTATGTCTTTTATATACTTTACATTGCAAATAACTATTCAGTACCAAATCTAAAGGTCGTAGTCCTGCAAAAGTGAATAAATATTGGTTTTGATTGGAAAATTGGTCTAATGACGAAACATGAAAGTGATTTGGCAATTTCGCATGTTTTAGGACGTGATTTTATCATTTTTTTATAAAATGATTTTGACGTGACATGTAAACACACACAGTGAGGTGAAAAGTTAAAGATATTTTTCTCCAAATTTCATGCTATATTTTTAACATTCTTTAACATAACATGCTATTTATACAAGATCCATACTGAAAAAAATATCGGCAACATAAATTTAAAAAACTGTACAGTTCAGAATTTCTGGAGATTCACAATGCGTTCTAGTTATAAAATTTGGAATAGAAATATATAAAGCTCTTTTCGTTTCAAACAATAATAATAATTTAAACTACAGTGCTCTTTTCCAACAAATTCGAGTGGCCACTTAGATGATGGCAAAAGCAGCCAATACATCATTTTTTAATCACAAAATCAAATCTTTTTTCCATGGCCATAAATTTACATGTATTTAGTTTGCAGTTGCTTCTGCGTCTTCTTTTGATTCTATAGATTTTTTAAAATAATAAACAGACACCATCAACCTAGACGATAAGAAATGATTCGATAATGTGGGCCGTTTATGATGTCAAAGCAATTTCGTGCATAATTATACATATAAATTTTATGCTTTCATACACACGTAATTATTATTCTATGTATTATAAGTGGAACTATATTCAAGAAGCCAACAAAACAGAATTAAATTCAAGAAGCCAACAAAACGGAATTAGATTCAACTAATCAAGCTAAATATCTGATCCATCCGGATGCCATCAACATCCTCATCTTTCCACTAATATGATTCTAGAGTTTCTATTTATAACACAGCTTCATACATGTAAGACGATTTTTCGTGAGGTTTACTTAACTTTGTATATAGTATTATGCAACTATATATGAATTGTCTACAATCTTTCTGATCACACATTTAAGCTTCGATCAGAGGTTCCCATGTTCAAAGAAAAAAAAGAAAGAAAGCTACACAGACGTGTATTGGGACTTGTCTTCAAATTTTAAACTAAGTTTTATATTTTTAACAAAGAGGTCCTTGTTCACTTACAAGTTAGAAGAATGCTCAATCAATATATGTTGTGTGATATACATATACTGATCATATGCTTCTTACCTGAGAATTGTAATCCTAATAGAATACTAAACTTAAGTATGAGAAAAAATATCATTCTCCAAATTAAAATAAAATAATAAAATAAAAAATTCATATTTTCGATCTTATAGTTTTAATTTAAATGAGCATAGTTTCGCAAATGTCAATTCGTGTAAATAGCACTCATTCTTATGAACTATATCAGAATCCAAAAGCTCAGAATCCAAAAGCTCAAAAGATTAAAATAAACCAATACATCACAAACAGAACTATACATTAATATGTCAAACCAACAAACCATTTTATACATATATTATATAAATTGGGGGGTATGTGAGCTGTTGATATACACATCAATAATCATATACAAATATCCTCTAATTAACTCATCTTTAAAAAAACAATCGATAAATCCAAATCACAAGGAAAACAAAAAAGAAAACTAAAACCCTCGAAAAATCAAGCGTTAGGTGGAGAGTACTCACAAACAACCTCCGTATCGACTTCCTTCCGGTGAAAATTCCGGTGACAACCACAAGCGGCGCATCTCAATGCTTCAACGGTTCCTTCATCTCCGGCGGCCATAAATTCACGGCAACCGTCGACAGCGTAACCTCCAATGTTAGCAGCGTGATTCTTCTGACACTCCACGTAGCGGACGTTACTGATCGCCGATGAAGAAGATGAATAAGAAGAAGTAGTAGTCCGAGACGACGACGTGTTGGAGTTTCTTGATCTCTGCTTTATGACCATCTGTCTCTTCTTCATCACGATTTGTGAAACCCTAGTTTTCTTGATTTGTTGTCCCTGAAACTGAAATGGCTCTTTGGTCATACGAAAGACTCTTTATGAAAACGAAGTGAAGAGACTAGAGAAGATGTACTTGTAAATTTGTAAATGCCCCTTGTGCCCCCTTTTATAAATAATAATCTTAGCCCTAGATGACTTTAATTTATAGGTTTTATACCTACGATGTCGACAAAGTAGCTTTAGAAATGGCCTACTTCTGTATATAATTGATACAAATTAGGTATTTTTACTAATTTTACATTTCCCCCATGATTTTTTTCCGTCTCCCTATAAGTTGTTTTTTATTTATTTATTACACCCCATTGTCATGTTCAAAAGCGACATAAGGCAGAAACATATTATGGTCTTCGTTGTCCGAATAATGGAGTGAAAACAAAAATAAACGGGTGAAATATTGAAAATCTCTACCAAAATTATAACTTGTGGAGTTAAAATTCATTAGCTCGATCCATACACAAGAAAAGCTTAAGTGGAATATTTAAAGCAAAGAAATGGAGAAAATTAGCAGCCAGCCTTATTCTACCGTCGAGATCACGTGCAATGCCATTATACAGATAATGTATATATATAGCGAATAGAATAAAGAAGCAAAATTATTTGATCGTAAATAAATTAAATGCGAATCCGACTCAGTCCAACGGACTTGCTCCCACAAGCAAGAGACAATGACAGGTTAATATTGGAATGCAATCGCATCTCCAATCACTTCTTTTTATTCCAAACTTGCTGTATATATTTATATTATAGTCGTAAGTTACAACTTACAAGGTGTGATAAAACACGAGACCACATCTTTTTCGCTTTTCATTAGACCTTCATTTTTGAAATCAATAAAGAACTTCTTATACATCTTGTTGTTCACTCACACTCAAAACTTTTGATTCATTCGATAACATATTCGCCTCACCTTTCAATCCACGATTTACCATTTTTCGTTGGAATGAGAGGAACATCATCGATGTGGAATTCAACAGCTTATTTTGAAATTTAAGAGCTTACCTTACGTAACATTGTTTACAAATAAATATGCAACTAGGTTCTTCTACGTACGGCACTGGTTCTATTAGCATGGAAATCTACTTAAACTCCTTTGTGCTCGATCTATATTTTCATTCTTTGGCAATTTGTTTTTCCATTTTGTAAGATAAATAAAGGAAAAGGAACTTCCTTTTTTTTTGAGAAAGGGTTACGAAAAGGAATTTTAAAAGAGGAGATATGATTTTCGTGACATTTTCAAAAGAAAAGAAAAGCAAACGAATTGACAGATTTTATGTTTCCTAATTGGATTTTAATACTGACTAATTAGTCAAATTGACTTCTTTACACCGTGAACCAACAAAACATGGGTCCCACTTGACACACAAAAGTCTCATTCGACTGTGAACATCGACTTTTATTCCTCTTGCTCATATTGTAAGGACATATTGTATGCAAACCAACAAAATGAAAAACAAAATCACGTATAAACCACACAAAAACTATATATCTCATGTGTTTGGTAGTACTTGAACTTTACCGTTATCATTGTACACAAAATTTACTGGTAGAAAGTAGAAACATAGAAACGTATAGCATAATATATGAATCGAAAAACATTTTTGATATCTTGCCTTAAATTTATAAATAGCCACATTTTCGCTATACTGATGTGCCGTAGAAAGAGTGCTTAGAAATTTATTTTCACCGAATTCAGTAAGTAGAAAATAACCTAAATTAATTACAGTTTACGACTAATACCTTTTGGAGTATTTCATTATACAAATATTCAAAACTATCCTTATATAAGGATATTACATGCTACACATTTCCTACTGTTCTCACTATTTATCGCTTTGGTACCAATACAGTACCGAACCATGGAAAACACAACAAACATTAGATTAAGACAAAGGTCATAATTGTCGATTAAGTATAAAGAAAAAGATAGTTACGGTACTAAAAAGCCGGAAATCACGGAAGAATGTCATGAAGTAGATTTGTCAAATGAATAAACAACTTAAGTGAGTTCTTCATCAAGATTTGATGACGAGTTTGGTTTTATATATTATTAAATATATCATAATTTAGTTCCAAAGTGGATTTAGGACTGTTTTATCTTTTAAACAACGGATTAATATATAGTATGAAATTAAGCGAGAAAAAAGTAAGAGATTGTGTTGAAAGGACTCTTTGTTTCTCACCAACCGTGCCCCTACTCGTGAAATTTAAAATCATATAAACCCCTCAAAATCAACTCATTTTGTGATTTATTAATATTAGTCAATATGTTGTCTTGTCGTAATAAGTTTGTGATTAGTATCAGAGTGAGACTAATCAATCATTTTTAGTCTCATGTTAGATATTAGGGATGATGCAGATATTTATTTAAAACTAGCTGCAATGAAAAATCAGAAAATTAAGCACCAACCATAAGAGAAAGGGCACACAATGATTATAAAACAACTAATTAACTACAGTTATTACAAAAACTAATTAATATTTGGGAAGCTAAACATCAAATCTACTTTTTTCAGTGTCTCTATGTCTAATCAGTGATCACTTGCTTCTAGAATTTGTCGTTTGTTTAAAATATACTCTACTTTTTGGTTTATCAAAAACAACCTTATTTATAATTGAAGAAAAAGTTATCTTCATGAATTAAAAATGAAAAATCGGAAAAGTAAATCAAAGATTAAAATCTTTTTGTGTATGTCCCTCTTACTATGTTTCCAGCTTTCTATAAAACAGTCCTAAATCAAACATTATGGATATTGGGCTTTTAATGTTCTCTCTTTCGATTCTTTCGGTCCCTCAAGAATTGTGTGTGTCTTTCTATAAACTTCTTGAAGTTTTTCGTATTACTTCGGCTTGGGCCTTGTCCATTCCTTGATACAAAGAAGATCAAATATATTTGAGTCAGTTTAATAATTGCCCTTTAAATTTTCGTGATAATGAGGTGTCATTAGAGGAGGAAAAATCACTAGTAGTAGGATAAAGATGAAGCTTAAGGTGATGAATGTTTGTGGTACGAAATCAAAGTTGGAAAGTGGAAACATTCAAAATGACATAATCCTTATAGAGATTTCATCTAATTCTTATATTGAATGATTGTAATAGCCTTTTTTAAGTGCTAGATCGATAGAATTAATATATAATCACACTAACTTTGCTCCTCTTCTTTCGGTGTTGATAGTCTTTGTTTTTCTTCGGTGGAAGAGAAACGTGAAGTCTAAACTGGAAAAAGTAAGGTGAAGAAATAAATGAAGTAAGGTGAGAATATAAATGAGGGGAGACATTAAGTGGATACATAGTGTAGTACTAGTTACTGTAGTAATAAGATGCCGTAATCTATCAAAACGTTTAATATGAACAATTTTGAAACATAACTGTTATTTATAGACGACCTCATTTACAAAAAAAATGAAAGAAAAACTAGTAGAAAATGTGTTTTCTGTAGCAATTATCGTGCCGAAAGTTACAAAGCGCATTTTAGAAATGGGTCCATATATATAATAAAAAGTTAAATCATGCAGAGTAACAAGATAGTCTCATAATCTTTCTGGTCTTTCATTTCATAGACTTTTATTACTTACATTATAGAAAGCTATACGTTCTTCCATAGCAAGAAAAAAAAATACAGTAAAAAATCTACAACTATAAGATATTTGTTTGCATGTTGGTTTATATTGCAATAGTTTGTTGAATGATAAACAAACTCTGTCTCATAGTTAATAAATGCCTTAAATTTGCAGTTTAAATCTTCTGAAAACGGTAACATCTACACATCGCTATATACTAAACTTTGGTAACAACGATTATGTATGCAATAATTATATATCCAAAAATGAAAATATGAGGACAAATATCGTTAAGTTTGTTGAAAGCATTAGATGTGTCATGTATGTGTCCCCCATGTGAGTGCACATGGAGTTATGCATGCAAGAAAACTGCCTCTACCCTTTTGTCCCTCTCTCAATTATTTTCATTCAATCAGTTTCCACCTCTTAACTTGCATCATCTCTATATCCACCTCCGAGATCTCGACACGTGACTCCTGCTCTACATCGGACGGCTCTCCTTGATGACCTTGCTAAGAGATAAGAGGAAAAGTGGCATCAATCCAAGCAGAGATTTCTCTTATCGTCGGTCCGTTGTTGGTTGGTCCCAATCACTTGCAATAGAGATGTAACTGCTCCTCCATGTTACTCCCTCTGTATTTACCTGTATACCCTTCACTTTCTTCCAATTTGGGTTGTCCCGGAACTTGACCTAATTTGGCCTAATCATGTCAACTTGTTACGACTAATGTTCGTTCTGGTCTGATCAAATGAGATAATTGGACTGGTCATTACTTAACTTTTACAACCAAAGAGAGACGAGTTTTGTATTCATATTCTTTTATCCGAACACAAAACACATATAACTCTCTTTTTTTTTTTTTTTTGCTAATAGTCTTTTTTCACTGTGGAAACTCGAATTTAAGTTAATATACATTTTCTCCAAAACATGTCCAAATTTCATCTGATTAAGTTGCTGACGTAAGTATTAGTATAGTTGAAATTACTTTCTTGTATGTAGACTTGGGGTCCAATTGCTTTTTCTTTTCCTTAGATTGCGTTTACTATTACGTTTGCATTGCATGTCAAAATAAATTATCATGAATCATGATTTGTAATATATAAATAAAATATTTTGATTAATGGAGGCATTATAATTTATAACAAATCACGTGGTAGTGGTATTATATGAAGATACAAAGCTACAGTATATGTGGACCGTTAATAACTTATATTATATATATATCCCTAATATATTAAAAGAGAAAACACTAATTAAATAACTTTTATTCATTGTGTTATTAACAAGAGTGTCACTGCTGATGTGTCATCACCAGGTTTACTCTCAGCCTAATTTCTAATTAATACAAGTTTTATTAGAGAAATTACAAATTGTGCCATTGCATATTATGCTTACCATCCATTTATTATTATTTTCTTTCCTTAATTGACAATTCCGAAAAGAAGTAAATCAGGAAGTTATGAAATTCAATTGAATTCTATCATAATATTTTTTTAAAAATCATTATATATCCCCTATCATCTTTGTTCAACTTTATTTTATGAAATAATATGAATCACAATATAAAAAAACTAATAAAGAAAATCTATTTTTTTTCTGTATATGCTATGATTTGAATTTTTTAAAACAAAATAATGTAAATTGTTTAGTATATAACCTCATTTAATGTAACAATTATTCCATCTATTTCAACTTTTAATTATATTTTTGTTATTGTAACAATTTAGATCATGCAGATTGTCTTTTTATTGGTTGATTTGTTTTGAAATTATAATAAAGCATGTTTTAGTTTTGAAAGAAAGAAAAAAAAAAATAGTTCTAATCCATGTTTTAGTTTTGAAAGAAAGAAAAAAATTGATTTTAATCCGTGTTTTAATTTTAAAAGAAAGAAAATATTAATAATTATAATCTGTGTGCACACAGCTAAGACTTCTTATCTTATGAAATACAATATACATTTTTGTAAAGAATAATGATTAAAAACCCGTCGCATAAAATTTTGGGATATTTAAATAGACATTTTTAAATAAATTACCAAAAAAAACATCTTTTAATCAAAATATAAATTCAGAAACCATCACTCCGTGCAGGGCGCGGGTCAAACCCTAGTATGGAATTAAAAAGCTTACAAAGTTACACATACCTTTTATAAATAGCTGCACAACTGGATAGTCAGTCACACACTCACTCATAAATTTCTCAAACTAAGAACTAAGAGCCTCAGTACACATTCTCTCTCAAGAGCCAAGTAGGTCGCCAAGGCAGCCATGGCCAAACTCATAACCTGTCTTCTCTTTCTCACCATTCTCTTCTCTTTCATCTTTCTCACAATGTCAAAAGAAGCAGAGTACCATCCAGAAAAAGTAAGTTTGATCTTCTTTTGAAGTTTGTTTCTCTTTCACTTTCTATATATTACGAAAAATAGAAACTAAAAAACTGCGTTTAATTTTATTTTGTAAACAGTATGGATCAGGAAGTCTGAAATCATTCCGTAAGTGAAAAACTTATTCTTCCTCTTTTCATATTATTTCATAATTTTTTTAAATGAGTGCATATTCAAAGTTGATTCTTCACAACTGCAGAATGTGGAGGAGAATGCACAAGGAGGTGCAGCAACACGAAGTATCATAAACCATGCATGTTCTTCTGCCAGAAGTGTTGTGCTAAATGCCTTTGTGTCCCTCCAGGCACTTATGGCAACAAACAAGTGTGTCCATGTTACAACAACTGGAAGACTCAACAAGGTGGACCAAAATGTCCATAAGGGAAAACCAAAAGAGGCAAAACCCAATCTATATTTACTTATTTAGTATTTTCTTCGATTAATTCTAGTATGTTTCCGTTGTGATGATAAATTAATCTTAATTAGTATTACTTGCATGTATTTATCATCAATGTCATGCTTCAATGTTTTTTCCTATTTTTCTTTTGTAACTTTGTTGTAACACTAAACGAAAAGTTTGTGGACCTTCCAAGTTCTAATGAAGAATGAAATTTAAGCAAGTAACTATGTATTCTTTGTATTTATTTTGAATTATAAAATATTTCAAAGATTCATCTTTTAGAATTTTTTTTGCTCCAGCCTCCAGACAGATATATTTAAAACTATCAAATAAAATTACATTACAAGCTACAAAACAATATATATAGTCGATGTGAAACAAAAGTAGAATCTAAAAAGTGACAAAAAAAGGCTAGAAAGTATATAATCTTCATTACCACTCATAGTCCACAGGATTGCATAAGTTTTTTTGTAAAAAAAAAACAGTATAATTTCACTGTTGCCGTCAAAAAAGAAAAGAAAAACAAATATAATTTGACAAGTATTACAGAAAATAATTGCTTGCGAGCGGTAATATTTTTGTTTTTCTTGTATTAAAGAAAAAACAAATGTACCTTTGCATTTACTCTTCAGTCTTTACTCTTTACCAAATGTTCGCCGGAAAAAAAGTCTTCACCAATTGTCCTGAACAGAGAGAAAAAAGACTTCTGGAGACTGCCAAAATAAAACCATCGCTTGGTAAATCTGAAGATCAAAGGTCAAATCTTGGAACTCGAAGTTGTCTGAATCCCAAAGAGCCATGGCGTAAAACCTCGAAAACCCCTAATTCCTCAGGTATCAAAAGTCTCTCCAATGTTTCTTCATTGATGATAGTCAAGAACACTTTAGTTTTGTGTGGATGATTGAAGTTCCAAAAATGTCAGAAAAGAGCTTGCTTTCCTCAAAATCCCTCTTTTACACGATTACTGTTTCAACGCTACTCTTCATTCTCTCGTCTCTCTTCGTCCTCCAACGCAACGACTCTTCTTTCACTTCAACTTTAGTTCGCAAGTTAATTCTCCCAAGAACAGAGGAATTTGGTCAAACCGGTACTAAACCGATCTCATGTGGTCGAAACAGAGATGTGTTAAAGGTGTTCATGTACGATTTGCCCTCTGAGTTTCACTTTGGGATATTGAATTGGCACAAAAAAGGATCTGAGATTTGGCCTAATGTCAACAACATCAGCATAATCCCATCTTACCCCGGTGGGTTAAACCGGCAACACAGTGTAGAGTATTGGCTTACACTTGACTTATTAGCTTCAGCGACCAAGAAGAGACCATGTAGTGCCATTAGAGTGAAGAACTCAATCGAAGCTGACATTATCTTCGTCCCCTTCTTTGCCTCGTTGAGTTACAATCGGAAATCAAAGCTCCGTGGAAACGAAACCACAAGTAAAGACAGAATCTTGCAAGAAAAACTAGTTGAGTTCTTGAAAAGCCAAGAAGAGTGGAAAAGATTTGATGGGAGAGATCATCTGATCATAGCTCACCATCCAAACAGTTTGCTCTACGCAAGAAACTCACTTGGATCAGCAATGTTTGTTCTCTCGGATTTCGGAAGATACTCATCCGACATTGCCAATCTTGAGAAAGATATCATCGCTCCTTACTTGCACGTCGTCAAGACCGTCTCTAACAACGAGTCAGCTCCGTTTGAGAAGCGTCCTGTGTTAGCTTACTTCCAAGGAGCAATCTACAGAAAAGATGTAAGCTTTCTTGAGTTTTCCACCTCTAAATTATCAATCTTGTTACTTGTTTTTAACCTCAAAGATGTGAACTTTTCTTGGTCTATCATTCTTGTTACTTGTTTTTAACCTCAAAGATGTGAACTTTTCTTGGTCTATCAATCTTGTTACTTGTTTTAACCTCAAAGATGTGAACTTTTCTTGGTCTATCAATCTTGTTACTTGTTTTAACCTCAAAGATTTGAACTTTTCTTGGTCTATCAATCTTGTTACTTGTTTTAACCTCAAAGATTTGAACTTTTCTTGGTCTATCAATCTTGTTACTTGTTTTAACCTCAAAGATGAGAACTTTTCTTTGTCTATCATTCTTGTTACTTGTTTTAACCTCAAAGATTTGAACTTTTCTTGGTCTATCAATCTTGTTACTTGTTTTAACCTCAAAGATTTGAACTTTTCTTGGTCTATCAATCTTGTTACTTGTTTTAACCTCAAAGATTTGAACTTTTCTTGGTCTATCAATCTTGTTACTTGTTTTAACCTCAAAGATTTGAACTTTTCTTTGTCTATCAATCTTGTTACTTGTTTTAACCTCAAAGATGAGAACTTTTCTTTGTCTATCATTCTTGTTACTTGTTTTAACCTCAAAGATTTGAACTTTTCTTGGTCTATCAATCTTGTTACTTGTTTTAACCTCAAAGATTTGAACTTTTCTTGGTCTATCAATCTTGTTACTTGTTTTAACCTCAAAGATTTGAACTTTTCTTGGTCTATCAATCTTGTTACTTGTTTTAACCTCAAAGATTTGAACTTTTCTTTGTCTATCAATCTTGTTACTTGTTTTAACCTCAAAGATGAGAACTTTTCTTTGTCTATCATTCTTGTTACTTGTTTTTAACCTCAAAAATGTGAACTTTTCTTGGTCTATCAATCTTGTTACTTGATTTAACCTCAAAGATGTGAACTTTTCTTGGTCTATCAATCTTGTTACTTGTTTTAACCTCAAAGATTTGAACTTTTCTTGGTCTATCAATCTTGTTACTTGTTTTAACCTCAAAGATTTGAACTTTTCTTGGTCTATCAATCTTGTTACTTGTTTTAACCTCAAAGATTTGAACTTTTCTTGGTCTATCAATCTTGTTACTTGTTTTAACCTCAAAGATTTGAACTTTTCTTGGTCTATCAATCTTGTTACTTGTTTTAACCTCAAAGATGAGAACTTTTCTTGGTCTATCATTCTTGTTACTTGTTTTTAACCTCAAAAATGTGAACTTTTCTTGGTCTATCAATCTTGTTACTTGATTTAACCTCAAAGATGAGAACTTTTCTTTGTCTATCATTCTTGTTACTTGTTTTAACCTCAAAGATTTGAACTTTTCTTGGTCTATCAATCTTGTTACTTGTTTTAACCTCAAAGATTTGAACTTTTCTTGGTCTATCAATCTTGTTACTTGTTTTAACCTCAAAGATTTGAACTTTTCTTGGTCTATCAATCTTGTTACTTGTTTTAACCTCAAAGATTTGAACTTTTCTTTGTCTATCAATCTTGTTACTTGTTTTAACCTCAAAGATGAGAACTTTTCTTTGTCTATCATTCTTGTTACTTGTTTTAACCTCAAAGATTTGAACTTTTCTTGGTCTATCAATCTTGTTACTTGTTTTAACCTCAAAGATTTGAACTTTTCTTGGTCTATCAATCTTGTTACTTGTTTTAACCTCAAAGATTTGAACTTTTCTTGGTCTATCAATCTTGTTACTTGTTTTAACCTCAAAGATTTGAACTTTTCTTTGTCTATCAATCTTGTTACTTGTTTTAACCTCAAAGATGAGAACTTTTCTTTGTCTATCATTCTTGTTACTTGTTTTTAACCTCAAAAATGTGAACTTTTCTTGGTCTATCAATCTTGTTACTTGATTTAACCTCAAAGATGTGAACTTTTCTTGGTCTATCAATCTTGTTACTTGTTTTAACCTCAAAGATTTGAACTTTTCTTGGTCTATCAATCTTGTTACTTGTTTTAACCTCAAAGATTTGAACTTTTCTTGGTCTATCAATCTTGTTACTTGTTTTAACCTCAAAGATTTGAACTTTTCTTGGTCTATCAATCTTGTTACTTGTTTTAACCTCAAAGATTTGAACTTTTCTTGGTCTATCAATCTTGTTACTTGTTTTAACCTCAAAGATGAGAACTTTTCTTGGTCTATCATTCTTGTTACTTGTTTTTAACCTCAAAAATGTGAACTTTTCTTGGTCTATCAATCTTGTTACTTGATTTAACCTCAAAGATGAGAACTTTTCTTGGTCTATCAATCTTGTTACTTGTTTTAACCTCAAAGATTTGAACTTTTCTTGGTCTATCAATCTTGTTACTTGTTTTAACCTCAAAGATTTGAACTTTTCTTGGTCTATCAATCTTGTTACTTGTTTTAACCTCAAAGATTTGAACTTTCTAGGTCTATCAATCTTGTTACTTGTTTTAACCTCAAAGATTTGAACTTTTCTTGGTCTATCAATCTTGTTACTTGTTTTAACCTCAAAGATTTGAACTTTCTTGGTCTATCAATCTTGTTACTTGTTTTAACCTCAAAGATTTGAACTTTTCTTGGTCTATCAATCTTGTTACTTGTTTTTAATTCAAAGATTTGAACTTTCTTGGTCTAACAATCTTGTTACTTGTTTTCACCTCAAAGATTTGAACTTTTCTTGGTCTTTAGGGTGGAAGTATTCGTCAAGAACTGTATAACCTTCTTAAAGATGAGAAAGATGTTCACTTTGCGTTTGGAACTGTGAAAGCGAACGGGACTAAGCAAACTGGTAAAGGAATGGCTTCGTCGAAGTTCTGTCTCAGTATCGCTGGTGACACGCCTTCCTCTAACCGTCTTTTCGACTCCATCGTGAGCCATTGTGTTCCGGTTATCATCAGTGATGAGATTGAGCTTCCGTTTGAAGATACTCTTGACTATTCTGGTTTCTCTGTGTTTGTGCACTCTTCGGAAGCTGTAAAGAAGGGTTTTTTGGTGAGTCTTCTCAGAGGGATAACAGAGGATCAGTGGAAGAAGAAGTGGGAGAGACTTAAAGAGGTTGTTGAGTATTTTGAGTATCGGTTTCCTTCAAGGACTGGAGATTCTGTGGATATGATTTGGTCTGCTGTTTCACGCAAGGCTTCTTCATTTCGGTTTAGTGTTCATAGAAAGAATCGGTATCGGAGGTCTGAAACTTATGTTAGAAACCAAGAACATTAAGATCATAGATGTGAAATAGTACAATTTGTTTCCTTGAATGAAAGATCCTTTTTCTCTTCCTGCTTCATGTGTGTTTTGTCATATCTGTTCTGTTTTCTTAAGCTGAAGATCAAGGATCAATGATGGAGACGATTCTAAAATAATCACAGATTCATATAAACATGAAATGTATCCTCAAAACAAGCAAAGTGATGTAATGATAAAAAAGAAGAAGAAGAACCAAAATGATGTAACATTATCTGCTCAGGACACTCACAATCACAGAAACTAAGTGGCCAACGATAACACTTGACCAACCTAAACAAACACACAAACACAGACTCAAATCCTAGCTTTTGTAGAGATAGATGACCAAGAAGGATAAAGGCTTCAACTTTCTCAAGTAATCAGTCACCTCTTCTTCTCCACCGGAGTTGTCTTTGCTGCAAAAGCCAACAACACAGTCAAGAGGAGTTGGATGCAAGAGAAAGTGGAATATCTATAGTGAAATAATGAAAGCACACTGGAAGATTAAGCATGTAACGGGTTTTGGCACTAACCGTTTCCTTCTCGGGAAGACAGAAGAGGCTTCTCCTTCTTATTCCCGGTTTTGCCACCTGAGTTTGAGTGTCTCGTTGTTCTTGGAGACTGAGAGGTGATCTTGCCATTACCTGAAGATGGTAGAGAGTGGCGTCTAGGAACAGTGGCTTTCTCAGTCCCTTCTTGCTCAGGAGACTTTGGTGAGCCATGCAGCCTCAGCTTTGCTTTCGCCGATTTAGTCGCTTGCATATAGCTTGGAATCGATGGGCTAGTCTGATGATGATGTCCATTGCTCTCCTCACGCTCGGTCTTCTTAGTAGCTGAGCTCTTTTTCTTGGACTTCTGGTTCTCCTTCCCAGCTGAATTCTCTTTCTTGTTTGGTTTGGGAGTTACATCTTCCTTTGCATCTTTTTCCATTGAAGGTTTTTCTTCATCCATGGCGTCTTCGTTGCTGTCAATTAGGTTGACCATTGATGAATCAAGTGCTTCATTGGTTTCCAATGGTCCTGGAGTGTGTACTTCCACCTCAGGAACATGTACCTGTTTTGGCAGTTCTTGCTTTTCTTCAAAGACATTCACAGGTTCTTCAGTTGTCTTCTCTCTGCCAAGATTTGGCTTCTCAACTTCCATGTGAGGGACTACTGGTTGAGGTTGGATAGAGCTCTCAACTACAGGATTATGTACTTTCCTCAAGCTACGTTTCACTTTTTCAAGCTCAATCTGAGGGTTTTCAACAGCAGGTGGTTCTATTGACTTGATTGAAACTTTCCTGAAGCTGCGTTTCTGCTTCTCAAACTCAAAACATTTCTGCACTGAGGAACTCTCGAGATTTGCAGCAGGAACTTTACGCACACTCTTATTCGGTTTAGGAGATTCAGCCTCAACTACCTGAGCATTATTGGCAAGTTTGTTCAGCTGTTTTCTCCCAGTAGTTTTCTTTGGTTGAGGCATTGGTTTCCAGAAGCAGGACGCTGACCAGTTCTCTAACCAGACTGAGTTTGAGTTTGAATTTGATGCATCATAGGGAGCATGTACAGGTAACACTCGTGGCGATGAAGCGAGAAGCTGAAACAAAATTTTAGAGACTCCATGAAATAAAATAGCAAAATGTTACAAAATTTATGTGTACTAATTTCATTATAATATATAGTACCTTCTGAGCAAAAGCGTTAGCTGTTAGTTTCTTGATTCCAAGATAAGCATCTGTATCGGCAGAGTTGCCAAGATTGTTCTAATATCATGAGAGACTAGAAACAGTTATTTTCCCTCAAATCCATCAACTACAATATCTTTCTGTAAATCTTTAGAGAAGCAATAAGTGTTATCAGTACCTGAAGCAGCTCCAATCTGCAACTCCTGTGAACTTGAACTCCAATGTCAGAGTTTCTGATCTCTTTTCCTCGAGCAAGCGCTTGCAGTTTGACAATTCCCATGACACAGAAAAGAGTTGCAACAGCTTGCCTCCTCACCAGGTGACCACGGATCAGTGCTTGTAGCCTTATTATGCCTTTGAGTGCCCAAAACGCACGCCGAGCCTTCACGTAATAAGTTCAAATCAGAACATACCAAAAGCAAAAATTTAAACAATAACTGAAATGAAGAGAGGTTGAAAATATTACCAAGTAACCTCTAAACGCAGCCTGCACAGAGGTTGCTGCAATCTCTTGTTGGATTCTCTCTGCATCAGATAGTGAACTATCTTGAACAGGTGCAGCGTTTTGGAAATCTGTTGGTTTTTCCTCAGGAAGCTGTGTTTCATCATCTGAGATCTCTTCAAGTTCTACATTTTGTTTCTCTAACACACCACTGCTTCTATCAACGGTATCGGTTGCTGCATTGGCAAAAGATGGAAGATCTGATATAACATCAGATTCTTCCACCTTCGCAGTAACAAGCACCTCTCTTCCACTCACAACTCTCTGCGTGTGACAACAATATTTAGAAACAAACTCTCAATGAAAGAGGAAACTCATAATTAAGCCAACTAATACTCAAATTCCACAAAGAAAACTTGTTACCTCCTTTTCTTTGGAACCACTAGGTTTAGATGTTTTTTTTCCAAGCAGAACATTCTTTAACCACTTTGTAGGCTTTCCCATGATGTATGGAACTCCTAAAATACCTGCATTGTCCAAGCAATAACACAAGTTTATATTCATCATCTCTTTGCCATGACTGTCAATTTGCTACTACCAATGGTCAAAATGAAATAAGTTAATAATAAAACCATTCATTAGTTAATTAGCTATAGCAAAAACAAAACTGTAATCAAATATAATAATAAGTTTTAAAGATAAACAGTAATCATTAACCCCAAAAAATGATTGTACATAACAATGATTAACCCAAAAATTAACAACAAAAAATTATGTGCAATAAAACTCAGGAAGAACCCTAGGGACTAAAATCTTGTCCAAATAAACAACAATAAGCAAACAAAAAACACCGACAGAATCAAACAACAGAACTCAGATAGCGAAATCTCTCTAGAATCCAAACAATGTCCTAAAATGTCAGTCCGAGTAACCGTCGGATCTCCGTTCTAAATCCGCGTCCGATTCGGATAACAACAAAAGAGGAAGAAGAAATTATACCGTGAATGAGAAACTGCTCCTCTCTTCCTCTTCCTCGAGCTTTGAGGCTCTCTCTCTCTATAAAGAAACTGCTCCTCTCTGGTGTGTAGTTTCAGTGACCAGAAGGGAAAAGTAAATTTATTTCTAATTTTAACTAAAAAAAAAAGTAAGCGCATCTCCAAAACTCCAATCTTACGCCGTTGATTTCTAGCCGTTGGATCATCTCCCTAGTTTAGTTTAATTAATTAACTTACCTTATTGAGAAAAATTCAGAACTTGAAACTTGAAAGAGGGAAAAATAAGAGAGCTAATGAGAAAAAGGAAAAACATTAAATGCAAAAGTTTATATGTTTAGCAACACGAAATATATAGAATTTGTATTATAGTCAAATTAGGTAGATATGTCACACTCTTCACGTATTGAGTGTCAAAAAAAAAAACGTTACAGATATTTAACTAAATTGAATTGAGTTATGCCCAAACTTCGTATAGTCGTTGAGATTGCTTCGAGAACAAGTGTAAGAAGATTGCTGCTACGTTCATATGAAGCATTGGCGTTAAAGTTACATTCATACCCTTCTTCTTGGGCTGACGAATATGAAAGATGGAAGTATCGTTATGGGCCTAGGCCCGGTAAAAAACACTAATTTGTGTCTTAGACTCATAATAATGGAAGGAAAAGTTTGTGAGACAATTCATCGAACACTTTGCGCTCAATTTCCTGAAGAGAGGAGGTTCAAAAGTCAGCAGAACGAAGGCAGAGCCGAAATTCGCAAAGTCTGCAGTGAGATGGAGAAGAAGAAGAAAGGAATGGAAATCCAAGGATACCCGATCGATGGATTGTCGATTGGAGGGCACGAGACTTGCATCATATTCCCATCTCTTCGTCTAGCTTTCGACATCGGTCGTTGCCCTCATCGCGCCGTTTCTCAGGACTTCCTCTTTATCTCCCACTCTCACATGGATCATATCGTAAGAAACAGAGCATACTCTTCCTCACTCTGTTCTTCTTCTTTGTCAACCCATTTTTCTTTGGGATTCCTCCATTTCAAGGCGAATTTGCTTGAATTTACTGAAAAGAGCTCTCGAAATTTCTGATTAGGCTTGCAAAATCGTTCCTTGAGCTCTGTTTTTAGAGCATTTTGATAAAACCTCTGTTTTAGCCACCATTGCTCTGTTGTTTGTTTTGGTGTCACATTCTCAGATTGTAAAGTCTTCATATTTGGTTTTGGTAGGGTGGATTGCCAATGTATGTTGCGACGAGAGGCTTGTACAAGATGAAGCCTCCGACGATTATAGTCCCCAAGTCCATTAAAGAGTGTGTCGAGAGTTTGTTCGAGGTTCACAGAAAGTTAGATTCTTCAGAGCTAAAGCACAATCTTGTTGGCTTGGACATTGGTTAATTTCAACGCTCTAGCATCCATTTGCAGCCTGAGATTCTTTGTGGGTTTTGTGTTGAACCTTCTTCTTGGTGCAGGGGAGGAGTTTGTTATAAGGAAAGATCTCAAAGTGAAAGCCTTTAAGACTTACCATGTCATCCAAAGCCAGGTCTCCTTTAAACTAAACTCGCATGGAGCTTTTTTGATATCTTCCTACTGTTCTTCACGCTTTTGTGTGTGGATATTGGTAGGGTTATGTAGTTTATTCAACTAAACAGAAGCTCAAGGAGGAGTATATTGGCCTTCCTGGAGATGAAATCAAGAAGTTGAAGGCTTCAGGTGTTGAGGTTTGTCTTTTGACTTCCCTTGAATTGCTTGTTGTGCAATAGTCTTTCCAAATTATAAGCCTTTTTTGGTTGGCAGATCACAAACAGCATAACAACTCCTGAAGTTGCTTTTACGGGAGATACAACGTCGGATTTTATAGTTGATGAGAATAATGCTGATGCTCTCAAGGCAAGAGTTCTTGTCATGGAGGTGAACATTTGCTTCTTAACGATATCCTTTAGCGTTTGTCTAAGTCTCATGGATTTTTGAATAAACTCTGTTTCCTTGTTGCGCAGAGCACGTTTCTTGATGATTCGGTAACCGTAGAGCATGCGAGAGATTATGGACATATCCATTTATCCGAGGTGAGGCCTCCTCATAGCTTCTCTGTCTTCTTGATGCTCATAGAAATTTTCCTCTTTGTTTGATTGCATTTTGCTTTAAAAACTGCAGATAGTTAATAATGCTGAGAAGTTTGAAAACAAAGCCATCTTGCTGATTCATTTTTCAGCTCGGTATACAGTAAAGGTGTGTTTTCTTTTTTAATCCAATCTGGTTAATGTAACATTAGACAAACTGTTACTTTTGTTCCCTGAATCTTTGCGAGTTTCACAGGAAATCGAAGTTGCGGTTTCTGCATTGCCACCACCGTTAGAGGGACGTGTGTTTGCTCTAACACAAGGATTCTAAACTGTAGACAAACACTCTTGTAGGTTTTATATTACACACTTTTGTGTATCTGTTTGCCAAGTTTTTTTATTGGTATTTGCACATTGTATTCTCTTGTTGTTGAGTTGCTCTAGATTTATTATATCCTGATTGTCTGTACAAAGCTTAGTTTTACTATTGAAATGTGTTAACATGATTTGAAGATACTACTTTGATTTTGCATGACCATAAAAAATAAGCAAATATTTGATCAGTTAATACCTTCTTATGACTTATCGCCATATTTATATCTCCATAGTTTCAAATTATTTTGTCTTACTTGCTCGATCAACAGCAAGTTTGGTTTGTGTCTTTGTGTTTGTGCCGCGTAAAGTGAGCTAACAGATTTTTGGACAACAACTGTGCTAACTAATCTAATAGCAGCCAGTCTCTTGTTTTCTTATAAACACCAATAATAAATGAACATGTGGACAATTTATATTGTAACCTTTTTTGTCCCCGGCATATAGTAATCATCAATCATGATTTGTTTGTCTAATGATAGTAGTTTAGTATTTCTTAAATAAAGTGTGAACAGTTGAATTTTTGGTTTAGTCTTAGAGTAATTACAGTATAGGCTTTGCTCTTGATTTATGTGTTTATCACTATTATTTTTGCAGTTTTTACTTAACTTTTTATTTTTAAAGCATTTGCTCCAAGTAAACAAAGTGGATCAAAGCACACGATTTGAATATTTACCTTACCTATGTTTTTAAAACATTTTTACAGCTTCTGACTTATCTTGGTAACATGTTATTTTGTGCGTGTAATATCTTATTGTTAGAACTAAGAACTCAAACTTCATCTCAAATACTCTTTTTCCCAAATTTATTTTGACCTAGTCACATGAACTACCCACATCGAATTTTGAATTAAATAGTTGTTGAATTACATCATTTATAATTTTTTAACTCCGTATAGCTGCAGAAAATAACATCGTTAGAGTCGATATGAAAGGAAAAATGAGTATTGGCTTTTATACTATTAAATTCTGAGCAAACTTGTACAAGAAGTTGGCTAAATTCAACCAGTAATTTAGCTATTAGAATAACCGGACCGACTTTTTCGTAAGACTTGCTCAGTCAGTCAAATACTGAAATACATAATTACATACACATACAAACAATTGTTTTAAAACAATGAATCAAAACATTGTGTGTACAGTGTACATACGATGCATATAGTGTCGAATGGGTTCAAAGTTTCGAACTATAGCACACGACTTTCAACTTAAGAGTCCGAAGTCCGAACAGTAGTGGAAGAAGTTGTAACAAGTTTATAGAATCAGTCGACTTCATATTTATTTACAAAAAAATGAGTTAGCATAATTAGCGAAAAAATGATGAATCCGTAGCAAACGCAACAACCATTCAAAATATAATATAACAACGAGATTGTATTAGTCTCCGACCGCGTCCAACACTTCACGACCTAAAAGTCATACTATAGTATCGAAGGACCGTGTGTAGTAACAGTTTATTCAGTTTCGCATCAGCCAGTGCTAGTTGAGTTGAATTCTTTAACAAACAAAAACATGCTAGTTGAATTATGGTTTCATTATATTGGCTTATTTGAAAGACTTCCTATTTTCAATAGCTCGTGATGATAAAAAAACAATTTGACTTTTAAAGTCAAGTCTTTTATAGTCTTAAGTTATTCCTTTTGACCACGATTATTCAAATAGTCAAAAAAAATAATTCTCGTTCTCTCGAATGGCTGGTGAGCCGTCGTGATCATCATATGGAACATGGACTAAAATTGTGTATTGGTTATTTCAGAGAAATTTTGGGGAAATTGCTGCAACTCTCCACTATCTATCTACTCTCCTCCCATCGTAAGCACATTTGTAATTTATAATCAACTGAAAAACATTAAAATGAAAACAAGTTCTTATAAATCATGTTTCCGTTTACATAAAAAAAAAATATTTTTTGTAATATTTTATTATGGGTCCGTGAATCACGACGAGTCGATGATTTTCATCGTGTGCTTCCCAGCAAAAAAGATGATTATAATTGAGTCCTCTAATAATGTAAGGGTCTCAAAGATTTTTTAAAAACATATCTTGTTTTTCCACACACACACACACAAAATCTATTTATCGAAGACAATTCTGTTACAATACTACTATTTAAGGATCCTTATATATTAACTTAAAACAAGTATTACATGTCCATTTCAACCACACTTATATACCTCGTTGCAATAAATGATCGGTGTAATCCATAATGCATGCTATACAAGATTTTGACAGATTTCTGATTTATGAATCATACCTCATGCAATCTTTTGCATAGATCCAAATTATTTGATAACATTATTGAACGAGAGATCAAGTGCAACGAAACACAACGCATACCATCATATACAAGTGGTTAAATCAAATTGCTTTTTCTCCTGACATTACAACCCATCGTATATTTGTATTCTAAAAGATCCAATCTTTCATTTGAATAATAATATTTTTGGTAAATGTAACCGATAATACATGTGCATATACAGTTTACTAGTTTGTACCTTTTCTGCTGTCGCTGTGTTATGTGATAAAGTTTAGATTCAGTTTATTTTTTAAACATTAGGCTGTGAATGGATGGTTATATAAATTACAGTAAAAACGTAGGTGGAAAATAAAGTTTACTCTAACTTCCTCTATTGTTTTCTATTCAAGTGGAAAAAAGTAAGAAAAAGATTTACTCTCAATTACTCTATATTTAGAGTAATCCATTAATTACTCTACACATTTTACTCCAATTATCAATTTTCTATCCTTCTCAATTACTGTATCTTTATTTACTCCAGATTACTCCAAGTTTATACCAATGTACTTCTTTGCGTTGCCTAAACTCCAGTTTATTTATTTTTGTTTAGATTCTACTTTCATACTTTACAAGTTAATATAAACCAATTAAATAATATACGAAATGGAAATGGTAGACTAACAACAGAAAACTGTTCCTTAATTGGTTAAATTAAGATATAACAAAAGAAAAGAATTAACAAAAACAAAAACGAAAATTTCTGAGTAGTTTACTTAAGAAACCAAGAAATTCTGAGAAATTTAAAGTGTGAAAGTTAAATGAATCTTCAATTTGATGGGCCCCAACTACACCAGCTGCCTCTATATATTCAGACGTAACACACTTTATGATTCTTCAAATCTCAAGAAAACAAAGCAAAACAAACTCCTAGTGTCTTGCTACAAACAGCAAACTAAAAAAACTAAACAAAATCTTTAAGAACTTAGTCACCATCTCTCTCCAATGGCTTCAATTCAATTCTCTTCTCATTTTCTTGGCTCAACCACTAAGAAACACGGGTCCATTTCCATCTCTCGTAATTACTCCACAACCACATTCACTAGATTCTCCCGCAAGGTTTTTTTTTTTGTTTTTTTGCTCTCTGTTTTTTTTTTCTTTATGTTTGGGTTATCTTCTGTTCTTGTCTTTTTCAAAGAAACGTAACGATAATAATACTGATTGTTGGATAATTTTCAGAAGAACATGGCGTGTTCGATGTCTATGAATGGATGCGATGCGGATTTCAAGACGCCACTTGGTACAGTTGAGACAAGGACAATGGCGACTGTTCCATCTCCGGCAGCCGCCACTGAGAGGTTGATCTCCGCCGTGTCTGAGCTCAAATCTCAACCTCCGCCGTTTTCCTCCGGCGTCGTCCGGTTACAGGTAAAACATGACTTCCTCTGTTTTTTTCTTTCTCTTAAACAGAAAATCCGATTTGAAAGAATCAGATCACACCACGTGGTGCTTTTAGATTGGGTTATAGTGATATCGTTCTCTTGCTGTATCGTTGCTTAATCCATTTATATTATATTTTTTGTTTAAGATAAGTTATGTTTTAGGATGAGTAAAAAAGTGATATTTCTTTGTGATAATAAACACAAGAGTATACGTAATTTGTTTCCATTAATTGTTCAAGTGGTTTTTTTTCCACTTTTAACAAAAAAAAGGATCTTACATTCTTACTGTATATTCGACGTAAATTACTAGAATTATTGGTAGGGTCGATGACATCGGTCTACTGTTGAAGTGGCTGATTATTATTGTCAGTAGCTTTTGTTTGCTAATCATAAACAATCTTTTGAAAAGATATGGCCAATAATTACCAAGAAATATTAAAATAATATGACTATTATAATGTTATTATTTGTTTATGAATAAAACACACTCAAATCTGGGTCATACTAGATTCCCCTAGTCAATCGAGCTATTAAAAATTTAAAATGGACTATTTTTTTATAACTTCGACATTAATTCCTTTTAGTCAGTTTAGCGTAGACCAAATTCAGAGTTGACCTCAAATAGTCAATTTAACATAAGACTCATTTGTGAAAGAAAGAAAAATCACTTGTTTTTGAGTCCTTAAACCGAAATTAAAACTGTTAATTAGATCGGTTAATTATCTTTAAGTCAAAGATTGACTCAATTCTGTTAGTGTTTTTTTTAAAAGCTCCAAATCTTTCCCGCGTAAATCTCATAACCGCTAATTCAATTTTGGTTTTTCTGTTCAGGTGCCGATTGACCAGCAAATCGGAGCAATCGATTGGCTTCACGCACAGAAGGAGACCCATCCACGGTGTTTCTTCTCTCGCCGGAGCGACGTTGGTCGTCCCGATCTCCTTCTCGATTTAGCCAACGAGAACGAGAACGGAAACGGAAGAGTGTCATCATCTGATCGGAATCTGGTCAGCGTTGCCGGAATCGGCTCTGCAGTGTTCTTCCGTGACCTTGATCCCTTCTCTCACGATGACTGGAGATCCATCCGAAGGTAAATCAATAAGCTTTACAAATTTTGATGCTTTTTTCTGTTTAAGCTTCTCAATGATCTGATTGTTTGAGTCTTCACCAAATTTTGAAGGTTTCTGTCATCAAAGTCACCTCTGATTCGTGCCTATGGAGGGATGAGATTTGATCCTCATGGAAAGATCTCCGTGGAATGGGAACCTTTCGGTGCATTTTACTTTGCAGTGCCTCAAGTTGAGTTCAACGAGTTTGGAGGAAGCTCCATGTTGGCTGCAACTGTTGCTTGGGACGATGAGCTCTCTTGGACTCTTGAAAACGCCATTGAAGCACTCCAAGAGACTATGATTCAGGTTGACAAATAGTTGAAATCTAATCTTCTTCTCTGTTTCCGTTTTTTTTTTTGTACTAACAGCATCAAGTGTTGTTGTTTGTTTGTGTCAGGTTTCTTCTGTTGTAATGAGGTTAAGGAGGGAATCTTTAGGAGTATCTGTTCTTAGCAAGAATCATGTTCCTACTAAAGGAGCTTATTACCCTGCTGTGGAGAAGGCTCTGGAGATGATCAATCAAAAGAACACATCTCTTAGCAAGGTAGTTAATTTACAGACCATGTTCTTGATCTTATTCTTACACAAACATGAGTTTCTTTAAACTGATGTTTTTGTCTGGCGAAATCAGGTTGTGCTTGCAAGGAACAGCAGAATTATCACTGATACCGACATTGACCCCATTGCTTGGCTAGCACAGTTACAGAGTGAAGGACAAGATGCGTATCAGTTCTGTCTTCAACCACCTGGTGCACCAGCTTTCATCGGAAACACGGTATGTTATTAACTAGTCTTTTGGTACAAATTTACTTTGAAGATTTAACTTAAGATATACAAAATTCTTAAGATGTGTGTGTGACATATATATTTTTGTGAAACAGCCTGAGAGACTTTTCCAAAGGAGTCAGTTAGGTGTGTGCAGTGAAGCTTTGGCTGCAACTAGGCCAAGAGATGCTTCAAGGGCTCGTGATATGGAGATTGAGCGTGACTTACTTACCAAGTAACTATTTTTTTTACCTATCTAGTGCTTTGAAAAAAATGATATATATAATCAATTTTCTCCAGTCTTATGCATACTGATCTGAGTTTTGCAAAAACTGTTGCAGTCCCAAAGATGATCTTGAGTTCTCTATTGTACGAGAGAATATCAGAGAAAAACTAGACGTAAGTTCAATCTTGTTGTTCTACAGAAGATCAATCTAGTAACCTTTTCTTGTACAACGGTTTGATTTATTTTTCTTGTTTTGCTTTTGCAGGCTATATGTGATAGAGTTGTTGTTAAACCTCAAAAGACTGTGAGGAAGCTTGCAAGAGTGCAACATCTGTATTCTCAATTGGCAGGGAGACTTACAAAGGAAGATGACGAGGTGAGATGATAGTATTGGAATAGGTTTACATCTTGTCTCTTCTCCTTCAAACTAGGTTTAACTCTTTTGTCTGATATCTTTCTACAGTTTGAGCTATTGGCTGCTCTGCATCCAACTCCAGCTGTTTGTGGACTTCCAGCAGAAGAAGCTAGGCTTTTGATTAAGGATATAGGTAAAAATAATCTGACTTTTTCCTTTTTAACTGTCTCTTAGTAATAAAAATAATAATAATAAGGCATGCTTATGCTTACTCAAACATTTCTTGTCTCTCAGAATCATTTGATAGAGGAATGTATGCTGGTCCTGTTGGATTTTTTGGTGGTGAGGAGAGTGAATTTGCAGTCGGAATCAGATCAGCTCTAGTAGAAAAGGTGAAGTTTATTTGAAATCTCTTCCTATAGCAAAAAGAACATTTTCATAAGTGCAAACATGTCTAAATTGTGTTGTGTTTGATTTATTACAGGGTCTTGGAGCATTGATCTATGCAGGGACAGGAATAGTAGCAGGAAGCAACCCAACCTCAGAGTGGAATGAGCTTGATCTTAAGATATCTCAGGTACAGAGTTTTTGTGTGTAAAAAATGCAACCTAACATCACTCTTCTCTGTTTCCAAAAGCCTAATATTCAGTTTTTTTGTGTGTTTGTTTGTTGCAGTTCACCAAGTCAATTGAGCATGAAGCAACAACGGCTCTGCAGCCAATTAATTGAAGAAGAGTAACATTTGTTTATCATTGTATTGGTTACATGGGAATGTAGAAAAAAGCAGTGTTGTCTATGTTGTAATTAGTGAAGAAAAGAATAATTGCTGCTAAATTTTAGTCTCTTTCTGATTGTTTAATGGGTTGTAACTAGTCCGAGCCTTTTATCATAATTCTCTTAATGAAATAATAATTTTCACAAAAACAAGTATTCTAAAATTTAAAGAAAAATATAATTACAGTGTAAGAGGGGATAATCATTTTCAAACATCTATGCTCAGTGAATGGATGGGTGGTGTGATAAAGAAAAGAAGATATGATAAAAATCTAGAGCTTTCGTGAAAACGATGATGCTTTTGTCAATTTCATGAAAACGAAGTTTGGAACATGTGCGATCCTATTCTGAGAAGAATATATTCATTTCTTTTCATGTCTCATTTGACTATTTTGCTAACTTTTGCGTTTCCCTCAACAAAACCAGGTCGACAAAGTTAAATAATCCGCTTATGGTTTTTGTGATCGTAAACAAAAGATTCGTTTGAACAATTAGAGGAAAATTGGTAGTGACTAGTGAAGATAGCACGAGGGACTAATTGCTACAAAATCAAGGAACGTCACGGTCCCTACCTAACATTCAATGGTACTAGTATTTATAAATCAATATGTAGTAAATCTTGTTTTTGTAAGAACAAAACCTACTGCATATCAATTGTGTTTATTTATCAGTGAAAAAATCTACCTTTTTGATGTGAAACTTCCATAACATTCAATGATAGTCACAGCCTATAAATGACTCACACAGACAGGTCATAAATTGTTATGTAATTTGATCATTTTCTTTGACCTACATGTGTTAATTTATTCAAAAATTAGTCTATAACAACGACCTCGATTTACAAAAAAAAAACAAAAAATGGGGGTATGTTTGCGGAAACATATGACTGAAGAAACAAACCTGTTACATTTAAATATAATAGTTATAATCAAATCACACAGTAACGATATTCATGTCTTTAAAAGGTTTTTCAACTAATAGACAGTTGAGAGAGCTTTAAAAGTTCTTCCTCTAGATTGTAGGTAAGGGAAGTGTCAGAAAGGGACTTAGATAACTCTCGCGAAATGGCTTCAAGCCTCGAGATACACACAGCCAAACATCTCTTAGCCGTAGGGTACTTATCCAAGCCAGCACACTCCTCCGAGGCAACCTTGATAACTTCGTTTATTTTATGGAACGCAGCCTGGGGAGGAAGTCCATGTATTCCCTCGAGTAAAATGTCCATGATCTGTAAAACAAGTCAAACAGACAAGCATTCAAGACCATTATCAGATCAAACAATATAAAAAACAACCGATCGATTTCCCAGATCCGACCTAGATCGAGAACCCTACCCAAAAAAACAACTACGAAGAAGAAGAAGAGGATTAGAAGAAGAACCATAAAAGCATCAATCGATTCACGTAACAAAAATACACATACCAACAGAGATTTAGTCGAACAAGAGATTTTTGATCGGTTGCTTTTTGAGGAGAGGGATTTTACGAGATTATATATCTCCGTTCTAGGGTTTCCCAAAATTCTTATTTGATCGCAAAAATAACACTTTCCCAAGTTCTTTTTTTTTTTTTTGGTTTTCATGTTAACATTAATACCAAAAGCGTTTAGAAATATTTACAAAGAAAAGAAAAAAAGGAAGAAAGTACCCATACAACTTACCCAATGGAACGCTAACAAAGAAATATCATATGGAATGAGAGATACTAGTAAGATAACTTTATAGGATAGAGGGATTTGCAATCGTTGCCGGGAAAGAAAGGAGGCGGTCTCTCTTGTACGATCGACCATACGTTTGAGAGTACTCATAGGAAACATGTCTGAATTTTGTTGTGTTTGAGTTATTACAGGGTCTTGGAGCATTGATTTGTGCAGGGATAGGAATAGTAGCAGTAAGCAACCCAACCTCAGAGTGGAATGAGCTTGATTTTAAGATATCTTAGTTATAGAGTTTTTTAATAGAAAATGTAACCTAACATTGCTCTTCTTCGTTTCCAAAACGTACCCTAATACAAGTTTTTTTTGTGTGTTGCTTTTGCATATGATTGTGGAAACATATGATTGAAAAAAATATTGTGTAAGAAACAAACCTATTTGCGTTTAGACCAATGATTGTGGGCTCTGGAAATATGACATTCATGTTCTTACAATTGACAAACTAAAACTGAAAATAGCAAATGTCTTCAAATTCGAAAGATGGAGACAAGAGCTTGGAAGAACATTATAAAATACGAGTTTGAGAATATGGTTTTCAATTTTTCATAGAAGAAGATGTAGAAACAAATATGGCGAAGATTCGGAAAAAGTTTGTATTAACAAAATAACACATCTCTTTAGGTTACAGACAAAACCGTTATGAAAAAAAGCAAAAGAACAGACGTTTATTCAGTTTTTTTGGTTTATAGAAACACAGCATACTGGAAAGTTCTGACCATAATAACCATGACACAACTTAGATGTAATAGACATAATCAAAATCACACCGTAACGACGATGTTCATATCTTAAAAAGGTTTTTCAACCAATAGACAGAAGAGAGAGCTTTGCAAGTTCTTCCTCTAGATTGTAGGTAATGGAAGGGTCAGAAAGGGACTTAGATAACTCTCGCGACATGTCTTCAAATATCGAGACATACGCTGCCACAACTTTCTTAGCATAAGGGAAGTTATCCAAGCGAGCAAACTGTGATGAGATACCGCTGATAATTTCGTTTATTTTATGTAACGCAGCCTGGGGAGGAAGTCCATGTATTTCCTTGAGTAAAAAGTCCATGATCTGTAAAACAAGTCAGACAGACAAGAATTCAAGACAATATAATTCAAGATCAAACAATATAAAAAAAACAACCGGTTTGGGAGATCTAGTTCGAGAAATCTACCCATATTCCAGAGAAACAACCGATAGATTTCTATAACTTTATTCTAGATCAAACGACATATAACATAGACAGATAAAACAATATCAAAAACCAACCGATCGATTTTCCCAGATCCGATCTAGATGGAGAACCCTACCCTAAACAACAGCTACGAAGAAGAGGATCAGAAGAAGAACCATAAAAGCATCAATCGATTCACGAAACAAAAATACACATACCAGCAGAGATTTAGTCGAAGAAGTGATTTTTGATCGGTTGCTTTTTGAGGAGAGGGATTTTTACGAGATTATATATCTCCGTTCTACTTCTAGGGTTTCCGAAAATTCTTATTCGATCGCAAAAAGAATACTTTCCTAAGTTATAGGAAACATGTCTGAATTTTGTTGTGTTTGAGTTATTACAGGGTCTTGGAGCATTGATTTATCATTTATGCATGGACAGGATATCTCAGCTACAGAGTTTTTTCTATAGAAAATGTAACCTAACAATGCTCTTCTTCGTTCCCAAAACCCTAATCTAAGTTTTTGCTTTTATTTTTTTTGCTTTTGCAGTTCACAAGTCAATTGAGTATGAGGCAAGTCTGCAAGCCAACTAATCGAAGAAAAGTAACATTTGCGATTTGTTTATCATTGTATTGGTTAATGGGAAATGTAGAAAGTAGTGTCGCCGCCTATGTTGTAATTAGTGAAGGAAAGAATAATTGCTGCAAAAATTTAGTCTTTTTCTGATTGCTTAATGGGCCGAGCCCTTCTTAGTTGTAATTAGTCCGAGCCTTTTTATCATAATTCTAAAATTTAAAGCAAAATATCATTACAGTGTAAGAGGGGATAATCATTTTCAAACATGTACATGCTCAGTGAATGGATGGGTTGTGTTGTGTGATAAAGAAAAAAAGATATGGAAGATGTGTGATAAACAAAACTAGAACTTTAGTGAAAACGATGATGCTTTTCCAGTTTCATGAAAACGAGGCTTGGAACATGTGCTAATACTAAGTATATATTCATTTCTTTTCATTACTCATTTGACTATTTCGCAACTTTTGCGTTGCCTCTCAACAAAACCAGGTCGACACAGTTAATAATCCGGTTATGGTTTTTGTGATCGTAAACAACAACAAAAGATTGGTTTGAACAATTAGAGGAAAATTGGTAGTGCTACAAAATCAAGGAACATAATGGTCCCTACCTACTTCACTTCTCGCATTCAATGGTACGAGTATTTATAAATCATTATGTAGTAAAAACAAGATTTTCTTGGTTTTTTATAAGAACAGAACCCACTGCATAGCAATTGTGTTCATTCATCAGTAAATAATCTACCTTCTGATGTGAAACTCACATAACATTTATTGACCTTCACAGGTCACAAACTGTTATAGTTTGAACATTTTTCTTTTATCTAGATGTGTTAATCTACTCAAAAAATTAGTCTACAACAACGACCTCGATTTACCAAAAAAAAAAAAGTGGGTCGTATATGTTTGCGCCTTGAATGATGGTGTAGATTTAGGAAGTCGAATACAATACTAAAAAATTAGAATGATTTTCGTAAACAGATTAAGAAACTACTTTAGTAAATACTCCCTCCCTTTTTTTTTATAAATTTTCTAGGATTTTCACACATATTAAGGAAAAATAAATTTTCAATCATTAGTGTATTGATTTCTGCAATAAAACAACTTTTTATAATTTTCAACCAATAAAAATCTAACAAATACAATCATTGTTTCTTGAAAACTGAAAAAGTGTATAAAAAAGTAGAAAATTTATCTTTGTGAAACAACAACTAATGTCTAGAAAATTCATCTTAAAAAAACGGAGGGAGTAATTAACAATTTCATCCAACAACCTTGCTCGCTAAATCTTTTCATGTAACGGTCTACAAGAACATTAAAAAGTATCCTACTATAATAAACAAACGTAGAATCAACAAAAAGCTACATAAATCAGATAACAGTACAATAAATAAATCAGAGATTACGTAAAAAGTGAGAATAAAACGAAGGCTTCACGATAGAGAATGGAATCGGATTTCCCATTATCTCCACTCTAACGCCATATATTCCTTCTCCCTTTATGCCTTCCACCAAACTTAGGTGTATTGTATCTAAGTACTCTAATTAGTAATTAACTAACCAACCCATTCATCTAACTTTTATCGATCATATAGTACAGAGTTACTAATCATATTTAGGAGTAATTAATACTAATAGAGTTTTTTATATTTAAAATACAAGAAGAAATGCATTAAAGAGGAATATATTCAAATAAATAAAGGAAGTCGAAAAGAAAATACTTTCTTCTTCTCTCTTCCGCGATTATCGTAAATCTCTGTCACAAAAAACCAAACTCTCTCTCTCTCTCTTGAGAAGAAGACATTCTCGAAAAATGAGAGCACGGCTACTACAATGAACACGACGCCGTTTCACTCGGATCCTCCGCCGTCGAGGACCCAGCGGAAGCTCGTCGTCGAGGTTGTGGAGGCGCGCAATATTCTCCCCAAGGATGGTCAAGGAAGCTCAAGCGCCTACGTCGTCGTCGATTTCGATGCTCAGAAGAAACGAACCTCCACCAAGTTCCGCGACCTAAACCCCATCTGGAACGAGATGCTCGATTTCACCGTCTCCGACCCCAAAACCATGGACTACGACGAGCTCGACGTCGAGGTCTACAACGACAAGAGGTTCGGCAACGGAGGCGGCCGGAAAAACCATTTCCTCGGGAGGGTTAAGATCTGCGGAAGCCAGTTCTCTAGAAGAGGCGAGGAAGGTCTCGTGTACTTCCCCTTGGAGAAGAAGAGCGTATTCAGCTGGATTCGCGGCGAGATTGGGCTTAAGATTTACTATTACGACGAAGCCGCCGACGACGACACGGCGATTGGGAACCAGCAACAACCGCCGCCGCAACAAGAAATGGATGAACAGTTTCCTCCGCCGCAGCAGATGCAGAATCTCCCGCCGGAGAAACCTAATGTCGTCGTGGTGGAGGAGAGTAGGGTTTTCGAATCGGCTCAGAGTCATGGCGATATGCGCCGTAGCTACCCGGAATCTCAGCAACCACCGATGGTCACCGTCGAGGAGTCACCGCAACCGGCGATGCAAGGTCCCGGTGATAATAACCATCATCCACGACCGCCGTCTCCGCCTCCTCCTCCGTCGCATCCGTCGGGGGCGGAGGTACGTTATTATCCGCCGGAAGTGAGGAAGATGCAGGTGGGGAGACCTCCCGGCGGAGACAGAATCAGAGTCGCGAAGCGACCTAACGGGGATTTCTCGCCGAGGGTTATCAATAGCAAAATTGGAGGTGAAACGACGACGGAGAAGACTCATCATCATCCCTACAATCTCGTTGAGCCAATGCAGTACCTCTTCGTCCGGATTGTGAAGGCGCGTGGCTTATCGCCTAACGAGAGCGCGTACGTCAAGGTACGCACATCGAACCATTTCGTCCGGTCTAAACCGGCCGTTAACCGGCCCGGCGAGTCAGCCGATTCTCCGGAGTGGAATCAGGTTTTCGCTCTCGGTCACAACAAATCAGATTCCGCCGCGTCCGGCGCGACTCTAGAGATCTCCGCTTGGGACGCTTCGTCGGAGAGCTTTATCGGGGGAGTTTGTTTCGATCTCTCCGAGGTTCCCGTTCGTGACCCGCCGGATAGTCCGCTCGCTCCTCAGTGGTACCGCCTCGAAGGCTCCGGAGCGGATCAGAACTCCGGGAGAGTCTCCGGCGATATCCAGCTCTCTGTCTGGATTGGTACTCAGGTTGACGAAGCCTTCCCGGAGGCGTGGAGCTCCGACGCTCCGCATGTAGCTCACACTCGCTCGAAGGTGTACCAATCGCCGAAGCTCTGGTACTTGAGGGTGACGGTTCTCGAGGCGCAGGATCTCCACATCGCTCCGAATCTTCCGCCATTGACGGCTCCTGAGGTCCGTGTGAAAGCTCAATTGGGATTTCAGTCGGCGCGTACACGACGAGGCTCCATGAATAACCACAGCGGATCGTTCCATTGGCATGAAGATATGGTTTTCGTCGCCGGAGAGCCTTTAGAAGACTGCCTGGTTCTGATGGTGGAAGACCGGACGACTAAAGAGCCAACGCTTCTAGGACACGTCATGATTCCGGTTAACTCAATCGAGCAGCGAATTGATGAGCGCTTCGTGGCGTCGAAATGGCATCCATTGGAAGGAGAAGGAGGAGGAGGTGGTGGTGGAGGAGGAGGGCCTTACTGTGGAAGGATTAGCTTAAGGCTTTGTCTTGAAGGTGGATATCACGTGCTTGAAGAAGCGGCGCACGTGTGCAGCGATTTCCGTCCGACGGCTAAGCAGCTCTGGAAACCGCCGATCGGAATCTTGGAGCTGGGGATTCTCGGAGCTCGCGGGTTGTTACCGATGAAGGCCAAAAACGGAGGGAAAGGCTCCACCGATGCTTACTGTGTAGCTAAGTACGGGAAGAAATGGGTCCGGACTCGAACCATAACGGACAGTTTCGACCCGAGGTGGCACGAGCAGTACACGTGGCAGGTTTACGATCCTTGCACCGTGTTGACCGTCGGCGTATTCGACAACTGGAGGATGTTCTCCGACGTCTCTGATGATAGACCGGACACTCGGATTGGGAAGATACGGATACGAGTCTCAACGTTAGAGAGCAACAAAGTGTACACGAATTCGTATCCTTTACTGGTTCTGTTACCGAGCGGTTTAAAGAAGATGGGTGAAATCGAAGTAGCGGTCCGGTTCGCTTGCCCGTCGCTGCTGCCTGATGTTTGCTCGGCTTACGGGCAGCCGCTTCTGCCACGTATGCACTACGTGAGGCCTCTAGGGGTAGCGCAACAGGATGCGTTGAGAGGAGCCGCGACGAAGATGGTTGCAGCTTGGTTAGCTCGAGCAGAGCCACCGCTTGGACCGGAGGTGGTTCGGTATATGTTGGATGCGGATTCGCACTCGTGGAGCATGAGGAAGAGCAAAGCGAATTGGTATAGGATCGTTGGGGTTTTAGCTTGGGCTGTGGGTTTAGCTAAGTGGTTGGATAACATCCGGCGGTGGAGGAATCCGGTGACGACGGTGCTGGTTCACCTTTTGTATCTTGTTCTCGTTTGGTACCCTGATTTGGTTGTACCGACGGCGTTCTTGTACGTGGTGATGATCGGGGTTTGGTATTACCGGTTTAGACCGAAGATACCTTCCGGTATGGATATTCGGTTATCACAAGCTGAGAGCGTTGATCCTGATGAGCTAGACGAAGAATTCGACACCATACCGAGCTCGAGGCGACCGGAAGTGATTCGAGCTAGGTACGACCGGTTAAGGATATTGGCGGTGAGGATTCAGACGATTCTGGGAGATTTTGCAGCGCAAGGGGAAAGGATTCAAGCTTTGGTTAGCTGGAGAGATCCGAGAGCGACTAAGCTGTTCATAGCGATTTGTTTGGCGATCACGATAGTCATGTATGTGGTTCCGGCGAAAATGGTGGCTGTGGCTCTTGGGTTTTATTATCTCCGGCATCCTATGTTCCGGGACACGATGCCTACGGCGAGTCTCAATTTTTTCCGGCGGTTGCCAAGCTTGTCTGATCGGCTCATCTAAGGGGTTTGACTTAAAACTAAATTAGGTGTTTTTGAGTATCCAACAGTTTCTCATGATACTTGAGCTGAGGAGGAGATAGAATAAATGGTTAATCTTGAAAGCTATGATTTTGATCATATTATTCTGATTCGTTATTTTATTAGTTTGGACTCTGTCTGAAATTATATAATCAGATGGTATGAGTTTGAGACCTGACTGTAATATTTTGAACCAAACGAGAGAGGTTTCAGATTTGAGCGGTGGAAAAAAAGAAGTCAAACTTATCAGTAGACTTTTCTGACCAGAGATTTGCTTTTGGTATCTCTGTGGGTTACTCTGTAATTTGAAATGGTTTATATTAATCGCTCAATTAAAAGTGAATTTTTATTTACATCTACAAATTGTATTAATTCTGAAAACTTTATGAAGGAAGCATTAATTGTGAAAACTTTAAATTTTAATGCTAAAAATTATTTTCGTACAATTGTCCGATAATCTAAACAAGTGTAAACGAAAGATAAAGCGCTAACGAATACGATTGGTTGAAAACCACAAAGACATCATCTGACGTGGCAGTTTCTCTGTCTCCAGAGTTTCCAGATACTCAGATAGTGTGCGAACGGCGAGAACTACACACGAAGAAAATCTCCAACCCCAAAAAATATCTCATCGCTTTCGAATTCGATCTTCCTCTTCCTCCAAATGGCTGTCAACGCTCCGATATCTTCTCCGGCGGCTCACCCGCGAACACAATTTTTCTCCAACCCCGTTCTCCCTCGCTTTCGCCGCTCCTTCTCCGCCGTGAAATCACCACCAGCTTTCTCAGTCGTCTCTATGGCTCCCCAGAAGAAGGTAAACTCTCTTTTTCTACCTCGCTAACATGTTTTGAGCTCTGAGATCTTTTGCATCAGTTTCTTTACACCATAGATCCTCAAATACTTGAAAGGAGTAAACTTTGATGTAGATTGATAGAAATCTTGTATATTATAAGGTCCATAGTTTAATCATTTCCGAATGCAGACAATTTTGATTATGGAAGCAAAGACATCACATTTATTGAAGTCTCTGTGTAGTATTCTTGCGGAGTTTTATATTCTTCTTTTAATTTGTGTAATCGTGTAAAAACTAGGTGAACAAATATGATCCAAAGTGGAAGAAGCAATGGTACGGAGCCGGACTGTTCGTGGAAGGGAGCGAGGAGATAAACGTCGACGTTTTCAAGAAGCTGGAGAAGCGGAAAGTGCTGAGCAACGTTGAGAAATCAGGTCTGCTCTCGAAAGCAGAGAGCTTGGGACTCACGCTGTCGTCACTCGAGAAGCTCAAAGTATTCTCCAAAGCAGAGGACCTCGGTCTCCTCAGCCTCCTTGAGAACTTAGCCGGTACATCGCCTGCGGTCTTGGCTTCGGCTGCATTACCGGCTCTGACGGCTGCGATTGTAGCCATTGTGGTGATCCCGGATGACTCGACTACGTTGGTGGTTGCTCAGACGGTTTTGGCCGGTGCTCTTGCTCTTGGCGGCGTTGTTTTGTTGGTTGGTTCTGTTGTTTTGGATGGACTTCAAGAAGCTGACTGATTCTTTTCATCTTTGTAAAACCAAAACACAAACACAAATGCAAATGATCTTTAAAGTTAATTCCTTTTTAGAGTTTATGACATATTTCCAAACTGGTGAAGAGGAAAGGTTTAAAATTGAAAAGTATAAACCCTAAGAGTCGTTTTCAGATCCGCTCTCTCTCTCTGCCGCCGCCGCTACCAGTGACGATGGAGATATTCAGAGACCTTCCGATGGATTTGGTAGAGGATGAGATACTGACTCATGTTCCGGCGAGGAATCTGAAAGGATTGGGATCTACATGTAAACGATGGAACCGTTTGTTCTACGGTGACCGGAGATTCGCAACGAAGCACGCCGAGAAAGCCGCAAAGCAGTTTGTGGTTCTCATGCTGACTCGGGCCTGCAGGATTTGTCCGACAATCGTCGATCTCGACGGAAAAATCCCATCTTTCGAGGTGCAAAGCGAGCTTAGCCTAGTCGATCCCAAGTATCCAGCTTCTCAGTTCGGTGTAGACATACCGTTTCACAGTGAGTTCGATTACGGAGCTGCTCGGGTCGATGTAGACGCAGTGTTACACTATGAGTTCAAGTATCCAGCTGCTGAGTTCCATGTAGGCGCAGTGTGTCACTGTGACGGCCTCTTGCTATGCACCTCCGCCGACGAATCTAGATTCGTGGTTGGGAACCCTTTTACCGGCGAGACCAAGTGGTTCGAACCCAGCTATAGGGACAGGAAAGAGCGCTTCTTTGTTCTCGGATACGGCAAGGATAAGAGCTACAAAGTCTTGAGCTTTTATCATTATGAGAAAGATTACGAAATCTACGAGTTTGGTTCTGACACGTGGAGGGTTGTTGATGAGATCTTAGCACCAGGGTGGGAGCTTGGATACTCGAGTTACCAGGTGTCTTTGAAGGGAAGTACCTACTGGTTCGCTGAAGATGAAACAAGAACGCAAACCAGATGGTCCTTGGTCAAATTTGATTACTCAGCAGAGAAATGTGTGCCTGTGGCTCTTCCCTATGAGTCCAAGGATTTTGAAATTAGGAGTCTTTCCGTTGTGAAAGAAGAGAAACTTTCCGTCTTGTTACAGCGGGAAGATGCCTCCAAGACTCAGGTATGGGTGACAAATAAGATTGATGATGAGAATGGGAGCTCCCCAGTGGTGTCGTGGAGCATGGTCTTAGCATTGGATTTGGGCAGGGATCTTTTTTGGTCTAATTCGGGAACTTTCTTGCTCGACGAAGAGAAGAAAGTCGTCATGACCACTGCGAGGTTTCTTGACCTTGAAGACGAGGACGAGACCGAGACGGAGACCAAAGACAGGTTATGCATTGTTGGGGAGGACAATCAAGTCACAGAGGTGCCTTTTGGACTAGTTGAGACGGATGCATTTGGGGCAGCTATCTTTAATTATGTTCCGAGTTTGGTTCAATTCGAGCGAGCTGGAGGCGAAAGGGAAAGAGCTGGAGACATGTGATCTCATTGCTTCTTCTTGCGCTTCTCTCTTTAAACATCTTAACTAAAGGACCATAGAAAGCTCAGGACCATACCAAGATTAATATGACTACATGAATATTTGCAATCCTTGATACATAAGTCTATAACTAAAATTTACATTCAATCTTTGATCTGACTACATTATGTAGTCACACGAGGATTAATATGAGTATCGTATAATGTTCAAACATATAGCTAGAGTTCGGATAAAGTGTTGGTAAGAGCTCATAGTAGTTGACCGATTGATTCTTTTTCTTTATAACCAAACACAAGCAACCTTTTATGCAATTGTTGTATGTCAGTTTTGCTGGAATCATGGTTCAGTGAGTATATGGTCAGAGAGAAGTGACAAAAATAACCAAATCAGACAGAAACTTTATAACAATTAAACAAACATTACATACATACAAATACTGAAGTACAGTGACAAAACAAAAAAAAAAGTCTACCTAAGCCCACAAAAATTACAAATTTTCCAGCTTCCCCAAAACAGAAAAAAAAAAAGAATGTAAGACAAAATTACTTATGAAAATCCAGAACAAACAAGAAATCCATTTTTTTTTGTTTGAACAGCAGCCATCAGATTGCTTTTGTTGTGGTGAAAAAACAAAAAGTTAAAGATCAAACAACAATAGGTTATTAAGTGAGTGCGTCGTGGAGATGCAATGACCCATCTTTCATCAAGTTAATGCTTAAGATTTTGTGTCTTGATGCCTTTCTCCAATCGGTTCCAGTTTTTATCTCACCACAAACTCATTATAATTTAAACATTTATCCTGAAAAAAAGAAACAAACATTTTGGATTCCCCTAAGTATACTTTGATAATCTTTCTCTAAGAAAGAGTTTGAAAATGGAATGTAGTAAGAGACTTTCTCGGTGTGGACTTTACTCATTATATCTATTAGAACGTTATTATCTAGTTCACCCAAATTGTCAGTTAAAGCTTTATGTAGCTCTTCCAATTCGATTTATCCACTTCCATCTTTGTCAAAAACATAAAACCATTACACAAAGTCACAAACATAAGGAAACTACAAAAACTGAAAAACTATGCACCAAATTTACACGTGAACTAGTTCATTATCTCACATAGTTTTATTCCAAACCATAACTGAAACCTATATTAAAAATAATATAAGAAGATATTAGATAAACAAGATTAAAAACCTCAAGAAACAAAGATTCATTTGTAAAAGGTAATGAAAAAAATTATTTGATGACTTTTCATTACTTCTTCAATAACTCTTTGTATATGTCCAGGTAAATCACCGAATGATTTTGTGTTTCATGAGATAAACACGAACGATGTCACCGATTTTATGTCTAAGCATTTCCCTGGTCTCACACCTAAGGTTTTAAGAACCTTCAATGCTTCAACACTATTTCAATCAAAGAATATATATATATATATAGTAGTATTTCTAATTATGTAGTATTTAATTTGGGATTGATAGTAGTATTTCTAATTATGTTTTTGATAATTAGTTGTTGGAAGAAGAGATGAAGATGAAGGGCCGTGATTTGAATGAGAAAATTAAGATTTATAACAAAATAAACGAGAAGGTACTCTTTACTTTAAATTCAAAATCGTTCCTTTAATTTATTTCAGGTTCCTTCAACACTATTTCAATCAAAGATATATAATTAAAGCTTTACGTAGCTCTTCTAGTTCGGTGTATCCATTTCCATCTTTGTCAAAGAACATAAAACCATTACACAAAGTCACAAACATAAGGAAACGACAAAAACTGAAAGTTTATGCTCCAAATTTACTCGTGAACTAGTTCATTATCTCACATAGTTCTATTCCAAATCATAACTGAAACCTATATTTAAAATAATATAAGAAGATATTGGATAAACAAGATTCAAAACCCCTAAGAAACAAAGATTCATTTGTAAGAAATAATGAAAAAAAAATTATTTGATGATGTCATTTTTTCTTAAGTCCACTTCTTATAGGGCTTCCAAACCGTGGAGTGCAAGAGGCTTGGAGTGTCAAGGAAGAAAAACCGTGGCAGCATCATTTTCAATACATTTAATAATTTGAATAAATGATTTTGAATAATTTGTTTTGAAATAGAAAAATTATATGTTATTCAAATATGAATTATTAAAAGTAGTTTAAAATCTATTGTTGTTGAACTTGTAATTTTAAAATACATTTTAAATTCAATGTTATTGTAAATATTTTAAATAATGGATTTTAGGTGATTTTAAGTGATTTAAAGGTATTTTAGTGGAATTTCTTAATTAAAAATATAAGAATCCAGATACCAAACACAAACAATCTTTTATGTTTGGTATTTTACTGTAAATTTGATTATATGTAGTCGAACGAATTTGATAACAATAGTGGTATTTTACTGATTGATTTTCTTTTTCTTTGTAAACCAAACACAAACAACCTTTTATGCAATTGTTGTATGTCAGTTTTGCTGAAATCATAACTGTTAAGGGTTCAGTGAGTAATGGTCAAAGAGAAGTGACAACCAAACCAAATCAGAGAGAAGCTTTATAACAATTAAACAAACATTACATACATACAAACACAATGAAAACAACAACAAAAAAGCCTAGCTAATCCCACAAATTTTCCAACTTCCCCAAAACAGAAAAAAAGAAAAGAATGTAAGACAAAATTACATATGAAAATCCATCAGATTGCTTCTGTTTTGGTGAAAAAAAAAACAAAGTGTTAAAGATCAAACAGCGATAGATTGTCCAGTGAGTGCATCATGGAGATGCAACGACCCATCTTTCATCAAGTTAATGCTTAAGCTTTTGAATCTCTCTCTTGAGTATTGTCTTGATGCCTTTCTCCAATCTGTTCCAGCTTTCATCATCACCACAAACTCATCATAGTTTATACGTCCATCCTGAAAAAACAAAAAAACCAAACATTTTCAATTTCCCTTTTAAGTACACTTTGACAATAATATTCCCCCAAGAAAATAAAATGATTAGAAAGAGACCTTGTCAGTGTCGACTTCACGCATTATATCGATCAGAACACTGTTGTCAGGCTCACCCAATTCATCTGTCAAAGCTTTCCGTAGCTCGTCCGATTCAATGTATCCACTTCCATCTTTGTCAAAGAACATGAAAGCTTGTCTAAAATGTTCATCATTCTCCATCTTCTGCAAGTGAATGATCACCGCTACAAACTCTCCATAGTCCAAGCATCCATTTCCGTTTACATCCGCCTGCATCCAAAACGTTAGCACCAGAGAAGAAGACCAACATTGTTTGATCTTTTAGGGAATTAGGTTTAGAATTTTACCACTTCCATCAACATTTTGATCTCTGGTTCACCGAGCTGAGAACCAACTTTCCGGAGTCCAGCTCTGAGCTCCGGATACGTTATTTTACCGTCGTTGTCGTCATCCATCAGTGTAAACATGTCTCTGATCACTTCAACTTCTTGAATTGACAAGTGCTCAGCGATTACCTGGAAAGTGGAAAGCAAGCAAAACAGAGTTTATAGTGAAACCAATCAAAAGAATGAGAGGAGGCAACAAAGACACTTACACGCAGAGCTTTCTTCTTCAACCTATTCATCATAGAGAATTGCTTCAACCTTGACCTAACAATATCCCCTAAAGGAACATTCGGAGCTTTCTTCGCATTCTGTATCCAAGGATGATCTGCAACACGGAGGAATCAGAAAACAAGTAGCAAGAAGAATCATCATAACTGACACAAAGCTCATCATTACCAAGAACTTGCTGAGCAGTCAAACGCTTAACCGGATCAGGATCCAACATCTGCTTCACAAGACTCTTTGCACTCTCTGATATCTGTGACCAAGGATCTCTCTTGAAATCAAGAACTCCCCTCAAGATTGCAAGCGCCACACCTTGCTCAGTCTCTGCATTCAAAAAACCTTGAAATCAGTCATACCAAAAAGTTTCCTTTTTTAGCAGTAACCAAAAAAGTTTCCTTTTTTTTACCAGCCCAAAACGGAGGAACACCACAGAGCAAGATGTAGAGGATAACTCCGGCGCTCCAAACATCAACCTCCGGTCCATAATTTCTCTTCAACACCTCCGGAGCCATGTAATAAGGACTCCCTACAATCTCTGTAAACCTCTCTCCTGCAAAATTCCATCAAAATTCTCATAAAGCAGATTCAGAGATAAAAATCAAAAATTTGTCTCAATGAAGAGTCAAAGAGTCTCTCTACCAGGTTTAAAGAGCACTGATAAGCCAAAATCAATCGCCTTTAATGGAGAATTCTCCTTTTTGTTAGCGAACAAGAAATTCTCAGGCTTTAGATCTCTATGCATGACGCCGTTGATGTGACACATCTTAACGACCTCGGCGATGGTTCTCGCGACGGTGGCCGCCGCGCGCTCCGTGTAATGTCCCCTGGCGACGATCCGATCGAAAAGCTCGCCGCCTTCGCAGAGCTCCATCACCAGGTGGACGTTCTCGTTGTCCTCGTAGGTCGCCTTGAGTTTCACGACGTTCGGGTGATCGGGAATCGTGGACATGATCGTGACCTCGCGGCGGACGTCCTCCACGTCGACGGCGGTCCGGAGCTTTCGCTTCGAGATCGATTTGCAGGCCAGAGCTTCGCGGGTCTCTCGGTCCGTGCAGAGGTATGTGATTCCGAATTCTCCGCGGCCGAGCTCTCGGCCGAGGATGTACTTGTCGCTGATCTGAGTCCGGTGGCTCATTGGGATCACGTCCGGGAGGACGCGGATGGGTCCGTGGGATCTGAAACCGTCGGAATCGGCGTATAGGTTGCGTTTCCGATCGGGTCGTTTCTTCTTCCGGGTCTGGGTTTGTTTTGACTCTTCCGAGTCAAACCTCACGCAGGCGTTGCAATTACCCATGCCCGAGTTTTCGAACTCGGTGACTCAGTAGAAGAAGATGAAGAGGAGTAAGTTAGAAGAAGCTCTGTTAGTCTTAATCCCGGCGACGGGAGTAGTATTTTCCGGCGAAACTGTGAGTCGGAGACTTGCAGAGAAGAGAAAAACGCGGGTTTAGAAGAAGAAAGGTTCGACCTTTTCGTAAAATTTCAATTTGATGTATAAAATATTGTATTTATATCGGAAATTGAAAAGGAAAACAAAAAGCAAGTTGTAATAAATTAGATAAAAATGTATTTCGAGCGATTTTCTAACCGATAAAATACAAAAGTCGTATGAGTCATAGCATTTACACTTGGCGGAATTCGATTTTTGAAAAATTGTGAAATGTTTTCAGTGATTTAAAGTTTTAAACGGTTAATTATGGTATTAGTCATATGAGTCATAGCATTTACTCTCTGGACTCTGGTGTATCTAAAAGGGTAATGAAATGAGTAGGGAAATAGTAGCCGTCGATTGGTTGAGGTGATGAAAACGAAGGGTTTAGATGTAGCTACGTGGAAGGGATAATTTGTTGAAGTTGTTGACCATAGAAGTGGATATGGTGACATTGTCAAAAAAGTGTGACGTTGGTTTCATTTGATTTGAGTGGGTGTTACGAAAATAAAAAGTCTGTTTTTTAAATCAATAAAATTGATTCATTAGAATCGTGAGAGTTTTCTATTATATGGAAAACTCTTAGATTTTATTTTCGTTTTTTATCGTGTAATATTATATGGAAAAAAATCGTATGAAGTTGTCAAATTTTAGATAAAATCTAACATTGGAATTAAAAATCTCAATCATAGTTAGGTGTTGTGTGAGTAATGTATTATGGGTGATTTGAAAGTTTCTGCAAAAAGATTTGGTGAAGATAATAACAGGTTTGTAATCAGTATAGCAGAAATTAGGTGTAGACTTTGTCAATGTAAGGACCAAACGATCGAACTTTGTTGTGTGACATAAACAAATAAAAATGAAAGAGTAAACATGAAGATTCCATTGATCAAAGTCAACAAAATGCAAACAAATGGGAACGTCTTGGAATTTTGTTTTTCTCTAACAAGTAATTCAATTTATATTCGAAGAATGAATTGACAAATGTGTCGCCATGTCGGGTTCTTATTCGGTTTTGCTTACCAACAATTTGGGTTTAAATTCCAAAAAAATGGTAAAAACATCATTTCGTAATCTTTTTCAAACAACATACCTCAAAAATGTCAATTTGCGCAAACCATATCAACAATTAATTACATCCAAACAAAGATTGAAATTTTTGTTCGGGCTTTATCTTACTCGTACTTTGTTATGTTTAGACTCGTTCACTGTTTGAAATGTTCAGATACACATATACTAATATAGTATCAATCCAAAATTTTAAGATTCCATGAAAACTAATAATTATGAATGGGCTAATGTCGACGAGATTGATTTTCCCAAAACAACAAAAAAGAAAGATAAAGAGGAAATGATGGACCATGTTTATCTTGTGCAACTTTTACGCTGGCAACTGATTTAATTAAGAGGAAAAAAAAAATTGAAAAAGGGACTTTATTTGATGAGGGAAAAAACATGAGATTGTGTATGAAATGATGGGCTCAACTTAGATGTTTGAGATTGCATGTGTATGTGGCGTTGTCATGCCAACCATTTCATTCATTGAAGTCCCATCACTTTTTTTCCTTCTTCATAAAACTACAAACCTAAAACTATACACTTTATGGGAAGATTAATAGAATATGAATGAATCCATGCCGTTGGAATTAAATGGGGTTACAAGTAAATAGTAGTTGTGTTTCGACTGTAATTTGGTTATTCTTTGCGTTCGGTGTGGTCGTTTACCATCCACACATAAAATTTCTTCACTGTTGATCTCTTTTCTTTTACCATACTAAACGTTTTAAGTACATTGAACATTACTCAAAGTCATTCTCTTACCACACATACATCTTGGAGAAGACCAAATAAACGATGGATAAAGTATAATTACGATGCTGTTCAATACAAGACAAGTAGATGGTGGAGCCGTGGAGGGCCTTCAAAATGTTTGGAGTATGAGTTTTTATGAAATCGGTTTCGAAGGAAACTGCTAAATTATGGTTAGTACCAGAGCCGTCAAAGAGCCATAAATCAGTAAGGGACGTTAGTGTAGAAAATATGTTCAAAGATATCACAAGATGGTCTTCATGATTTTTAGATGCTAATTTTCTTCATGTCAATATTGTTTTTACTCACGATTTATATTTGAAAAGATATCATTACATAGTCTTCATGATTTGTAGATGCTAATTTTCTTAATGTTCTCGCACATCCTTTTGCATAAACATAGCTCTCCAAAAAAAGATTTTATTCTCTGTTGCATTTACCCACACCATATTGGTTTATCCAAAATTAAACTATGACAAAGTAACTTCTAAATTAGTAAATTTACAAAATCATCCTTGCGTTGAAAAGAAAACATATAGTTGGTCTCGAAAAAGAAAAATTAAATGGGCTTAGTAGGATAGCTAATACCAAAGCCCATTATCTTTTTATTTTGACTTTTCACTGTTACACCTTAAAACGAAATGCTTGCAAGGAAAGTATAGGCAATGTGTAGTTCATCGTTCCACAATTTTTGTTTGTTTTTGTTTTGTTGTTTTTAACATTTTAGAGATTTTCTTTTGGATTAAGAATGTTCTAAAATCTAAAATAAAGGAGACGGTATGATATTTAGCGCGGATCGAATCATATCCACTAAAATCCCGGTCTCTATTTGACTCTCTCTCTCTCTCTAATCTAAACTCTTAACTAAACTCACAAAACTGTCATTTTCTAGACATGAAAGTAACTCCACGTGTCCGCGAAAACTTGAGGAGGACAAAACAGAAACGTTGCACAAAGGGGAACAAAGTTAAGACGAAATGTGCTGTTTTTATAGCTAAAATCCAGATATTCTTTTCATTATCACAAATCAACCCCTAACTTTAAAAGTAACAAATTAGACTCTACACTGTTTAAGAGTTAACATGTAAAACCGATTGATATGACAAATTATTACTTTTGATTGATAATGATCATTACTAGTTTTAGCATGTTTTACACTTTTAGTATCGTGCAGATAAAGATTTGAATTGCTAATTAGTAAAGGAAAATATTCATTGTGGTGTTATATGAGTAATAAAAAGATTTAGGGGTAAAGTGGAAAAGGTAGGTAGGTTAAAACGAAAACAATTAAATAAAAAAATAAAAAACAGAGAGAGTAAATGCAAAAAGTCGTGACCTTTGCGAGGTCGTAAGCCTCTCTGCCAAATTTGCTTGGAGAGCAAAACAAAAACTTTAGAAGCTTTCATATTTGACGGCCACAGAGGGAGAGAAGGCAAATTCGCCTTTTTTTTTCTCTCCCGTTATCGTTTTCTCCATTTCCCCTGAAACTCTGTTCTTCTGTTATCTGGTGAAAACGAAGCAAGACGAAGGAAGTCAAAACTCCACCATTTATAAAAGGTGACTTCGTAGTCTCGCTTCTGTCTTACTTTTCCGATGGAAATCTCTCTTCTTTCTTAGCTATAAATGCCGCAGATCTCTGGGTTTCTCCTCTTCTCTCCTCTGTTTTTCCCCTGTTTGGATCACCGGCGTTCTTACCGAGTTTCGAATTCCGTTTGCTTGAAATTAAACGTTTGACTGTTATTTAGCTAGATTGTCCTTTTAATCTTCCTTCTAGTTGATCAGTATTTAAGATTTGAATGTAAATCAGATTGGAGGAAACAGAGCAGAGGCTCAGTTTCACTGTTGTGACTGCAAAATGATTTTGAGCAACTGCTTATGATGCTACACAAAATGGGGATGGTCAAAAAGTACACTTTTTTCAGTAGACATTGTTGTATAGTCTAGTTTCTGCCATTTTGGATCTCTTGCTATGTGAAAAAGGATGATACTTTCTTGAGAATCTGAAAGAAAACGGAAGGCTTCAGCTTTTGTGTTTCCGTTGAATGGTTTAGTCTATGTGTAATGTACAAAATTTCTCTGTTTCTTCTAACTTTTAAGGGACAAAGAAGTATACATTTTTCCCTTGTAATTCATGGCTTGGTTACACTAATTACTGCGTTGGTGGCTCCATTGCATTGACATAATTCTGGTGAGAGATATCAGGTAGTGTAATAGGTTGCTAACATAGTTTTCAGGGGAAAAGTTTTCTTTTTTATGTTTGCTTGATATTTGAATCTTTATGAGCCTTCTCTGAGTTTTTTTTTTGATTCATTTGTTTGTTTGCAGACAATGATTCGTGCCAAGAACATCAGTAACCTTTCTAGTTCAGCAAGATCCTTTTTTCTAGGAGGAACGAGACCTAGTGCAGCTGATGGGAACTCCTGTACACACGCTGAGGATGAAAGCTGCGTCTCAAAACGCCAGCAAATCAGGACTGAAGCTGTACAGACTGGTAAAAGAGCGTCTAGTTTAGTATCAGGGAGCATATTACAACCAGTTGATGCTGTTAAACCGGCTGTGGTTTCCAAGAACGTTGAGAGTCTCACCAGGCCGTCTCTTCTTCCACAGCATGTTTCTTCTCCTGCTTTGCCAGGGAAATCAGATTCTGTAAACCATGCTTCTGCTGTTATCGAGAAAGACGCTGTGGTACCTATTGGGGATCAGATATTCAAGGCTGGTATTGGAGCTGTGAGTTTCTTGTCGGATATAGCAAACTATAAGATCCCTCTACCATCCAATGGTGCTGAAGTCGTTGGTCTGCCTATGGTTGATCCTAACCGGCCTGTTTCAAGTGTTAAAGCTTCAAATGTTAAAGTCATTAGAAGAGAGCATCTTGCTAAAGTCTCTCGAGGTACTAAAGAAGCTGAAAGATCTGGATTTGTCAAAGGCTTCAAGCAAGAAGCTTCAAATGAAGTTCAGAGTTTACCAACTAATGCTGCCACAGGGAAGAGGAAAGGCATGCCACAAATACACAATATTGATGCCTCAGGTGGTTATGACTATAATGTAGACAGGACGTTTAGTAAACCCTCAAGGGAAATGATGAGAGTGACTGCTTCAACACCTAGGCAGCAGTACTGTAACACGCCTGGATACGTTGTAGAGAATGTTTCTAGTATACTGCGGAGATTCAAATGGGGACCTGCAGCTGAAGAGGCACTTCAGAATTTTGGTTTGAGGATGGATCCATACCAAGCGAACCAAGTGCTTAAGCAGATGGACAACTACGCTAATGCGCTTGGTTTCTTCTACTGGCTGAAAAGACAACCTTGGTTTAAGCATGATGGGCATACGTACACCACCATGGTTGGTAACCTTGGCCGTGCAAAGCAGTTCGGTGAGATAAACAAGCTTCTTGATGAGATGGTTAGAGATGGATGTCAGCCAAATACCGTTACGTATAACCGACTTATCCATAGCTATGGCCGTGCGAATTACCTCAATGAAGCTATGAACGTTTTCAACAGAATGCATGAGGCTGGATGTGAGCCTGACCGTGTAACTTACTGCACGCTTATTGACATTCATGCTAAAGCCGGGTTTCTTGACATTGCCATGGACATGTACCAGAGAATGCAAGCAGCAGGGCTCTCTCCTGATACTTTCACCTACAGTGTTATAATAAACTGTCTTGGGAAAGCTGGACATTTGCCTGCTGCTCATAGGCTCTTCTGTGAGATGGTTGATCAAGGTTGTACACCTAATTTGGTCACTTTCAACATCATGATAGCTTTACATGCCAAGGCGAGGAACTATCAGAGTTCGCTGAAGCTCTACCGAGACATGAAGAATGCAGGGTTTCAACCTGATAAAGTGACGTACAGTATAGTTATGGAGGTGCTTGGACACTGTGGATATCTAGAGGAAGCAGAGGCTGTTTTCACTGAGATGCAGCGTAAGAACTGGATCCCTGATGAGCCGGTTTACGGTCTTTTGGTTGATTTGTGGGGAAAAGCAGGTAATGTGGAGAAAGCTTGGCAGTGGTATCAAGCAATGCTTCAAGCCGGTCTGAGACCTAATGTTCCAACTTGCAATTCCCTTCTCAGCACTTTCCTTAAAGTTCACAGACTCTCTGAAGCCTATAACTTATTACAAAGCATGTTGGCGCTTGGTTTACAGTCTTCTCTGCAGACATATACATTGCTGTTGAGTTGTTGCACAGATGCTCGTTCAAACTTTGACATGGGATTCTGTGGCCAGCTAATGGCGGTCTCAGGTCATCCTGCACACATGTTTCTCTCTAGAATGCCACCTGCAGGTCCTGATGGCCAAAAGGTGCGTGACCATGTCAGCAACTTCCTTGATTTTATGCACAGCGAGGACAGAGAGAGCAAGAGAGGACTCATGGACGCAGTGGTGGATTTCCTCCACAAGTCTGGTCTAAAAGAAGAAGCTGGCTCTGTCTGGGAAGTGGCTGCGGTTAAGAATGTGTATCCAGAAGCATTGAGGGAGAAAAGCTGCAGCTACTGGCTTATAAATCTCCATGTAATGTCAGAAGGAACTGCAGTCACAGCGCTGTGTAGGACACTTGCTTGGTTCCGTAAGCAGATGTTAGTTTCAGGAGACTGTCCTTCACGGATTGATATAGTGACTGGTTGGGGAAGACGAAGTAGAGTCACAGGCACGTCCATGGTGAGACAAGCAGTTGAGGAACTGCTGAATGTGTTCAAGTTCCCGTTTTTCAAAGAGAATGGGAACTCAGGCTGTTTTGTTGGATGCGGAGAGCCTCTCAAGAACTGGTTGCTTGAGTCATATGTTGAGAGGATGCATTTGCTCTAGGTGTAGATTTGCTATTATTTAGTTTGTTTTTTTATTAAGGCCTATTGGATTTGGCTTGGTTTTGTACGTCATAAGTTTAAGGTTTAAGGTTAGTGATAACTGGAAATTGTCTCCAGATTTTTGTTCTCTATGTCAACATTATCTCCTCTTGCAATGGTTTGTAATGGGAATTAGATTATAAATCAATCTTTGAGGGTGATAGTACCCAATTTTTTTTTTTTATTAACATTTGGGATATATGTTTTTGTATGTTTTATATTTGTACAACACATCAAATGTTACAAAACTGTTTTCTTACACATCAAATGTACTATATTGCTGATTCTATAATGATGTGAATGGAAAATGAAAATTGCAGGAAAATCTAAAGGAGCCTTGAATTGTAGGAGCCACATGATGTGCATTTGTGGTAGAGCCAATGGTAAGGAGCGTTTCCTTTTCTTCCACAGTCATTACATAGTATCACCTGCATCAAACCATCTTTTCATTCAGTTTTTCTTGCATAGTGAGAGAGCTGCGTCGTCTCTATGTAACAATATGTAGAGAGAGAGACAGAGAGATCTTAACCTGAGTTTTGTTGGAGTATTCATCAGGCATCTTCTCTTCTGCAAGCAATGCGTCTAACATCCTAAAGTAGACCTGTGTAAGACCATTTTTTAGTGCATGAATGAACAGTGTTTATTGTTTCAATAACAACACTCTGTTTGAAAATGGTGTAACTGACCTGCATATCTCCTAGCGACTTGCTGCAGACAGGACATGTGTAATGTGAACATGTGTACTCCTACACCAACAGAATCAGAGAACAAACCTTTAGTAACCTTACCAACGTTACTCAGGTTTTCATTTTCACCCAAAAGCATATTTTGACATAGTTAAGTACCTGAAAGCATGTCGAGTGCATCAAGTGACCGCAAGGAAGAGCCTTCACTGGAGAGCTGGAGGTGAAAATGTACTCGTGGCAAATCGGACAATTGTCTTCTAAGCACTTTTCTCTGCAGACATGTTCTACTAAAGAACGTGACATACAAGCATTACACTTCATGCAATGGAAGTAGTCAATGCCCAATCCTTTCCCTACCCGGCAGAGATTGCAGTAAGGACAGTGATAAATTTTCCTGTTTAAGAACATTTTATTGTCAGTCTCTACCAATCTCAATCTATATAATTTTCAGCTTAACCAGAGTCATATGATTTTCTAAAAGCAGAGGAATAGTTACCTTTCATCGTCATATAATTTGCATATTTTGCAGAAATATTTTCCCATTGACAACTTGCAAGAAGTGTTTGAGCAATTTGCACCAACCGGCTGAATCAGGAGGCATTTCATGCACATCATCTTTTTGATTTGTTTCCTGCATAAGTAGAATTCAAGAAAACCAGAGAGAATAAAGTAACAAACAAACAAGATTGTCAAAGTTTCTTTACATGGAAGCATATAGAAGATGTATATATACACACTACCTATCAACCGAGTGATCAGCTTCTTCGTCATGACACCGTATACACGTGAAGAGCTGGTTGCAACAAGGAGCAAGAAGCTTGCAACTCCTCTTGTAGTGATTGCAACCAAATACCAAACCGTGAGAATCACGGTAAGATGGATGATGACCAGGAACTGTTTCTACATTGCTTGAGAGAGTTAAAGGTTCTAGATTATACATCCTCTGCGAGATAATCCAACGGCTGAAAAAAAAGGTACCTGACATAATGTTTAGTCTCAACATAAAAAATTATTATGATCTTTGCATACTTAACCTAATGAAATATTTATCATCACCTACCTCATCAACAAGTTTTGCCGGATATATAATTTCTTCTGAGGATCCAGTGAAGAGTCGCATGATATTTTTCTAATCATAGCCGCAAGCTCTTCTTGACACATTGTTAACAGTTGTTCATATTTCTTGGATTGACCAAACTGGCTTGCCTTCTGAGTCATTGGAACCGCTTGAGCATGATTCTTGATCTGACAATTGCTGCAAGTTTGTTCTTTGTCCTCCTTTTTGTCAGCTTCTCTACATATCTTTTTGCTTTCTGAAATTTCCTGATGTTCCTTCTCTCTGTTTCCAACTTCGACATTCTTATCAGGAGCAGTCTTTCCGAGTGGCTTATCCAAGAAACCTGTAAAGTAATCTGTCTCTGAAATTTCGACAAAGTTCCCTCTGTCTCCAACAGAAACTCCTTCAAAGAGATAGTTCCAGACAATCTCCAATGGATCTGAATCCCCAAATGGATCGTTGTTGGCTTCTCCTGCTTCTTCTTGTATAGAATGACCGTTGTACCATTCAGTTAGCCACTCAACAAACATTGTCTTCCTTGTTGCTTGCCTCCATAAGGACATCGCGGCGTGCTGTTCATCAGAGGTCAAAGAATCCATTAACCAAGGAATCATATCTTGCAAGATTTCTCCACTTATTCTCCCAAGCATGCATCCTATGATTTTCTCTTGTTCTTCAATAGCGAAACATTCCCTGAATAGACCCCAGAGCTCAGTTTCTTCATGTTGGAAATGCTCAGACAATAGCTTGTGCATGGATTTGCACAGCTCTTGGAGACTCAGACATAACCGCTCATACTTCATCTTCCGGTGGTGGTCTGCTTCACTGGAGACCAACATGTTCAGCTCAGACATCTCATTCAAAATGAAAGACACTTTATCGAAGTGTTTGATCTCTAGCTCATGATCGATACTAAACGAGTGACTAATGTTTTTGAGCTGTCCCTTTGCCTCCAATGCTGGAAATGCAATCTCATCCTCTGCGTCAGAATGTATCTGATACAGAAACTTTATCATATGGAATCTCTGTTGAAACTCTCCAAGGAAACGAAAGTCAGCTGCCAACCTAGCTGATCCAGAGACAAGATAGTCCAGATCCATCTTCATTGCCTTGTGGAAGAAGAAAAGAAGATCAATTGGTTTTACATCCATGATGAATGATGGATCATCCATGTTCTTGTCACCAAAAAACTCTGGAAGATGGAGAGGAGGCGGCTTATTAAGCTTTCCAGAGAAAAGCATTTGCTGATTCATTCGGCTAGAGTAAGGTGTCTCACACATGTCTCCAGCAGCCGGATCTTTTAACAGGAAGCATGTTGAGGACTTGTTTTTCTTCCCGGGACATAGATTCAAATCAACTCTAGATCCAGATGCCTCTTCCTTTGGGCAGAAGCATCTTACTTTGAACGTTAGGGACAGCTGTTTCCAGAAACTCTCAACAGAGGTTTTGCCTGAGTAGCCAAAGCGAAACCACTGCAACAAGAGGCGTGCAAATGGTTTTCTTGGAGAAGAATCTTCTGAACTTAAGAAATGAAGAATGGATTGAGACTCCTCTTCTGAAAGATGAGCAGAGAACCAGAGAATGACACACTTTAGCAATCCAAGAGGTAAGACATGAACGCTTGTGTACAGAAGCTGCCTCTGCATTTCATGGTTGCAATTCTTGCTTATGATTGGGAACACCTAGAGAACAATCTCAAAGTGAATATATTAGTTCTTGAAAAAACATCCATTAAGTTTATAGGAGTTTAAAAAGTTTACCTCTGTTCTCTGTATGTAAAATTGCTTTGTTACTTGGACTATAAGGGACTCAAGTTCCTCCTGAAGCTTCAATAGAAAATTGTCTGTTCTCATTTTTCCATCAGTTTTGTATAACAATCTCTGAAAATTCTCTAGACAGCCATCAATGGTGAATTGTTTGGCAGTTGAAGAAGAGCGGCGATCTGTAATTTCATCTAGCAACGGATGAAAGAACTTCTTGAATGCATTGCTGCAACAAAACAGAGCCATCAGAGAAAATAAGGCAGAAATTAAGAGACTAATCATGTTATTCAACAAAATATTGTTACCTATAAGAAACAAGAACATCAGCAAGAAAGTTTAATCGAGCCATGAGTACATCAATGTCCCAAAGAAGGCTTGGAGATTTTGCTTGGCCTAAACCTTCATGAATCTCTCTCAAATCTTTTTCAATTGCATTTTGGAAAATCTGAAGTCCATTAATAGGGCTGTGTCCTAAATCTTGAACAGAAAGGGACTTTTTACTCCATTGCCAAAAGCGTTGAAAACATCCACTGGACGACGGATTTGTCTGAAATCCTTTCATGATCTTTGTAGGAGCCACACAAGAAGATTGAGTGTTTTCAAGAAGCCAAGAGCTTATGACCTTTCAAGAAATTAATTTTTATATTATCAGATGTAAGAAAAACATATAGCAAATCTCAGCAAAAGGAGATCATGTACCTGTTGCAATGAGTGTTCAACTGGGACAACATCTTTAATGCAATTCTCAACTTCAGTTTTCTCCTCGTGAGAGAGATAAGACATCATCCATGGCAAAAACTCTTCAAGGACCATCGCTGGAACACTACAGATGAATTGCCACACAAGTGATGCCTGTTCTTGGAATGAGAACTTCTCAATCAACAGAGGAAAGACCTGCATGACAATAAGATAGTTTCTGATTCTCAACTTCAAAGACTAATCAAAATTGTGGGAAGCAAGCAACACTATACCATACCTGACGCTCTTCTTTAAGCATATGCTGAGATATGGATGACTGAATGGTGCCTATGCATACTATAACTTGACGAAGTACATCACTTGTGCTCCCTATTTCCTCTTCAAGAACATGTAGCCATTCAAAAATTGAGGTGAAGAGCTCATCTGTGCCATCATGCTCAAGCGAGTAATTAGAGACAACGTTTTTCACCCGTGCATCGAGCGCCAAAAAGAGGACCTGCCAGTAACAAAACCATTGTATATTTATACTGACATCACAAATACACAAATTGAAACCTGGAGAAGCAACAAAAGTTTAAGAATTTCACATCAAACAAAACTTGGATAACATTTTTGAAAACATGAAAAGTTAGAAACCTAAGTCTACCCAAGAACAGAGGAAATTATGTAGATAAGCCAGAGAGGACATACAAGTTAACTTAAAACGCAAGTAGAATCTCTTTTGGTTCCAGAATCTCGTAACCAACCAAGATTATATAAGATGATGACTACTTAAGCTCTTGTCTGAATTCTAATAGGTATCATGATTAGCACCAAAATGCAACCTCAGTCATGTACTAATAATCTTTAAAACTATTTACCAAGAAATAAACTTAGCTTGGTCGAAATTTCTTTACACTAATATTAATTTCTTGAATAAAAAGAAACTTCAGATAAATAAAATCTAACCTCGTCTTCGGCGGCGGAGTGATACTTATATACAAGCTTCAAAAACTCAAACTTCCGGCACAGCTCCCCGGCCAGATCCCGGCTAAAAAAACCGGCTACTACGGCGTCAGTAGCAAAACGCCGGAGCTCCGCTAGCTGAGCAAGGAAAGCCTTGTGGAAGTAAACGAAGAACAGAACCGGTGCATCAGAAAGATTGGTATTTCCGACGGTAACCGTAGAAGCAGAAACCAAAGCATTCTCGGCCGAACTATTCCCCTGTTCGTTATTTTCCGGCGGAAGGGGATGGATATTTCCGCCTCCCATTTACTGTAACAACCACCGTGAAATCAAATCTTTGTCGTCGTCGTGAAGTGAAGGAGAAGAAAAGGGAAAGAAAGAAGCGAGTTGGGGAATATAGAAGGTTTTGTAAGGCATTGATCATCTTTCGTCGTCGTCGTCACTCTCTCTCTCTCTCTCTCTCGGCTGAAGCTAGCCAGTTTTTTAATCAGTTTGTAGGTTTAGGCTTTAATTAATCAAATTTAAAACCTTTGTTATTATATTATGTTAGAGGTGACCGAGACGTTGGAGCTGAAACCCAACAAAGCTTATATCATACTTATGGCGGGATTATTAAACTTCAATACTATTTGTTTTGTCTCTATTTATTTGGCAAAACTAACTAAAGTAGTATGTTTTGTCTCTTATGTTGTTGTTTTATTTCCCGCTTTATTTCTCAGAAGTTGTTAACCAATATATGCATGAGAATGAGATGATGAGGAGTTTAAAATCCATAACATTTTAATCAGTTCCTTTAGGGAAAAAAACGTAGATAGTTGAAATTTAAATGAACAAACATTTTCTTACCTGATATTAATAAACATTATATTATATCATGATTTAGTAACCATGACCCTAATTTTTATGGTGTATATGTGAGAATAGTAGCTACCTACTTCTAAAATAAAAAGAATATAGTTATTTAACACGAATTGGGATTTGATATCATACCATTTACGATTGATTTTTGCTTAATATTTTTTGAAATGGAAACAATAGTGTTGTTTGTCAACTGTTCATCATTAGTTTATTTCCCTAACCTCGTTGATTATGATATACAGTATGCAGGAAATAGCATTTAATTATATGATTAACTAAATGCGTGATACCACATATAGAGATCAATACTTTTATAGTACATGATTTTATATCGGATTTGCTCAATAGTAGTTTGGTCTTCTTCTTTTATATAATAGTAAAAGAAGTATATAAAAATCTCGTGATTTGCGGACGATTGGCTGAGTAAGACCTCGTGATATTAAAAACGAGATTGGTCGATTTCCACATACGACGATGTATGTAATAAAATGGCCTGACTCTGGCCGGCCGTACAGTTGTCTCCATCCTCCTAGACCAGTCAAACGTTGACTCCGTTAGTTTAATCCGTTATTAACTCCCCCGTTCCGTCTTCTCTCCTCCACGAGCCGTCTTGTGCCCGTCGTGTGCTCTTCTTCTTACTCCACGTGGCTCTCCACTGTTACCACTTAACTGGGCTCAAATAATCAAGACTACGCCTTCTAAAATACATGGGCCTATCCTAATATTATCAGCCCATTACGTTTTAATTATCAAATAGTGGTCCAAAATCATTTATGATGAATAACATAATTTAAACGTGAATCGCGATCGTGATTTCGTCTTCAAGTGGAGGGAAGGAAAAGAGTTTGACCTTCTCATTTTTTCCGGCGAGAGAGAGGCGGAGGTAACTGGCGGCGATGGAGATGCTGCGATCGAAATGGGTGGCTATGGCGGCTAGTATATGGATACAGTGCACAAGCGGCGGTTCCTACACCTTCGGAATCTATTCCGCAATCCTGAAATCGAGCCAATCGTACGATCAATCCACCCTCGACACCGTCTCCGTCTTCAAAGACATCGGCGCTAACGCCGGAGTTTTCTCCGGGATTCTCTACACATACGCTACCTCCAATCGCCGCCGCACTCGAGGAGGCGCAGGCGGCGGAGGAGGTCCTTGGATGGTGCTCGCAATTGGGGCAATCCAGTGCTTCGCCGGTTATTTTCTCATTTGGGCTTCCGTCACCGGACTGATCGGAAAGCCGCCGGTTCCTCTGATGTGCCTGTTTATCTTCTTAGCTGCGCAATCGCAAACGTTCTTCAATACTGCCAACGTCGTTAGTGCCGTCGAGAATTTCGCTGACTATGGTGGCACTGCCGTCGGCATCATGAAGGTGAAAACTCATCTGTAGATTACTGGAATTGAGAATTCACTGCAAAAATGGTTAATTAGGTTTCAAGATGTTAATTTGTTTAGGATCATAGTGAAGCAACAAAGCTTATCTCCATTGTTCTTGGCAGGGCTTTCTTGGTTTAAGCGGTGCGATTCTGATTCAACTGTATGAGACGGTATGCGGTGGAGATCCGGCGAGTTTCATTCTTCTGCTGGCGATAACACCAACGGTTCTCTCCGTCTTGGTGATGCCTTTAGTGAGGATCTATGAAACAAGCACAGTGGATGATAAGAAGCATTTGAATGGTCTATCAGCTGTATCTCTTCTCATTGCAGCTTATCTTATGATCGTTATCATTCTGAAGAACACTTTTGGTTTGTCATCGTTAGCTAATGTTGTCACTCTCGTTTGTCTCCTCTTTCTACTTGCATTGCCTCTCCTTGTTGCGAGCAGAGCACATCGAGACGACACCGGAAAATCAGTGCTACCGGATCAATCCCCTCTAATTCCTGAAGGAGAGAGTCAAGTAGAAGCTAGTTTGAGTAGTGAGAATCTGAATCTTTTAGAAGCTATGAAAAGCTTAAGCTTTTGGTTGTTGTTTCTCGCCATGATTTGTGGGATGGGGTCTGGACTTTCGACGATAAACAACATCCGGCAGATAGGCGAGTCTCTTAGATACTCATCCGTTGAAATAAACTCATTGGTCTCCTTGTGGAGTATATGGAACTTTCTCGGTAGGTTTGGAGCCGGTTATGCCTCGGATGCTATGCTGCACAGAAAAGGATGGCCACGTCCGTTGCTAATGGCTGCGACACTTGGAATGATGACTATGGGACATCTGATCATAGCCTCTGGCTTTCAAGGGAACCTCTATGTGGGCTCTGTTATTGTTGGCGTTTGTTATGGCTCGCAGTGGTCACTCATGCCTACAATCACCTCTGAGCTGTTTGGGGTTCCACACATGGGAACCATCTTCAACACCATATCCGTGGCGAGTCCAATCGGGTCTTATATCTTCTCTGTGAGATTGATCGGTTATTTCTATGATGAGGCTGCTTCTGGAGAAGGGAACACTTGTTATGGCTCTCACTGCTTCAGACTGTCGTTTGTTGTTATGGCGTGTGTTGCGTTTTTTGGGTTTCTTGTTGCATTGGTGTTGTTCTTTCGGACGAAGACGCTTTATCGACAGATCCTTGTGAAGAGGCTGCATCGCCGATAGAGTTCTTGTGAATACTTAGGGAAAACGAATACAGCTTCTCTTGCCGCATCCATGGAGGCAGAGGTACATCAATTACTTTACCTATAAGTTGTCTGTAAACTTATGTATCCATTGTCTTGTCTGTGTTTAGAGATGGGAAGAACGAAGGCTGAGATCTTTATCTCTCTGTTTTGAGTTTCTTCCACAAATGTGAGTTTTGTTGTTTTTGCGAAGTGTACAGACATATTCCCCCAATAAATGTTGAAATTCTTTAATTCATAGTGTTGATTTATCTAATTATTGATGCTGCTAAGTCTCGTTCATTCATTCTTCAGACTAATCACAAACCAATCACCAATCACCGCTCACCAATAATTCTATTCATTGCGTTTCCAGTTATACTTTTGACAATTTCCACATGATTTAGAGTTTACTTGATTAGAAAAATATGATTTTGGGATATAAAAAAGTCAAAATTTGCAGCTTTAAATGGAAGAGAACTTGAATAAGAAGATAATTACTTTTTGTTCGTTTGTCATCATCTGTTGCTTTACTTAGCTTTAATGCAAACCTACTTTCCGAACTCTAACTCAAACCTACTTTTCAAACTCTAAAATCGAGATGTAAAAGGTCAACTACTTTGACTTTCCAATCTCAAGCCGATAATCTCGTGAACGGGAGAAGAATCAAAAGCTAGCAAAGCAAAGAAAAAAGAAAGAAACTTTTGTCCATCGTTCCTCTGTTTCTGTGACACGAGACAGTTGAAAAATTCAAAGCAAAGATGAAGATATTCATTAATAATGATATGAGAAGAGAGATTTCTGGGGGGATATGGTTGTTGGTGGTAGTCATGGGAAGACAGTAAACGCCATCGCAATTGCATTTATTCTGTCTGTAGAGTCAAACAAACAAACACTAAATTTTTATTATTTGATTCCTGTCCTCCTGAGAGCTCATATGTATAAAAAAATAGAGGTTTCTCTTTCTTTTCTTTCCCACTGTCATTATCCATTCTCACCAAGATTTGTCTCTTCTGAGACACGATGATGCTTCACCGATCTCTTGTGTTCTTGCTCCTCTCATGCTTCTCTCTTTCTTCATGGGCTCTTCCTCTTTGTTCCGATTCCAGTGAGTTTCTTTTGGATTTGATTTTAGTTTTATTATTATAGATTGATGCAATGGCTGTTTATGCTTTATTTGTGGTTTCTCAGGAGCTCCATTGGAGGTGAATTCGACAGTGAGCTTTTGTCCTTACAAAGACAAAACATGCTGCGACACAAAGGAAGATTCCAATTTGAACAAGCAATTCCAAGCTATGAACATTTCCGACAAGGCTTGTGCTTCTGTTGTAAAGTCAATCCTCTGTTCCGTAAGTACAAATCTTTAAATGTTTCACTATTCAAATTTGCAAACTTTATTACATTGATCTGCTTGGAACCTGTTTGTGTCCTAAAGTTATCCTTTTTTCTGTTCTGTTCTGTTTACAGAAATGCGATCCTTTCTCATCGGACTTATTCAGTGATAACTCAGATCAACAGTCAGTTCCAATCCTCTGCAACTCTTCCACAAAGGACTTCTGCACTGAGACATGGGAGACATGTCAAAACGTCTCCATATCAGATTCTCTTTTCGCCGCCTCATTACAAGGCCGAGCTGGAGCTCCGGCGAACAACAAAACCTCCAAGCTCGCTGATCTATGGCAGTCCAAAACCGATTTCTGCTCTGCGTTTGGTGGAGAAGCTAGCTCCAATGAAACTCTCTGCTTCAACGGCGAGCCAGTTACTCTTAACAACAACAACAACAACACTACTAGTCCTCTTGACAAGGCTCCTTCAGGTCTCTGCCTTGAGAAAATCGGAAACGGGTCTTACCTCAACATGGTTCCTCACCCTGATGGCTCAAACCGAGCCTTCTTCTCCACACAACCTGGAGTAGTGTTCTTGGCTGGTCTACCGGATCAGGACTCGGCGGGGGTGTTAGATGTGGATCTATCTAGTCCGTTTGTGGATTTGACTGATGAGATTCATTTTGATATTGAGTTTGGGATGATGGGTATGGCTTTTCATCCAAAGTTTGCTTCGAATGGAAGGTTCTTCGCGTCTTTCAACTGCGATAAGTCTAAGTGGCCGGGCTGTACAGGAAGATGTGCTTGTAACTCTGATGTAAACTGTGATCCTTCAAAGCTAACTCCTGACAGTGGATCTCAACCATGCCAATTCCAAACTGTTATAGCTGAGTACACAACCAATGGTACTTCATCAGACCCTTCTAAGGTATTTACTACTCTTGACTAAGCATCTGAATCTTTGTTGTTTGTTTGTTGTGATAGAGACTTAAGCTTGTTTCTTGTTGTTCAGGCCAAGAACGCTAAGCCAACAGAAGTGAGGAGGATTTTCACAATGGGACTTCCTTTCACATCACACCATGCTGGACAGATTCTGTTTGGTCCAGATGGGTACTTATACTTTATGATGGGAGATGGAGGTGGAGGCGCAGATCCTTACAATTTCTCACAGAACAAGAAGTCTTTGTTGGGGAAGATCATGAGGCTTGATGTGGATAACATTCCTAGTGGGTATATTTAGATATATTGCTTTATGACACAAACGCTATATGAATGTTCTTTGTCATTAACAAATGTGTTTCAGGTGCTTCTGAGATCTCCAAGATGGGTCTATGGGGAAACTACTCTATACCAAAAGACAACCCTTTCCGTGAAGACAAAGAGCTTGAACCTGAAATATGGGCTGTTGGGTTAAGAAACCCTTGGAGATGCAGCTTTGATTCTTCTAGGCCTTCTTACTTCATGTGTGCTGATGTTGGACAGGTAATAATGGAGTTTTGTCTGTTTATCTTTGTTTGGCAATTTTTTTTCAGCTGTTCTTGATATGTTTTGGTGGTTTGATAGGACGCATATGAAGAGGTGGATCTCATTACCAAAGGAGGAAACTACGGATGGCGTGTTTACGAAGGCCCTGAGCTTTTCCATCCTGAGTCATCCCCTGGAGGAAACACATCTGCTAAATCCATAAACACAATATTTCCTGTGATGGGTTACAACCACTCTGAAGTTGACTCAAGTGGTAAATCAGCTTCAGTCACTGGAGGATACTTTTATAGATCAGAGACTGATCCTTGCATAGCTGGAATGTGAGCCAATACACTTCTCTGTTCTCTACTTGCTCCTCTTCTCTTTTGCATTTATATGGTAACAAAACTGTATAATGTTTTAAATTCAGGTACTTGTATGCTGATCTATATGGAAATGGTGTGTGGGCTGGGATTGAAATGCCTGCGAATAGCGGGAACTTTGTGACCAACAGAACAACCTTCAGCTGCGCCGGTGACTCGCCTATGAAATGCAGCGATTCTCCGGGAAGTTCAGGGTTATCTCTAGGCTATGTCTTCTCCTTTGGTGAGGATAACAAGAAAGACATCTACTTGCTCACAAGCAATGGTGTGTATAGAGTGGTTAGGTCAAGCCGCTGTAACTTGACTTGCTCAAAGGAAAACTCCACGGCGGCTAGAAGAAACCCAAGTCCCTCAAGCTCTCCAGCTTCTTCATCGACATCTTGTTATAGGCGTATGATGAATGGTAGCTTTGTGGTTCTATTGGTGTCTCTATCTCTGATTCTACTGGCTTTGTTAGTGTAAATGTATATGGAAAGGTTTTAATCTTTTTCATAGGATGAACAGTTTTTCAGAAATTGTCTCCTTGTTTGTGTTGTATGTTGAGGATGAATGAGACACATTGAGGAGATACTTACAAACTTTATAAATAATTTGATGATATATTCCATGTAATATTTTCTTGTTAACTTAGTCATATCTAAAACAAATACTAAATGTGGATATTTATCCTAACTTGATGAGAAAACAAGTTTTAAACAAAAAGGAGATGGTGAGCCACAGAAGGAGAAGTTAGGGTTTGGAGACTCCGGAGAGTTTGGCATAACCTTGCTGCCATTTCCATTAGGATCAAAGCAAAACTCTGGCAGAATGATGAAGGTTAAACCAATCGCCACCGAGAGAGGTATTGATGATCTTCCGGAGGAATTAGTGATAAACATAATGGCAAGATTGCCGCCGCAAAGTCTCGTTAGGTTAAAGTTAGTGTGTAGAGAATGGAAATCGCTTACGGAATCTGCATACCTCCGTGATCTCTACCATAGCAACTTCAGCTCAAACTCTTCTTCTAACTGGTCCATCCTTCACGGAGATCTCAAACACAAATGGCCACATTCTTGTTTTGAGGAGTTGGAACTCGATCTACCATCACCGCATGGTCATTCTTCTTTTGCAAGAAGTGTATTTACGAATAAAACTGGAGATATTAGCGTTGCGTCTTGCACTGATGGATTGTTTCTGCTGTGTTTCCGACAAGTCCATGAGGAGGAAACGAGGGTGAGGTTGATGGTACGTTACTACGTTGGGAATCCAGTGTTACCACAATGGCTTCAACTCCCTCCTCCTCCTTCTCCTCATGTGCCATACGATTCCGGACTTGTGACACGCATGCACAATGGTGCCCTCTTAGGCTACAAGGTGGTTAGATCACATCATGAACCATTCAAGTCCCATGATCCTCAAACGTTGAGTTTTGAGGTCTTTTCATCGGATACAGGTGAATGGAGTGTTAAACAAGTTTCTTGTCCCGGGATTGGTGTTTCTATACGCAAAGCTTCCGCATATTATCCCGTTTCTTTGGATGGGAAACTTCACTGGCTTGATAACTCCCGCCGTGTCATCATTGTCCATAATTTCTTCTCTAATGATGATGATGATCAAGTTCGAGCCATAAGCCTACCAAATAGGATGCAAGGCACTCAATGGTATCCATATTGTAAGATGATCTGCACCACCTCGCAAGGATATTATGTGATTGTTGATGTTGAATTGATAGAAAAGGTCAATAGCTATAGCGTTAGGGTTTGGAGGCTCAAGTGTGATGATGATTCTTGGAAGTGGGAAAAGGCATGGGAAATGAACATGTCATGTCTAGGGCTTGCAAGTAACTGTGTTCCAATGGCTATAAACTGTTTTGATATCGACATCATCTACCTATGGGACTTAGACTGCAAATGTTTCATTGCTTGTAACCTTAGGGAAAATACAAAATCTTATGGAACTCGTAAAGATGGTGTCCTTCACAAGAACCGGCACCGCACTTTATTTCAGACTATGGAAGATGTTGTCGTCTACAAGGAAGATGCTTTCTGCTGTGAGCCATATCCGTGCGTTTTGCATTATGTTCCATCCTTGCAAGTTATACCACACTGAATCTTGTTTTTCTATTTTCTTTTGTTACACTGAAACTAAAAGCTCTAATGGATTCATGTCTTGAAATAGTTCACTCTCTTTGATCCTAGTGTGTATAGTCATGAAGAATCCTACTAAAGTGCCACAGACTGTTTCTTGCTCTGCTTGTGATAGACAAAGAACAAAATTTCCATTAAGATGAAGAAATGGGTTTATACATATGATAATAAATATAATTGATTCACAGAGTGAATAAACAGTAAGATTTTCTATGCTTTTTTTGTTTTCTCCACTCTTTATCTCCATTTCTTCTACAGATCACAAGGCTTGAAGCTTGCAGACCAATCCAACCAAAGTCCAGATTCTCTTCTTTTGTGAGCTATCAAAACTGGTTTGCTCAAGTTACCTTTAGGCTTGCTACAGGAAAACGGCTCTGTTTCTCTCCGTAATCATCTCATATTACAACACTCTGGCTTGTTCTGTCTCAAGAGCTTGTCCCATAAGCAAATCATCTGTCTCGGCGACTGGTAATGAGCTGTGTAGTAGTTCTCAACACAACCAAACTGGCAAAATCTAAGGCTGTGTCTGTAATCTACAGGGTTTGATGTGTTCTTGAAATGCTCCACCCACATTCCCACACTAACGTCTTCCATCTTGAACAACTGGTGTTTGTTCAAACAATAAGACTTTTTCAAGAACAAAAAAATGGATATACAGAGAATGACAACTGGTGTCTCTTCTGCTTACCCGTAATCTGTGTCTCTCAAACTCCTCCACGATGAAGCGTGCAATGTCAGAAGATAGAACATATCCAGGTCCATTTGCGTAGGGCGGATAGTCCTCCTCTGGCCATTCCTTATATTATCCACAAAACATACATGAATCAGTCAGTGGCAATCATAAAGTATCTACGGAGATGGAGTGCTGGTTTGTGGTAAATAACTCCTTATACCTCGTACGTGACTGCCCATTTACCTCCACGGAGAGGTTTGTGGTAATAATTCATGTTACCAATGTACAAGCTTCTACCTTCAGGTACTTTCTTCACTTCATTGATCACCGCACCAAGTTTCACAAATGTATCATCGTCACACTTCATTATGTACTTTGCAGAGAACGCAAGAGCCTGCAGCAACCAAAAGTCAATTCAACAATCAACTCCGAAGAAGCATTAAATCAAGAACGATTCTGCAGAAGCAATGACCTATACAAAGATCTGAGATAACTCACTCCGTGTTCACAAATGGCGACAGTTTTCAGCACCACAAGATCATAGCTATCCATGTAAGGCACAAGCACAATGTCCCCAAAGTACTCTGCTTCTTTCTTCAGTTCCACATTCACCTCCTTCCTACCATGCTGTGAAAATGCACAAAATCATCTCCCTGACTATCTATCTCCAATTTTTAGGTAAAGGTAGCATTTTTTTGTTAAATCCGACTTACAAGCGCTACGAAGAAACGAGCAACAACTTTTGCAGAAGTAATGAGAACATGCTGCATCCAGGACTTCCTCACAGCCATCCGCTCAGCGAAATGATTCCCTGCGGAGAGAATGCCAATAAAGAGCTCCACAGGTCCATCAGGAACCAAAGGAGCCTGCCATCTCGCTGACAACTCAAGATGCCTTTGCGGAGCAAAGCTAGGATGTGATGTTGGCAAAGAGGCAACAAAAATCGAATGCACATCAATGTCTCCATTTACCGTTAGCCCTGTTGCATCCTCCAGCGTGAAACCCTATTCAAATCACCAAACCAACATACTCATCGCCATATATCTAAACACAATCACGAAGTTAAGATATATATATACAATCAGCCACTCACAGTGCGATAAGGGAAGGATGTAACATGCTGTCCATCAACATTGACATGGTAACCTTCCAAACCAGCGCTAAGAGTGAGCACAAAGAGCTTCTCTTCCACAAAAGGAAACGGCCATTCTACTTTCACTCTCTTCCTCCGTCCTATGAGTCGATTCAACCACCATCTTGCCCTCGATCCTTCCGAGTAGTTATCATCATCACGGATCCACTTCTCACACTTCACATGACTATCAACTGCAACCAACCAACACTAAACCATTACTCACCAACTTCGTTTCCACACTAAAGTCTACTTTTTTAAAGCTCTCAGATACCAAATAACAACAAAAGGAAGAGACTTTTACCAGTCTGCACACCAACACTAAAGCATTACTCACCAACAACCCTAACTTCGTTTCCACACTAAAGTCTACTTTTTTAAAGCTCTCAGATACCAAATAACAACAAAAAGAAGAGACTTTAGACTTTACCAGTCTCTTCCTCAGCTCTTGATCTCCATCCTTCACACCGTTGTGAAGATCCCCACTGCATTCTATAACAAGTGTTCTGCTCAATAACCGGTTTACGGCTCCAATCACCCTTAAGCCTCGGATTGAAATGCAAGATCCGAGGAGGATCCTCTCCTTCAACGGAATTCAAGCCTTGAAGCTCAATCACAAACTGAGAGATGAGCTTAGATCCATCTCCTTCCATGGGGTAACTCTTCCTCGGCCTCCCAACAAGAGTTATGTGCGAGCCCAGCGTCAAACCACACGGCAGCTCCATCAATTTGTTCTCCCGGTTCATAAATTCCGGTCCGGTTAGCGAAACCGAGTGAGGGCACGAATCCGATTTGTTCTTCTCAGGCTTCTCCACTGATTTCTCGAGCCTTCCCGATTCAAGCTCCTTCCATAGCTTGCGACCTAGCTGCCAAGCTTCTTTAGCTGACTTGTGGAGCTCCACTGACCCGTCTTTGCTACTCGGGTCGAAAGTTTCCGAATCGAATCTCAAGCTTGAGAGGAGACCTCGGTGGTGTTCGCGGACCGGTTCCGTCCGGTTAATCGCCGGGTCTGAATCCGGGTGAGAAGCTAGCTTCGATGGGGGATTGGGGATTTTGTTGTCGACGTTGGGCTCTTCGAGCTTCTCGAGGCGGGAGAGAGAATCGATGGAGACGGAGCTGCTGGACCAGGATTTGAAGACCAGAGGTATCTCTACTGAGACGATTAGGAGGTAGAGAAACCCTATTGCCATGATCACGCGGACCGATCTCTGCTTCCATAGTGAAGAGAAGAGATCATCCGGGTGAGAAGCTAGCTTCGATGGGGGATTGGGGATTTTGTTGTCGACGTTGGGCTCTTCGAGCTTCTCGAGGCGGGAGAGAGAATCGATGGAGACGGAGCTGCTGGACCAGGATTTGAAGACCAGAGGTATCTCTACTGAGACGATTAGGAGGTAGAGAAACCCTATTGCCATGATCACGCGGACCGATCTCTGCTTCCATAGTGAAGAGAAGAGATCAAGCTTGTCGATTTTTTCCACTTTCGACAATTTGGGTTTTTTCATTTCTCTATTTTTCTTAGGATCCAAGCAATGAAATTCGTGTAAATGAATGAAAAGGAAAGAGACGTTGAACTGAGAGGAATCCGAAAGTGGTACAAACGGAGCAAGAATGAAGAGAAGAAAAAAATAAGCAGAGACGACGATGTTTTGGTGACGAAGGAGAAGAAGAGATCCTGATTCTTGAGATAGTAAGTGGAACTTTTAGGCTTTTGTTTTTTTCTTTTTCTTTTTACTATTAATTAATGCTCTTAAGATTATCTATTTATATAAATTTTGTATGTGAACACACTTCTGAATTCTGAATATAATTTTGATTGGTTTGATGGAAGCAAACTCCAAATGAGATCTGAAATTGCTTATGACTTGACTACAAAATCCATTTCTTTGATCTCTCATCATAACAAGTCGCCATAATCTTAGAATGTGATAATAAAGGTTGTACGTAGCTCGGTAGCTTTCAGACAACTTCATCTTGTGCCCACAACTCACATCACAAATGCTTTCTTGGCTATTTTTTATAAGCACCCATGTTTGTCACACCAGTTTGGAAGAGCTGCAACACTCTCGGTGTGGGTTCTCGAGTTCAAGGTCGACTATGATTAAGACTGAAACCTTGGGGTTTGTTTTTCAGGTTAGCTATGTGAAATGATTGAGTTAAGATTAGCGGAAAACAAGTGAGGAACGAAACTGTCACTATGTAGAAGCAAGTGTGTGTAATTTCTACATTTTACATATATTATTCATTACAAGTAGACACTTAAGGTGCGATACAAAATCACATACAAGTAGACTTGTGCAATGCACAAACACACAAAAATCACACGGTATGTATCAAAAGGTGCATTACACAAACACAAAATCACATAACTGACTACCTATGAGTTTACCTTAAAATTATGACATATATACCTTTGAATTAATTGTAAACTTAGAGGTAGTCAGTTATGTGCAATTTTGTGTTTGTGTATTTGCACCTATTGATATATGCGGTGTGATTTTTGTGTTTTGTGTATGACATATATAGCCCATGAAAGGATGAACTTCACGAGGATTATGAAAATCGAAAACAAAAAAAATACACAAATAGTTTATTTTAGTATATTAGACGATAATGAAAAAACCTGACATGTATCTATATATAGTAACATGTCTAAAATGAATTCTAGACTAATAAGAAGACGTTCCTTTGTGAAAAGATACTGTCGTTATCATTTTCAATTTTTCTTATCCCCTGAGCTTAAATACCTTTGAATTATTCACAATATATGATCTCCTAAAGGACACTAGACCTATACATGAAGTAAATCCATTTCTGTCTAGTTATAATTTAATGGACTGTATAGTTTGAAACAAAAATTAGAATAGGTCCTGCAACTCAAAACCGTCAGGTGGGCTTTCCTCTTACAACAAAAACGATATTTATTGATCAATTTAATGATTAACATTCATACTAACCAATAAAGTACCGTGTTATAGTATTTGTTCTTTCGTGTTTTTAACCCAATAAAAAAAAGGGTACCTGGATAAGTATCATGAGACTCTGAATGTTAAAATGCTGGAATTAGGTGTGGGAAAAGAGAACCTCGGATCCAGATCTCGTTGGTACGGTGTCACAATAAACTCTGAATCAACATATTATTGTGGAGTTTCTTTTGACACCGTAACTAACGAAATATGGATCCCAGGTTCTCTTTGATACTGAATATCAGAGTATCAGAGTACCATTTGTTGTAACTTGAGACGTATAGGATCTGGATCTATCTCGGGAGGTTCCATCTGGAAGTGAAGAGAGAGAGAGAGAGAGAGAGAGAGAGAGAGAGAGAGAGAGAGAGAGTGAAGTGAAGGGAAGCAGATGAAGTGAAGAGAAGCAAATGAATTCTGTCATTTATTAAACACGTGAAATCTCAAAGGACAACAATAATTGTAGTGAAGCCGAGTACGATGTGAAATAGCCTCTTTAGTTTGAAACCACGCTTGTACTGTGTGCACGTTGACCGAAACTGAATAGTCTCTTTCGGATTAATACACGTTAGTTACTCATGTGTTTTTCATCTCTTGACTTAAATGTAAGAATACAAGTTACAGAGCTCAGATCCAGAAACAAAACAAAAAATCAGAAAATTATCGATTAATATTTCTCAAAGAAAATTTAAAACATAATCTATCTATTTCCGCTAATGCAAAACAAAACAAAATGAAAACCCCAAAGGAAAGCTTGTTTTTGTCGTTAAGGATTAATGCACCAAAGTCATCTACAACCCAAATTACACGGTAAATTACTAAATTTGACGAAACAAGTACATTAATTTACTCCAGCCTCGAATTACACTGTTCACTCGTGCTTGGCTCCTCGAATAAGTGGAAGTACAATGATTGTAAATGATTTGACCCCTCTTCTTTGTTTTTTTTTGGTAGTTAAATTGATAATTTAATTCACGTTATAACTGGACAAGAGTTCAAGTTGATAATTTGATCTTTTCTTCCTGGAAAATTTACAACAGCCCAACAAAATCTTACCACGGGATACAAATCCTAATTTATTTTTATAACGACACCATTTCTGATGCAATCATGCACATTATGTGCCTCTTGGGAAGTGGTATAGCTTATATATTTCTTATACTTTTCAGTTGTTTTTGTCCCATTTATTTGTAGATACTATTCTCTTGTTGTTTAAAATTATTCCAGTATTATTGGATTTAGTTTAGAAAAAAAATCTTAGTGAAATATCTTCCAATGGATATGTTCTTGTTCATTTAAACACAAACACGGATTTGGTGAGAACAACAAAAAAAGAAACGGATTTCAGTTATTCATTTAGGCAATTAAGCTCTTAAAAAGATTACATTTTTAGAGATTTTTAGAGGAAATCTGTATATATATAAATATTTTCTTACGTAGTAGTAAACTTTGACTTGAGCATGTCGATTGTTTTAGCATCATTCATCTTAAACGCCTTCATCAAAACCTCGTCTGGAATCGCGGGTTCCGCAACAAACAGAGTGTTTGGAACAACAACCTCGCTAGGCGCCTCATGAGTCACCAGCGCCAGAAACCTCGCTTCCATTTTCCCAACGTTCCACTCGTAGTGAATGAGTCCCGGAGGAACCACAAACATATCACCTGGTCCAACAACCTTTTGGTACAACGTGTAGTTAGTCGTCAAGAACCCAATCAAGACCGAGCCTTCGAGGATGAATCCTGCCTCGGTCGCACCAGGGTGCGTGTGAGGCGAGTTAGCTGCTCCAGCTGCGACTGCGACGTTGTACATGGATATTCCCATCATGTGTAGTCCTGGAAACGTCATGACGTTTGCCACGTTAGCGGCTAGACCTCTAGGGTTCGAAATGTTGAGTGGAATGTTCAAGCCGGAGAAGAAGAAGTCTTCAGAGGTGACATGTGATTTGCATGGGAATCCATACTTGGTTGGGGAAGCTTGGAGATCAGCTACGCAGAAGTCTTGTAATGGGCTAGGGTTTAAGGCCGAGAGAGTGATGGAGAGTGTAAGGAGGATGAAAACTCTTGAGAGAAAAGATGGGATTTGTGGGATTTTAGGCTTTTAGCCATTGCTAAGGAGTTATGATGATGTTGTTGTTGTTGATGATAAAGCACCATGCTTGTTGTTAGATTATATAGTGTTGAATATTAGGTACTTTTGGGACGACGCTATAACCAGATTGGATAAGAAAAAGATGGGTTTAAGTGAAACACAAGAAAGATTGAATCTTTATGAATGTTGGGTTCAAATATGTGTAAACTTATTTTTTGTGGCTTCCTATTAAGCTCAAAGCTTAGGCTAGGCTGAAATAAGTTTGGTATAGTAAATGTAAACACAATCACTAATAGACTAAATAGAAAACCCATCAAACCTCAATTACCAAACGAAGAAAAAAAGAGAAAATAAAGAAAGGTTTGATAATAATAACGTAAGTAGATTGTTTCAGCTCTATATAGCTAACTATTCCTCTCTGCATGCAATAGCTAACTATTCCTCTCTGCATGCAATGCATCTTCTAGGTTGGATTCATGAACTAATCCAAAACGCAAATACAAGAAAGAAAGAAAAAAATTGTTTGCAAATCGCGTTAGCGTTTAAATTGAAGAAATTATCTATGAAGAATATCAAAGATGTGTTCTGTTTTTTCTTTAAATTTGAAAACATTTAAAAGAAATTCACATGTCAACACACAAAAACATACAAATTTCGTTTACGCCAACCAGGCCTCATCAATCAATATGCAATCCATCTTACAAGTTAGGTTCATGGAAGCAAATCCCAAACTTTAGTGAGAAAGAATAAAAGAAATGTTTTGAAGTTGAGACAAAGCGTTGAAAGCTTGCTTGTTCTCTAAGAAACAACAAAAAGATGTGTATTATTACAAGTTCATGGATTCTGAAGGCATAGCAACAAAACTACGAAGCATGTGCAGATTCTGAGATATCTGCAATAGCATCGCTTCTCCTTCACTAACATCTAAATGTTCTGCAATATGTTTCAACAGTTCACCATTTGATTGAAGCTCACTTAGCCTCTCTGTGATAGCTGAAAGCTCTTTTACTATCCCTTCTTTACTTTCATTTTCTGTCCAGTTTCATCACAAAGATCAAAAGGGTTTTTTAGGATCAGATCAAAGAACACAGAAGAAGAATCGAACCTCAAGTAAAATCCATACCTTTTTCTTCCTCCGTGGAGAGATCATTTTCCGCTGTAGACTCCTCTGAACTTTTCATTTGTGGGTTATGAGATCCATTTTGGTAAATCTTAACTCCATTCTCCTCATGGTTTGAAGAAGAAATAACTTCTCCTTCACTAACATTGCCGTTTTCTTCAAGAAACCCTTCTCTTGATGCGTCATCGTCTGTTAAACAACCATACCTCTCTCTGTAAGCCTCAAACTCAGCTTCAAGCTCCTTCATTTCCTCTTCCCTCTTCAACAACTCACTATTCATAGACTGTAAAGCTTCTTGGTCATACTCTGCTTGCTCATCCATCATTCTTTGGTACTGCAACGCCTCCATTTGAACAGCAGCTTTCTCTGCTTGAAGCCTTGTGATCATAGCCATTGCATTGTTAGCTGCAACGGCTGAAGCATTCCTCTCTTCATCTAGCTCCATGTACAAATCAATCAGTGACTTCTTGTCCAAGCGAACCTCTTTCTTGAGCTGATTAAGAATGGATTCACCGTTTTGATCTGTCGCCGCCGTCTCCGAAGCATTCTCTGTCTTATCCAAAAGGGACTTCCTGGAGGGTCGAACGGACCATCTTGGACTGTTTTGCGCCGAGTCAGACAGAGGAATCCCAAAGAACTTGTTACCTCCTTTCACATAACTCGGTGTTCTGTCCATGTCAAAATCCTTAAACTCAGATTCGTTTTCAGACAATTTGTTGTGCGAAACCCTAGGAGAAGGAGCAGGAGCAAGAACAGAATTGTTGGTCTTTGGCAACTTCTCAGATGTCATCTTCAACAACTCTCCGCAACAAGAACAATGTTGTTTGATGCTATCGTTTCTAACGTTGTTGTTGTTGTTGTAAGTCTTGTAATCCACCAGATTTGTTGTTGTCTGAACAAAGTTATCGTCTTTCTTGAACGCCAAGGGAAGTTCTCGTTCATCGTCTATGAGAAGCTCGAGATCTTTGTGCAAGATTCCAATGAGAGACTTGTACGTGTCACAGTCAGATTCTTTCTCGGTGGCGAAAGAGAGAAGACATCCTTCACACATGTGTTTGATCTCAGAGAGTTTCTTGTGGACATGGCAATAAGCAAGAGAAGAGATCTTCTTCTTGTGAGAGTCGCAGATTGAGTCGTTGTAATAGAACTCAGGGTCTCTAGGGACGAGAATGTGGTCAAGTCTTGTGCATAGAAGGCAAGGAATGTTGAGGTCGAAGAATCTTGCGAATTGGTTTGATAGAAAGGCGAGAAGGCCGTCGATGAAGAGGAAAGTGATGAGACTCCATTCAAGAACCGTGTAGATGACGAACTTGGGGAAAGATCCGAGTCCTTGTTCTACGAAATTCTTGAATGAGCGTTTAGACATGGTTGCTTGTAATAGAAGAAACAAGAAGACGAAGAAACAGAGCAACTGAATAAACATAAGGTGATTGGTCAAAAGTTCAACAAAAAAACAGAGATCATGATCTCAATTTTTTTGGTGAAAAGATCAACAAGAAACAGAGATGATGATCTCTCTCTATATCTTTTGGATTTGTGTTTCTATTTCTGGGTTTGGAGAGTCTAAAACAGACTAGATTAGACTGGAATTTGAGAGAAAATACCCCAAAAACAAAGGATAATCGCTGATTAAGAATTGACAAATTTAGAGATAAATGTCAAGAACACAAATAGGATATTCATGTATTTTTTCCCGCTTAGACGTGATGAGAACTTTGTCGTTGACTCTGAAACTTAATACAACTATACACGACAGAAACAGAGGACATGCCAACACACACATATGACATATACATTGTCTATGTCGTCATAAGATAAATGTATATAAGTGATGGTGTTTGATTGGTTGATTAAATGAATGGAGATCATGTTCTGTGATTGGAAGATTATTGCTTACGTAACAGGTAATGTACCTAATCATCCCACACTAAAAATATATAATACGAATCTGGATTTTGATTGGAAAAAAAAAAAAGGAAAAGAAAAAGCTCCACTACAATGGAAGTGACCAATAAAATGTGACATTATTGGAATCATTAAAGATAATGACATTATTCTACAAAAACCCTACAATATCTTATCCTTGTTAATCAGATATTATTATAAAAACCCTAACACCTCCATAGAATCACCAAACATTTGATTGAGATGGGCACATGAGAATCTGTTTTTGATTGGAGATCATGAATGAAAAATATAATTTATATAAGTTTTGATAGATCCACACGAATTCAACATACAGTATTACAACAACAACTTCAAAACATGGAAGGAAACCAAAACAAAAAAAAGAGATGGTCATGAACCCTAAAACTCTGTTTATTATTCTCTTTACCACAGATTTTCTCAGCCAAATACATAAATAAACAGAAAAAAAAAAAGTCAAGACCTATCTGTCTGTACAACATAGAAACGAACAGGATGTGTAACGTGTGTAGCAGATTCCACCACTTTTCAGAATTTTCTCTAAGCGACTCCAATCGTGTTGAAAGCTGAATGCCTTGAGGAACAAGTCTCGTTAAGATTAGCTGAGGCTAGCGAGAGGTTGAGAGAGAGCGGTGCAGGATTTGACTGAAAGGTCAATGGAACAAAGCTGATGAAATTAGATGAAGAGATCTGCCCATTTCCAGCAGATGTTGGTAGAGGAAAGACTTGCATAACCGGATGCATAGAGAACTTGTTGATTTCCGGTACAAGAGAAGGTGATTGTGTTGTGTTCTCCTCCATAACCACATGATCTTCTTCCATTGGCATGACCTAATCATAAAAAGACAAGCAAAAGATCTGTCTGTTAGTTTCACTAACAAAACTAAAAACTAAAGCTAAACCACTTATATCACAAAGGAATAGAGATATTACGGTATCAAAGAGGCTAGATCTTCTCCGGCGACGGTTGAGATTGCTTCTCCGGAGGAAATACTTCTGAGCGTGACTAGCTACTTGCGTAGAGGTCCTGCTCTTGACAAAGTTTTTGGATATTCCTTTCCAATCTCCTTTGCCAACTTTCTGTAGCCCGTGCAAGAACAGCTTGTGCTCTTCCTCAGTCCATGGAGTTCCTGAAATCAACAGCAAGATCCAAAAATCAACAAAAAAGTTCAAAAAGGATAAGCGAGAAAGATCGTATGATTTAAGAATACCTCGTTTCCTCTCGCGAATGCCACCGGAAGAAGAGATCGGAACAGCGTCATCAGCGGAGGCGTAACCGGAGGAGATTTTGATCTTTTTCTCTCCAACGACGATCTTTGGAGTCTCCTCCGTCTGATCATACTGAGACAAGTTGTTCAAACTCACGCTCTTCCTCATCGGATCAAGAACAACTCTCACGCCGAACAGCATAATCTCTCTTCTTATACCACCGCCGCCGGAACAAACGGTGGAGGACTCCGACGAACTACAACTACCATCGGCCATAATATTCTTTTTTTTTAATTTGCTTTGCTCTTTCAACGAAGGAATCGAAGAACAGAGCAATAGCAATGGAGTGGTGTGAGTAAGATCTGTGCCTGCTTCTTGATGAGTTTTATAAGCCAAAGGCCACGTGCTTTTTTTCTTAAACTATTACATGTTGTAGACTTGTTGTTGATGGTGATGCTCTCATACGACACGTGTCGAATCTGTATTCGTCTGTTCTTGTCCATTTTTCTTAACTGCCTGTCTCTCTACACATTTTCCCTTTGGATAGACTTTTTTAATCTTTCGCTGACTAGATAGGTTAATATCATTTCTGTTGATGTTTGTTAATGATATCTTATGGTATATCAAAACAAAAAACGTTAAAAAGCAACTCCTTTGATATAACCGAGATTTAGAGCCTTAATCTTATCCTAATTTCTTTAGAAAACCGGATATTTTTGCAAATGATTAAAGTATTTAGTTATAATGTGTCATTTCGATAAATCTCGATATGCCTCTCGATATAAATCATTTCGAGTCACCACCACTGATATTTATGAATGATCAAAATGTAGGGTTATAATGTTAATGTAGTTGTACTAAACGAGCCAGGTCAACTCAATGTCCCCTAAGCGCATGCAACTTGATCTTAGAATAATAGTCAGATTCTGTAATGATTCTGTGTACTCTCTACTCTTATAATATCTAGTTACAGCTCTATCCCTTGTACTTTGTTTTTTTTTAAAGAACTATATCTTGTAGATCTATGGAGTAGATTTGTTAAAAGACCTTGGAGACAAGTAAATCTTTTTTTGATAATTATTTCACACAAAAAAACTTATAATATCAAGAAACTAAACTTATATACATATACTGTATAGATCAGGCAGAAAAAAAAGCTAGCTTAGTCGAATTTACCGTTTTGTAAGATTAAAGTTTAAGACGCTGTTAGGATGATCATCATGACTTGGCTAACAAACGATAAAGTTACTATAAACATCATGGTCATCATAACTTGATTACAACTGTAAGTCTATAACATTAATTAAAGAGGTAATACTTTAGTAGAATGTTAGGAGGTGATTTGACTATAAGCAAAATGATCACACCTATTTCTTGTTACTATTTATTTGTTAAAGAGATTTATGAAAGATCTAAAAAGCGCACACATTATTTTGGTAAATAGTTTTGGAAGACAGCAAAACACACATAAGGCACTAGCATCGGTTAGAAAGCAAAGCCATTACTTTTATGCACACAAAGTGGAAACCTAAGAGTAGTAGTGTGCGAAGCACTAAAGGAAGAGCTTTTCTTTCTCTATTACTTTTCTTTTTCCTTTTTACCAATTTGGATGAGAAGCTTGTTGCGAATTTCCTTATTCAGAAAACCAACACAAATCTGAGAAAAGAGAGAGTAAAGATTAATCATACACATGACGAATCTTGCACAGCAACTAGTTTTTTCTTCTTTTTTTTGGGTGGGATTGTTGTATTCTCAGATCGTTGGTCTAAGTTAGACTTTGAGATAGACAGAACATTAGATGAGGTCACAAGTGTATTTGTATGCTTTTTGAGTTATTTGGTCACAACAAATTTCATTCCCTCAACATGGGCTTTTAACATTAATTGGCTACTTGGTTACATACTGTGTTCCAGGATATTGTATAACTGAAGTGTTGTTCCCTAAAGCTATTTTAGCTAAATGATCAACTTCATGAACAGCATTACGTTTAACATAAACAAGAGAGAGCTTTTTTGGTCTGCGGTAGCGAAGCCAATATCTTGGACCGTCATTGCAATTTCCGGATTGCTCCATACTTGCTTCTTCTTCTTCAAACGTAGAACTCTGTTGATGATGCTATCAAAAAGGGTTTTGTTATCATCTCCTACAAAGATAACACTATCACGACCCAACTTTCTCACCGCCATTAGCAATACCGGTTAAGCTGTGCTTCCTGCTAGTTCTTTTTTCATCTTGCTTCTTCTCTGGGAAGAGTCACTGTCACTGTTTGTCGAAGTTCTTGTTCCAGCAGTAAAAACTGGCGAGTTTGCTAAAGCGACTAGGGTTTTTTTCCGGGACTCTTCTGAAGTTGGTTCTTTAGTAGACAGTAACTGCTTCAGCTGAGATCGCTGGCACATGATGCGACCTCCGTTCCATCCCGTGAAGCTAAATGACGACGAGACATGATCCTGTAAGAAGGAGAAAGCAGCTTTTGCGATCGGAGATTCTCTTGCAGCAGAGCTTTTCTCCAGTTGTCCCCGACTGAGAAGTTCAAAAAAACAAAAAGAGTTCAAAAAAAGAAGAAGCAAAAGACTGAGCTAGCTATAGAATCAAACTGCTTACACTGAAACAACAACAGCAAGTTGAGGAAGATCCTCTCCCTTTAGAAGCATATCACTCATATCATTTAGCCAAACCGATAGTGCTGTGTACATGCCACCCTCAGACATCCTGCAGAATCAGATTGATTAGTACTCATTACTCAACCATGTCATGTCATACACTTGAGAAATTAAGCTAGTGTATGTCTATTAAGCTACCTATGCAAGTCAACAGACCAAACGAGTTTGTTTTTCCGGAATAACTCTGGGAAAAGCCCACGTTTTGTTGCCTCGTTGAGTACCCTCGCAGCTCGCTCTTTCTGTCCCAGCCACCACAAAGCGTCCAGAAGTGCATTGTAAAACCTTATCCCCAAACCACATCCTTCTGAATTGAGTTTGTCTAACACATATTCCACTATCTGCCAGTTTGAGTCATCATCATAATCTCCCTTTATCATTTGCCCAATCACTTGATGGATATTCGATACTCTATTCGAAAGCATCTCCTCCAGTAACTCATTCACATCGTCCCACCTGAAAAAAACAAAAATCACAAGTGTAATTCAAAATGAGAACGAAGTCTCTTGTAATACAATATCCCATGCCTGACCATACAAAGCAATTGAAAGAGCATAGTACTGGCGAAAGCACTAACCTCTCTGTTTTTCCATAAACAGAAAGCATCATACAGTAGCACATGATACTGGGCAATATATCAGAAGCTTTCATCTCCTCAAACTGCTCCACACACTCATCAACAAGCCGTGCACAAGAATACACACTCAAAACAGCCTCAAGCGTCCTTTCATCAGGATCACATCTCGACTTCTCCATATCCACATACGTCTTCACAGCCTCTTCAAATCTCCCTCCTTGCTTGTACGCTTCTATCTGCGCGTTGAACGTATCTCTGTTCCTAGGAATACCAGAATCCACCAACCTAGACAAAATCACCTCAGACTCCTTAAAAAGTCCTCCCCTCGCAAAAGAATACAACAGCGAGTGGTACGTTTCAACACTAGGATTGCTTCCCACTTCATGCATGGTGTTAAACGCAACAAGCGCTTCTTCATACAAAGCAGCCTGCCCAAACGCTTCAATAGCCCCAGTGTACGCCTTGGAGCTCGGCACAATATCCTTACCTGTCATATAATGCAAAATCTTCCTAGCATCTTCATGAAGCCCTCCTTTCCCGCAAGCAAATATTATCCCCTCGTATGTCTCCATGTCAGGCTCAATATCCTCCTCCACCATGTCATGGAACAAAGTCACCACCTCCTTAAAATACCCTCCTTCCCCAAAAACCTCAATCAAGATATTGTACGTGGCAGCATCAGGATCCGTATTGCTCGATTTCATCTCAAGAAAAAGCTGCCGAACGTCATCGTACCTCCCACTCTGTCCAAACAAATTCAGCAAAACACTATACGTATTCGCGTTCGGCGTACACCCTGCAGCCTGCATCTGATGGAAAACCCCCATAGCTTCCTTAATAGACCCGGACTTCGCATACGCCTCTAACAACACGTTATAAGAAGTAATATCCGGCAAACTCCCCCCGGAAGCCATCTCACCTAAGAGATCAGAAACTTTCTCTAACCGGCGCAGCTTCCCAAACGTCTCAACGAGATGACTATATGTGGTTAAATCCGGAACTATCCCACCATCGTTCATAGTCCTAAACACCATTTCAGCCTCATCACCTAAACCTCTAATGGCACAAGCGCTAAGCAGTGTGTTGTAAGTCACAATATCAGGTTGTATCCCCTCATGCCTCATCTCTGCAAACAAGCCTAATAAACCTTCCCAATCTAAGCCGCCTCTAGCACAGGCATTGATCACCGTGTTGTAAGTCAAGATATTAGGTGAGATTTTTTCGTTCTTCATCCTATCAAGAAGCTCGAGGGAAGTTTCGTACCGTCCGTTTCGGCCATAGGCGTTGATCAGAGCCGTGTAGGAGAAGACGCTTCGTGCCACGCCTTGGCTTGGCATTTCGTCGAATATCTCGAGGCATTTGTCGAGAAGAGCTTCTCTGCCGAGCAAGGAGATCATGATGGTGTAGATGTGCTCGTTTGGCTTGCACCAGATCTGCCGTTGCATATACTTGAAGAGGCGGAGCGACCTCTGCCAATCGCCGCGGCCGGCGAACTCTTTGAAGACGAGCGCGAAATCGTTCAGCGAGAGCTTGTTTTTGAATATGTCGAGGCATCTGGCGATGCTGCCGCGAGGTGGGAGGCTGCTCAGCTTGTTAATCAGCGATTCGACGTCGTAGCTGTATTTTCCTTTCTCCACGGAGACGGAGGGGTTGCCCAGAACGAGATCCTTCGTCTTCGCTTTGATTTTTCCGGAGAGGGAACAGTGTCGTTTCCCCCCGGAGAGGAAACGGAGACGGTTGCCGTCGGCGAATCTCCGGTTTCCGATGAAACTGGAGTTCTGGATGAGGAAGGAGAGCTGGTGTGAGTTGGGATTCGGAATTGCGAGATTCATTTTGGCAACTGGAGTTCACATATAAGGGTTCAGAATTCCTCCGGGAAACTTCCTCCAGTAGAGTAAGCGAAACGAGATTTTCTCGGGAAATTCGCAATCCGATCGGAAATGACTCGGAGATTCGAGAGTAAAGCTTCAGTTACCAGTGGTCACCAAAATTCAGAGAGGAGACAAGAACGAATTAGATGAATAGAGGTTTTCGAAGACGATTTTTTCTCACCCAGGAGCTCTCTCTCGGTGAAATGGCGGAAAAATGGAAGAAGAGGAGGGCTTGAAGAAGAAGACACGTGGATTCTGATTGTGGATAACAGTCGCGAAGAAATAACCGGTTTACATGATACCTCCCGGTTATAATTGGTTATTATCGAAATCCCGTCGGACAAATTTTGGCGCTTAAATATTGCTACTTTATTACACACAGATACAGTCATGCCGTCATTGTAAATAAAATTTGGTATACTTTTCTTCAATTGCACTAAGATATCGCATTTTATCTTTCATCTCATTTCTTTTTTTGTTTCTTAAAGCTTTTGTAACTGTATTTCTTACATCTGAAAAATCACTGGAAGATAACAAACTAATTATCATTTGAACAGTACAAATACAATACATATTTTGATAATCAAATACTAAAATTTTAAAATGGTTGCAACTTCAAAGCTACATTTTTTATTAAAATAGTTGATTCAAATTCTAGTAAATCAGTTAAGTGGCTGACAATTTTCACATGGATCAAAACTGTGAAAATTTGTCCGAGTGGAATACAGTAGTACAATGCATACGTATATTTTATATCAAAGAAAAATTACATAAACGGATGTTTTAATTTTTGTGCTCAGTTGATGGTTCAGTAAATTGCAGGTGTTTGATAAATTTTTATATCAAAATGGAAGGTTGGAAATCAAATGATGCTATTGTCGTGGGGTAATAAATGGAAGTGTAGGCAAGCTTTTTTAAATATTAAAAAAAAAACAATATTTTATCGTCCAAAAATGTAAAAAGTAAAAAAGACTGACGAAAAAACCGGGAAAACGCACCGCCGTTTGCAGTTTACGGAGCCAGAGGCTTGACGTGACGTGTGAGTGGCGTTCGAGAAATAAACTAGACTTGCTAGGGGCAAATGAGTCATTCCAAACTCATTTCTGTTCCTAACAGACAGACGCTTCAAGTAAAAAAAGAAAAGAAAAAAAACAAAAACGAAAACAAACTACCCTTTCTCGCTTTTTCCTTCTCTCTTCTTGGCGAGTCTGCGACCTTGGTCGGAAAATCGAATCCGCTCCTCCTCCGCAACCGCATTACCGGAGCTAATGGCCGAGCCAGAGGTAAACTTACCTTTTTACCCCTCAACCTCCGCCGCTCTCGAGTTCCCTAAATTCTATGTCCGGACTCCACCTGTGAATTTTTCCGATTCCTCGTTATTTTCGTTCTGTTTTTCTTGCCGGAGCTTCCGATTTCGTTAAATTTTGATGAATTAGTTTTCTTAGGTGTGTGTTTGTCTTGTGATTCTTCAAGGGTTTCTGCGATTGATTTTGCTCGTTTTGTTTATTGATTTTCGTTGGGTGTTGATAACAGACCTTAGCGGCGTTGAAGAGAGCCTACGCCGATACACTACTGAACACGACGAAGGAGGCAGCGGCGCGTGTTTTGGTCTCTGAGAAGAAGGCGCGTAGTTATCAGCGAGAACTTGTCACCGTTAGAGATGAAGCTCTCCATACGCTGCTTAGGCTTAAACACATGTTTGATTCCAAGGTACAATTAACTTTTTTAGGCATTTTCATGATCTTTATTCTTTTGTGGATTTCATGTTTTTTTTAGCTTTATTCTTCTCCCATGGTTTTATGCATAGTGAATGTTGTATTTATGTCAATGAATGTCAACACAATCCAAGTTTTTGGATACTTTTGAGCCTGAGACTATATTACAGTGACGCTTTGAGCAGATATAGCTTTATTCTTCATCATTCTTCATGAAACCCAAAGCTCATTGTACCAAACACTGATGAGCTTAACCATTTGAGTAGCTTGTGGCTTGCTTTGCATTTGAAGTTTAGTTTTTTTATAAAATGTATATGTGGCTATGTAGGTTAAGGAGACAGAGATGATATCATTGAAGCAGCAACAGAAAGTTGAAGAACTCGAAGCTCAGCTTGGAGAAGCTGAAGATATTGTAGGAGAGCTGAGGCTGGAGTTAAGAGAGCTTCGTGATGAGCTCAAGAAATATCTTAAAAGTGATGATCATGAAGAAGACTCTTTGCGGAAAAACAGTGATCCTGAGGTTTCTTGCAGTGACGAGAGATCAGGAGCTGTAGCTTCTTCTTGCATCCCAGTTGAACAAAGTGGATCGGTTGTGGCTGCTAATGGGATGATCAAAATCCCATCTTTGACTCGCGGAAATAGTATTAAACGGTGTTCCTCTAAAGATTGTCACCACACTCTTCCATCTATACTGACAAAACGCAGGGAAGCTGAAGGATGCACTCAGATGATCCACACAGTTATTGCCAATGGAGATCGGTCTTCCTCTGTACAAGTAGGAGATGTTAATGGAGTATGTCCTCAGAGAGTCACGTCTTGTAAAAATGTAGAGACCTTAGAAATGCCTGGTTGTGCTGCTGCTGCTAGTGACTCCACAGCTTCTGTGTTTAATAATGTTAAAGATGGAGAAGACTCAGTATCATTGAAAACTCCTCTGTGTGAAGAAGCTCCAGTATCGGCAGTTAATAAAAGCCGGTGTATCAAGTTCACATTCCAGAGGAAAAGGAAGAAGGAGGTTTTAAGCAGTCTTGATGGAGATTCCTCGTTTGAAGAGAGCAGAAACGTGAAACAAAAGACTGGAGAGAAGAAAGAAGATGGTTATTTGGAATCTCTGAAGCCTAGCTTCACCGGTGAATCATCTCAGGATAGTCTACGTGCTACACAGCAGGTAACATACATCTAAATTCGCTATATTCATACTAAGTTTATCATGTATATCATGTCCAAGATCCTGATTTTCTCTGTTTCTTTCTTACTTTTTTGTCTGGCACAGCTTGTACCAATAACTCACAAGTAACCTCGAAGCCCTAATCATCAACTGCAGTTTATCTATCCAGCGAAATGGTTTATCAAAGAATTTAGCTTTAGCTCTAGTAAGTAAAGTGTTCCCTCTAATATATGAAATGTTCATGTTACAGTATATGTTATTTTGAGTCAAGTTATGAAAGTCCATTGTCTAAGGATAGATGGAAGCTTACATATGGGAGGTCAAAGGTGCAATTATTGTATGTCTACCATTTTAGTATTTTACGTCTTAGCCCATGTAAATAATTTAACGAAGTATTTATGTCACATTGTCACTTGGTCAAAGTTGTTTCATGACCATAATCTTTGAAATCAATATAAGAATCATAAACGTTAAATTCACCTACACGTGTAGTTTTATGCTGTTGTAAAACTATAGATTTCCTAGTTATTATATGGTAACAGTAATATATGGTATTCAAAGATAATGAACCTTTTTTGTTGGTTAATGAAAAGAGAGTTTTAAGAAGGTCCCAAACAGAGTAATGTCCTAGCAATTAAAGCATGTGTTTACCAAAATCCACCCCCAGAAATAAAAGGAATGTTACTTTTCTCTTCAAGCAAATAAAGAAGTCGTTGAAAAACAAGTAAGAATTGTATATACTGTAGTTTGATTATTCTATTCAAAATGTATCCCTTTGTTTCCTAATTCTCATATGGAAAAATTCAGCGTATGCCTTGGAGTCCAAGGTTGAATGATATGGTCCAAGCAGCGCAAATCTCACGTCCCTTTAATCCGACGTCGTTTTTCGGCCATCAGGGGTACATCTCCGTAAATACACAGTCAAAATCGGGGTAAATTTTCTGAAATGTGATAAAACTGAATTACACACACCTATATATACGCTTTGCTTCTTCAGAGACTGAGAAATGGAAGGAGCGTAGCAGAGCAGTTTCCGATTTTCCCATTTCTCTCTCTTCCACCGATTAAGGATTAGGGTTTCTCTTCTTTCTCCTCTCAACACATTACTCTCTCTCTCTGTGTGTATGTGTCGGTGTGTTTATTAATTTCAAAAACCACTCGAAGATTACGCCATGGTTGATGATTCCATCACAGACGCTGAGCTATTCCATGGCCGTCCGATTTCCATTGATTTCGTCAAGAAACGCAAGGTCAGTTTTTCCCCAATCTCAATTCGATGTGTTCGTCTCGTGAATCGAGCACATAAGCGTGATTATGGATAACAGATCCGTCTCAATCCGAAATCCCCAATTTCTTTTTCTGAATTGTCAGTGAAGAGTAATTGATTTTCGTTGCGATGTTGACGATGAATCATTTGGTTTTTGCAGGCGAATTGGTTCTGGAAACTGAAACAGTGGAAGATTGATGCGCGTCGCAAGCAATGGATTTATCAATGTATAATCTTAATTTCAATTTCGTTTTGTTTCGATCTTTGTGAATGAATGAATGTTTGATTGGATTGTTTTTGTGAAATGGTTTAGGGAAGAGAGCAAATCCAGGCGAAGATTGTACACTGAAATCTCTGCGAGAGAAACTGATCACTGATAGAAACACATCCAGCGACAGATTTTCTTGGAAGATTGATGATGATGATGACGACGATGATGAGACTGATCTTGAAAGAGCATCTTCTGCTAGTAGCCCAACGAGTGTCCTCAAGAGCAAAGAAGACGACTGCTTCTGCTGTTCTAAGCAAGTCACTGAGGAAGATCAAGAAGAGGCTTTTGACGACGCGTTTGACAATTTCGACGGTTTCATCGACGCGTTAAGCTTCTTTGAGAACGAAGATCCAAAGCCAAAGACTGAGAAGCTCTTTGAGAAAGAAAAGTCATCATCATCTTCGGGTATTCGCAGCAAGAGGAGGAAGAAGAAGAAGTCGAAAGAATGTGACGACGACAATGAGAAGAGTGAGTGTCCGATTTGCTCTGAAGAGATGGACGAAACTGATCTAAGCTTCACACCATGTCCTTGCGGGTTTCGTTTATGTCTCTTCTGCCATAACAAGATCAACGAGAACGATGGTCGTTGCCCAAATTGCAGGGAAAAGTATGGCAAGACGAGTAGTAGTAATCGTAGTGGTGGCGAAGTAAGTTTCCAGCAACGTGGTCGTGGCACGTTGCGTTTGTCTCCTTCGTTTAGAGGACTTGACAGAGCATAAAGAAGAGAAAACTAAAGAAGCTCGAGAGTTTTAGTTTCATCAAATCTCTGTACGTTTTTTTTTGCCTTAGTCTCTCAGTTTCATCAGAAACAATTTTGCAGTTTTGGTTAAGAATTGTTTATCTCGGCAATAAAAAAAGAATCATATACATATACATATAAATAAAACCAAATTACTCTATTTATTCAATCAATACAACAATTAAAACCATTGTTCAAATATCATCAAAGAAAAGTTGGAGTTGGTGATGCCACAAACAAGTCTCACAAGCGGAGGAAGTAACCATGTCGTTGTTGTCCTCACCATTCGAGAACCAAATCTTTGATAAGAGCATGTCGGTTTGTTTGGCTAAGAACTTCTTGGTTCGACCGTCGCAGTTGCAATTCTCATGAACGTAGAGGCTTTTGAGGATTTTCATCTTCGGTTTGCCGCGCCACAAGACGTTATCTCGAACCTTTTGACGAATTTCCTCCAACTCTTTAACCGTGCTTGACAAGGAAGGTTTTATCAAAGAAGACAAGATCTTGAAACCCTTTTGTTTTGTTTTTTCCGCAAGACAGATCAAGATCATTCCGTAGACGAATTGCGCTTCTTGGTTTCCTTTCTTTGCAGCTTTGGATAAACATGCGATTCCTCTGTTTATATTGTTTTGTTCATCGTTGTTGTCTAGATGAAAGCAGTCGATGAGTCCTTGACGGTATAAAGCTTCGGGGTTCTCGTTCTTTAAACATCTGTTGAAGAATTTTGAGAAGTTTGCGCGGTTGTGATGGTGCCATGGGAAGAGAGGGATTTCACGGAGGGAGAGTCGGTGGAAAACGTATCGGTCGTTGCAGAAACGTTGACACGATTTGGAGACTAGCTGGAGGTTGTGGATCTCGGTTATAGAGGAGGATGCGACGTGTAAAGAGATCTCTACGAGAAGGTCGTTTGGTAGAGAGTTTAGAGAAATTTTTGTTGCTGCTTTGTGAGATGATTTCTTGAAAGAAGGAGAAGAAGAAGAAGATACCATGTTTTTGAGATTGGTCAAGTAAATTGTGTTTGTCTCTGGATTTGTTGTTGAGTCTTGTTTTTATAGAAACAAAATCATAACGTGTTTAGATTTCGGTTTCCTTTTTCGAAAAGGAAATAAGAAAGAGATAAATTAAAAAAAGAAAACTGTTTTGAAAAAGGAAATAACAAATAAATAATGTTTTCACAAATAAATGAAAATTGGAAGCCAAAGACGAAAACAGAGGAATGGACTGTTCTTACTTCTTAGTGACATAAATTTTTATTATAGGATTAAATATTGTTCACATTTTTTTACAATATGTGACTATAGTAAAACTGATACTTTGTCAAACTCATGATCATGGTGGTTCTTCTTGGAAACTTCTTGCTTGCACTATAGTCGCTCATAAACAAGTTTCTCAGACTGCAACAAGAAACCAAGAACATACAGAAAACAATCATGACGTGAGAGTTAAGAAAATGTTAAATTTAGGGTTGATGTACCTTGATGAGCATGTCTGTTGGTAGCCAAGCCGGTGCTGTAGGAATACCAACCCATCCAACCTAAAAAACTCCAAAAAAATTCAAGATTCATGAGCTTAGCTTTTATCTCTTTCTCTCAATGGCTCAAGAAACAGAATCAAACAGAGACTTACAAGTGCATACTCTCCAGTCTCAAAGACACGAATGTCCAGAACCTGAAAAGATTTAGCAAGATATTGAGTTACTTTTTAGGGGGATAAAAGATTTGGTATCAAGGTTATGTATACCTCGCCACGATCTTCGTAGATGTAGTCAAGTCCTTTGTAGAAAATAGGATGTCCAACTGATAAGTACTGTGACCAAGAAACAAGTTTCAGAAACAGATTGTAAAAGAAGAGTCTTTGTAGAGATTTCTTCTACCATACATTGATGCTGTTGAGGTACTTCTCCTTCTCCACACGAACGATTTGACCCTTCTTCACTGTTGTTCTCATCCATCACAAAAAAGAATTCAATGAATTATATAAGAACAACGTGTTGTTATTTGGATTCAAGATTTTGAAATAGGAGAGTGAGGAAACAGACTCGAGTAAACCGGTTTCTTGGGAAGAGTTTTAGGAGGTGGTTTAGCTGGAGCTGCTGGTGTTTCTCCATCGGACTTAGCAGCCTTTGTGCTCTGTTTCTCTTTCTCTGCCTCTGCTTTGATTGTGAATTGAGGAAGAGATCGAAGTGTGAATCTTCTTGAAGAAACTGGTAGTGAAGAGGAGATGGTGGAAAGAGAAGATAGCTGAGACAGAGTCCCTGAGAAAGCCATTGGAGAGAGACTACCAAGAAAATTTTCTCAGTGTTGTTGGAGTTTTGGGATAAGACCTCAAGTCTCTCAACGGTCTAGAAAAAAGGCATCAATGTACCAATCACAAGGTGCCACGTAAGTGCCACGAACAAGTTTCCCCTGCTATATAGTTAGATCATGTACAGTATTGGATATAATATTTTCTTTTGCTGACGTCTGAAATTTTTAAATGAAATACAAGTGAAATCGTGTATGGTAGGCCATGGAAGATCACAAGATCATGTACAAATCGTTTCACGTTCACTTTTTGATTAGATGCTAGATTATATAATTGATCTTGTAAAGTTGTAATAAACTAGGAAAACAATTTGTTGTGCAATTTGCAAAGTATTTTAATATTGAAATTGTTGAATCATGTTTTCAAAATTGATTTTCTTTTGTTATAAGAAACAGAATCATATATGAGCATCAGAATCTAAAACTTGCATATATAAAAATCAAAAAATTAATCCAACATCTTTGGCTCAATGTATATTATTACAGAAACCACAGAAAAGGGAAAGATAAGAGAGAAAATGTTCAAGCACAATCATGAATCCTAGATTATAATTTCATCCGCTTGGAAGATTGGATGTCATCATCCAGAGAGGAAACATCATGAGAGGATGATGATGATGATGATGATGATGATGATGAATCAGTGTCGTCTTGAAGGAAGCTCTTAGGACCTTCTTCAGCTTCACCACTTCTCATTATAAGTTCTTTCAAACGCTTCACATCTGCTAATTTCACTGGTTTCAGCAGGAAATCCTCTGCTCCTTCTGTCATACATCTGCATATACAAAAATTAAATTTTAGAAAAAAATTATCTAAATCAAATTACAGATTGTAACATAATTCGAGCAACTTACTGTTCAATACGAGGTTGTATATTCTCAGACGACATTATCACTACTGGTATTTCTCTAAATGCTGATGACTCCTGTTTAGGTAAACATACAATGGAGTTTGTGTAAGCAAAAGCTTTATTCAGAATTTAACAAGATACATATTACTTTGATCTTCTTGAGTAGTTCATATCCTGTTAGTCCAGGCATAGAGTAATCTGTCACTATCAGGTTCAACTTCAAATCCTGTTACCAAAATTAGCAGAATTGTTTATATAAACAAACATTTTATGAAACACAAAAGCTCAATTTCATTTTCCAAGAAACTGACAAATTAAATCATCCTTATTTTTTCAGACAAGGTTCAAAAAATCTTGTGATCCTCATTGTTCAAATATTAGATTCCTTGCGAGCCAAACCAACAGAGAAAAAAACACCATGTTTCAATCTTTGTATTGGTCAGAAAACAGAGATGTTTTAAAAAAGAAAGAATTAGTACCTTAAGACCAGAAGATTCTTTGTCTCCGTCAAGACCAAGATACTGAAGAGCCCTAGTCCCACTCTCAACAGTCGTCACTGTATAAACAAACCCACAAAATTTATCCAAAACAAAAGAGAACGAGAAGAAAGAGAATGATAGAGATAGAGAGACGTTTTGTTTTACATACCTTTACAAGCAGAGATCCTAAGCAATCTCTCGATAACCTTACGGTCGACGAAACTATCATCGACGGCAAGAACATGCAACTCCGGGGAAGAAGAAGAAGATAAGTCTCCAACAACCATTATTTTCTCTTGGGAAAGTGAAAGAACAGAGAGGAAGCGTTTAAAGATTCAACGTCAAAGGACACAAAAATCAATGTTAATGGAAGACGAGGAGTTACATAAATACTCCAAGAGAGAGAGGAGAGTGATGGATTGATTAATGGCAGAGAATCTGGAGGATCGGATCTTGTTGTTAAGATCTTGGGAGGGGAAAGAGAATCTAAAATGGATGAGTTGATGTGTTTATGTGTTGTCAGATAACGTAATATTGTGTCTTCACGGTCAAAATCTTTTGAGGGTCCCAATTTTTCGATTTTATAATCCTTTGTCTCCCTCTTTCTCTCTATCTGACTACGACAACTCTCACCCCTGTAACTTTTTTTTTTTAACTAATCACTATTAATTGCTTTTCCCTTGTCTTTTTCTTTGATGATCTTGTTCACCAAGCTAAACAAACATTTCAGTGTCAAATTTTTATCTCATTCCATGAGGTTACAATCTTTTGTATGGTCTTTTTCTCTATCAGTCAACTACTCTAAATTTTACTCTTTTGTTTTTGGTAATCAGTAACATTTTGCTTTCACTTAGCTTTTTCTTTGTAACATTTTATACTCCTTCTGTTTCAAATTAGTTGTCGTTTTAGGAAAATATATTTGTTATTAGTTAGATGTATCTGCAATATAAAACACGTCCAGATACATTCAAATATTTGCAGATACATTTTGCCAAAATGACAACTAATTTGTAACGGATGGAGTTTTGATTAAAGAGTTACGTTTTTTTTAGACAAAATCTAGATAGAACTTGGAAATTTGAAATACTATTTTAAATTTTTGTTCAAGCTCTTATAAATTTGATTGATCAGTACATTTTACTTTTCAACAAAAGAATCTGACATGTTTCTATACTGATTGGAATTAATGAGACAATTCCAAACAAATGACTATTTCAACATACGAGTATAAAAACAATAAAAACTAAACCGGTGTCGGATTAACATGTTTCGAAATTTAGGGTGAAATTGGTAATTATTTATAACTCTATAACCATTTCTGTAATTTCGGCATGTCACTTAAAAAACGTACCAAACCACACTCACGTGAGGGAAAAAATGAAATTGAACCAATCGATGAATCGTCTCTTTACCAAATCGCTCTGTACTTCGGCCGCCGGAGCCAATCTGAAACCACCGCCGGCAGATTCCGCCGCCATTGCTAAGCTTATCCTCTCTTCTCCCTCCACTACAACACATCAATCCCTAGACGATCAATTTCTACTCTCCACCGCAACCCCATGGACACCGCAGCTCGTGAACTCCGTTCTCAAGCGCCTCTGGAACCACGGCCCAAAAGCCCTCCAATTCTTCCACCTCCTCGACCGTCACCACCGCGATTACATCCACGCCGCGTCCTCCTTCGACCTCGCGATCGACATCGCCGCCCGTCTCCACCTCCACACCACAGTCCGATCCCTCACCCACCGCATGCGCTCTCTCCGCCTCGGTCCTTCTCCGAGAACCTTCGCGATCGTCGCCGAGAGGTACGCATCCGCCGGAAAACCCGATAAATCCGTGAAGCTCTTCCTCAATATGCATGAGCAAGGTTGTTTCCAGGATCTATCCTCTTTCAATACGATTCTCGATGTGCTTTGCAAATCCAAACGCGTAGAGAAAGCTGACGAGCTGTTTAGGGCTCTCAGAGGTAGATTCAGTGCCGATACAGTGACCTACAACGTGATTGTCAATGGCTGGTGTTTGATTAAACGGACGCCAAAGGCTTTAGAGGTGTTGAAAGAGATGGTGGAGAGAGGGATAAACCCTAATTTGACAACTTACAACACAATGCTCAAAGGCTTTTTCAGGTCAGGTCAGATTAGGCAGGCTTGGGAGTTTTTCCTGGAGATGAAGAAACGGAAATGTCAAATCGATGTTGTCACATACACGACGGTGGTTCACGGATTCGGCGTCGCCGGGGAGATAAACCGGGCGAGGAATGTGTTTGATGAGATGATCAGAGAAGGTGTGCTTCCTTCTGTTGCTACACACAATGCTTTGATTCAGGTTCTGTGCAAGAAAGATAGCGTGGAGAATGCGGTTTCGGTGTTTGAGGAGATGGTGAGGAAAGGTTACGAGCCGAATGTGACGACTTACAACGTGTTGATTAGAGGGTTGTTTCACGCCGGAGAGTTTAGCCGCGGAGAGGAGCTGATGGAGAGGATGGAGAAGGAAGGATGCGAGCCTAACTTCCAGACGTACAATATGATGATAAGGTATTACTCAGAGTGTAGTGAGGTTGAGAAAGCTTTGGGTTTGTTTGAGAAGATGGTGAGTGGTGGTTGCTGCTTGCCGAATCTTGATACTTATAATATACTGATCAGTGGGATGTTTGTGAGGAAGAAGCCGGAGGATTTGGTTGTGGCTGGTAAATTATTGCTTGAGATGGTTGAGAGAGGGTTTGTGCCGAGGAAATTCACTTTTAATAGAGTTCTGAATGGGCTTCTTTTGACAGGGAATCAAGGCTTTGCGAAGGAGATCTTGAGGTCGCAGAGTAAATCTGGTAGCAGGCTTACCAAGAAGTTCAGGCTGTGAATCTCTTTATATAGCAAGAAACAGTGTATTGAGAAACTGCAAAGCTACACAAATGTTTTTATTATATCATGGGGACAAAAATTCAGTGCGTTTTACAGTAGCTGTGACTGAGTATTGATGATGATGGAGTCTGATACAAAGTAAATATATGGTTCCCAAATGGATTTTGCTTCTGTGATTCTCTCTAGTGAACATTTGAATCAGAGGGAGATGGTGTGGCTTCTTTTGTTGAATTACAAGATGATCTCGTCTTGAACACTGATGTTGAGTGTCTTGTTTGGAAGCACAATGCTGCTAGTCACCACAACTTCGTCTTCAACTGCAACCGAGTCTCCTGAAAAAAACCATTAATGTTTGAGGTTAGTTTTTGCTATTTGTCTGTGAAGGAGGAAAGAGGATAAAAGCACTATACCGAGAATTGTAACTCCGAGTTTGGAGTTGAAGATTCCCTCAGCCTGTGATCAACAAAGTAAAACTTCAGGTTCACAAACAGAATAAGTAAGACTCTTTAAGAGATGAGCAGAAGAGAGAAGCAACATGCCTGGACACGAGACCATCTCCCAATTGAAGATTTCCAACCAACGATTGCGTTTGTCACCACTGCATTGTCCTGAGAGAACAGTCACTGAAGAGTCAAATCTCTAGAGAACACTTTGCCTGTTTTTGTTTTTAGTCTCTTTCTATAAGAAGACGTACCATGATCTCAACGTCGTCAAGGATGATACAGCTGATAAGCCTAACACCGGGTCCAATACGAGCATTTGCAGAGATTGAGACGTTGGGACCAATCTGTTAAACAGACGAAAACATTATACTTTTGTGAATTAAGTGGGATAAGAAGAAGTTGCTTCAACAAGGGACAAAACCAGTAAGTAACCTTTGCAGTTCGATGTACTTTTGCAGAAGGATGTATGTAAACATCACCAACCACTATCGCACTGCTTGTTCCATCACCACTAGCCAACAGTTGAGGTGAGGTCAACCAGTATTGAGCAAGATAGAGTCCTGAGCACCTCAGCGACATTCTGCAAAAGTCACAAGCCATGAACACTTGCTTCTCTGAAATGGATGGAAGCAGAAGGGGAAGGACATACCCAGGAGATTTGATCTGCTCCCAGAAATCCATAGTTTCGTAAGTGTATAGTTGCTTCTTCCCTGCTAGAGGTGTAAGGATGTCTTGATCCAGTCTTACAAAATCCGCCGGGATCCTGTTTTTAGAGAAGTTTTAGAAACACTATCATTCTAAGAAGATGATTCAAAGACTATGGTGAAAGTGACAAATCTACAAACCTTGTTGCTGGTTGAAGAGCTTCGAAGCTGGACACACGTCTCAGAGTTGCTACAACAAACAAAATCACAGAGGAAACAGATGAGAGTCTATGAAAATGGAAGCTACAACTTTGTTGTTTTTGTTACTGCTTTACCTGTATCTTTCCTTTGAGAGGAGACGTCTCTTATGGCAGTAAAAATGTCAGGTGTAAATACATAAACACCGCAGTTAATACGGTCACTGACCTGTGTTCCCAAGGTAAAAACATTAGAATCACATTGGTAAAGATTGAAAGTTATCTCAGTAATATATATACATACAAAAGTTTCCGGTTTCTCAGTGTAATGAAGCAGCTCATTAGTAACTGGATCTGCAACCAATTCACCAAATTGGCTAGCTGATTCAGGAGAGACCTAAAAAACCAAAACCACAGAAGCAACTTTGATAAATCCACCAGAAACAAAAACTAAACTAATCATAAGCTCAATCACAAACCTTGATCACAAGAAGAGTTCCAATTCCACCAAATCCCCTGTGAGCCTCTGTTGAATCAAAGCAGCAACAATCAAGACCTTGAAGAAAAACCAAGGGATGAGTCTCGACTAAAAAAGAGAACATACCGAGCATTTCCGGCAAGGGGAAACTACAGCAAACATCACAGTTAAGCAGGAAGATATGAGACTGCAAGGAAAAGTAGAAACAAGAACTCAGATATAAAGAAGAAAACACCAATAAGAATGATTCAATAGAAGAAAGATCCTTGGAGACTAACCGGGTTATCTTCCATGATATGACCTCTAAAGTGATACAGACCACCAGCTGAACCATGTGGTTTGTCTTCTCGCAGATATCTAAATATAAAACTACATGAATGAGCCACTGATACTTGAATCAAAGCTATGAGAAAAAAAAAAAAGATAAGAGATTTGTATTTAACCTGACAGGAACTTTGAGTTCATTAGAAATGGCAGAGACGTAAAGTGCAAATTCCCTTTCCTCATAGAAGCCAACAAGGTATATCTGAGCTAAATTTGGAATCTGCAGACAATAAAGGATTTGGTGACATCATCATTCTCTTTACATTCTCTATTGATCTTCTTGGATATGAATTGGAAATGAGAAAATTAATTTACTCTTTTACAAGCTGAAATAGGATGATGCACCATTGGTTGTCCCGCAATAGGAAACAGAGGCTTTGGAATATTCAGCGACAATGGTCGAAATCGAGTCCCTGTGGATCCAAAGATTCGAAACAGAATCAGAACCATAATCATTCAGACCAGAATTGTCTGGTCCGAAACTAAATAAGAAGGAAACAGCAGAGAAACGCATTGGATGTGCTCAAACACGAACAGAATTCGTTCTAGATCAAACGAGACTTTGCTGATGGAGGAGGAATCTGAAAGAAAGACAAAAGCAAAGTTTTTGTACCTTTGGTTGGACCACCGACCATGATCACAGCCACCACTTTCTCCTCCATTGAGCTCCCCATTTTTCAAAATCCCGAAAGCGCAGATCTTACAGACCCAGAAAAACTTCAGACTTCTCAGTTCTCACACACAAATTCCGCAACTGATGGGTTACACTATACGAAGCAGAAAATGGGCACCGCAGTATCAGAATTCAGACAAAAACAAAAAGATGGCAGCTTTAAGAGTTTCAAGGGAAGATCTCGTCGGAGAAACTCTAAGAACAAAAACAGAAGGTTTGGTTTTTGAGAAAGATCTAATCGAAAGTGAGTCACTAGTAAGTAAGTTGTAATGATCGAGATCTAAGAAGCTGTAATGTTCTGGTGATGGGTCCAAGTCACACTCACCATTCACCTCATTTCCTTAAAGGATAAGCGCGAGAAATATCCCAACACACACCTCTCTCTCTTCTTTATCTTTTCCCTCTTTCAGATTTGTTAATATATTGATTGCTCATTTTTATCCAAAAAAAACACTGCTCTTTTTCTAAGCAAAGGGTATACAGTAAAGCATATTCCGATTAGGAATTAAATGCCATGTGAGTTTTAACTTTGATGTGACTTGAAGATGACATAAAATGGTTTGCATGTTTCTTGGTATTGCTGCACCAGAGCCTAAAATGGTGCATGAACGCTTTGACCTTTTACAACAACAACCAATCACAACATAGCGACTTTATTCATTATCTTTACTGAATTCAAAACGTTATACAATCAGGAGTAAACTTTGACAGATTGATAAAAGCACAAAGATTTAACAGACAGCATTTGATTACTGAGCCGGGGGTTTGTACCATGCCCACGGATCGTTTGAAGTGTAGAGAGTCACTTGCTTCACACTCAAGTAGTTATCAAGTCCCCTGACAACACACACACACAGCCAAAACCAAGACTTGTTCAGATTAACTCTTTCATAACAAGATTTGTGACAGAACAAAAGAAAAAGAAAAGAGATATACCATTCTCCCAATTCGCGTCCAAATCCACTGCGTTTGACTCCACCCCATGGAGCTTGAGTGAAGCAAGGCTGCGAGCAGTTTATCCAGACAATCCCAGCTTCAAAGGCCTGACAAAGTAGAAGAACCGATCATTAGTTTGTGTTATCACATGATACATTCGTTATTTCACTTGCTTAGGGCGTATAAGGAATCTGAATGGTTTCAAGAAACTGGTACTAACCTCGCTTATACGGTCACATCTTTCAGCATCATTAGATATCACTGCAGCTCCTAATCCGTAACTGTCATTCATCATTCATCAATGAATTTCAGCCAAAGAAGATTAAAACACGAGTGCAACAGATGGGTTCTGATCAGAGAAACGTTATCTTACTGGGAGTCGTTTGCTAGCTCAATTGCCTCATCTTCAGTGGAGAATGTCTTCACGCAAAGAACAGGGCCAAAAACTTCTTCTCTCCAAATTTGCATTGAAGTGGTTACATCAGTTATGATGGTTGGTTCAATGTAGAATCCCTTTTTCAGATGCTGTAGAGATACATATACGACATAAAGGGTCATCATCATAGCCTGGAAGAAACTGCATCAAGGATAGATAAGAAAAAGGAGTTATCATACCTCAGGTCGGGAACCACCATGCAGAATCGTTGCACCTTCACTTTTAGCCGTTGCGATAAACTTCAATATCTTCTCGTACTGTAATATTTACATTTGTTAGCCTCATTACATTACTAAGCAAGAACACGACGAGCCGCATGACAACAGAACAAAATGAACACTGGGGATTTGACCTGTCCTTGACTAACCACAGGACCAAGCCTGCATCCTTCTTCCATGGGGTCTGAAATTTTAATGTTCTTGCTCCATTTTACAAGCTTCTCTAGAAATTCAGATGCGATGTTTTCCTACAACATGTAACTCTTGAGAAATTAAGGTCTTAACTTAGAAGCAAGCAGAAGATATGAAGCACTTGACTGAACACTTACATGAACAAGAAGCCGGGAAGTTGCACTGCAGATCTGACCATTAGTCCAGAAGCAACCGAAGAGAGCCCATTCAGCAGCTATACAGATCATTTGCAGGCGTCAAAACATACACAAAAGTTCATTATTAAGATCAACCAAAATCAGAGTCATCATCAAAGCGTCCATTAAATTATAGTAAGAAGAAGTTATCAAACGTCCATTAAATTAGTTTTTGTGACACTCACCTTTATCAAGATCAACGTCCTCAAACACAATGAGAGGGCTTTTCCCACCAAGTTCCATAGAAACAGGCTACAACAAAGCCGTGAGTGATGTGTCATTGCCATTGTTTGATGAAACAGAAGAGGAGTGAGTCAGAGATTTGAATTACCTTCACCAACTGAGCAGCAGCTGTCATGACCTTACTTCCCGTGGCAAAACTTCCAGTAAACGCAATCTGCCAAGAAACCATGAGTTTATGCCTTTCAGTCTCTGAGAACTAAATTGATAGTGCGTAATCAGTAGCCTTTTCAGTCTATAACGCACCTTGTCCACACCAGGATGTGATGCCAAAGGAGCACCAGCCTCCGAACCTAATCCAGTCAGAACGTTGAAGACCCCAGGAGGAAGACCAACTTCTCGACAAATATCAGCAAGCTCCAAACAAGTGCTGAAGGTTAAAACCATGACACAAATAAGACCTCAAAGAATGACCAATGCAAAAAAGCATAACAATGAAACAGACTATACACAGTTACTTACACTGATGCCAGCTCTGATGGCTTGAGAATCGCAGTGCACCCTGCAGCAAGTGAAGGAGCCACTTTCCAAACAGCCATCAAAAGAGGGTAATTCCTTCAAACACCAAACCAACTTTCAAGAGTTAGTTTCAGGTCACATGAGCTTTACATAAAACAGAGTAGGTTGCTCTAAACGTCTAAAAAGGAAACTAATAAGTACTTACCATGGTGTGATAAGTCCCACAACTCCAAGAGGTTGCTTCAGAACATAACTCTTAAAACCCTCCATAGGAAGCGAGACTGGTGCTTTCTGCTTAGCATCTAATCCTTCAGCAAGATCAGCGTAATACTCAAAACATCCAGCCACATCGTCCTGCAGGAGATCAAAACAACCACATTAACATCAAAACCTTCAAAGAAAGACCAACACTTTACCGAATCAACGAAACAGTACCATATCCCAGACTGCTTCATCCAATGGTTTACCACAATCAAGCGCCTCAAGCTTTGCCAGATCCGACTTTCTTTCCGTTACCTAAACAAATCAGATTTCAGAACAAAAAAACTGAGACTTGGAGATGTCTCAACATACACCATCAATAATCATGAATTGAAATATACCTTAGCAGCAATAGCACGTAAGTACTTTGCACGAACAGCTCCTGAAGCTTTGGCCCAATCCTTCCCTTTGTTCCTTGAAAATGCGATTCGAGCAGCGTTGACTGCAACCTCCACATCCTCCGGTGTAGCCGCAGGGATATCACCTAAACTCAATCCAACACATACAAATATCAAATTTCAACTAAATGGTAGTTACAAGAGAGCCCCAAAATCGAAACTTTCCAATCGGAACCACAGATGTTTATCCGGAAGATCGTGGATCCAATCGAAAGAGGGTAAAAGGGCTTACCAATAAGCTCTTCAGTAGCCGGATTGACGATCGGGATTCGCTTCTTCAATATGGGCTCTCTCCATTCACCGTCGATGAAAAGCTGACGTGTAGGCATCGGAATCGCCATTTCTTCTTATCCTGAATCTAACTAGTTACTCTCTCTCTCTCTCTCTCTCTCTCTCTCTCTCTGAGATGAAGTCTCGAAGTTGCTGCTCTCAGTAGTTGGTGATGCACGCAGTTTTAAGTAAACAAGAGAGTAGGATCAGGATCAAACGGAGACGCTTCTCCTCTTCTGCTGACACCTATCTTTGGGCCTATTCGAGAACAAAAAGTTTCATTTTTTATGCTAGACACTGAAAACTACGTCAACTCCCAATACATTGAACATTAATGGCAATTTACGTGAAGTTTCAATGTATCGTTAACGCCGTTAAAATGACTTAATAGTGTTGATTTTCTTATTTTGCAAAACAACCCTTGTGCAACTTGTTAAATGTCCATATTTAATTTATTTTATTAATTGTTTAATTTGACCTTCATATACTACTAGTTGTTACTTTATATGAATTTTGCTGCTATCAAAACCATTAAATTTGATAAAATTACCATTCAGGAGATTTGTGTGACTTTCCAGCATTGCTACGATTTGACAGGTGGTTGTAAAAAACAGTTTATAAACTTTTTTCTAATTGGAAAAAAGAAAAAGAGATTTATGACTTTCTTTATCTTTTGATCTTGGAAACATCGTTGGTGGTGAGTTTAATCCTTTTAATCTTTTGTTAATGACTTAATGGTAACTTTATGTAAGAATCATGTTAGCTCAGCCGATTTTTTTTATCATTGAAGGTGGCTTAACATTTATGATCCTAGTGATCATGTAGTTTTTTTGTATCTACCCATTTACTGTAGATTGATCTCATGAATAAATGGCTCATATGCTTTAGTTTGGTGTTTAACTTGTCATGTTAGATGCATCATTTAGTGAGTCTTCTTCATCGACTCTTATCAAAAACCTCATTAGCAACAAAAATCAGAATGGAGAAAGCTGTGTGTTGCGTCTGGTTCGATCAGTAATCCAATGCATGACCTTTCACGCCATAAAAATGAGAGCCATTATATATCTAGAAAAATCTCACTGAGCATCATTTGGTTTTCAATTGAAGTCAACGATAATGGCAACTCTTGAATTAATGGTGGACTCTCGTCCAAATCAATCAGAGACTAACAAATTCATGTATATACAGAAGGTGACATCTTTTGTAGTCAGTTTCATAGACTTGCTAAATTGATGATACTTGGAACCAATTAACAAATCCGTTCATCTTCCTTCTTCATAGAACGCCTAATAATCTTTAGGAAAAAAAACTTATTCTAGAAACAAAAGTCGCCACGAAAGTTCCAATCTTTTCCTTTACACAACGTGCCTACACAAATAGATATAATCTCATCACCAAAATTATACAAAAAGACAAAAGTGGTGAAATTGATCACGTGGAAAACAAGGATCACGACAAAGCAAGCTAGTCTCACTATGCCCGCGTAATCTACTTACAATCCGCCACGTGTCCCTTCTTCACGCGCTAGTCAGCGCTCATCTTCCTTCCTCACTCATCACTTCACTCCTCATATATAAACACACACAGCCGCAAATTCGTATCAAACCAGATAACAGAAATAACTGCAAATCAAAACAGCAAAGAAATCGAACCGGAACAGAATCGAATTTTTAAACCGAATCGAACCGGGTGTGTGCTTTGATTTTCCAACAATGGTGAAGAAAGCGATGAAAGAGGAGGAGGAGGAGATGAGAAACTTGTCGATGCAGTCAAAGTACAGAGGCGTGAGGAAGAGGAAATGGGGGAAATGGGTCTCTGAGATCAGACTCCCAAACAGCAGAGAACGAATCTGGTTAGGCTCTTACGACACTCCCGAGAAGGCGGCGCGTGCCTTCGACGCTGCTCAGTTCTGTCTCCGCGGCGGCGACGCCGACTTCAATTTCCCGGACAATCCACCGTCGATCTCCGGCGGAAGGTCGTTATCTCCTCCGGAGATTCGGGAAGCGGCTGCTCGATTCGCAAACACGGAGGAGAGTGTTATTAGTATCCGGGACGAAGAGTCGGGTCTATCCGGATCCGAAATCCGACCCGAGTCTCCTTCTACCTCCGTATCGGAGGTGGCTACATCGACACTGGATTGTGATTTTTCGTTCTTAGATGTGCTTCCGATGGATTTCGGGATATTCCCCGAGTTTGATGACTTCTCCGACGTCTTCTCCGGTGATCGATTTACAGAGATTTTACCCGTTGAAGATTACGGGGAAGAGATTATTGATGAGTCTTTGTTTCTTTGGGATTTTTAAATTTCCAGACGAAATTTTGTAAGCGAATTCTGGTTTTTCTTCGGGTCATGGAGTAATCTGACGGGTTTTTTAAGTCGGAGCCTCCAACGACCCGGGAAATGATTCGTTTCGGATTCCGGAATTTGATGTGGATTATGATCATATCAATTCATTCCGATATTTTTTCATTTTTTTTTGTTAATAGTGAAATGAAAAAATTCGTAATTATTTTATTGCATTGTTTATGTATTATCCACTAAATTTAATTGGAACAATATTTATGTTTCTTTTTTTTGACGTCAAGAATATTTATGTTTCTATTGCAGTGTTTTGTATTTTTTTTTTTGTCAACAAAATTCTTCCATTACTCAAACTAGAGTTGGAGTGTTTAACCACTCCAGAATAGAAAAACCAACAAAGAAAAGGGGTCTAGCATAGGTTCTAGCAAGTCTAGCCAAATGATCAGTTTTACTAACAAGAGCCCGAGGCACAAAAACAAGAGAGAAGGACGAAAATGAGCTCCTCAGACGCTTAAACTCAAGCAACTCTGTAGAGAACTTTTGGCAGTGTTTTGTATTATTCGGAAGAATATCCGTTCAAGAAAAAGAAGAAAAAATATATCCATTAGATTAGATGAGAAGATATTTTATTATTTGGCCTAACATCTTATAATTGGGCCTAGACCATTAATCACTTCCAGCCCATTTTTGAAAACGATCCTCGTGTTTGGTAGGGTCCTTAAAGAGTAAACAAATGATGATGGTGAATTGATGATAAAGACAAGATGTTTTCTTTAAACGATAATGATAAAAATATCTTCACAGCATTACGTCTGTTTCAGTATGACAGTATCATTAATGAAAAAATTACCAGTTCAACATCGTTAATTCAAGAAGATAGGAAGAGAAACAGTCAGCAAAACAAAATTAAGTCGAGAAATTACCTGAAAAACACAAAATGATTGATTGAAAACAAAAATTAAAGTTGGGGGATAAGATTCCATATTCATTCTCAAATTGCCACCTAATTTCCGGCTTAAATAAAAATAACAGTCACTTTCATAAAAGTAAAACCACTCTCTGATTCCAGACAAACCACTATCTAGGTGCTGAATAAAATAACACATATCAAATGCAGAGGAACTGGTCTATGATTATAAAATGCAGTGATTTTAAAAATAAGTAAATAACACACACACATCAAATTATAAAATACATAGCAGGTAACATCACAGAATATATTTTTCCTTAGAGAAAGAAAGTCTTGGATTCCCAGGAATTAAAAAATGAAAAAATTATCAGAAATGGACATTTGAATCTTGATGAACAAGAATGGGTCCTACCATCCTCCAATATAAAAAAGGAAGAAAATATCATTACATGAAAATAAAATAAATATCTGAGCCTGCTCATTTCAATAATGTTGGATTAAAGTAACCAAACAAGATAAATAAATACAAAAAACAAAAGAAATAATGATGATAAATAAATGGTTGGCCGTTTCTGTATAATCATAGCACACAAAATTCCAAACTTTATATGAAATCAGTGGGCTAAAGTCTCTACCTTTCTCCATCTCCTCTTCTTCCTCCTCTTCTTCTTCTATCAGATTCTTTCTTTCCTTCCTATAAGTTTGCGTTTCTTACATATCTCTTCTTCTTTCTTTCTTTAATCTCAATTCGCTTTCGTTTGTCATTTGTGATTCTTAATTATGATACTAAGCAAGAGACCTCACCTACTGATCAGAAAATTGTCGGAGATGTTGGTTCCGGGAAGCCGATCTGCAATTAAACCGGAGGATTACTCGGCAAGTCCGAGAAGTCCGTTAGATTTGAAATCCCCGTCACCGTCACCGGTCAGCTCGAAGCGTTACGGTTCCGGTGGTGTCGGTTTGGGTATCGTCGCTGCGTTGGAGGAAAGTAGCAACGGGATTAACCGGTACGATCCGGTTCGATACTCCGGGAGGTTCCGATGCCCGGAGATTGATCTGTCGGATGAGGAATACACTTACGTGACGAGCCGTGATGGGCCGACCAAAGTGTATTACAGCGACGACGGGTTTGAATTGTGTGGAAATGGGTCGGAGTACGGTGATCGGAGAGTGCATAAACCGATGGTTATCGCCGATGAACCACCGGTTATCAAGAGACAGATCTTTAGGGGTTCGACCGAGTTTCTGAGCTCGTGTTGCTTGTGTAAGAAGACACTTCAAGGCAAAGACATTTACATGTACAAGTAAGTTTCATTGCATAATATCGGATCGGATATCTGTTCTTGATCTTTGTTATAATCAAGACAAGTCTCGAGATTGTAAATTTCTAGAAATTCGAGTTTGTTGATGGGTTTTTTTTTAGGAAATTAATTTGTTTTTTTGTTCTGTTGTGTGCAGAGGAGAGATGGGATTTTGCAGTGCAGAGTGCAGATCAGTGCAAATAATGAAGGACGAGCAATGTAAATCGCAAATTTCGAGAAACGTCGACGTTTCGAGCTCTTCTTGCACCGGCGGACAGAGTTTCCCCGCCGGGGTATTCGTATTTTAGGACAAGCACAATAATTTGAAGAGAAGTACATTAAAAAAAAAAAATTAAAGTGATCATCATTATGTTTTACCTTAAAAGAAAAAGAAAAAAAGATTGAAATTTTTGGTTAGGTTAAAAGCAAATTGTATAGAAAGAAGCTTTGCTTTTGGTTAATTTCATCAATGTTTATATGTTTTTGCTCGGAATAAAATTAAATCAATGAAAATGCTAGAGATGTTTTACAGAAGTGAACGAACATACACCCAAACTTCTCAAACAGGCAAAATATTAAATCAAGTAATAAACAATGTAAGAGTGCACAAGACACGTGGCTACAGATCTCTGACTTGAAGGCCTGAATATACACAATTTGGTCAAATATACAAATTCATATGGGTTTACTTGGTTTATTATTAAAGACTCAGAAGTTACCAGTCAAGATATACAGTTTAAAATGTAGTAATGTATTGCTATTTTTCTCCGTGAAATTCCGACTCAAACCATCTTTGCAAGAAGAAGTCATATTTCAGATTAACAATGAAACTAAAATAGATTATACCCCTGCTGAAGAAATGCCATCATACATAAGTTTGTAATCATTTTGATTCTTAGTGCAATTTATGCATATGGGGCCTACGGTTTGCAACTTGATACATCCGGGCCCAATGTCAAAAATAATTACAAAAGTATCTTTTTCCCCACCTGTTTGATAAGATGAAGTCAGTGACCGATTCTGGCCGATCCGATCCAAATTACGTAGTTTTGCATTTTGGACGATTTGTTTACGCTGAGAAATTCTGGTATTCCAAAATTGGAGTTTAGGTTCTTTGCGCTAAGTCATAACGAATTTCGGACCAAATTTTTCGTGTTGAGTTGTTCAAGACCGAACCAAAAAGCTATCGCAAGCCATAATTCCCATGGCCTACCCAAGCCTGGTCTGATTTACTCCACTACCTTATTGGATATTTTATAAACTTAAAGTAGCACTTCTGATATTTATTTTTATTTTCTCGCAATTAGCTTGTATTCAAATATTCCAGTTTGTACATTTTCTTGATTGTCAAAACTAAAATGCTACTGCTTACGATTACGAATATGTCCCAAATGTATTAATAATGTAAACAAGTGGTATACAGTAGTTTTGAATGGTAATCAACAATCTTTTATCAGTTTTTAGATATTCCCATATATTCAAGCTGAAATGAGTTTGTTGGAGTCCTCTTCCGATGTGCTAATTATAAAAAAAAACAATGCTTTGATTTAATCACTCTTGCTAACGGAAGTTTCAGCTAGATAAGCGAAGAAAGAACAATTGGATTATACATTTTGGTCGTCAACAAAAAAAAATGATGTTTGTTACAAAAGTCTGGAAGGTGATGTTGAGATGATCCACACAAGTTAAACGCTATAAAGAGCAACTTTTCTTACAAATATACCAAGTCTTTTTGGCGCAATGAACACACGAAACTACTAGGAGTTACATTCATGTATAGAAAGCAAAAAAAAAGGAGATTGATATTGGCAACAATGGAGCATCAAAAGAATCTTACGAGATGGTCTCTCAAGCACTAAACAGTCTCAAAAGATCACTGCGAACCGAGCCAAGTTGCGTTAGCCTTGGAAGACGCTTCGGTTGAACCGTCTATCTGGTACGGTGCCTTTGATGTAATCCTGTCCTTTCTCTTCTCGAGGAATCGATGAAGTGAAGCTCTTCTAGCAATTGGAAGTTCTACAAATCACATAAAGAGATAAAAGTCAGACAAAATATCGATAAAAGCCAAAAAAGCAGAGAGACTGAGAAAACCAAAAGAGGCACGAGAGAAACATTATACCACAGGCTAAAGAGGACGTGTTTGGCTGGACTGTCTCTTGTGCAGGATTTGGTGTAGAAGTAGAAGCAATCTCTGCTTGCTTCTTGGCTATGTTTTGGTTATTGGCACTTCCTTTGTGAGCCAAGTCAATGATTTCTTTAGCTTTCTCAGCTGGAAAATCATCGAACACCATAACTTGACCTCCGTAGAATATAGTCAATGGAGCAGATTGAGACTCTGCCTTCACAGATCTGTTCAAGATAAAGTCAGTAAACGATGGAATCTAGCTTTACTGTATCGAAAAGTTCTATTCATGACAGAGAGAACAACATACTTAGTCTCTTTGATCTTCTCGGCTTCTTCTTTGGCTCCAGAGGAAGAGGAAGAAGAAAAGCTTGATTGCCGAGGAAACGTATTCTTCGGTTTAGTGTCTTGACCAGCTGGAGAAGCTAAAGCTTCACATGGGAACAGATTCATCATCGTTGGTTGACGTGAAACAGCGAAACCTCCTGCAACAATTTGATTCCACAATTCAGTAATCGAAAGAGATGATTCGTGCTTTCATCAATCGCAAAACCGGTTATTCAATCTGATTCTAATTTCCGGTCAACATGTAATCGAATTTTTCAATTGGTTGATTCAATTTGATGGAATTCGAATTGGGGGAAAAAAAATCAAAATCCCTAAATCGAAAACGAATCATAGATCTAGGGAAGAGATAAGGTTTTGCTTACCGTTGTTGACGTCGGGCTTGCATGTCATCCCCAAGCTCAGATCTCCGAAGCTACCCTTCTCTTTCAGGTAACGACTCAATCGAGTACATGTTTGTGAGAAACTCGGCTTCTTAGGTAACCTCCGGCCGGAGAATTCCCAGCACTCCACAGAATTGGACATCGTGAATAAAAAATCCTTCGATTCGAGAGAGAAATTGAAAAAATCCGTTCCAGAGTGAAACAAATAGTCAAAACTTGGAACAAAAGAATCTTATTGCTTTTTCTTCTGCTGCGTTCTCGAATATATAAGCTATGACCAGGAGAATCTAGAGAAAACTAGGGCTTTTGTTTATCTCTCTCTGTGTTCAAAGTGAGTTTGTCACGAGGAAGAAATGGGGACTCTTTATTACTTTTTCTTCGCTGGGTTGAAGATACCGCGAAAATAAATACTATAAATGAATAAATTGTATTTTACTAATTTTGTATTAAAGCATTTAAAACACGTGCTTTAATTTAATGCCTTTATTGTTAGTAACGGCAGACAGTGTGTATCAGTTCACCGTCACCCACGTTTAATACTTTTTGGTTTTAGGCGTATTCAATTTACTATTTTGCCTTTATTTTCAATTTCCAACAATGGCTCTTAATGGTAAACTAGTTAGAGTAAATCAATTTGGAGTAAACTGAAGTAAAAGTTTTTTATAATCAAGTGTTTTCTATTTTTCTCAGCTGAAATTTTCACCAGATAAAAGAGGTGGGAAATATATAGCTAGTTTTAGTGGGTAATCTCTTTTTCTATCCATTTACTCTAATGTACTTACCATTGATAGCCAATATTTTATTTTTGTAGATTTTAAGTTTTTAACCATTTTGCTCTAGTTACTATTTATATGATCAAAATGTGAAACAAGTAAGTTATAAACAAGAAACATGTGACTGGTCCAAAATGTGGAGCTGTGAATCATGCTAAGAACAATTGTGGTTTAGTTTTACAAACATTTTTATTGTAAAGGTAGATGTAATTTTGTAAAGAAATTATAAGTTTTGAAATGTTGATTTGAATATTAAAATGATCAATCTTAGTATATGAAAGTGCTATGATAATGTCGAAGTTAGATGACACAAACAATTCATATTCACATTATATATGCAAAGTAAATGACATGTTTAAGGGTATTCTCGTCTCGTTAAAGAACAAACGGCGTGGTGTGAATTGTTAAATTCGGAAAAAGAAACGACTAACGGGGTACGTTTTGACGGCGTTACAGGGAACACGGGAGTGGGTCCCAACATAACAATAAGTCCACCCAGCATTTGATCCACAAGTCACGTTTTGTACTTCCCTTATTTTGTTTTTTTTTGACATCTTGTACTTACCTTAATTAAACTGTAATATTTGCAGAGTAAAGATATTAAAAGAAGCGGGAAGTGCACGTCTCCTCCACGAATGCTGACCTTACACGTGTCGAATGTTATGGAGTACCAATCAACTGCTACGCGACTTATAAAAGCATGCGCTTCTCTTCTCCCCTGTTCCGTTTAGGCATGACCAAAATGAAACCGTAACCGTATTTCAGACCGTAACAGTACCATTTTTAAACCGTAACCAAACCGTAACTGTATAAATTGGTTAAAACTGTAACCGGACCGTAACTGTATAAATTGGTTAAATGGTTAAGGTTAAGGTTAACAAAATTTCTAACCGTAACCGGTGGTTAAATAACCTTAACTGTGATAACCGTAACCGTGGTCATGCTGCCGTTGATCTTGTCTCCTTGTTATCGCAATTATCCTTTTGTTATTATCCCACGATTATATTTGGTTCAGTAAAATGTCTTTGAAAAACAAATTAACATTTCATTATTTTCTTTATCACAAATCCGCATCTAATTATTCTTGCATATAATCGTTTGCAATATCACTCGGATGTTCTTTGCAAAGAAATCAGCATTTTTCTCTTTCTTAGAAGCTTTGAAATCTTCTACTTGATCTCTTAAGAAAAGAAAAACACTAATGATCATCAGATGCTGTTTTTTTTTTCTTTTTCTTTTGGTTTCTTATACTACTTTAACTCCTTAAGAAATATAGCGTCACCTGGATTTGTGGTAGTTGTCTAAACTACTACTAGTCTAATAGCCTTAGTAGATGAACATGTTTCTCGTGGCATAACGCGATACAACTACTTGTCGTATAAAATATAGTGATATTTCAAATGCATTTAGTTTATATCAAGTTGACATCAGATCGTATCTGCTAACTACTTGAAGCTACTTACAGATCCATCCACTTGTGAATATTCTTGTAGATATTACCAACTCACCAAATCAGCGTCAGTAATCAAGTTTGCACATACCTACCTAACTTATTTGGTGGAGTTAACAGATCCAAGAAAAAATGTCAAAAAGAAGAAACGTACATTACATATAACAGAGTTATAAGGATCTGTACTGCATGAGTCAGATGATGAACAGGTTGACTTAACGGATCAAAATACAAAACGACGAAGAACCAAAAGCGCATAAAGACATCAGAGTATGCAACCAAAAATAAATAATGGCAAATTGGCAAGTGGTGATCTTAGTGGTCACAAAAATGCATGAGGGGTTACAAGAAGAAGAATAACAAAACTTTATCTATTCGTTGTTCTCTTATACATGGTTTGAGCTATGACTTTTGTGTCTTTAAATTTATTTTTACAGATGGTTCCTCCTTTCGTGTCCGCTTTCTTTCACTAATATAACACAAGGAAGAAACTTTCATATGATTTCGACATTTCAAAAGACTTAACTGAGAATTGACTTAAACATGTGTCAAGAGTTACTAGATATAACTGAGAATTGATTTTGGTATTTTTTAGATCGTATGTAAAACAATAGAAATGAAAGAAAAAAAGACTACAAAAGACTAAAAAGAAGGATTTTCGAACAAGAAGGTATCACAAGGAACATATTGTTCATGGCAAATCCGTACTCTGCGCTACGTTTGCTCCATGTCCAAGTCTTTCACGCATCATATCTTGATCCTAAAAAACACTTAAGCTTAGCTCTTGGTACTCGAACAAACTGTGTTGATTCCCACGACGTAACAACTAGCATAACATGGGAAAGTTCTGGTAAACACTGCACAAAATAAAACATGCCTTAGCAAAACTTACCTTCATCACATAAATCTAAAGCCATCACAAATCATTTTCTTGCATTTCACATACTTTAAGGGAAACTAATTAACTAAACCAACTTCAATTCCGAGCAGAGTAACTAATATGTTGAGGTCAAAGAGCAAACAGTCCTTTGACGATGCATCTGAGAACAATGGATGTTAATGTACCTTACAGCAAGTTATACAACCAGGTTTTTGCTTTCACTTGTAAGGAGCAAAAATGATGCTGGAGTTATGGCCACCAAACCCGAATGAATTTGACAAGGCTGCTGTAATGTTCAGTCTCTCCTTCTTAGGACCCACCAGCAATTTTGTATCCTGCTCCAGTTTCAATATCAAGTAGTATCATTAGATCTTTCAACAGTCTTATTACTACGATCAGCTTGGAATAACAAAAGCCAAGAATTTACTAACTTACCACTCCATTGTCTGGATTCTCGAGGTTGATATTTGGATGAATCCATCCGGTCCTTATTGCCTTTAACAAAACCAACAGAAAATTAGCATGAAAAATGCGAAGGCTCTGTTTTATGACAACTGGTTTAAACAGCACTGATGTCTCTAGCATTTGTTGTGTTACCTGCACGGTTGCGACAGCTTCTACGGCCCCAGCAGCTCCCAGCAAGTGTCCAATCATAGATTTTGTGGAATTTATCCTTATCTGCCACATCGTGAGAGAGCAAAGTAAGGAAAATACACAAAATGACCTTGGAAATATGTAAAAGCTTCTAATAAACTAAACTTAACGAGGACTTGAAAAAGTGAAGTTACCTCAGGATTTTGGCCAAAACAGTTAGCAAGGGCTAGGTACTCCTTAAGGTCTCCAGCTGGTGTTGAGGTTGCGTGTGCATTTACGTAGTTTACCTGTTCTTTGGACACTCCAGCATGAGCTAGCGCTCTCTCGATACAGAGTTTGACCCCAGCCCCTGTGGATATTAGACATATGTGCTAATGGCGATAAACTTTATAGACAAAAGATGGTAAAAATTGCAGCTCATATGAATAAGGGGAAAAATGAAACTACCATCAGGGTGCGGCTCAGTCATGTGGTAGGCATCGCATGTGAAACTCCCACCAAGGAACTCTGCGTAGATAGTTGCTCCTCTTTTCTGAAAAGAAAAAACAGAATACATATGTTCTCACAACTCGTTCCATAGGAAGAATGAAAAAACTTGGAGATAAGTTTACTTTGTGAGTATACAGTACATGTGAAACAAAGGAACGATAACAAGAACGAATGAGTTATATACCTTAGCGTGCTCAAGTTCTTCCAAAAGCAGAACACCAGCTCCCTCCCCCATCACGAAACCATCTCGATTCTGTTATGCAATCACGTTTTAAAAGTAAGAAGAAGAATATGCAAACCTAATACACACATCTTCTCACATTAAACTTCCTTCAACATTACAGAAATGTAAAGGGAATCAAGATTTGAACGAAACAACAGAAGGGTATTACAACATGCAAGAAATAATAGTGGAAAAAAAGACAAGACAGGAAAGTGTAGAAAATTACGGTATCCCAAGGACGTGAAGCTCTTGTGGGATCATTATTCCTTTGTGAAAGAGCCCGGCATGCAACGAAACCTCCCAACCCTGCATTGGTACATATACGATAAAATTCCTGTAGCTAAAAAGTTTCAAGAGCAGAGGGGATAATGTGGTTTAGGAGAGCGAGTTTGCACCTATTGGAATAATTACTGAATCCGAGCCACCGCAGAGCATTACATCCTGAAAGATTTCAGGGGAAAGACAGACAAAGTCTTATGAACTAGAACCAGAAGAAGCAAACTGTCGAATTTTCAAGATGATGGAGGATACTTACAGCTTCACCCTTGATAATGTGGTTAGCTGAATTCAGAATGCAAAAATTGCTTGTGGCACAAGCAGCTGCAATAGAATAGTTTGGCCCCATCCACCCCTAATTGATCACCAGAAAGATGATCAGTACTATACTTCTGGAGGTCATCCGTATTAAATCACACAACATTCAATTTTAATCATACCAGATCCATAGCTAGCATAGCAGAACCCATGTTTGTTGTCGCAAAAGGCACACAAAAAGGATTCATCTTCTTGTAAGAGATCTTCAGAGCCTCAATAGCATCGTGAAAGACCTGTATCAATTAAAGATACAATTACCAACTTATTTCTAAATCTTTCTGATTCGAAACTCTTTTCATACTTTCTTAATGTTCAAATAAAAAAATCAAGAGAAAGTACCTTCATGCCTCCCATTGATGAGCCAATCAAGACTCCACACCTGGCTTTGTCAAACTCTTCCATGACTTCTTCAGTTACACCACCATCAGCCAAAGCTTTCTTGCCAGCTGTGAGGAGATAAAGCATGAACTTGTCCATCCTTTTCGACAGTTTTGGAGCAACCCATCCTTCAGTCGAAAAAGATTTAATCTCTCCTGCAATTCTCTTCACAAAAGATAAAACCAAAGAAAGATGTTCAATTACACCAACGAAAGGAAACAGAGAAAAAATCCCACACACGCACAAAGAGCTTTTCCAATATATCCTAATATAATTGCTTACCGTAGGAAACTCAGAACAATCAAAGTTCTCAATCTGGCTAATACCACTGTTCCCTTGTAGCAAATTCTCATAAAACGTATCTGGGTCATGACCTAACGATGTCTCAACTCCCATCCCTGTCACAACAACACGACGCTGCTCCATTGGAGGTTTCTTGTTAACAGCTGCTTCCTTCTCCATCTCCATCGCAACCGCCATTACTCCACCTACACAAAATATATCAACTTAATTAGCTAATATCCCAAAACAAAAACACATCTCAATGGCATGATACCAAACTTAAAAATCCCAACTTCACACTTCAGCTGAGATTACAAATCAGCTGCTTTCTCGTTCCAAATTTCATCATTAGCCCAATAACATAAACCCAAAAATTAAAACTTGTCAACTTGCAAACAAAACCCAGAAATTTAATGTAAAAGAAAAACCCCTCAGATTGGAGAAGAAATGTAAATACCGGAAGCAGATGCACGATTCAATCTCCGCTGGGTACGATTGAGAGAAACGGTATTGAATCCGAAGAGAGAAGACAAGGCATTGCTATTGCTATTGCTATAGTTGTTGTTATTGTTGTAGTAGTGACTGCAAGGTGCAAAATCCAAGCAGGAAGTGACGAGAGCCTGAATGCTGCCGCCGGATCCACGATTACCAGAAGCCGCCGCGGAGCATTTGCCGAGCTGTCTCCTTCGTCGACTCCGCCTGCCGGATTGAAGAGCGACGGCGGCTTGTCGGCTGTCTCCGCCGCCGTCAGGGACGGACATGCAAGCTGCGACGAGCCAGGTGCATAACGGAGATGCGTAACAGGAGGACGCACCCACCATGGCAAAAAGAGTGAGAAGACGACAGAGAAACGTAGGAAGGAATCGAAGAGGGAAGCGAGAAATGGGTGAAGAGAGAATCTAGCGGAAGGAAATGGGATTCACGAGAGATTTAAGAGGAATCGATCTTCGATCTCTCTCTCTCTTGTCTTCTTCTCTCTCTTTCAGGATGCGTGGAGAGGGTCTGGATGCGTAAAATCGTGCGTGGAGACTCTCCGCCAAAAATCCCTCCCTCTGAAACAAAACAAACACAGAGAGCGAGAGCGAGAGAGAGAGAGAGAACACTTGCAAAATACAAATCGACACTTCAAATCTCAAAAATATCGATGACCAGAATAAATTTTTAATTTTTATCCTTTTTCTGTAATTCTGCATCTGAAACAAAAATAAGAAGGGAAAAGAGTTTACAACTTTTATTAAAAAAAAAACATTACATCAACTTTTACTCCCTCCGTTTCAAATTAGTTGTCGTTTTGGCAAAATGTATCTGTAAATATTTGGACGTATCTGAACGTGTTTTGCATTACAGATACGTCCAAATATTTACAAATACATTTTGCCAAAACGACAACTAATTTGAAACGGAGGGAATATCTATTTTTGTTGAAAGTTGATATGCTACAAAAGAACAATTAAATAGAAAAAATAATCATCTTGCTATCTAATTTTGTTTTATTACTTTGTTGTCTTGTTTTCATGTAAAATATATAGCAAAAAGTCATCTATTGTTAAAGTAGTTTAAAGTCTGAAAACACACTGGATTCTGAATAATAATTCAGAGAATACTAACAAAAAATTGTCCCCATGCATTTCTTTAACATTTTTTATATATATAAAAACAAAAAAATCGTAGTTTATGTTTATTTATCTCACTATTATATAACAGAGTGAAGAAAAACTAAATTATACAGATTCCTCCGTATCATTCAACTCCACATTTGTGTGTGTTAACATTAAACATAGCGATAGTGTGGATATATATAAATATATGATATACATACAGATTTCAGATTTGGTGACCTCGGTTTAATCGAAGGAAGGACACTTGGAATAACATTATTTTATTTTGGACTTGCATGTAAATGTAATATATATTGTGGCAGCGAAGTGTTGCAGTAGTCAGTAGAGAGGGATAGCGATATGGCAAACACACCACTATTTTGTAACATTTATTTCCATACATTTTTATATCTATTTCAGAAAATACGTGTATATGCTGATAAACATAAGTTTAGTTTGTTCACAGATTAACAAAGGAAGATTTGAAGTGGTCCGGTACTAGTTCCAGAAAGAAAGAAAAACATTGATGATGAAAGTCATGGACTTGATATGATATGTAGCTGCCTCTATGTATAACGTAAATGATTTTCTTAGAAAATAGACCACTCAAAATCATTAAATTGTCACAACTAAGTCCTCCTTGACTATGTAATCAATAAATTTATAGGATACACGTGATTGTCTTTTTTTTTTCTTTCTTTCCTTCTGATCGAAACACACATACACAGTCACACGCACATCAAGTGGCTCTTGCTATTTATATATTGCATCAAAACCAAGTTGTGTTAGACTATTGGTTTATGTTGGTCTGAAATAGACTCCAAGAGTTCAGGTTTTGTTTGTGTTATTTTAAAATAATGGACTAATAAAATTTTAAAAGACTAAAGGAGATGGGAAACTAGGAAGGAACAAAAAAAAACAGAGTGAGGAAGAGAAAATGCATGGAAAGAGTCAAAGTGGGTAAGCTCACTTACACCTAACATTCCAATTTGCATCACCATTCTCAGCTAAACCAGCCTAATCTCCGGTTTTCATTTTCTGTGATCATCATTCACTACTGTATACTGTCTCACACGTGCCAATCCGTATGAATTAGAGACCAAGTCAATAAAATGGCACGTGCTGAGTCAAACAAACATTACATCATTGCAAGCCCAACAAGATTGTGAAGCCCATGATTGGCTCAGCTTCGTTTAGGGTTTCTGTTTCATCACTTGTTTAGTAAAAGGTCGTCATTGACTCATTTCGTTGCAACTTGAGAAATCATCATTTGACAATGACGACGTCGATGTTGAATCTTCCAAACCATTTGGAGGAGGAGATTCTCTCTATGATTCCTTTCAGTTCCATGAGAGCAGTTCGCTTAACTTGCAAAAAGTGGAACACTTTATTCAAAAGCCGGAGCTTTACAACGATGCACATCGGTAAACAAGAAGCAGAAGCAGAGAGGGAATCAGGAGAGTCTCGGATGGTCGTGATGACGGATCATAATGTTTGTTTAACGAGCGTCGTCACCGTCAACGAACATGAAAAGCCATCAACAAAGCCTCTAGGTAAACTTACTTGCCTAGACAATGAACACGTCAAGATCTCTCAGGTCTTTCACTGTGATGGTCTATTGTTATGCGTATTGAAAGACGACATTACTAGGTTTGTGGTTTGGAATCCGTATCTAGGGCAAACAAGGTGGATCGAAGCCAGATATTTTCACAGAATGAATAAGTACAAGTACGCTATCGGGTACGAGGATAGAAAATCTTGTCGTAGCTACAAAATCTTGAGGTTTAGGGATGATTCAGATTATTACGTCCATTACCCTTACAACAAAAACCACCTTTCATTGTATGATTCCTATGATTTTGAGTCTAATCTATGGAGGACTCATTATTTGAGGGATCCTTTGACACTAGCGTTTTGTGATCGTGGCGTGTCTCTCAAGGGAAACACTTATTGGTGTGCTACAAACGGACTAGGAGAGATCAGTCACACGGTCTGTTTTGATTTCGCAAGTGAGAGCTTTGGAGGGATTAAAGATCTGCCTTTTAGTGTTCCGTTTGATGATAAAGAGCGTGTGGCTCTATCTTGTGTGAGAGATGAGAAGCTTTCGGTTTTAGTTCAGTCAATGCAAACATCTGTGATAGATATATGGATTACGGATAACATCGAGGAAGAAAAAGTGTTGTGGAGCAAGTTCTTGAGAGTGGATTTGGGACCACTCAATGGCTTGAGGATTTCAAATGGGTGTTTCTTCATTGATGAGGAGAAGAAAGTCGTCATGGTTATTAATAAAGATAGAAAAGAAAGATTAGATACACTGAAGATCTTTGGAAAGGATGGATTTAGTGAACTGGAACTCGGAGAACCTTCGGACAAAAAGTGTTGGCCGGTTATGTGCTCTTACGTTCCAAGTTTAGTGCAAGTCAAGCTACCTGAAGGAGGCACAAGGAATAGACAAAGGGATTAGGTGTGTCGAGACTCGAGATGATCCAAATGTGTTGAGAGATATGATAAGCGAATCAAGGCACAAGAAGAAAACGAGAATTGATTAGTCTCAATTTACAAGGACTAATTTCTTTTTATTTTATTTTTTATTGAGCTTGTGTTTTGTACCTTTTGTTTATGTGCTTTCTGTTGATCTTGATCACATGATGTTGAGCTTGTGTTTTGTACATTTTGTTTATCTGTTTCTGCCACATTTAAATCACATGATGTTGATCTTGTGAGTTGATAACATATACATATATACAGTAATAGTAAGTGGATTAAAATTATTTGTCAAATAGAGAGAATTGATCCAAAATTTCATAAAAAAATTTAAGCATGAGTAAAATTTCCTATCTTATCTACAAAAAAAAAAACAGCTGTGTGTATTCATCATGAGTAAAATTTTTTACAGATCTGTCTTGTGTGAGAGATGAGAAGCTTTCGGTTTTAGTTCAGTCAATGCAAACATTTGTGATAGATATATGGATCACGGATAAGATCGAGGAGCAAAAGGTGGCGTGGGGCAAGTCCTTGAGAGTGGATGATACGGCCACAAAGGTGTCGTGGAGCAAGTTCTTGAGAGTATATACGGACACTGACTTGAGGATTTCGGGTGGGCGTTTCTTCATTGAAGAGGAGAAGAAAGTGGCCATGGTCTTGAAAAAAGACAGAGACGAAAGATCAGATACAATGAAGATCTTTAGAGAGGTTGGATACTTTAAAGAATTGGAACTTGGAGAACCTTCAGACAAAAGGTGTTGGCCAGTTATGTGCTCTTATGTTCCAAGTTTAGTGGAAATCAAGCTACCTGAAGTAGGCAAAAGGAATATTGATTAGTCTCAATTCACAATGCCTGATATCCATGTCTTTTCATTTCTTCTTGTTGTCTTTCAACAAGATTATTTTGTTTATTGATTCCCATCTATACGCAATATGAACAAGATTTTAGCTTTCACAAACATAGCTGTTCTCGTAACCCATGTGTCACTACTCACTAATGTCACTTTCACGTATTGAAGCCACGTACAGTAGATTACACTAAAGATACTCCTGAAAATAGTGTTCACAAAGATTATTTCATCATCACTTATCAGTTATCACCAATATCAAAATTTCATCTCTCACGAACGTATATTCCATGAACATAGCCTAATATTCTCCGGTTTCATTTTCTGTGATCATTACCACTGTTACGGTCTCACACGTGCCAATCCGTATGAGGAAGAGAGACCAAGTCAATAGAATAACAGATGACCATGCATGAGTCAAACAACTCCTCAAACATTACATCAAAAGCAAGCCCAAAATATTGAGAAGCCCATTACTGGCCCAGCTTAATTTAGGGTTTTTGTGTCTTCAATTTTTTTTTGGGGTGCAAGTTTCTTCAATTGTTGTTGTATAGCTAAGAAAAGACAGAGGATTAGGTTTCTGAAAAAGGTCGTCACTCGTCAACTTGGGAAATTATTTGACGATGACGATGACGATGACGATGATGACAAATCTTCCAAACCATATGGTAGAGGAGATCCTCTCTATGATTCCTTTCAGTGCCATGAGAGCAGTGCGATTAACTTGCAAAAAGTGGAACACTTTGTTCAAACGTCGTAGCTTTACAACCATGCACATCGGTAGACAAGAAGCAGCAGCAAAGGAATCAGAGGAGTCTCGGATGATCGTGATGATGGATTATAACGTTTGTTTAACGAGCGTCGTCTTCGTCAATGAAAACCCATTAACGAAGCCTCTAGGTAAACTTACTTGGTCAAACAACGAACAAGTCTCTCAAGTCTTTCACTGTGATGGTTTAGTGTTATGCGTCTTGAAAGATGACAATACTAGGCTTGTGGTTTGTAATCCGTACTTGGGGCAAACAAGATGGATCGAGACCAAATGTTCTCACAACCTTGACAAGTACAAGTACGCTATCGGGTACGAGAGTAACAAATCTTGTCGTAGCTACAAGATCTTGAGGTATAAGGATGTCTACGCCAGTTACGGTTACCTTTCAAGCTGGTATGAAATCTATGACTTTGACTCTAATTTATGGACGACGAGTCATAAATGGATTGAACCTTGTGTAAAGTTTTGTGATCGTGGCGTGTCTCTCAAGGGAAACACTTATTGGTCTTCTGAAAACAGAGAAGGACTGATCAGTTACACTGTGTGTTTTGATTTCACAAGAAAGAGATTTGGGGGGCTTCAAGATCTGCCCTTTAGAGCTATGAACAACCAGCTTGTGACACTATCTTGTGTGAGAGATGAGAAACTTTCGGTTTTAGTTCACTCAACGGTAACATTTGTGATAGATATATGGATTACGGATAACATCGAGGAAAAAAAAGTGGCGTGGGGAAATTCCTTGAGAGTGGATGATACGGTCACAAAGGTGTCGTGGAGCAAGTTCTTGAGCGTGGATTTGGGACCACTCACTGGCTTGAGGATTTCAGATGGACGTTGCTTCATTGAAGAGGAGAAGAAAGTGGCCATGGTTTTGAGTAAAGACAGAGAAGGAAGATCAGATACCCTGAAGATATGTGGAGAGGCTGGATACTTTAGGGAGTTGGAACTCGGAGAACCTTCAGAGAAAAGGTGTTGGCCAGTTATGTGCTCTTACGTTCCAAGTTTAGTGCAAATCAACCTACCTGAAGGAGGCAAAAAGATAATACAGAGCGAGATTGATTAGTCTCAGTTTACAATGTCTTTTCATTTGTTCTTGTTGTCCTTGAACAAGATTATTTTGTTTCTTGATCCCATCTTACGCAATATGAACAAGATTTTAGTTTTATATTTTAGAACCGAAAGAGCTATGATCCTGATTCACATGTCTTTCAATATTTATTCTTGTTTTTCTTTGATCAAGATGAGTTTAATTCTTCCCACTTTCAAGAAAACCTGTAACACACAAATGATGATATCTTCATATTTCTATCTAAACAAAACAGAAACTGGGTTTCATCTACACACAAACACAAATAGATAAGAGTTTGATCCACTTCAAACAAATAGTAAGATAAAATGATTTTAACGATTCTACTCACCAAAAAAAAAAAAAAAAGTTAAAAGACCAAAACTAAGAGATGGGAAGTTTGTAAGGAACAAAAAAGACAGAGTGAGGAAGAGAAAATGCATGGAAAGAGTCAAAGTGGGTAAGCTCTCTTGTACCTAACATTCCAATTTGCATCACCATTCTCAGCTAAACCAGCCTAAATAATCTCCGGTTTTCATTTTCTGTGATCATTCCGTATGAATAAGAGACCAAGTCCTCCTCCAACATTACATCATTACAAACCCAACAAGATATGTGAAGCCCAATATTGGCTCAGCTTCCTTTAGGGTTTCTGTTTCATCAAGTGTTTGTAGCAAAGAAAAGAGAAATAGGGTTCCTAAAGGATCGTCCCTTTGTTGCATCTTGAGAAATCATCATTCGACAATGACGACGTCGATGTCGAATCTTCCAAACCACTTGGAGGAGGAGATTCTCTCTATGATTCCTCTCAGTTCCATGAGAGCAGTGCGCTTAACTTGCAAAAAGTGGAACACTTTATTCAAAAGCCGGAGCTTCACAACGATGCACATTGGTAAACAAGAAGCAGCAGCAAAGGAATCAGAGGAGTCTCGGATGGTCGTGATGATGGATTACAATGTTTGTTTAACGAGCGTCGTCTTCGTCAATGAAAACGAAAACCCATTAACGAAGCCTCTAGGTAAACTTACTTTGTTAAACAACGAACAAGTCAAGATATCTCAAGTCTTTCACTGTGATGGTCTATTGTTATGCATCTTGAAAGACGACGATACTAGGTTTGTGGTTTGGAATCCGTATTTAGGGCAAACAAGGTGGATCGAAACCCCACATACTTATAATCAGTACAAATACAAGTACGCTATCGGATACGAGAAAAATAAATCTTGTCGTAGCTACAAAATCTTGAGGTCTAGGGATATCTACATCGCCAATCCCGGTTACATTAAATGCTACTCTGAAATCTATGACTTTGACTCTAATTTATGGACGAGTAATAATGTGGTGAGTGTATTTTGGCATGTAAGGTTTTGTGATCGTCGCGTGACTCTCAAGGGAAACACATATTGGTGTGCTGAACACGGCAGAAGAGATATCACTCACACTGTGTGTTTTGATTTCACGACAAATAGATTTGGGCAGCTTCGAGATCTGCCTTTTAACGATCCGTATGACCAGCTTGTGACACTATCTTGTGTGAGAGATGAGAAGCTTGCGGTTCTAGTTCAGTCAACGGTAACATATGTGATAGATATATGGATTACGGATAACTTGGAGGAAGAAAAAGTGGTGTGGAGCAAGTTCTTGAGTGTGGATTTGGGACCACTCACTGACTTGAGGATTTCAGATGGGTGTTTCTTCATTGATGAGGAGAAGAAAGTGGCCATGGTTATTAATAAAGATAGAGAAGAAAGATTAGATACCCTGAAAATATTTGGAGAGGATGGATACTTTTATGAATTGGAACTCGGAAAATCTTCAGACAAAAAAAAGTGTTGGCCGGTTATGTGCTCTTACGTTCCGAGTTTAGTGCAAGTCAAGCTACCTGAAGTAGGCAAAAGGAAGAGGAAAAGGCGCAAGAAGGTGGCACAAAGGAATAGGAAAAGGCGCAAGAAGGTGGCACAAAGGAGAAAACGAGATTGATGATTAGTCTCAAATTTACAAATTCTAATTTCAGTGTCTTTCATTTGTTCTTGTTTTTCTTTGAACAAGATTAATTTGTTACTTGATCCAATCTTACGCAATATGAACAATATTTTAGTTTCATTTTTAAAACAGAAAGAGCTATGATCCTGATTTACATGTCTTTTCATTTGCTCTTGTTGTTCTTTGAACAAGACTTGTTTGTTTCTTGATCCCATCTATGCAACATGACCGCTTTGAGCTTTGTACCTTTTTTTTGTCTTTTTTCTGTCACATTTAAACCACAAATGATGTTGATTTACAGAGAGACGCACCAGAACTTTGCTTTACACAGTCGAGAATGTCATACAATAGTTTAGTGTTTAAGTAAAAAAAAACTTGTAACAAACAATTGATTAGTGGCATAATAATTTCAAATCATAAATTTGCATTTCTATTTGAACAAAACAGAGAGTTGGTTTCATCTACACACAAACAAGTAAGAGAGACCAAGTCAATCGAATAACAGACGACCATGAGTCAAACTCCTCCAACATTTACATCAAAAGCAAGCACTAATTAGGATTATACACACAAGTGTGTTGCATGGAAATTCGGTGACATCATTACAAGCCCAAAAAGATTGTGAAGCCCATTACTGGCCCAGCTTCATTTAGGGTTTTTCTCTCTTCAATTATTTTGTTTTGGGTGCAAGTTTCTTCAATTGTTGTTGTATAGCTAATAAAAGACAGAGGATTAGGTTTCTGAAAAAGGTCGTCACTCGTCAAACTTGGGAAACTATTTGATGATGACGATGATATCAAATCTTCCAAACCATCTGGTAGAGGAGATCCTCTCTATGATTCCTTTCAGTGCCATGAGAGCAGTGCGATTAACTTGCAAAAAGTGGAACACTTTGTCCAAAAGTCGTAGCTTTACAACCATGCACATCGGTAAACAAGAAGCAGCAGCAAAGGCATCAGAGGAGTCCCGGATGATCGTGATGAAGGATTATAACGTTTGTTTAACGAGCGTCGTCTTCGTCAATGAAAACGAAAACGAAAACCCATTAACGAAGCGTCTATGTAAACTTACTTGGTTAAACAACGAACAAGTCAAGATCTCTCAAGTCTTTCACTGTGATGGTTTGGTGTTATGCGTCTTGAAAGATGACAATACTAGGCTTGTGGTTTGTAATCCGTACTTGGGGCAAACAAGATGGATCGAGACCAAATGTTCTCACAACCTTGACAAGTACAAGTACGCTATCGGGTACGAGAGTAAGATATCTTGTCGTAGGTACAAGATCTTGAGGTTTAAGGATGTCTACATCGGTTACGGTGTCACTAATAACCACCTTTTACCCTATGAAACCTATGATTTTGACTCTAATTCATGGACGCTTCATAAATTGATTGCACCTTGGAATATAGCGTTTCGTGATCGTGGCGTGTCTCTCAAGGGAAACACTTATTGGTGTGCCACAGACGGACGAGGACTTATCCATCACACTGTCTGTTTTGATTTCACAAGAAAGAGATTTGGGGGGCTTCAAGATCTGCCATTTCATTATTCGTATAAACAGCTTGTGGCTCTGTCTTGTGTGAGAGATGACAAGCTTTCGCTATTAGTTCAGTCCATGGGCACGTTTGCGATAAGTATATGGATTACGGATAAGATCGAGGAGCAAAAGGTGGCGTCGGGCAAGTCCTTGAGAGTGGATGATACGGCCACAAAGGTGTCGTGGAGCAAGTTCTTGAGAATGGATATAGGACCACTCGCTGACTTGAGGATTTCAGATGGACGTTTCTTCATCGAAGAGGAGAAGAAAGTCGCCATGGTTGTGAATAAAGACATTGAAGCAAGATTAGATACAGTGAAGATCTTTGGAGAGGATGGATACTTTAGGGAATTGGAACTCGGAGAACCTTCTGACAGATGGTGTTGGCCAGTTATGTGCTCTTATGTTCCGAGTTTAGTGCAAATCACGCTACCTAAAGTAGGCAAGAGGAATAGTGAAATGCTCAAGAAGATGGCAAAAAGGAGTAAACGAGACTGATTAGTCTCAATTTAGAAATCCTAAATTCAATGTCTTTTCATTTGTTCTTGTTTTTTCTTGATCCAGTCTACGCAATATGAACAAGATTTTAGTTTCATTATTAAAACAGAAAGAGCTATGATCCTGATTTACATGCCTTTTCAATTGTTCTTGTTGTTCTTTGAACAAAACTTATTTGTTTCTTGATCCCATCTATGCAACATGACCGCTTTGAGTTTTGTACCTTTTGTTTGTGTTTTTTTCTGTCACATTTAAACCACAAATGATGTTGAGACTCACCAGAACTTTGCTTTACAGTTTACACAGTCGAAAATGTCATACAAAAATAGCTAGTTTAGTGTTTAAGTAAGTTCAGAAAACCTGTAACAAGCAATTTGATCACAACCGATTAGTGGCATAATAATTTCAAATCATAACTTTGCATTTCTATTTAAACAAAACAGAGAGTTGTTTGGCTCATCTACACATAAACTTGAAAAACAAACACACATTGATAACAATTGATCCACACTCCAACAAAACGATTCTCAACGCTTGGAGAATTGTGGAGCTTTGCGAGCCTTCTTGAGCCCGACCTTCTTCCTCTCAACGACTCTCGCGTCTCTAGTCAACAGACCTTCCTTCTTCAACGGCGATCTATGGTCTGCACTCACCTTCAACAGCGCACGAGCAACACCAAGCGTAATCGCTTGTGCTTGACCAGAGAGACCTCCTCCGTGTGCTTTCACGAACACATCGTAGCTGTTCTCGTAACCCAATGTCACCAACGGCACCTTCACGTACTGAAGCCATAGTGGATTCCCCTGAAGATACTCCTGAAAACAGTGTTTCACAAAGATCACCAATATCAAAAATTTCATCTCTCAAGAACATAAACTCCATGAACGAGTGGTCAATTCTGCTCTGTAAATCCCTAAAAACCCCCAAAACCAAGGTCTAAGCAAACACATGAATCCACCAGTAACAATGTAACATCCTCGATTCATCAAGAAGCAATATGATAAAATCCATGAACGAGAGAGGCCAATTTCAGCTATGTAAATCCCTAAAAATTCCCAAAATCAAGGGCTAAGCGAACACATGAATCCAGTAGTGACAATGTAACATTTTCGATTCATCAAGCAGCAATGAGAGAAACGGAATTGATTTACCTTGGCGTCGCGATAGTTGATGATGACTTTCCCGGTGCCTTCCTGGAGGACGACACGAGCGATGGCGCATTTACGGCGTCCAGTGCCGATGATTTTCTGAGCTGCGAAACCTCCGGGGAGCCTCGATTTCACGTACTTCTTAAGCTCCATCGTATCCTCCACCTCTTCCGCCGCCTCCGAGGGAGCAGCCACCGTGGCGGTGATGGATAGAGAAGCGCGGCGACGAGCGGATTTCGCCGGGAATGGGAACACTGAGTTAACGCGGGTGAAGGAAACGATGTTTTGTCCCTGAGAAACTTGGGAGGAGAATGAGAGCGAGGAGAGAGAAGAGGCGAGGTTTGAAACTGATAACGCCATTGTCGCTGGAGCTACAAAATCCACGAGAAGGAAGAAGAAGAAGATAACGAGATTAGGCACAGTCTCTCTCTCTCTATCGTTTCGTGAGCTCTCCAATTGATGGAATCGGGCCTCTTAAAGCCCAATTATAGCCTTTAATGGGCTTTACAGTAGAAAACACACAAAAGTCGTCATTATTTTCTGGCTAACCAATCATGTGTTGATATGGCTTCATCTGATGATCAATAACAATGACTTCAGTTTGGTTAGAATTATTTTGGGGAAAAACTTTATTATAAGAATCAGAAAAGGGTTGGTCGATGAGAAAAATTCAATGTCAATTTTTTAGATTAATCTTTAAGATAAATCATAAACGAAGGATGAACATATCATATAATTGTAGGTTTTATGGTAGTGTAGAGATCAATCTGCAAATATAACATGAGAAAGAGCTTATGAAAAAGACTGAGTAATCAAATATATCACGTCGCTACAAAACTTTGTAAAAATAAGTAAAAAGACAAAACAAAATGTAGACAAAGGCAATATAGCTCAAAACAAAATTTGTGTCTGGTCCGATTTTCGTCAAAGATAGTTCCACTACAACAAGAAGTTCCCAAACCGTGTACCACTTGGGATCGAAGCAAATCCTGAATACGTACCAAAGTTGCTAGAACCATGTTGTCTTCGTCCAAGGCGAGGACGAGCTGTTTCAAGCCTAGGAGCAGATGGTCGATTAGGGATTGAATCACCTTTGATAGGCTTCGATCTCGGGTCAGAAGATGACGTGCCAATTCCATACAAAGGAACCAAACTATCTTCCTTGACCAGAGCTTTACAAACAGGACAGTTGTTGGATTCGGAATGGAAGTGGATCCACTTGTAGAGACAAGGCCAACAGAACAAATGACCACATTGAGTCACGATTGGTTCTCTCGCCAATTCGAGACAGATGTTGCATCCGAAGTTCCTGGAAACGTCTTCTCCGTTCGTATTGTTGCACGAAGACATTGAGAAAGTGAATGATGTGATGAAACCTTATAAAACCCTGGCAAGGTTGAATGTTTTGAATATTGACTGAAATTGAATAGGACTTAAATGTCGATTATCTATACAACTCTACGAGCAACCTAAGCCTAATCGAAGTAGGAAATATTAAATTGGTAATTATCTAGTCAAGATATTTACCTCAGAAGAAACACGGGAGAGAAAGCTTTCTGATGTAAGATCGCAAGAGAGAGTCGAGAGAGACGCGGTGAATGAAAAACGGAAACACAGTGATTTTACTAATATAATCGTAAATTGTTGTACTTATAGGGCTCACGAACGAAGCTTCCGTTTAAGTTCCTCTTGTTGTTGTTTTCTTTTTCAGCTTTTAACTCTTTATCTTTGCTTTTGGGGGTAAATTGTTTGTTTTTCTACTAAAATAAAGCAGAATTTGTTATATCAGTTTTTTGTTACACAAAATGTTATTTAAAAAAAAAAAAGGAATGGTCCCAATTGCTCAGATGAAGACCAATATTAATGGCAGAACTAGAGTTGTCTTTGAGGATGGTATCCCAAGAGTTAGTCTTTAACTTTTTAATTACACTTATTGCTAAATGATTTCTAGTGAGTGTTAATATTAGTTATTGACCTATCAGGAGGTCAAAGAACTCAGTAAATAGCTTTATGATTCGTGTATAATCATTAAAGATAACAAGCTCTGTGGTACAAAAGAAAACGAGAACGTTTGACCAATGACCCCAAAAAACAAAACTATTGAGAGCTTTGGTAAGTTATTAACCTTTAGACTTTTCTTTCCCGAAAACTCTCACAGAACTACTTCCATTTTTTAATTGTTGCAGTTGAGCTTTTTGTATATCTTAAGGAATTACTTTATTTTACAGAATTCGTTTTCAAACGAGAAAAAGTCCACGGTAGTAGTTCTGTGCATTCCTTTTCAGAAAGTTTACAGATTTTTGACGGTTCCTGAATTCTAGATGCTGATTTGTTGATGATGATATATATAACCTCTTTGACATCATTTTGGCATGTCAAATAAAACTAGTAAAATAACGCTATGTTTTTCTTCGTAACCAAGTATCATATATACTACATAAAAAGTTAAAAACCGACTCAGTATAAACTGTTGATCGAGAATGATGCTTAAAATAATTAAGCGTTATAAACTTGTTGAAAATGTTGCGGTTAAGAAGACTTGCGGTCAAAGTTTCACTTTACGAAAAAATATTCCACGAATGTTAATCGTTTATGGGGATGATTGGTAGGGGCTGTGGTTGCTCTGCACAGCCCTAAATCTCTCTACAGTAATACCAAATTACCAATCAAGCTCTCATTTTATCTCTTTCCATTTTTGAAATACAGAGCAATTTTATTTATTTATGGAAGTTCCATGGCTTTGGAAAGCAATTTTTCTAGAGCACCAAATTAAGTGCTCTTAGAATTTTCTCTCTTCTCTTTCCTTATTAATCTTTCAACATTTATTTTTTAATCTATTATTTCTATATCTTAACTTTTTTGTTTTAATGTTATATTTAATGACACAATCTATAATAAAAAATCTTACAGCACTAAAATCTAGAATCACAGCCAAAATTTCTACATCATTAATTCTACAGCAAAAAAATTAAAGCTACAGCCACAACCAATCAGGCCCTATATCGTTCTAGAAATGAATTTTCTTTTTGTATCGAATCAACAGCGAATCAAATTGACCGTAACTCTCTATGAAGGTTCCAAATGGAACATGATCCAACATATATTATACGTTATGGATTTGTAAGAAATAAACAAAACAAACTATATGTACATGACTTCTGGAAGGATTTTAAGTGGTTTTATAATATTGTTTGCATTGCATTTGCATTTATATTCCCGTAACGAAATCCACATTATTGATTGGACATAAATTACAATTCTATGAACTTGAACTGTAATGTGAGCTCCTAGAAAATATAAACATCAAACCACTATCCCACCAAACTGATGGGTAAAACTAAAAATACTAGTTCAATGTATCACCCAAATTTAGTATATCCAAATTAACATAAGAGTTTTGAAAACTTCTGCAAATTACTAAAACTATAACGCGATTTTTATAGTTAGAAATGGTTACAAAAGAAAATTTATATCAAAACATAAATTATTTGATGGAATGAATGATTTAATCTCTTTAGATTCGTTGTTGACATTGTCAGTGTCATATTTACAACTTTATTTCTGAACACACACAAAAAAAAGAGCAAATACGGAAGCAGAATATAAATAGAGAGAGTCGGTGGGAAGAAAACAAGATCGTCGTCACACAAAGCTTCTCTGATTTCTTTCCCACCTTATTTCTCTCCATTTCTCAACTCCTTCTTCTTCTTCCTCTTCCTTTTTTTCTTGCACACACACGACTCTGATTCTGATTTCGTAATTCGTAATTGGTTTAATCAATGGCGGTGGCTCAGACCGTGAATTATTGGTTGACGGAGCATCCAAAGATCGTCAACTTCCGATGGAGCCCAACCCAATCATACGCCTCCACCTGGTCATTCCTCGTCACCGCCGTCTCATCTTACGTCATCGCCGCCGTCACTCTCCACCTCCTCCTCACAATCATCCTCCGACGCCGTCGCGGCCTCTCCCTCGGCCCAATCCCGGCCTTGCACAGCTTGACCATGTCCTTAATCTCCGCCGTTATCTTCGTCGGAATCCTCCTCTCCGCCGCCGCGGAGATCCGAGACACGCGCTGGCTATGGCGACGCACGCGCACGACGGCTCTCCAGTGGTTCCTCTGTTTTCCCGTGGGCACACGCGCCTCGGGGCGCGTGTTCTTCTGGTCGTACGCGTTTTACCTCTCTCGATACCTTCACTTGCTCCGCACCTTCTTCTCGGTGATACGACGTCGTAAGCTCAGCTTCTTCCAGCTCATCAACCAGTCTTCTCTCCTCTGTATCTCATTCCTCTGGCTCGAATTCTCCCAATCATTCCAGGTACTTAACCGGTTCGGTTTACTACAATTGAAACCGAATTTCTAATTGGACCGTCGGTGTAATGGTTTTGCTTTTTGCAGGTTGTGGCGATACTATTGACGACCGTTTCGTATGCCGTCGTGTACGGTTACAGATTCTGGACGGCGATTGGGTTACGTGGCGCGTGTTTTCCGTTCGTCGTTAACTGTCAAGCCGTTCTGTTGGGGTGTTTGACGGTGTGCCACGTAGGCGTTCTCTGCATGCACATGGTCAAACGCGGCGGTTGTAACGGTATCGGAGCTTGGCTGTTTAACTCCGTTCTAAACGCCGTTATCTCTTTGCTCTACTTGAAGTTTTATGTCAAGACGCGTTCGCGTTCAATGGCGACAGCGGTTAAGCCAACATAAATGATAATTTATTGTGCATAGTTTTTGTATTATTGTGTATTGATATGGTAAAATATCATCCGGAAGAAAAAATCTAGTCCATGGAAAGATTTTTTCTTTGCTGTTGTATGATTAGAGATAAATTTTAGTTCAGAGTAGAATATAAAAATGTGTATTATAATTGTAAAAATCCGTAATTGTAGTTGATCGGACACCAAAGTATAGTACTTACTATATACTGTTTTGGTTACTAATATAATAATTGAGCTACTTTCACATTTTCAAGGTTCGTCTCTTTTCTCAGGTTGCAAGGAAACAAAAGTCAGGTAGCTTTGGGATATGATTCGTTTCTTTTTGAAGTCTAATCAAGAAAAGAAATCCAATATATAGATTACTTTAAAGTATATAGTACTTTTTTATGAATGAAGTCCCTGAGAAAAGACAAAACAGGATCTGCACTATACAACTACAACATCTTAAAAAGGTTCTGGACGATATCAATCTCCGGTGTCCACTTGTTTCCGGTCAATCAGAACACCGTCGTCCCAAGTTTCAGAGTATCTGTAGAGACAAAGCCATGAACAGTTAGTTATAAAATAAAAGAGGCTAAGAAGCTTGAGATTGCTCTGTTTCTAGTAAGGATACAGAGAAGAAGAGTTTCAAAAGGTCACTGACCTTGTTCCATCAACAGCTATACAGAGGAACTGCCCATGTCTCCATCCATCTTTGAAATGTCCAAAGAATATCTCACCGGACTTTGAATAAAACCTGCCTTCGCCGCTGGCTTTTCCTTTCCAGAAATTTGCAAACCAGCGATCACCTTTGTGGAAGTAAAACCAGCCCTATAAGAAAGGAAACCAAATATGGTCTTGTCTGATTAGAAGATCTTTTATGTCAGAACAGTAAGTAACCAGTTTGTGGACAAACGTAGTCTCAGTAAGCTAATCCAAATTCAAAAGATTTAAAGACTGTTTTTACCTTTCCGTGTATTAAATCTTCTCTCCATGTGCCTTGGAACACGTCTCCATTCTTGAAGTAGAATGTTCCGAGACCAGATCTTTTACCGTTGTGCCACGTTCCATCATATATGCTTCCATCTCCAAGTACCAAACGACCCTGGTGAGAAAATTTCAGCCATTAGTACTTTGGGATTCAACTACAAAGCCTGTCTCATTCGTAAGACAAGGAGCCATTACTGTATTGGATTACCTTTCCTTCTGGAAGGCCTCCTTGGCATCTTCCCTTGAACAGTCCTCCTCTGTACTGCATCTCTAGAATAGGACTCCATCTTTTTGATGAATCTCGTTCAGCTTCCTAAGCAACAAACAATGAAAATGGAAAATTTTGTCAATTGACATTGACTTGGACGATGTTTAACAAGTTATCTAGTCTCTGGAAATGTAACAGATGTACAATGCTTGTAAGAGAATGATTTTATATCTCAACCTTATAGACTGCTACATTGCTACTTACCAGCATAGACGCTGCTCGAGCGGATAGATTTCTTTGCTTAGCAAAATCAGCATATTTCTCCGATAGCAGAGGAGATGCAGTGTCACTAGAGTCTTTTGTCGAGTTGAAAAATGATTCATCTTTGGAATCAGCCTTCCTGGAGAGTTGACCGGCGACACTGAGACTACTGTTTAAATTCTTGGAAGGTCTCACA